ATTAGCCAGTTTATTAAACAGTTTAATCTCCAGCATGGCCCCTTTGGTCTAAGGGCAGATGTAAAGGTTATTATCTTCTGCCGAACTAAGGCGCTAGTTGATAGGCTATTTGATGCCTTACAGCCTCAGGCAGCTAGATTCTATGCTAGACTATCTGATGACGAGAAGCTTAGTCAGCTAGACTAATTTCGGTAAGAGGCCTCTATCCTACTAGCCATTAGTGGTATTGGTGCTGGCTATAATTTCCCTGATGTAAACCTAGTTATCCACTTTATGCCTGGTGTATATAAGATAACTAATTTTATGCAGGAGTCAGGTAGGGCTGGTAGATCACCTAGCTCGCCTGCTTGGTCTTATTGCCTAGTGCAACCTTACCAGTTGAATCAGCTGCCTCAGGCAGATCTAGTGCCTCAGGCATCAGCAGAGAAGGTCTTCTTCCAGCACTATCTTACTGATCAGATCTGCCGCCGCCGGGTAATCTCTAGGGTTTTTAATGGAGAAGCCCTAGAGGTATGTGATCCTCTCTGGGCACAGTATGACCGCTGCTCTGACCGCCTAATTAGGCAATCAGTAGTAGTTACCAGGGTTAGTAGCCAACAGCGGCAGAATCTAGGAACTATCGACTTCCTTGCTAGTACAGTGAAATTTTGGACAGAACAGCGGTGCCCTATCTGTTTTATAAGATGGTTAGGTAAGTGCTCTATCCTACTAGCCTACTACTACCCTACCACTATACTAACTATATCTATATAGTTTCAGAAGAAGATAGCCAAACTAGGCAGCAGGCTATAGGCCACACACTAGCTAGCTGTAAGGTCTTAGCTGAGACTCAATATACTACAAATATTAGTAGATTGAGAGAAGCTATAGACCCGAAGCCTAATACATGCTGTTTCACATGCTATCTACCTACTAGGGTCTGTAAAGGCCCCTTAGGGACTAATAGCGATATATGCTTTTCTAGCAAGCTATTGATAGTACTTTGGTTATCGTGTGCAAGGGCTACTTGGCAGAGTGAAGCTGATCTACTACAAACGCCCTATTTTGATAAGGATTGGTGGCCTAAAGGGTTTCGTCCGAATCACTTTCAGACAGAAGGATGGCGGTGGGATACAGAGGTTATAGAGGGGGCAGTATTTTTCTATTACTTTGCTTTGTTATATTTTAGTATACATGGCTGGGACTAGGGTTTTAGGGTTTTGGTGGTTTCCTAGTGAATCAAATTGTACTAGCGATCTTAGGATTAGATAGCTAGCCTGATCTGTATTAGTTAATTTACTAGTCTATTAGTTAGTCTATTAACTATCTTAGTGATAGGATAAAGATCCCTTATAATTGGTTAATCTATTATAATCATTTTTAAATAAAGTAATAATTATTTCTTTAACTAAATTTTGATATAGTACCCCCTAGCACTATCCAGCACTACATAGTCTTAGCAAATTATCTCAGGCTTCTTACCCCCGGCACCTCACCCCTGGCACCGTAGCCCCAGTACCTTAGCCCCAGTACCTTACCTCTGGCACCTTAGCCCGGGTACCTTACCCCTAGTACCTCATCTCTAGCACCTCACCCCCAGCACCTTAGCACTAGTACCTCTCCGCCAGTACCTCTCCCCGGGCAGCTCAGCTCTGGCACCTTAGCCCTAGCACCCCATCTCTAGCACCTCATCCCCAGCACCTTAGCACTAGTACCTCTCCGCCAGTACCTTACCTCTGGCACCTCAGCCCTAGTACCTCACCCCTGACACCTCTCCCCGGGCAGCTTACCTGTAGCAGCTCACCTGTGGCAGCTCAACAGTGGCAGCTCAACAGTGGCAGCTCAGCCTCGGCTCTTCAGCCCTAGCACCTCTCCCCTAGCATCTCTCCCCCAGCACCTCTCCCCGGGCAGCTCACCTGTGGCAGCTCAGCCCTAGCACCTTACCCTCAGCACCTCACCCCCAGCACCTCTCCCCGGGCAGCTCACCTGTGGTAGCTCAGCCCTGGCACCTCTCCCCGGGCAGCTCACCTGTGGCAGCTCAGCCCCGGCACCTCTCCCCCCAGCACCTCTTCCCCAGTACCTTAGCCCTAGCACCTCACCCCCAGTACCTCACCCCCAGCACCTCTCCCCGGGCAGCTCACCTGTGGCAGCTTAGCCCTGGCACCTCTCCCCCAGCACCTCTTCCCCAGTACCTTAGCCCTAGCACCTCACCCCCAGTACCTCACCCCCAGCACCTCTCCCCGGGCAGCTCACCTGTGGCAGCTTAGCCCTGGCACCTCTCCCCGGGCAGCTCACCCCGGGCAGCTCAGCTCTGGCACCTTAGCCCTAGCACCTCACCCCGGGCAGCTTACCCCGGGCAGCTCAGCTCTGGCACCTTAACCCTAGCACCTCACCCCCCGCAGCTCACCCCGGGCAGGTCACCTCTGGCAGGTCACCTCTGGCAGCTGAGCCCTGGCACCTTAGCCCCGGCAGCTCTCCGCGGGCAGCTGACCTCTGGCAGCTCAGCCCCGGCATCTTTCCTTGGGTACCTTAGCACTAGTATCTCTCCCCGGACAGCTTACCTCTGGCACCTCAGCCCCGGCACCTTAGCCCTAGCATCTCTCGCCTAGCACCTCTCCCTGGGTACCTTACCTCTGGTACCTCTCCCCCGGCACCTTAGCCCCGGCACCTTAGCACTAGTACCTTACCCTGAGCACCTTAGCCCTAGTACCTCTCCCTTAGCACCTTACCCCCGGCACCTTATCTCTAGTACCTTACCCCTAGTACCTTACTATAGTAGGATTATATACTATTTCTAATACTTTAAGAAGATTATAATATTCAAGCTTATACTTTAATATTCCTAGGTATAGACATATATACTATAAGGTATTATTCAACAACTGGCCACAGTACCCGTAGTAATATCTGTAATAGAAATATTTATTTATCAATATCTCAATAACCACTAGGCTTACCTAGCTTATACTAATATCATTCTGATCACTAAAATCCCCTCTATTACCCTATATAAATTAATATTAGTCAGCAGTCTAAAAATTTCCAGACCTCTTTTATACTGTTTTCAACCTCTATAGGCCCTGCTTATATAATCATAGCCTTCTAGACCCCTACTCACTAAGCTTACCTATATAGTAGTACAAACCAGATTTAGTTAGCTTCACTAGTTAGCCAATAAGCAGCAACCCTAGTCTTAACCCAAAAGCCCTAGAATACCTCATAGCTAAGGCAGAAACCCTAGGCTTAGAAGGCTGGCCAAAAAGGGTATAGACTACCCGTTGGTCCTGGTCTTGGCATACCCCATCAAAAAATCACCTACCAAAATCAGACCCCTTAGGGTTTTACCCTTCTGACTAGAAATCATCCTGTTAAACCTGACAGGAGGATAGTATAGATAATTCTAATCAAACTTCTAAAAAGCCCGATCGAAAAATATAGAGGGGTGACCTAGTTAGGGGGGGGGGACGTATTTACTCGTCCCCCCCCCCCTCGCCAAGACTTTTCTAAGCGCGTCCCCGGGGGGGGGGGACGGGCCGGAATATATTTAGGTAGCGCACGGTAACTAGTCATCGTCATCCTCTCCCCAAGGATGCCCGTGACACTAGCGTTGTATACTCTTCCACGCACAAAGCTCCAGCAGCGCTAGTGACCTCAAGGCGGGTAATAATAGTCTGACCCTTGCTGACGAACGATGGCGGACGCTTGCTTTTGCGGCCGGTTCCTGGCTCCAGCGCTAATTCAATTAGGAAATATGTAATAAATGACCTAGTTCAGAGCGGCACATCGCATGATAATCGTTTGCATAAGTAGATGCTTGAATTAGGAGAAGCAAACACAGCCAAATCGCGGCCAGGAAGTACTATGGGGGAAAGTATCGTAGATGTGACACCAAATCGTGTTGATGCCTGAGGCGCATTGAGGCGCAAATATACGATTTTTGCTTCGAAAAAGTTAAATCTGTATCTTCAACAATAATCTGGTTATCATTTTTATCTTTGGTTTCGTTATCGTTTTTTTTATTATCTCTATTTATCTTATATTCTTTACAATATCTATATTCTATCTTATTTACCTTCTGATATATCATTTTATCTCCGTCTAGAGTAGAGTCTAAAGTCATACGATGGATAAAGCTACACCTCTCCAAGGTTGTTATACCATCTTTCTATTCTACTAATATACGGGTTTGTGGATAGACTACCTGACTAGACGTATTCTTATAAATAAATATGACTTTTCTAGAAATAAAGATAGAATTCCTAAGAATTTCCTATTAAGTTTTAAAAATATATCTTGAAATTCTGATATTTAATTATAAAATTCTAGGTATAGAGTTTGAGTTTCTAAGTATGACTGAGACATTCTTAGAAACAGTTGGTGATTTTCCATCTTATCCGTTGGATGTTCTGGGATGAAAACTACGGTAGTGTACCTTATTGGGGGTCGCCTAACAGGTGACCTTAAACGCGAGGCTCACATTAGTCCGCCGGATCGACCCTATGCACTTCTTTTCTTCCTCCTTATCTGGATGGCGAAAATTAACCCGAAGAAGGATGTACATACTCAATGACTTGAAGATATGTTGGCTGATCAGTGTAACCAATCTTGTACGGCATAGACCCTGTGCCTTCTAGGCTTATAACTGTAGAAAAGTGTATGGGACTGTCTACTTACTACTATTACTACTATTGCCTGAACTGGTTTAGTGACGCTCAATTCGCCGCTAAGCAGTGATCAAGTCTATCCCCGAAATGGTCTGCTACCGGGATATTCAGCAGCCTCGGCCCAAACCGAGCACGGGCCCACAGCGCGCCTGAATCCGCCGCTTTGTGCCTGATGCAGCCGTAAGGCAACAGTTTTACGAACGGTGGTCAGGATGGAATAACTATTTCCCGCTCGCGGTAGGTAGGTGGGACGGCGCGAATCATTTCGACTTCAGCGACGACGAGATCTTTTCATCAAACACCACGACAAGCAACTTGAGTGTCTAAAACCTGCTGAAATCTAACTACTAAAGCGAAATGGCAGGCACAATTAGCATGTATGACCTTGTCATAGTTGGTCACGGCGTGGCCGGTCTAGCCGCCGCAGTATCGGCGGCGGAACTCGTTCCAGCAGCTCAGATTGCCGTGCTAGAGCGCGCGCCTGAGGATGCCAGCGGGGGCAACACGCGTTATAGCCCGGCCAACATGCGCATGCGATCTGTTAATGAGATATCGCCTGGTTTCGTGGATGATATGATGACCATCAGTGGCGTAGACGGCGACCGCGCCTATTTCGAAAAGTTGGCCGACCGGGCACCGCAGGCCGTCCAGTGGCTCGAGAGACAAGGTGTGCAATTTCATGCCATGGACTATTTCTTGAAGTCGTGGCCAAATAGGATTCAGCCCGTCGGCAAAGGTGCCGCCATAATCGAAGCGCTGCAGCGATCTGCCAGGGCAAAAGGCATCCAGCTGGTGTACGAATGCCGCGCCAAGCAACTGCACCTTGGGAAAGAAGGGGCCACCATCAAGGCGGCAGACGGGCGGCGATTCATTGCCAAATCCGTTGTTCTCGCCAGCGGTGGATTCCAAGGTAATCCAGAGCTCCTGCATACCTATTTCGGGACCGGTGCGGAGTCTCTACGACCGATATCTCCAGGCACGCGGTGGAACACAGGTGATGGGATCCAAATGGCGCTGAATAACGGAGCTGCGGTAAATGGAAATTGGAATGGCATGCATAGCGAAATAATCGATCCGCGCAGCGATATGCCTGCACCACTAGTGCTCGTCTATCCTTATGGTATTGTGGTGAATCGCAACGGAAAGCGATTCGTTGATGAGGGCGCAGGGCTCGTCCATGACACCTGGGAACAACTTTCACGAACTATCCACTTTGATGCTCCGGGCCAGTCAGCCTGGGTAGTTTGCGATTCAAGACTCTCTGAGGTGGAAGGCTATGAAGCGGCCATTCGCACCGACATCCCGCCTCTTACAGCGGACACAGTATCTGGCCTAGCAGTCCAGATGAAGGTGCCGGAACAGGCGCTCTTTAGATACAATCTCAAGCTACAACGCAGCTTGTGACACAGACGTATTCCGTTTTTCTGCTGGCCGCCTTGATGGCCTTGCAACTGGGCCACACTTGGAACCTCCAAAGTCGAACTGGGCCCGCCCGCTCAACGCTCCGCCGTATTTAGCTTTTCCTTTAGCCGCTGCTATTGTATACACTTTTGGTGGACTTGCGACTGACACAGAAACGCGAGTCTTAACCCAGCAAGGCGCTATTCCTAACCTCTACGCCGCAGGTGAGATTACCGGCCATTTCCACGACACCGCACCAAATGCTGTTGCTGTTTTACGCGCGCTCGTCTTTGGGCGCATTGCTGGGCTCAATGCAATGAGCTCGAAGTAGATGGTGGGTTTAGTAGCCAGTGGAGATGTATGCATTAAGCAACCTTTCAACTTAGCATAACCTCATAGCTGGCTTGTGTGAACACCTTGTCGAGCTCTGAAACACACACGGAGTTCTAGCAATCGATTGTGAAATTCTAGACATACAGTTTGAGTTTCCAGGTACAGCCAAGACATTCTCAGGAACAGTTAGTGATTTTCCATCTTATTCGTTGCACGTTCTGGTTCGAATACTATTGTACAGTTTAGGGTGTTTGACTGACGGCAAAGCGAATTGTACGTGAAAGCTATTATTCGATGAAAAACGTCACTGCGTGAATGTGGACAATCGGTTGGAATGACCGAGGCGCAGGGGAAACAAATCACGAGGGTCACCACAGGCAAAGGACCGCGTGAGCGATCACGCCATGAAAGCTGTCGCGCCATGACAACAGCCACACCATGAAAGCTCACGCCATGAAACTTGCCATTCCATGAAACCTACCATTCTATAAAACCTACCATCGGTCACTTTTACGATAGCCTAGCTGGCAAGGGTAGCGGAATTACGACGACCGGAGGCGACGAATGAACCTGCCAGCGGTTGACATTGTATGCCTGAGCCGGACGAGAAATACTGGGACTCGTGGTGATCTGTGGGTGCGTTTCACCACCGGTCAACAAGACGCGCCAGATGGAGGCAGTTTCAGCGCGAGGATAAAAGATAGTGTGGAAGATGACCTGGCCCACGGTCAAACACCGGGTCCTCGATCTTTTCCAGGCGTTATTGGAAGAAGGCACGCTGCCGAAACAGTGGCGACACGCAAAGATCATTCCGCTGAGAAAACCGAACAAGGAAGACTACACCATTGCCAAGGCATGGAGGCCGATCTCACTGTTCGCCATATTAGGCAAGATCCTGGAGTCAGTGGTGGCAGAAAGGATCTCGCACGCAGTAGAGACCTACGGCCTGCTCCCGACCAGTCACTTCGGGGCCCGAAAGCAGCAGTCCGCGGAGCAAGCACTCTTACTCCTACAGAAGCAAATCTACACAGCGTGGCGGGGGCGACGGGTGCTAAGCCTGATCAGCTTTGATGTCAAGGGGGCCTACAATGGGGTCTTTTAGGAATGATTGATCCAGAGGATGAAGGCGCGAGGTATACCGGAAGTTCTGCTTCGGTGGGTTGAGGCGTTCTGTTTAGGACGAACGGCGGCTATCCAGATTAATGGGCAGCTGTCCGAGGTTCAAGACCTGCTACAGGCTGGACTGCCTCAGGGCTTGCCCCTGTCTCCTATCCTATTTCTCTTTTTCAACGCCGACCTTGTACAGAGACCGATCGACGGCCAAGGAGGGGTAATTGCCTTTGTGGATGACTTTACCGTGTGGGTGACAGGGCTAACCGTGCAGAATAATCGGGACGGTATCGTAACTATCGTTAATGAAGTGCTTAACTAGGAGAAGAGGAGTGGGGCAGCTTTTGAAGCAGACAAAACGGCGATTATATATTTCGCACCTAAGGCTTGCAAAGTAGATCAAGAGCCGTTCACTATCAAGGGGCAGACGGTCGTGCCTAAGAACAAGGTCAAAATCCTCAGGGTCCTGATGGACACGCGATTGAAGTACAAGGAACATATTGCCAGGGCAGCGTCCAAAGGTCTGGAGGCAGCGATAGAGCTTCGACGACTTCGAGGTCTTTCTCCAGCGACAGCACGGCAGTTGTTCTCGTCGACAGTAGCTCCAGTAGTAGACTATACCTCAAACGTCTGGATATACGCCTTTAAGAATCAAAACATAGGACCGATCAACCAGGTGCAAAGGATAGGAGCACAAGCAATTGTGGGCACATTCCTCACCGTTACGACCAGCATAGCGGAGGCCGAGGCCCATATCGCCACGGCACGACACCGATTCTGGAGACGAGCCGTAAAGATTTGGACAGACCTCCACACGCTACCGGAAACCAACCCTCTCCGCAGAAACACAGATCGGATCAGGAAGTTCAGGAGATACCACCGCTCACAATTATACCAAGTAGCAGACGCACTGAAAAACATCGATATAGAATCGCTGGAAACCATCAACCCTTTTACACTGGCACCATAGGAAGCATGCGTACAGACTGATGAGCCCATCTCAGAGGGATCAACTGTACCAGGCGGGTCAATGCAGATTGCGTTCAGCAGCTCAGCGCAGAACGAGCTGGTCGGATTTGGTGTGGCGATCGAGAAACAACCACCACGCTATCGGAAAGTGAGACTGAAGACCTTGTCCGTCACTTTGAGTACGAGAACAGAGCAAAATCCATTTGCCGCGGAGTTGGCGGCAATGGCGCATACACTGAAGACACTCGTGGGATTGAAAGACTTTAGGATCACGTTGATCACGAGCAACAAAGCGGCAGCTCTCACGCTGAAGAATCCGCGACAACAGTCAGGCCAGGAATTTGTCTGTCAAATCTACAAGCTGATAAGAAGACTGCAGAAGCATGGAAATCAGATCAGCGTCCGGTGGATCCCCACTAGCGAAGACAGCAAACTACTAGGGCTGGCGAAAGAGCACGCGAGAGCCGCGACGCAAGAAGATGCCATCCTGCAAGGACAGGTTCCCAAAATGAAATCAACCACTCTAAAGATTGCGCGTGCCCAAGCAGTCCCCAATAGCGAGTTGCCCGAGAACGTAGGGAGACACTCCCGACGAGTGGACACAGCACTCCCAGGAAAACACACGCGACAGCTGTATGACCGATTATCGTGGAAAGAGGCGAGCGTGCTAGCCCAGCTCCGCACGGGCATGGCAAGACTCAATGGATATCTCTTTCGGATCAATGCCGCCGAGACAGATCAATGCGCATGTGGACAAGCAAGAGAAACTGTGGAGCACTTTCTCTTTCGATGTCGAAAGTGGACTGCACACCGGACGGAAATGCTGCAATATACCCACACTCACCGAAGTAATATGTCCTTCTTCTTGGGAGGGAAGTCATCCTCCGATGATCAAAAGTGGAAGCCGAATTTGGAAGCAGTACGAGCCTCAATACGCTTTGCGATCGCCACGGGCCGACTCGAGGCCACCTAGGCTTGCCGACAAATTGTAGAAAGCCTCTTCTTACTAACCCAACACCTTGTGACAGACGGTAGACGCGCTTCAACTGCCGAGGATAGGATGTTGAACACTTGAAGAAGCGCCTTCAAGCAAGTCTACTAACCAATACTAACCCACAGGGACCAGCTCTGAGATTGGAAGCGGAAATGCCAAATACGGAAGGAAATACTGTATGGGCTTCAAGGAGACACGGCATATACCCAAACATGCATGTACTGGTAGATTAGTGATAGTGCCCTTTCGGCTCAGCCGCCGGGCGTTAATGAATTGTGTGTGTGTGTGTATCACTGCGTCCCGGTGGTGGACTATGCCTCCAATGTCTGGATGCACGCATTCAAGAATAAGAACATCGGGCCGATCAACCGAGTGCAGAGAGTAGGAGCGCAAGCGATTGTCGGGACATTCCTTACAGTTGCGACCAGCGTAGCGGAAGCGGAGGCTCACATCGCCACGGTGCAACGCCGACTCTGGAGACGAGCTGCAAAGACGTGGACAGACATCCACACCCTACCAGCAACCAATCCCCTCCGCAGGAGTACTGCTCAGATCAAGAAATTCAGAAGATACCACCGCTTGCCATTATATCAGGTCGCGGACGCGCTGAAGAGCATTGATATGGAAACACTGGAAACCATCAATCCATTCACATTGGCAACATAGGAGGAACGTACACAGGGCGGTGGTCAGAATGTACCAGAGACACAGACCGAACCGGGCGGAATAATACGAATCGCGGTCAGCAGTTCGGCGCGGAATGAGATGGTAGGATTTGGCGTAGCGATTGAGAAGCTGCCACCTCGATATCGAAAACCGAGGCGGAAAACTTTCTCCGTCACACTGGGTGCAAGAACCGAGCAGAGCCCATACTCCGGCGAATTGGCAGCAATGGCATATGCACTGGGCACGCTACGGGGACTGAAACGGTGCAGGGTCACGCTGCTCACGAGCAACAAAGCGGCGGCTCTTACGCTGAAGAACCCTCGACAGCAGTCGGGCCAGGAACACATCTGCCAAGCATACAAGCTGATCAAGAGACTACAGAAGCACGAGAACCGCATCAACAACTGTTGGGTCCCGACCAGCGAAGATAATCAACTGCTAGGCCTAGCAAAAGAGCAGGCTCGGACCGCAACCCAAGAGGACTCCACCCCGCAAGCACAGGTCCCCCGGGTGAAGTCGACAACACTGAACATCTCGAGATCCCAAGCAGTCCCCAAAGATTACCTGCCAGAGAATATAGGGAAACACTCTAAACGAGTGGATGCAGCACTCCCAGGAAAACATACCCGGCAATTGTATGATCGATTATCGTTGAAAGAAGCAAGCGTGCTAGCCCAGCTCCGGACTGGCATGGCGAGACTCAATGGATACCTCTATCGAATCAACGTCGCAGAGTCAGATCAATGTGCATGTAGGCAAGCAAGAGAGACCGTGGAGCACTTTCTCTTTCGATGTCAGAGGTGGACCACACACCGGACGGAAATGATGCAATGTACTCATACTCACCGAGGCAACATATCATTTTTCCTAGGCGGGAAATCGCCTTTGGATAGCCAGGACTGGAAGCCGAATTTAGAAGCAGTGCGAGCCACAATACGGTTTGCAATCGCCACGGGCCGACTCGACGCCGCTTAACCATGTCGACCAACACAGATTAACCCTACCCCAACCCAACCCCCACCAACTACCTTGTGCCAGAGACGGTAGACGCGCTTCAATTGCCGAGGATAGGATGTTGAACACTTGGAGAATCGCCTTCAAGCAAGTCTACTAACTAAACACTAACCCACAAGGACCCGCTAAGATATTGACAACTGAGATGACATACACTGAAAGGAATCTTGTAAGGGCTGCAAGGAGACATAGCATTAGCAAAGACGTGTATATTTAGATCTGTGATAGTTGCCCTTTCGGCTCAGCCGCCGGGCGTTAATGAATTGTGTGTGTGTGTGTGTGTGTGTGTATCACTGCGTACGAGATACGACTGTTCGGGATAGAGCTGGCGGGGAATGAAGGCATCTACAAGGAACAACTCCTTGTGGGATTTAGCAATAAACGTACATATCTTCAGACCTTTTTACAGTACGTCCCGAAACTGGTGCAACCGTCTACACTCTTTAAGTAATTATTTGGCCCCACTGCCAAGAAATGCTAGTCTATATTGGGAGTTCTTCCGACAGCTGCATGGGTATTTCCTCGTATGAGGGTTACATAATAATTTCAAGGATGTATTAGCATGTAAATTTCAATACATGTGACACCTTCATGCCCCTCATCCCTCGGGAACCACACTTGACAATCAATCACGAGTGGCCCAACCAAAGATGGCTCCAAACCTAGCTCCTTTCAAGCATGGGCTTATTCACGACATGATCCACAGTGGCGAACTATCTGTAACTGAGATGGCACAGGCCGCTGGTTGCAACAAGAGCACCATTTCAAGAATCTCTGCCAATATAAGAATGTTTGGCAGCGTCAAAGCACCGCCAAATAAAGGCGGACGGCCCCGTAGTATCACTCCAGTCATGCTCGAGGCTTTGTGCGACCATCTGATTGAAAAGCCTGCCCTATATGATACGCTAAGCCCAACATGGCTTATTCCGTATTCAAAAAAAATTTCTAGGTTTGCATGGTAGAAAGGACTGGAAGACGCGCGGGTCGCACGCATCGGCCCTGAAACGAAGGGCTGTAAATATTCGTGGAGCGTGAACAAACACTTATGTATGTTGTGAGAAACTAGAGGGAAAGTTGATAGGGGCTAAGCGATGAAATCTCTGCCTCTTACTGACTGATAATTGCGATTTGAAACACAGAAAACAAACAATCCAGTAGAGTTCGACCTCAGATCTACTGAGCTCATATAGCTTCCGGCAAGCGCCACACCAATATGGAAATTCGAATAGCTTTACAGCGCTGCTAATTTGAGAAAGCTCATACTCCTCTTCGAAGATCAATTCAAATGTTCAGCCAAGTCTTCACTAGCTGTATGTTTGTGGCGGAGAAAGAAGCTCCCCTAGTCCTGACGATCTTCGTTTCAGGTTGAATTTGTTGGGCAATGCGTGGCTAGTGGCTTAAAGCTTTGGGAAGCCAATCTGATGCGAATTATTATCGCCATCCTGTTTGGCGCAGGGGGATAGGCAAGATAAATCTGGATCAAACCCCCAAAAGTCATCCTTTTTGGTTGTTTCTTGCATTCGGAGGGTAAATCTTTGGTCGCCTGGGTGTATTACGGGGAATCTTTGCTTTGGACGGTTAAAATCAGGCCCTATAATATTGGAATACGGACAATTAGTCTTACAGAAAGCACTGTTTGACTGATTGGCGAAACAGCTCAATTACTCACCTTTCGAGTCTGAGTGCAGCGCTCGTTCGTCATCATCAGCTGATGATGACAATAGACCGTCGAACCCCCAAAAGTAAATTGACATTATGTATGGTAATTGAATCTGAGGTACCAGTTTTGTTAGAGGATTTTTATGTTATGAGGAGGGATGAGATTTGTGGTCTGGACGAGCATGCTTATTTAAATGTTTTGTTTTGCATTAACCGTATATACAACCGGCACAAAGACTAACGAACACATACATAAAGGAGATGTATCATTGGATGGTATAGATGTCCTCCAATCGGAACCCGGATTGACAGAAATCCCTTGCTGCATTGCTCTCGAGGAATCTGCTGCTCGTACGGACAGCCTTGAGAGCCGAAAGTATCGTTGCCTTGTTGAGTCATGTGATACGGGCAGGAATGTGCACGGTTGTTCGGCTGTTGTCCAATGACAAAGGATACGTAAGAGATTGATGAAATGGACCTTAGTTCAGGAAGAGCAAGGAAAATCAAAAAGCAGGATGTCTTGATTATTGAATACAGTAGCTTTAGCCAGGCATATGTACAGTAGAATTCGTATTCATTTTACCCCAAGACGTATATGCTTTGTTTCTCGATCCGTACCCGAAACCACGGGCCACGCTGCATGAAGATTCAGTACTGTATTGCATCGCGGAAGCAATTGTAACAACGAAACCAACCAACTTTCGTAGTAAGTTTGTTGCATCACCTGACATATATTTGCCGTCACCTTTCATCCCACACTTTTTAACCCCTCGCTCACATCCACCTTCGTACCAAGCCATCGATACAAAATGTCGGCATCCCGCTTCAGACCTATTCGACCTCATATGCCAAGTACTACAGCTTCTGTGGTTGACGAATCGGAAAATGACACTGTAAACGGAGTCTTGATAAAGAGACGATCAACCGCTTGCAATGAATGTCAGCGTCGACGAACAAAGGTAAGAAATCTTAAAAAAAGTGCCTTATTTAGCTGCTTGATTTTGACATGTTGAAAATAGTGCATTTCTGGAATCCCGTGCTTAGAGTGTACGAAACGCAACTCTCGTTGTATTTTCGAAGAGAGTTCTGACAAGCGACGCAAGAGCTACGAAAGAAAGATAGAAGAAGAACTGAGATACTACCGAGGTTTCTTGGATGACCTGTTGGGGGCAATACGACATTCTAGTGACGATAACGTCGATCGTATCATCAATATGGTGCGGTCTGGTTCATCAATAAGCGAAATACAGTTCATGGTGAAAGAAGCTCTTTCGGAGGGTGAATCTTCTTTTCTTGCAGCGTGATGAACATGTGCTCGGTGGGATGAGCAATCATGAAGCAGTAAATCATATGTATCGTGCGTGTCACAAGATTAACAGGCCTGGGTGGACTGAAGTTACAATGTACGATTATTTCGCTCACGCGGCGTGAGTTTCAAGTTCCAGGGCTTCGCTAATGGGCCGCGTGGGGGGGGACACAGGGACCATTGAGGGGCCAGATGGGGCCGGGGGCCGGGTCCCACTGACCTACAATTACGGGTGATCCGACCCCTTGCAATCGCTGCCTTCCATATTCCTCACGTCCCTCGTTGTGGAAGTTCAAGGATGTCTTCCGACACTGTGCATTTCTGGCCCGGTGGGGTTCCTGCAGATCTACTCGTCTATCAGGGTCAAGAACAATGGTTTCATGAGGTAGAAGAGGAAATCAAGGGATGGCTTCTTTTTGTCAAGGTTAGCCTGCCGTATCTTTCGAAAAGCTTACTGGCTAAAATAAATCAGGAAAATTGGACCATAAGTCAGGCAGCTGGCACGGGCGATGGTGGCATCGAGTATGCACCAAGTCAACGTCGTAAGCTCATGCTCCAATGGGCCTCCTATTCGCAATCTGTTCGGGAGGTTAGTAGAACACACCTCTCTCACATATGGGTTTTCCTTTCTCTGAGGTCGATTGTTTTGACAATATACCCTATAGGAATATCATAATCGGGCTTTGCCACAAGAAATCACAGATTTATGGTATTCTGGCGATATAACACATCAACTAAAATGCTGTCCAAATGGTGCAATCCTTTGTTTGTCACCAGTAGGGACAGACAATCCGGCCAATCGTGCTCGTTGGATCAAACTCCTCATCCTCATGAATCGGTTTGACCTTGCTTGGGAGAATCCCTTTACAATGCACGAGTCTGATCATCAAATATTTTGCACAGAGAGCATTTCATCCAACCTGCCTGATATAGCATTAGCGTCACGATGGCTGTATCTTGAGAATCCAGCATTTGGCTTTGTCCATATGACACGATCTGGGGAGGTTTTGTTCGATATTGGGGATCTTTTCGTTATCGACCAACATGATCTTCAAAATGGGTTTGTCTCTCTCGTGAAGTATGGAGTCAACGGAGAGCCAGTTCACCAGCTAAAGGTGAGGCCTTGGAATATGCCAGCTGTCATGAGGGAGCTAGGTATGCGTTGTACCATCGATGCTCAGATAGATTCCCTGCGGTCTATGCAGTTCTTGGCCTCTAAAGTAGAGTGAGTTCAAGAGCGTCATTTACCAAGGCTGTTTCCTGACCATCACAGAATCGACATGGATGCTCCCATATTGGAGATCTTGCAAAAAGAGAAGGATGCTCGACCTAACAGTCCGATACACAAGTCAAAAGATCTTGCCCAAGATGTTGAAACTTACGCCCCAGGGTATCTTGATATGGAAAAAGAGGGCCGTGGCGCCGAATACAATCTTGAGGAGTTACTAGAAACTTTTCAAGAAGATGATATACTCCTGATGAAGCCGAATGACTGGCTAAACTCGATGAGGCCGGGTCGAGCTCAATGATCATCGCGCCATTGCAGTGACTATCAAACAGATTAGTAACATCCCCATTTGGCATGCGAATGCTCCTACTTGTAGGTGCAAACAAGTAGTATCATGTTCATTTATTACAACGATTTCCTCTTGTAGACTTCGTAAGCAGCACTTGACTGCATATGACCCCACGGTCAGGGCCAACAACTTCCCGACTTGTCCATGACATCAACCCACCTCCCTGCCCTCCTAGTTCTTCCTTTTGATGCAGTGTGCGTCCCTGTCGATCATTTATGCTTTTCTCCTCCCCCGGACTGTATGCCCTAGTTTATTTTTCTATGTGAGATGTTTACCTGCCGGGGAGATTGGTTGAGGCTTCACGTTCCAGCCCTCGGTCTGGGGCGGAATTTCAAGCCACGGCATTGATTTCCTTGCGACCACATCCACATCATGAGGCGTTGCTTGCTTTTAGGTTACCAACGGTGGAATGCTAGTGCCGAATTTGATTTCAGCAACTTAGGATGAGGGGTGGGGTTGGATGAACGTGAAGGGCTTAGCCTCTTTCGACTCACTGACGAGATTCAACTAAAGATACCTTCTGTTTTTGCGGGCGCTGCGATGGGAACCGTGATTTGGACGCAGTACCTGTGTGGCTGTGAATGCCTCGTACATTGATCCCCCACTTTCAGTACATCCGCCATCATCATCGGCTACTCACCCAGTTTAATCCAGGAAGCAGACCGCGCCCGATCGACATGAATGGTCAGCTGAACAACAGAACGAAATGCTCAGATTTGACAAAGGTTGACCGGAACTGAATTCAGGATTGGAGGATTCGTGTGGTTCCTCATGGTGGTATTTGTTCCCGGATAATAGATCATCGATCTATCCGTTGTAAACCCCGGTCTCACTACGGCGGCTCCCCCTTTGGCAGAAACGCGTTCAGTCTTTTGCCAACAGACCCTTCTACGAGCGCGCTGGAGAACTCAACCACTGGATATGATACATTGAGACTTCAACATCTTATCAGCGAATCACAGTGACTAACCCTCCCACTGGCCGACAGCCCTGTGGTTCATGGGAGTGACTGATAAAGACGCGCCCCGTGGTTTTATGTGACCTGAAGGTCCCAAATGGGGACCGACTAAGCGCGATGCTTTGTAGATGACGGCCCATCTGGCCTTGTGCAATACGTAGATAGTTCTTTCTGTGGGACTGGCCAAAACGGTCTTTTACGGTCTCTTACGGTCTTTATACCGCTCTGCCAGAGGCAAGTTGCTGTACAAAGTGCAGATTGAGCACGACAAGGAAACGGCCCAAGGCTTCCAGAGTGACTCTTGCCGACTTGCCTTTGAACTGTTTGGCTCATACAACATCTGATCGGATTAATATCTGAACAGATAAGCCTTCACACCTCCAATACAGAGGAAAAGCAGAGCACCGGTTGCACTTGTCTTCGACAGCTGCATACCAATCTTCCAGCGTCGAATCAAGTAGAGCCCGGAATCAGTCAGCAACCCTGAGGTCATCCACCTGACCTGCGCTCCTCTGTAGCTCTTTTTTCTTTTTGCTCTTCAACAAAAAGGATTGTATTCGATAAGTTTGAATCGGTGCGTACAGCCCCAATTCAATTTCCCATGGTGGATACGCTACGGATATTCAGTCAACGAAAGCGGTTCCCGGACTCTCCGGTATATATATCACAGACAGAAACATACTATCACTGCTAACTCGGCGCTTCTAGATAACCTTAAGTTTTCGCACTATCACTTCGCGCTTGCGACTGGCTTCTACTAGCTTGTCGATGTATAATAGCGCTCGGAAAAACCCAATATCCTCCACCACGAAGAGGATTGTACCGAACCGATAGAAACTGAGAGGGTGTCTATACGGGTTAAGGACGGTGACCGGCTGCTTGCTTGGCGATTGCAGTGTATCGTGATATAGCTTCCGCGTAAGCCTAAGTCGAGGCTCGGCCACTATATAAACTGTTCGCTACGTTAGTCCGTCTTCCTAAAATGTAATATAAAAATAGGAAGCTAAAAGAAAGCACGAAAGCTAGTCCGAGGTATCTAGAGCTGCACGTACTAGCTAGGGTGAAAATCGCTCGGTTAAGGGGTATCGCAATATTAAGCCAGAGGAAATTGCTCACAGAGTTTATCATTATCTTATTTCGGGGAGGTTTCTAGGGCTTTTGGTCCTATATGGCTATTAAGTATCTAGCGGCGCTAATAAATGGCTATAGGTATATAGCGCCTATTAGGTACCACCGATATAATAACTATCGTTCCACGAGGTGGTAAAAGAGTGCGCTAATCGACGTCGTTACGAGAAGGTAGTGGTATTTTATCGTAAACTGTATATAGCGCCGTCGGACCGCTACGTAGGTCACTAGAATTATAAGAATAAGAGCGTATCCTACCTACACTTTATTAACTATATATAGACCTGTGCAAACCCATTGGCATGCCCATTTGGCAAACCCGCCCATTCATGGGCATGCCCAAACCGCCCATAACCTGCCCATAAGTGGGGCAAAAAGTAATATCATGTGATTTGCATAAAATATGAAGAACTAGGCTCTATTTGGCAGTATTGCTGTTGTATTAGTCCTTCTTGGCAGTTGCTATAGCCAATTTGTTACAATCGCAATGGCCAATTTGGTGCAATCCCCATGGCTAATTTGTTGCAATCCCTATGGCCGATTTGTTGCGATCGCCATGGCCAATTAGTTACAATCGCCTAGTCACATGTAAAAAAAGGGGTAAAATCTCTGTTCGACCCACCTTTTATCAGACTCTGATTGGTTAATTTGTAACTATTGTCAAAAATTTCCTCAACAGCAATCCCCCCTGGTAGCTACCAAAAAGTTTTTATCCTTTCAAAAGATTGAAAATCACTTATTTGCTACCTTTAAAAATATACAAAAATATAGAAAAATAAGAGTAAAATACAATAAATAGCAACATTTATTTTAATCAAAAAGAATTATTAATATCTGAAATTTTAGTATTATCTTAATAATTATTATTACATGCTAAAAGATATACTACCTCTAATTTAGAAATATATATTGTAAGATGGGAATGCTCGCTGGCAGTCTGTCAAGCAGACGGGTCGATCACAAGAGGACAAAACCACCACACTCGTAGAGTGCAGGAGAGAGTAGTAGACAAAGCGGTGCCATACTGAGAAAACAGCATTCAGAGCATTCGAGCCCTTGCTCGAATGCTAGCAATCCGAAATAACGCAAATAACATTGGTGACCCGAAAGGTGGATGGATTGTGTAAGTTAACTATCGTCGAGGGCTTATATACTGCATGAAGGTAAGGCCTAAGGCCTACAACGTCACCTGACATCGCCAGAGCGATTCCCCCACTACAATATATACATATTTGTTAATAACATATATTAGATTTGGTAATCTATTTGGTATTTAGCCTAGTTAAAATGGTTATTCTGGTACAAAAATAGAATACCACTAGTAATATTTAAAAAATCCATAAAATTAATGCAATGTCTTGGATAAATGGGCACCTTTGGGCATGCCCATAAAACCCATGGGACGCCCATTGCACAGGTCTACTGGTAGCTGAAGAAATCCAATGCAGCCTGGCTAAGGTTATAAATATTCGCAGAAACCTGCCGCAATTTGCAAATATCCAAACGAAACTCGAATAAGACGGAAACGGACCGTGACACCACTAATGATCGAAGTTCCCTGCAATCACCTGCCTGACAAACCAGGCCTCTATCTGCGATGAGGCGGCTGTTTTCCTCTGGGATGAATTCCACACCCTAGTGATAACCTCCAGCATTATACGAGCACTTGTCGCTAAAGGTTGATCGAAACGGAGCATTCGGCAAGTTAGAGAATGAAATGCAGATTTTGGGAGAATGTTATCTGCATAGTTTATCGAAATTTCAGATTGATCATCAATGCCTTCATGTTTCTAATTGGCTGCATATCGGATACCTGGGACCTACCAATATAACTCCATTGGGAAAAAATCTAGCGGTTCACACCCTGTCGCCGTTAATCGCACAATCCGCTCCGTCCGAAGACCCCCAACGCCTGGTACGGTGATAGTGCTCTTCAACGTGAATACCATGTTCTCGCGCAAGATGGTTTGGTTCCCTGGACCAATCCACGGCTGCTCCTCCTCCGGATCCATACCTGTCCCATGGCCTGTTCCATGTCCACGTGCCTCGCTGGAGTATTCCTCGTAACCGGACTTTACCAACGCTTTTTGGATCACCTTGTTGAGATCTGAAGCCGTGATGCCTGGCCGTGCAGCCGCCAGACCGGCTTCAACGGCAGAAGCTGCTGCTTTCACAATCGCTATCTTTTCCGCGCTCACATTGCCGTACGTGAATCCTCGTCCCCCATCAGCGACGTATCCGCGATAACGGGCGCCAATGTCAGTCATGACCAATTCGCCAGGCTGAACGATGCGGTCAGTGGGCCGAGCGAGATTGAAAGCCGAGCGAGGACCGGCTTGCACCATGGAGTCATAGCCTGTTCGCTCAGCACCTCCAGCTAGCATGGCGCGATCGGCAATTAAAGCCAGCTCCCGCTCGGTATGTGGCATGCCATCGGCCAATGTATCGCGGATGGCAACCATCGCCATGTCTGTTAGCGCGGAGGCTTTGCGGATTAAATCAACTTCGCGAGGGCTTTTGATTGCCTTAATCTCGGCTAGAACCTGGGTCTCCTCCAGTCTGAGGTCCCCGATCGATGCCCTCACCCTGCGAGCGAGGTCTTCCGGGAAGTAGAAGGCACCAGCTAACCCAAGTGTACCCGTATGAATCAGGGCCGCAAATGCTTGGAGACGCGGTTTCATTTCGTCAAAGCTGTAGACAGGGAATGTGGTGACTTCGGAGGCATAGTCAACGCATTGTTTGGAGACGAATAATGCAGGCTCTTCTTCATCCACACCAAGAAAGAAGATTGCGTTGGCGATATCAGATACTCCATCCAGAGGTCGGAATTCCGTGAAGTAGCAGATGTTGGAGCCGCGCCAGCAATCGCCAAAGGAGATCAGCCCAACTAGCCCATTAGAGTCAATGGCTTTTCGTACTCTTTGAATGCGTTGTTGATACTCCGCAGCCGGGATAGATTCATCAGACAGTATAGGGGTGCCCGTTCCGTTCCTGTGTGGGCTTCCGATCATGTTTGCGTTTTCTGTTTGACAAGGGCCGTGCGATGAAAATGAAAGCAAAGGTTCGAGCTTGAGATGGGATTTATGATGATCTTAAAATCATTATTCAATTATCGAGCCGACTGTTTCATCTCCGCACCGAGCGGAGGAATCAGGGTTGTAATCGAGAATGGCATGTGGATATCAGGTCCTTCAATTCATTCTTCTCCTCAAAAGCCGATTACCCGATGAAGGCGCTTTCGTCTATTTTTTCCCATCTTTGCGTTGCATGTTGATGCCCTAGAGGACCCGGTATGGAGGCGGGGAAGGAATTCTGATTGTGGGAAGAAAAGCCGATGATCTCTTCGCCGAAAAATTCCTTTCCCAGCGATTTGAATTCATGCTATAGCACGATCAGAGGCACCAAATCTCCATGGGTATGTGAGCAACGGTCCACAATCAGCATTGCTGAATTGGAATATGACTCTTCCAGTTGTGTGATACTCATTGTTTGTTAAAGTTCATATCCAAGGTCTGAGTGAAATCCCCTCTGGCCGCTTTGCCCCAATGTGAAACCATGGTATCCAGATAAGTCCAAAGGTAATATTTTCATATTGGCTCAATCTCTATCATGGGCATTAGAATATCATGAGCTGCCCGCATGGCATAGAACGTGATTTTACACAAAAGGTAGAAAGTTATTTCTCCGAGCATTGCCGCCGATAGATAGAGGAGAGAGAATTTGCATCATTGAATATTGAAAGCTATGATACGTAATTAAATGGCATTCTCAGGTCATAGCTATCTCGAGTTATAGCTATCAGAAGTTATAGCAGACTTGATTCACTCTTCACAGCATCCTCATCAATGACAATCACACCCTTACCCTGGTATTTCCCTTGGCGGAGCATGTCGACCACTTTCAGAATCTCCTCAATACCATGGAAAACACTTATACTGACTTTGATGTTATACTTGATGACCATGTTCAACATCTCCTCGGCCTCTTTTGGAGAACAAAGAAATGATCCCTTCACGCGGATGTCTCGAAATATCATATCCTGGAATGGAATACACACTTCGTGTCCCTAGAGTCAGATCGAACTGTCAGCATTCCATCGCTTTCTTCAGCACTCGTAGGAGGAGTCTGGAAACGGATTCTCAGGAATACATACCACGGGAACATGAACAATTATGCCGTGCCTCCTCGTAATGGCGCACGCAGTTGCCACTGCAGCTTTAGCATCGCTGACTGTGATGGTGGCATCGACGCCTCTGCCACCAGTGGCATTGAAAACCTCGCGCATCACCTCCTCCTTCCCTACCCGGGCGTCAAGAACTAGGTCTGCACCAACCTCTCGAGAAAGAGAGATTCCATCGTCTCGAGCGTCCGTCCCAATCACATTTAAACCTTTGGCTTTGGCGAATTGGACACCAAGGTGGCCGAGTCCCCCTCCGGATCCCACGATGGCAAGCCACTGTCCTGGTAGAAGCTCTGTTTGCAGCAGTGCCCTCCAAATGGTGATGCCCGCACAAGCAAGGGGAGCAGCAGTAAGAAACGACATCTTATCCGGGATCCGACACGCTTGTCGTGCATCCACCACGAGGTATTCCTGAAAGGCGCCGTTCCGCTCGGTACTCATCATCGGGCCCTGATGTTCACAGTAATGCTGGTAGTTCTCTGGTCCTTTGCAATCATCACATTCTCCGCAGCGGTCGAATGTCTGCCCAGCCATGATTCGATCACCGATGACAAACCGAGTCACGGCGTCTCCTTTGGCGATCACGACACCAGTGCCTTCGTGGGAGGCGGTGACAGGAAGAGTACAGTCGAGGGTGCCATTCTGGTACTCCAAATCCGAATGACAAAGAGCAGAAACGGCAACCTTTAGAAGGATGTCATGAGGCTTAAGCGTGTCAGGAGTTGGGATCCTTCTTATTTGGTGTGGTTTGTTATACTCGACGATCTGGCATGCTCGCATGGAATCAGGAAGCCCCTTGATCGTTGCATGTCCCCTAACGTGGGCCATTTGGAAGGCTCGTTGTCGTCTTGCTGGTCTAGCTGCACGTCTTGCTCTACCGAACACCTTCTTTTACAGTGCAGAGAGATCAATCGGTAAAATACGAAGAGAGAGTGGTGAATCAACAGTATGTGGAAAGGAAAATCATCTTAGCAGATATTTGCCGATATTATTGTTCGTGTTATCTCACCCCATTGTCTCGGCGCTTGAACCTTGGGATTCATTCCTAATGTCTAGTTCCCCCAGGGAGATCATCACTAGTGATTACTTGGCCTTATCCGGGTTAGGAATTTTGACTTCGACAGCGTGGAGAGTGCAGGGTTAATTTGTCAAACTCCCACGGAGTCGTTCCCAATTTCCCAAACTGGTCAGTCTCTCAGCCCCAGAGATACGGATCTCACTTATCCTGTCGTATCTTGCGTGCCACAACCCATAGTTTGAAGAAGCCCGACGCTTAAGCGGCTAAATTCCATAGATTTGTCGCTACCCATGTGGCGGTTTCGGAGGTTCCCCGCAGTGTTGGAGTTGTTGGAGGCAGCAAGCCTCATGCGTCGTCCCGCTTTGCCAGTTTCGGCGTCCATTCATTGTCCTCTTCTAGATTAACCGGGTTCAGAGAAAGAACATGTCATTTGCCTTTCACGACCCTGATGTTGCATCCGTGCGATGAGTCCTCCCGGGTCTGTGGTCCTGCCTGTGATCTTGCCTATGGTGAGCTAGCATCCCACCCGTTGGGTTCATCAGACTTCACTGCCCAGGTATAACAATGGAACACTCTCGATCATCCCTCGGAGGCATCACTGTATCAATAGAGAATTAAATTCGCCACGAGCGACAGAACCTGACCTGAACTTATTTCATTGTTCAAATGTCCAGGATGTCAACGATGGCTGTTCCATTTGGATTATGGGAAGTTGCTGTCGTCGCCTTCTTCGGCGCCGTGCTTATATGGCCAATCTTCAGCTACTTCCTCGACCCTAAGAAGCTGCGTCGCTTCCCAGCTCCTGGAATCGCTGGGTTTTCGAATATCTGGATGATGTACCATGCATACAGTTTCCGACGACCAATGGCTACCCATGAGGCCCATCAGAAACTTGGTAAAATAGTGCGAGTCGGCCCGAATCACGTCTCCTTCATCGGTCAGCAAGCCGTGAAGGACATCTACGGCCATGGAACGCCAGCCCAGAAGGACAAATTCTACATCTCTTTTACGAGCACACATGAAAGCAGCCTAGATGTGACGAATCGCCAAGCGCACAGCGAGAAGCGCAAACGTCTAGCCGCTGCATTCTCGCTGAACCGAATTGCAGATATGGAGCACTTGGTGGTAGACGATGTCCAAAGGCTCCTTAATCGCTTTGACAGAGCAGCTGCCACCAAAGGGCTGATTAACGTGCGGTGGTATATCAATATGCTCCTATTTGACCTCACCGGACATCTGGTTTTCAGCACATATCTGGGATGTGTGGAGCGCGGGGACGACATGATGGTCGCGCAGAAGTTGGATGGCACCCTCTATCAGACCAAACCGGCAAACGCACTTCGCAATTCGTTGCGTATCGGTTCCACCATGGGATGGATCCCATCACACTTTGGTTTGCTCAAGCGACTCACATGGTGGCATCCTGGTTGGAAAGGTGGCGCAGACTTTTCATCTATTGTGTTGCATATGGTCCGCACCCGGCTCGAGATGGAGAAAGAGGACGGTGAACGGAACGACTTCTTCCATTCCTTGGTCTGGAACAAGGATCACGAGCCCTTGGGCCTGGAGATCGGTGAGATGGTTGCAGAATGTGGCCTTTTGCTAAATGCTGGCTCTGACACAACCACGATTGTCCTCGTCGGCACCATTTATCTTCTGACCAAATGGCCCCGCGTCGGTGAGAGGCTCCGAAAGGAGCTGGATGAAGAATTGGATAGCCAGGATGAAGTCGTCGCCTATGAAAGTGTTAAGAATCTGCCCTACCTGCGGGCTTGCATTGATGAGGCGATGCGCATGCGTCCGCCACTCCGCGGTGGTCTCCCCCGGGTCACGCCTCCGGGGGGGCATGATGGTGGAGGGAGAGTGGATTGCGGGAAACACCACCGTCTCTGTGCCTACCTATTCTCTCCACCATGACCCAGACCTTTTTGAGGATCCGTACACATACAAGCCGGAGCGTTGGCTTGCGGAGGATGCGGCCAACCTGCAGCAAGTGTTCCTTCCTTTCTCTGCCGGTGGACGAGGCTGCAGTATGTTCTCGATTTGCTACACTATTCCTTTACCAGTCCCAAGAAATTTGCTAATAGCTGTTCGAACATTTAGTTGGTCGTAATGTCTCCTATATGGAATTGCTGATCATTATAGGAACACTGATGCGTCGCTATGAATTCGAGTGTGAATCTCCGAGCTTTGAACTGGAAACAAAGGATACGGTCAACGCACATCCTGGCACCATGATGATGCGAATCCATCGGCGATTTCCCCCTGAAGAAGTTACTTCCAAGGTTAGAAAGGATATGTCTGGATTACAGTGAGCCTGAGGGACTATGGCTGGACATCAAGCTTGAAAGTCCGACAGAGGGAGGTTGAAGCCTGAGAGAGAAAGTATTACCCGTCAACGTGCGTCGCACGCCATGGTAGAAGAAGTGGAGATCCCACTCAGATATGCTTATGCACTCAGGATTGATGGAAATGATCAGTTTTCTGGTCGTTATGTTTGAGCTTTGTAGTTATAGCTAAATTTGAATGCCTCTCTTTATGGGGTGGTTGTTTGACTCTTGCCACTGGCCCTTTATACCCATCCTCGCCATCACCACTCCCATTCTTCCATCAATCCTTGAATTAATGACTCCGTGGGCCGTGCACTCTCCATTTCTGTGCGTCGGAGCAATTGGAGTAGCAATTCCTGCTCTGCTCGAGGCCGGTCATGAAACCATGGCCCGCAGGCGATAATCGCTGTGCACGCTGTCAGCTTCACCGCGACAAGGGATGTTACGAAGGCAATTCCACAGACAGCCTCGGCGTTTTGAAGGACTTCATCCGAAATGCTTTTGCGATGTTTTTGGACCCCCAGCCCGATTCGAGGCACAGCTGGATTGTATACCGCGAGGAACAGCTTCGCAATGTAGTAGTATTGCATTCCAGTGACTGTATAGTCAAAAAATAGCGATCAGCAAAGATGAAGTGGATATACAACAGCCAGCATGTATGGAAAAAGGAGAGGAGAAAGCCGAACTTACCATGCCAGGGATGTCCAAGTCGTATTTCTGGGAAATATCTTTTCGCTTCCTCATCTCGATCAATGTACAAAATGGGATCAAACGACTTTGGTCGCGTAAGGTTCCAACGCTCCGTCTTGGCCCGGGCAGCCTCCCAATTGGTAGAGCTTAAGCGATCACCAAAACAGAAACTCGCAATCTCGGCCACTATCCATATCATCCGATTGGCCCATGTACAGTCTGTAGCGGCATTAAATCCCAAATCGAAGGGCAATCGCTCCTCCCACCCGGATAAGTCTACCTTGAGCGGCCTCTGTTTTAACAGAGACATGTAGATATCTTGTCGCACAAAGACCCAGAACGCAGCATGGCCCAAGCCACCCCAGGTGCAAAATTCAAGCTGGGCGTTGGCGAAGACCGATGTACCGGTGAGATGCCGTTCAGGCTCGGCGCCCATCTTCGACTCTGTATGTCTAGTAATTTAGTGGGTCAAAGAGGTAAGATGCTGTCAGTGAGAGAGCTTCGCACCATTGGTCTCCTCGAATGCTCTGAGAATTACCGCTGCCGCGAAGAGAGTTTCGTCCGCAACGAGATCCTTCCGATCCAGCATTGGAATGATTAAAGAGACACATTCATGATGGTAATGGTCAGCAACCGCGGAGTCAAAATTTGAAGTTCGGCTCAAGTGGCGAGCGGAAAATGCCATGAGGGAATACAATAGCACAGGACAGCTAAGAGCAAGTTCCGGCACGTCGACGGCAAAATGGCGCTGGACGTCGGTAATGTCAAGCTGCAGCCCCGAAATAATTAGCATTCCAGATAATCTCCAGCCGGGGAGGTCACCGAATCAAATTTCTTTGTGTGGACTAGGAACAAGGAAGACCTACCAAAGCTGCCAAAGCTTCCATGTAATGATGAAAGAGCAATGCTTCTCGGGAAACCTTAAAAGGCAACTGCATCCTGTCCTCGTAGAGAAGAAGCCCCACTTTGCGATGGAGTGCTTCTGGGCTATTCAACATTTCAGATGAAACATGGGAAAGGCCATCCGTGTGGCTGACCGTAATGGTGCGATCGCTGCCACAGGCCGGCGCAGGGGGATTGCTGGAAATGGAGTGATGTGGAGAGGTTAGATCCATGTAATCCGGGGGCGATGTGGTTGTGGTTACGGGATGCAGATGCAGGCCGGTTCCTCCGAAATTTGGACCCGAAAGCCCGAAGGAACCTTCATGTCTGCTGAAGCTCGAATGGGTTGCGTTGTGAATAACTGCAGAACTGTGAGAAACAGCGAGCGGTAAGTCGTCTCTCTGCGTTTTCAATTGAAAGGGTTCCGTGGTACCGGGCGAGATAGGAGACAGAGGATCTCTGCCAGGAGGTGATGAAGATGAACTTCGCATAACGCAGAGCATGTGCTGATGGCGATATTCTGCAGTTACGATGGGTGTTTCATTGACGAATGTCACTATGAAAAATTCTCGTAGTCAGCATCTATCCAGCCAAGCCAGGTCGCATAGCTGCTCTCACGCTTCGACGGCGTCGCGAGCCACAGGTGGTCTTCTGCAAAGATATTGTCGTTTTCCGGATCTTCCCGAAAATCATCGCCTCTGTCCCCAAGCGTAGCAGCTGTGCTACCATTGCCTCTGAGTTGCCCTCGAGCAGCCACTCTTTGCGCACTTCGAAAGGTCAGCAGGTCATCCGGGATGCACTCCCTTCCGGTTCGTCGGCAACGCCCACAGCGGGGTTTCTCTTCGTCGCATTTGAGGTGCCGTTGACGACAGGTCAAGCTGAACAGACTCCATATCAGACACAGAACCCATATGTAGCGCACAAATGTGCTGGCTATTGTCCTCACCATCCAGTCCGGCCCCTTCTATTCATGAGCTGTGAGCCTGCTGTCGTCGGCATTGGCAGCACACTTGACATCTGACCGTTGAGCATAGCCAAGGGTGAAAGGCCAGGGTGGATCACAAAGGAACAATATGGACGGGTCTATTTGCCAAGAACGATGATGTATTTGTCTTCTGGTGCCGTAGAAAGCGTTAGAAATCATAAAGTGCATGTTCGTCTCTAATTTCCCTTGCGGGCGACAAACCCCCACCGGCCCCGCCCCGGGGATGTGTCCGTCCCCGTGGGGCAAATAATTGGCGGGGCAAATCTGGGGAAAGAACCAGCCTTGGTAACCGGACAAGAAATCCGACCATACGTGTTCTTAGCTGTACACTAGGAGTATGGTACGCAACTCCAACTTCATACGTCTAATTATACGGAACAGTTTTCACAAAGAAAGTTCACATGACAGATATACGAAGGGCCGAATTTCCTTTATCCTAATTACACCTTTTCGTGATGCTCGAAGACCTCAGACTCGAGTTGAGATGGCGAAGTGGATCTGGTCGAAGTTTGTATCGCTCGATGGAACGCTCCTTCAATATCGGTTCGTCGGTCTACAGCGCGGCCAGTGCTAGACAAAACTCCACCAGTAATACCACCCTCCTCAAAGATATGATCGATGTCCTCGAGGCGCATGCCTGCGGTTTCCGGGAAGAAACAATAGACAACGGGCACAATGATACCAGCATTAAGAACCCCAAACAAAACGTATCTAAAGTGTACCCCGTTGAATATAAGCTCTCAAACCAAGGAGTAAAAGAGGACAAAACTCACGTTTTATATCCAATGTTCTGCACACAGTATGGGGTAATTTGGACAACGATAAATTCAATGATCCATGCGCCGGCCGAGGCCACGGCCGCACCTTTGGCACGCAACCGCAACGTTGTGATCTCAGCGGGGTAGATAAAAGGAATCGTGAGCCATCCAAACGCGTAGAAGGTGTTGTAGCCAAATATCATGGTGACCGCCACGATACCAGCAGCAAAGCCACCGTCCCGTACGCAGCCCGCTAATACTGCCATGGTGACTATCTCTCCCGCGCTGGAAAGGAACATTAGCGTCCGGCGCTCGAAATACTTGACCAGGAAAATCTGAATAATCGAAGCCAAAAAGTACTCTGTGGTAATGATTCCAGACATCAGCAGCGACATGTGTCGCGACATGCCGACAGAGCCCGAGAGCACTGTAGGAAGGTAGTATGTGATGACGCAGATTCCACCAAGTTGTTGGAAAGCATCCACGGCGAAGCAGATGCACATCCGGCGGAAATTTTGTAACTTGCCGCCCTGGAAAAGCTCCTTCGTCTTGAAGGGACCACCTGCGGACTCGAGTTCAATGGATTTTACGATCTCCGTGGACAATTCCACCACGCGAGGGTCCTCAGCCGTCACATTCTTTCCGAGCAGTCGCGCAATAATTGCATCTCCTTCGGCATGGCGACCCTTTTGGTGCAGCCAGCGAGGGCTTTCAGGTAGGATTATCGCAAAAACCAAGACATTGAGGATGAATACCATCTGGAAACCGATGGGGAATCTCCATTGCGCGGGCCCAGAAACCTGGGCAAAGCCATAGTCCATCCAATAGGCAACCAGGATGCCAAATATGATCAAACAGCTGTCCACCGCAAGGAGTTTTCCGCGCTCCTTAGCTGTGCTAGTCTCGGCCTGCCACACCGGAACAGTCGACGTGTTAGCTCCGTTGCCCTGCTGCAGAGATTAATCTCAATTCCGAGGCGTCATGAGCATTCTCGCACTTACAATTCCGGTAATGATTCTTGCGGCGTACATCATTCCGCGGTTGCAGGCAGCAGTTTGTAGAATCGCGCCAATAAGCATAATGCTGGTCGCATAGACGATCGATTTCTTCCTACCCAGATAATCGCCGATGAAGAAGATGCCGATAGACCCAGCCACATTTCCCAATTGATAAACAGAGACAATTAGTCCCTGGGTGTTGGCATCGGGATGGTTGAAGTCCTGGCCGAACTGGTTATCGGCACCAATGATCCCCGACAATACTCCCTGGTCGTAGCCAAAGAGCATCATACTCGTCGAACACGTTAAGGTAATGAGAATAACCAGGGTTCTCCCCGTGATATAGTTGAAGTCGAACATGATGGAGTTTCTTTGAGACATTAACTAGATATACCAATCCAAGTTGGAGAGATGCTGTTCGTTCCACTTAGTGACAGAAATTCCAATTCCCTTTGGAAGGAGAATGAGGGTCGATGGGATGGGATTGAGCCCGCAGATATAGATTCAATAATATGCTGATCAAGAATGATTTGCCGATGTGTGCATGCAGCTCTTCGTGTCCATGACTAGCTCAAACCCGGGGTTTGACCCCGGATGGCCACAAAGTTTATTAGACGAAGTTTTGACATGGCTATTTTTCCATGGCTTGAGACGAGGGCACCCAGCAAGGCGTCGCGTAACCTGACTAGATGAAAATCCTCAACGGAGTCGTGGCGGCAAAACCTTGTTTAGAATCTGGTCAATGCTTAATCCGAACCACTTGAACACGGGGACAAGCACACACGGGTCGCCATTGATTGAAGCGGGGTAGCAATAACCGTTTAACCGGCCTTCACTCTACCGACGGTCGAGAACGTCGATGTCAAATCTTTGACGGTCTTCAGGGGAACGGCACGTACTGCCGAGACAGGAAATAACTATCGACCTCGGAACAGATCATTCCTTTCCCCGCATTCCCCCGGACGTTCGCCCGAGCGCGCTCTCCGCAGTTGAATTTGAAGTATGTTTTTTGTACATTTGATACAGCTGGCGATGGTAGATTTCCATCATAGTCCCACCGCATGGCATGAACCTGATGGATAGAGGGGGAGTACTAAGAAACACTAGAAATTTTTGAATGTCCTATACGCCCTCCCCCCTTATTTAATCAAAACATTGTAGTCCTTCCTCTCTATTGTATCCTTCACTCTTGTTTTATTTGAGCTAACCAGGTCAACACCATGGAAGTGACCACGCAGCTTCTTATTATTCCAGACGTCCTCTTCCAAGGCTTGTCCGAGACGTGCCTTCGGATGCGTGTCGGTGACTGGTTGGTGCTTCTTTTTCTCTTGATAGCCTCCGCAATCTACATCGGAGATGGAAAGCTGTGGTTCAAACCAGATACTCATACATGTCTCATGTATGTTGCGCCGCAAAAATCGGGCGAACTGAACGTACCACTAAAGCGGACCCGCGATATCGGGCAGAGGTTGCAGGAAACGGTAAGAGTTTTAACAATGCTCAAAATGCTGCCGATCTGACGTTCTGACTAGGGAACGGATATTGCCATCTTCTGGGCCTCACAATCGGGGGTCTCGGAACGTTTTGCCGAGAGGTTATCTCGGGAATGGCGGTCTCGTTATGCTCTTAAAACCCTTGTCTCGGACTTGGGTGACTATGACCCTGAGTACCTGGCGATGTTTCCCAGGGACAAACTTGCCGTCTTTCTCATGTCTACGTACGGCGAAGGAGATCCGCCAGACAACGCAGTTAGTTTCTGCAGTGGGCTCGAGAAGATGCACAAGAAAGGAGCTAGGCTAGAAACTCTTCGGTACTGCGCCATGGGGATGGGAAACACGAACTATAAGTACTATAATCAGGCGATCAAGGTCGGTCATCCAAATTTGAATCCGATCACACCGGAACTAAAGTAACTGATCATCTCCCAGACCTTGGATAAAGCTCTACTGGATATTGGAGCCCATCGAATTGGCATGATCGGACTTGCAGATGAAAGCCTCGGGACAACAGAGGATAGTTTTATGGAATGGAAAGATGACATTCTGGAGAGCCTGAGCGACATAATCACATTGCAGGAACATCAAGTCACCTACGAGCCTAGTATCAGTATAAGGAATACCAGCGTCGATTCTAGTCTCATCTACCTAGGGGAGCGAAGTGAGAAGGAGCTTCGTGGCATCAAGGATAAAGTTGCCTACAATCGTCACAATCCGTACTCTGCGTCTATTGTGCAGAGCATACAGCTGTCCGCCTTGACTGACCGCGTCTGCGTCCACCTGGAGTTTGACCTCTCCGCGGTCCCGGCGTTGCGTTATCAGACAGGAGATCATTTGGCGGTTTGGCCGATCAATCCTGATAGCGAGGTAAATCGACTGTTGCGCCTCTTGGATCTTGATGATGAACAGCAACGCAAACAACCGATCATGCTATCTGTCCGGGGAGAGTCGTCGAGCCAACGTGACCTCCCTTCACCAACCACGCGAGAAGCACTGCTCAAATACTACCTCGAAATTGGTGCTTTGGTCTCTCGCGAATTTATTCTTATTCTCTCACAATTTGCGCCTACCAACGTGGCGAAAGCCACCCTTTTGCGCCTGGGAAATTCCAAGGACGATTTCCGAAGAGAAGTTGCTGCTCATTTTTTATCTGTCGGTAAGGTCATGGAAAAGATCGAACCGAACACAAAATGGACGGCAGTTCCTTTCTCTCTTTTGGTCGAGAGCTTCAACCGTATTCAGCCGCGCAGCTACTCCATATCCAGCTCGCCACTGAAACAACCACGACGACCGTCAATCACTCTGGTTGTTAACAAGCGACATATACCGACAATACCGTCAGTTGGAGACAATATGTTCTTTGGCCTCGCCACTAACTACCTTCTGGCTCACCACCACAGGTGCAGCGTGAGCGGCTCCACAGGAGATCCACTAGACGGTCCGCCATACGATCTCCAAGGACCGCGGAAGAAACTCGGCGGCGGGAAGGTCTATATCCATGTTAAACGTTCAAATTTCAAGTTGCCTTCCAATTTAGCAACTCCAGTCATCATGGTAGCGGCCGGCACCGGTATTGCTCCGTTCCGTGGCTTTATTCAGGAACGCAGTCGCCTTGCGGAGCTGGGAAATGCGGTAGGTAAAATGATTCTTTTCTTTGGTTGTCGTGACGATACCAGAGACTATCTTTATCGAGAGGAGTGGCAGGAACATGAAGCCCGTTTTGGAGACTGGTTCAAGATAGTTCCTGCATTCTCACGATTACAGGGTCAACGAAAGCGTTACGTTCAAGACATACTTCTCGAGCAGAGGGATATTGTACTTCCCCTTCTCCTTGATCAAGGTGCAGCGTTCTACATTTGCGGCTCAGTGACTATGGCATCAGAAGTCAGAAAACGGCTGGTAGAGATGATAGCCAGAGCCAAAATGCAAAGCTCAGAGGAAGCCGATGCAATGATCAATCGAAAGATGAAAAAGGCTGGCCTTTACCATGAAGATGTATGGAGCTAAGGATGATAGCAACTGTAATGGTCGGAATTTGAATTACACCAATATGCGGAGCCACCAGGAGTTCCATTTCTAGGAAGACTTGGCTTTGACAGGCCCATAGGCGGGGCTTGGGCTCGGACGTGAGCCTAGACATTGACCTAGGACTGCCATAGGACGAGGGTCTTTCCCATATCCCTCCTATAGAAAATTCTATATAGGAAGAGTTCGTCCTTTCCCACTAAGAAATTATATAGATCATGTATATTTAAAAGCTCTTAAGGGTGGTTGTCATCAGTCGCATCAGTTCTTTGGGCCTATAGAAGTAAAGATGAAAGGTGGTTATAGAAAGTGGACCATGGAACCTAAAACATATGTTTGTGGAGAGTACAACACGATTATATTTTTTCCTTTAATTTTATTGTGGATAATGTTAGGCTGTCGGGGCTTGTTTCATCATTTAATTCAATTCTTCTGTCTTCTTTTAAGCTATATTGAATTTAAGTCTTTTCACAGTCTGAGGATGATCCAAGTTATCGACGCAGAACTGGCTATACAAGACCGCGGCCGAATATAGACCAACCAGCGTGAGTTTCCCTTGCCCCAGCTTGGCTAGAGGCTAGATAGAGTTTTTTTTAGTCTTTTTGTAGTATAATTTGGGCAATATAATCCGTGAACGCACTATTCATTGCAACCAAAGAGGAACGAAATGCATCAATGTCTTCGGGACGGGTCTTCTTTGTGTATTTTGGGCGTAGGATGTTTACGTCCGACGGACTGGCAATTGCAATTGTGTCCATTATACTGAATATTTGGACACTTCAAGGATGGGGCTTTGTATCGGTTACTTATGGCGGTTCAGATCTATGAGTGGCGGAAATACGGAGTATATACATAGTATGCACGGAAATAGTATACACGGAAGATATTTCCGCCCATGGACCGCGCGGTAGGAAAACCTTTCTCCTTGAACGTTTGTTGCTCCTTATCGGCCGATACTACGGACCCCATATCAAGCTCATTGGCCTAATCTCCAAACAAGTGTGGAGGCGGGGTCGGTGGAGTTGAGGATTGAACATGGGCGACGGAGGGCTGGAAAACGCTTCCTGCTCCACCCGCGGTCTGTTGAATTTATTCGAAAGTTGTAAGCGCAAGTGGCCGAGGGAAACTGTAAAGTGCGCCAGTTTCGAAAGAATCCTACACCACCACCAATGCCTCAATTCTTGATAACATATACTGTACTATTATTAAACTGGACTTTGTCTTAGCGGTGTTAGCCTACCTGCAACATATCGAGGGCGTGGTGAGACGTAGATGCACTGAGTTGCCTGATAAAACATGTAACGAGCGCGATAAAGACCGATACGACTGATCATAATACGAGAGAAACATTACCGTTAGGAGCAACCGTCAAATAATGAATATTTCTTCCAAGACTGTCACCGTCGTGGATTAATACAGGATACACGTGCCCAGTGTCTTCGCCCTCCTCCAATGATTCTGTCGCCCCCAATGCCTCTTGTGGGCATAATTCAGCCTTTGACTGCAAAAGCATAGGCCCTAGTGTATCAAGAGGTTGTGATGGTGAAGGTGAAGAGGAAGATCCGACATAGTGCATTGAACTCATCGTCAAACTCACACCACCGGCCCCTAATTTATGACATAACCACCGTCAACAACCATCGCATGCCCCTGAACAAAGGATGCTTTTGTCGAGCACAGAAACAAAATAGAATCCGCAATCTCTGCTGGCAAACCATAACGATGCATGGGCGCAATACTAGCAGCCGGGCCCATGCGATCGTCTAATTCTTGAGTTCCCGATGTCATTGCCGTCTTAATCAGACCCGGACAGACTGCATTGACTCGAATGTAATCTTTGGAGTAGTCGATAGCGTCTCCCCTCGTCATTCCGATGACTGCTGACTTTGAAGCACAGTATGCGGCTACATGTAGATCAGCTTGGTCCATTGTTACGTATATTTGAGGTAGAATGTCAGATTTTCGTACCAGCTTGAGGCCTACCCACAAGGCCGAGCTGACTAGCCACATTGACAATTGAGCCTCTTTGAGGCTGTCGGTCTCGATCATGACTAGCGAGAGGCTCTTGCTTAAGCATCCCTGCAAGCTCTGCTCTGGAGGAAAGCCAGCATCCTCGGTAATTGACATCATTGACAGTATCAAATTCTGACAGCTGCATTTCAGTTGATCGAATATCGGGGCCGAGAACCCCTGCGCTGTTTACTGCGTAGTCGATTCTTCCGAATTTGTCTGCTACAGCTTTGAAAAAGGAATCGACGAACTTCGGGGCTGTGATATCTCCCGGAACAGCTAGCACCTGGATATGGGATGACGCATCCTTGAGGTCTTTTTCTGTCTGGGATAAGAGATCAGGATTGAGGTCAGTTATAGCAATCCTTGTACAACCCTCTCGTGCGAAGGCGCGTGCCGTATGAGCACCAATGCCTTTTTTTGAATTAGCAAAAATGACCCAGGAAGGCGAGATATCTCGAAATGGTACTTCATGTGACTTACCAGTTCCGCCGGCGCCAGTCAACACTGCGACGCCGGGAAACAATGTTCTTGCAAGCATTTTCATGTATTGCGGATCTGTACAGTCACTTTTCCATAGTAAACTTCAATGCCGAGGCTTCGGAGAAACGACAAAGTTAGTCGACTGAAATTGAACTCTATATAGCTACAGTGCACCATTCTATATTCGACCTTTTCGGATCTTGCCTGTTGAGCATCGACTAATCAAGCACGATCAATAACTAACATGGCGATAACGTGGAGTTACTTTCCGAAAATCCGATCTCCAACACTCCCAATCGGGCTAGGGGAGTTGGGGTAGTATGCCGTAGTTGGGGTATCAATACCCCCAGATCCACTTCGGTATATCCGTTAATTGTCCATCATAGGGCATAATCCCGTTGTTATCTGAAAGGGGGATTTGGAGATACTCCGCTACTGCGGAGTTCAAATCTTTGCGTCGATTTGGATCAGTGGAGTACTAAGCCACTCGCCATTTCCCCATTCTGCTCTTTCGCAGTCTCTTGCTAATGTTAGCGATATTTCCTTGGAGTTTAATTTTTCTTGCTTGGTATTCATAATGGCAACCTCATACGACTTTGCAGGTCAGGTGATTTTAATAACGGGCGCCGCAAATGGGATTGGGTAAACAACATCGTTCGTCATCTCAGAGAGAAGAGCAAATCACTAATTTTTTTCAAGATTGGCAACAGCAAAGGCATTATTATCCAGCAATGCCAAGCTAGCGCTTTGCGATATTAACACCAAACCCCTGCAATCTCTCGATGTCAATGAAGATAGATGCCGAATATACGAGCTCGACGTGACATCTTCTTCCCGAATAACAGAAACAATCTCTTCCGTTGTCCAAGACTTCGGTCGCATCAGCCATCTCTTCAACTGCGCCGGAGTAAACCCCAAAGAGTACCAGCTGACCGACACCACGGATGATTATTGGAGCAAGATTATGGACACGAATGTCAAGGGCACCTACTTAATGACCCGGGCCGTCATACCCCATATTCAAGCCAGATCATCAATCGTCAACGTCTCATCGATCGCGGGCTCCCGTGCTATGGCGCGCTGGGCAATATACAATACTTCCAAATTCGGGATCGTTGGTTTTTCCAAGTCTATGGCTCTGGAGCTTGGTCCCAAGCAGATTCGCGTGAATGTGGTGGCTCCGGGGTTTATTCATACGTCAACGAATATTGCGGTGACGACGAGTGAGGACGCTATTAAGGATATTAGCGAGAGGATGTGCGCGATGGGAAGATTCGGCACGGCGGAAGAGGTGGCTGACGTGGTTCTGTTTCTCATGAGTGATGCTGCGAGATACGTGAATGGGAGCGTGGTGGATGTTGATGGTGGAGCGAAGTAGACAAGACGTATTGGGAATACGAGACTGACTTACAAATGTAGAAACCTAGAACAAGTGAAGACTGTGCATTGCTAGATTCAAGACGGTGGCTTCATTTCTGATTTCCAAGTATCGACCCTACCCTGTTGCTAGTAAAGCTTTCTTGCGTGTAGACTGACTGGGCCCTTCTGGGCTTCTGGGCCTTGGGAAATAGTTCAACCGAAGGAGGCACTTGTCACTGAGACTGAATTACCTCACTAGTGATTGGATTGATGTATACTCCAAAAGCCCAGAGTTGGAGGTGCTCACAGATATAAGATATCGCTAATCAAACCATACTCAAACCTTCCCTGTATCTGGGTTTTAACTTATGCTAAGCCGAAACGTGCTAGTTTCGTCTTATCAGTGGAAACTGCTTCCTCAAAATACCCGGGAAGGCTGATAAGACATGTCTCGGCCGAATAAATGAACTGGCGCAACCTAATTAGAACCCCGGATTGGGAAAAGTTCGAATTGGATCCGTAGTCATCAGCTTTCGGGCCTGATACAAAGTATGATAAGCCTATTCCCGGGAACCTGCTTGGGCCATTGGGCCCATAGATTGTAGAGGTGTATGTTCTATCCTTCAGTCGGATCACATATATAGCCAGTCTCTTGTAATAATCACCGTTGGCTTTTTTAATAACACCACAGCGTTTTTGTCTGAAAGAATAACCCTAAGCTCTGAGAAATGGGTAACATTGATATTGTACCGGCTAGAGAATCAGCCGACCCTACGGTCGAGAAGGTCAATGAGGATGATTTCGAAGTTTTTCAAAGGGGCGAAGGACATGTCGACTTTCGTACCGTTGGATGGCTGAAGGCTGCTGTCATCTTCACCAAAAGTAAGTTGCGTCTTATTATAGTTGCGTTTATCCTTACTAACTCTGGCCTATAGTCATCTTTGCAACCGGTGTTCTGGCAATTCCATCCTCAATGTATATTGTCGGCGCCGTGCCTGGTGCAATCATCGTTGTTTTCTTCTGCGTGTTGAACACGTATTGTGGTTATATTCTTGGAAATTTCAGGAATTCCCATGCTGGTTGTCATTCAGTGGCAGACATGGCAGGAATTGTTGGCGGGCCTATGCTGAAAGAATTGTGTGGTGGGCTTTTTGTGTTGACTTGGGTTATTTGCTCTGCTTCTGGAATTGTTGGTGCATCAACCGGACTGAATGCTCTCTCTGATCATTCACTTTGCACCAACTGGTTCTCTTTCATTGTCATGCTTATCGTGGCTATCTTTGCCAGCGCTCGCAAGTTTGAGACTATTGGCTGGCTGACGTGGGCTGGATTTTTAAGCGTTTTCATCGCTGTATTCATTATTGTGTGAGTTGCCAGTAGCCCTAGAAGTTTGTGACTCACCGACTAATTTTCTCTCAGCATAAGTGTGGGTGTTATTTCTAGGCCAGCTGCCGCTCCTCAAACAGGGCCATTTGACCTCGGATTCCATATCGTCGCCAACCCAGCCTTTGCACCTGCAATTACTGCAGTGCTAACGATGTTTACCGCCAGTGCAGGAACATCCGCCTTCCTGCCAGTCGTTTCAGAAATGCGCCGCCCAAAAGACTACAACAAGGCACTTTACCTATCTATGGGCGTTGTCACGGCCACGTACTTGACCTTCAGCGTGGTTATCTATTACTACTGTGGAAAATGGGTAGCATCCCCGTCGCTCGGTAGCGCCGGTCCAGTTATCAAGAAAGTCGCGTACGGGATTGGGTTCCTAGGGCTGATTGTCACAGCTTGCCTGTGGATTCATGTTTCCGCAAAATACGTCTTCGTACGGATTCTCCGGAACAGTCGTCACCTTCAAAGCAACACTTTTGTGCATTTTAGTACATGGCTTTCATGCACATTTGGACTCAGCGTCATCAGTTTTGTCATTGCGGCAGGCGTCCCTATCTTCAACTACATTCTTAGTCTGGCTGGTAGTGTCGGGTTCGCACCACTCGGGATCATGCTGCCAGCTTACCTATGGATGTACGAACACAAGGACTATCGGTCGGGGACGCTTTTTAAGCAAACAGTATACTGGCTGCATGTCTTGATCCTATGTAGTGGTGCTTTTCTGACAGTTGGAGGATTTTATGGGGTGATCAAATCCATCTTGGACGCCTACAAGAATGGTGAAATTGGTTCGGCTTTCTCGTGTGCGGACAATAGTAGTTAGTGATCTTGCCTATATCTGCATGCAATGCCGAGGCTGAAATCTAGCTTGGCTCCCTAAACTTACAAGTACAAAGAGAATAGGGTACAGCACTTGATGAATAACCTTGCCCTTAGTGGTGAACACCATCTTTGAGTTGGCCAATATCTTCAACGCCCCATTTTGTGCTGAATCTACTAGTATTTACGTAATCTCAGGAATGGGATATATATAATCTCTTTTAAGACTCGATATATCTGCAGCTATTGCCTGAGCCATTTTGGCGCAGGCTATAGGCAGGCCTTACGGTCTTTGTTTAGGAATGATCTCACGATCGCACAATGCGGCTGTAGAGATGTGCAGAGTGCAGAGTGCAATGATTCAAGATTTCCAATCTAAAAATTTGCTTCGTAAGATTGAGATTACGCCCTTCTGCTACTACGACCCTGCCTTTTGGTGTTTCTCCCACCAGATTCTGCATTTCTCGTCCCTCGACATGTTCCCGTCTCGTACATCTGTACTCGAACTAGTTCGGGGGCCGCTTTCTCGCCTAATATTGGCTACGTGTGGTGGACGGGAGCTATGTAATATATGATATTCGATGGCCCGGAAAACCCCCCATACGATTAACTTCTATATTGACCGAGTAACCGAAAGTATGAGCATGACGAGCTCATCAAATAGGGCGGCGTACTTGGGCGGGCGAAAAAGGTCGCTTTACGGCCAAACTGGAACTTGGTGTAGATCCTGTGGTTGGCGTGGTCTTTGGTGTAGTCCTCCACGGTTTCTTCGGAAAAGGTAAGGACAACATCATATGGCCAAACAGGTCGGGCATAGACGGCCTCTTTAGTGGAGCTTCCTTAGGCTTCTCGGAGAGAGACTTCCCCATAGCTTCGAAAGCGGGGAAGCTATGTGGGTCACAAGCCATTATGGTAGACTTTACGGAATCCCGCTCGTTTTTAGTAGGCGATATGCTGGGAGAGGTGTAGAATGAGAGAAAAAGCGATATCACTGTGATATAAAAGTAATAAAAGTGATATCGAGGTGATATGAAAATTATGTGAAAGTGATAGGTAAAAGGGTAAAGGCTGGTTAAAATATATTACGTACGGGGTTGATAAGGATTGGTAAGAAAGAATAATTAGCGTTGGTAAAGGGGAAGAGATGTAAACAAACTGCCGTAGGCCTCGTATTCTTAAAGAGATCGCCTAGTTTGGCGAGCTTCGAACTCCTAGAGGAGTTCTTCGGAGCCTGTAGCAGCGTCTGCAGTGATCAATTGATCTCCTTTGGCGGACTGCCCCGTATGGAATACCAAGTGATAATCTTACGAGTGTCTTTGGCAACCAAATTCCTTAGTATTGGAACCTACGGGTACTGTCACAGCAGTTTGTATCTCCTTGTATCGATCTAGCTGAATGTTTTGAGGAATCTCAAAGATCGTCTTTTTCTAAATAAGCCTTCTCTGCCTTCTCAGAGACCTCCACAAAGGCCTAGACCATCAAACATTCCCCTAGAATCTATGCCCCAGAATTACGGCGCAAAAGGCGAATACAAACTGCAGTAGAATCACCTGCCTAGCTAGCTCGTAGGCATGTAGCAATGCAATCCACAACTTCCATTGCTAACGTAGCAGTGGACAAGAGGATTTCCGCAGCAACCATAATAAAGATTTCACGGTTTCTGTCACAATAACGGGCACATGGCCAATTATATCACATGCCAAGCTAGTTACTAGGCAATGTATCCTCTTTCATCATCCCAAATACACACCATTTCAATTTACTCCCAATATAAAGCTTTCGATGAACACTATTGGACAACTGTATCGTATTCGGCCATTCCTAACGTCACCCGAGTCTACCGCGCGAACTTCTTTCCCTCCTTCACTTTTCAAATACAGCCACGGCCCTAATAGGACTTCCACTAGCGCCCATGAGCTTTAACGGGAAACCAATAAATCGAAATCTTCCACGCCCAAGAAGAGATTGTAGATTGTCGAGTCCCTCAATATGGGTAATGCCTCTCTCCCCACAGATATTGTGCGCGATGAAGTTCAATTCACCTTCAGGTGCAGGCGAAACAGCCTCAACGCCAAAGATTTTGCAACCTCTGTCAGCAAGCCAATGCACTGATTCTGGCGCTAGGCCGGGGAAATCATGCTGCCATCGGGGGTCCTCCGGGGAGACCCTTTCGTTGTATCTGATAGGGAAAAGGTTAGTAGATGGTTTTCAAGTTACTATCCTTGTACACTCACGCCATATACAGTAATACTGTGTCATCTTGCTTTATCTCTTGTTTAGAAGTAAGGAGGGCGGACTCCATTTCCTCAACGCCAATAGATGCGCCGAGCTCCGCATGGCTGAGATCTAGGCAAATTCCCTCGGTATAAAACTCGTTCAAGGGCATTTGATCCACAGAAAGGGCACCAGGAGTTGGGTCAAAATGTTTTGGAGCATCAACATGCGTGCCGGAATGATCAGACATTGAGATGTAATAGGAAGCGGTGCGGAAAGTGGTATTGCCCGCAACCATCGGCTGGTGTGTGTCCCATTGAGTCATGACAAAAGGTGGGTGGAAGGGATGACATAGTGCCCGGTGTTGAAGAGGGCGTGAAAGGTCGACTATTGTTGGTTTGAGCGCGGCCGTGGAAACATACCGAGGAAATTGAGCAGGAAACAGAGATACCATGCCAGAATTCGACCGTGGCCACAGCCGGAGAGCGTGGCGAGGAAAGGCTCGTGGTGGCATTCCTATGTAAAAAAGAAGATGGAACAAAGAGAGAATGCTACAGTAGAAAGAGGTTGCAAAGGATGACTGTCGAAATAGGGTGATGTTTAAATCCCCGATGCGAGTGAGCTTAAGGGGCAAGTGATGCAGTGTAGAAAGATAACGGACAGGTCTATAAAAAACCTTTACCTAATAACTAAGGGGCTTCGTGCAAACCATTAATGTCGCCCCGATGATCTTGGAACCCCCAAATCTCCAAATGTGGGATAGCGCGAAGGGTTGCTCTTTCAATGCTTTCTATTCGCCAGGTACTTGTTATGTCTGCTCCTATAGGCAGTTTGGAGAGAATTCTTTTCGGATTTAAGATAGACGGGCAGAAGTGTGTATACTTAGAACGTAGTTGGTGCAATATGTTGAGGATATTTCAAGATCCACAGCACCTACATGTAATCTTTTTGCCGGAAAGATTTTCCAACATAATGTAACTCATATCGGCCGACAAAGATAAGGTAAAAGCATGCATGGTGTAAGAATCACTATCGCTCTATTGGCGATATCTTATCAGCGGTCTCCAATTCTTGAATTTCATCAATGGGGTATGTGGGGTATGTGGGTATGTGGGGTAAGTCTTTTCCGGCGTTGTTTGTCTGTGAAGTCGGCCAATTCCCGAACTGTTGGAGACAACATTTCCAGATTGGGTGTAGCGCATTAGTGAACCTGAATTATCCATAACTATTAGCTAGTAACTAGTTAGTTATAAGAGTGAGCATTTCGAATTGGTCACTAATAGCTTTGTCACGCAGGTTTCCATACTCTAAAATCATCACCGCAAAGCGCCTTAACAATCTCCCGACTCGTTTCTTCTCAAGGAATTGGGATGTATCGGACCACAGCGAACCTGTTGCTAGGTGTCCGAAACCTAGTCAAACATTCTTCGTTACAACAATGTCGACGACTAGGAACTATGCCATCAAAGAGTAAAAGGTCCCATAAGGTATTGCTAAATGTTGACATGGGCGAGGCCGTAAGTTTTGTTCCGGTTTTCTTTGATTCATTGGCTAAATTTTGATAAATCAGTATGGAAATTATTCTTCTGGTCCGGACCTCGATATTCTGCCAATGATCGACATTGCGAACATAGCATGTGGATTTCATGGGTAAATGCAATTGTATCGGAGATCTAACGTAAGGCTAACAAATCATAGAGGTGATCCCATTGTTATGACTGAGACGGTGCGAAATTGCAAGAATCATAAAGTCCGGTGTGGTGCTCATCCAGGTCTGCCAGATATTCAAGGCTTTGGTCGTCGCGAGATGAAGCTGTCCCTCGAGGAATTTACGGCAATTACCGTGTATCAGGTTGGCGCACTTAAAGGATTTCTTGATCGGGAAAACATCCCCTTGAACCACGTCAAGCCCCATGGCGTACTATACGGGATGATGTGTCGTGACTATGAGATTGCGAAGGCTGTCATGAAGGGTATTCCAGATGGTGTTCCGATCATTGGTCTTCCTAATACGAAAATGGAGCATGCGGCGAATGATTTAGGCATTCCTTTCATGGCGGAACTATACGGCGATGTGAAGTACACTAAGGATGGGTATCTGAAGCTTGACCGCAAAAAGCAACCATGGAATATTGAAGACGTGAGGACACATGTCACTCAACAGCTTAACGAGGAAGGGGTAACTTCGGTTGACGGCAACTTTGTGCCATTGCCCGTGAAGGACTACCCTGTTACCATCTGCTGCCATTCAGACTCCCCGGGCTGCTTGGATATTATCAGGACAACAAAAGAGGTCATTAATGAATATAACAGGTGATCTGGAACAGTAGTTTTAACAGCTTAAACATTTATCTTTACTGCCATAGCCCAACATGAAGCTATTCCGATTTCTGTTGTAGGAAAATAGTGGGAAATCGGTACCCGCACAGAGAGGTGTGTTTTTTACGATCCTCTCTTCTGGTATGAACTCAATGTGGTGTCTTTGCTATGTTACTTTTCTATACCCTCATTTAAAAACTATACATGCCAACCTTAGAAGATTGATCCATCCCCTTGTCTCCCGTATATCGTGCATACTTAGCCTAGTTCACCTTCTAGATCTCTGCCCCAGCGAAAGGGCGTCACCACCCCTCAGCTTAGTTGTGAGCTCCGTCGCAAGTGCAAGGTCAGGTGCGGCAAGATCAACCCATGTAGCAACTGTGCCTCTATTGGAACTGCCTGTATTCCCACATATCGGACACTAATTCCCCGGGGCCGACATGCCAATCGTCGAGTGTCTTCACCTCTTCCGCCCACAACAAGTTCAGGGGAGACCAGATGGATGACTCAGCCTAACATCCCAGTGAATGAAGATCTTCAGGCGCGGAAACATCGACTGAAAGTCCTCCTGGACACCATCAGCGGGTTTGTGGGGAGCGGGCAAGGCAGCAATTACCTCATGCTGGCCATGACAACGGTCATTCGGTCCATCTATCCGATATAACAACGTTCCTATCAGCTGTAATGCGTACGGCGCTTGGTAAGTGCAAGTGGGACAGTATAGGTTCTAATAGATTTAGGGGGTGGTTATGCTGGCAGAAAAACGTACTGCCTATCACACCTGTGTCTCAAAATTACTAGCATTCCCTATATAAACTTGGACCTAACTTATACGCCTAAGTCCCTACGGTAGTAACGCCGTCTCTTTAAGTTTTCCGCTCCCTACTATATCTCTGATTACTACTACTTCTGCTACTTGAACGCCTTCAATCTACTACTTGTAGTTATTACCTACTATTATACGCTATTATATCTATTACTGACTAATTTAACTGATTCCTAGGCCTTATATACGTTACTTATAATACCTTTAGCTGTGATACCTTCCCTCTCTATAACAATCTCTGTGATAGCCGCTATCCACAATTCTGTAAAGGCCTATATCGTTACACTCTTTAATAACCTTCCCTGTGTTACCGAAGGGGCTGCTTGACTTAATTAAGTTCGAAAATAAGCACTGGCGTCTAACTTAGAGAAATATATATTAGAAATTAAGATATATATATATCACGTATAGTTATATACTGTTGAGACAAAAATACAATCGCACAGAGCCAAGCTGTGCGTGAGCACTTTTTAGTCGAATAGCGTAAAATGAACCATTTTCTGTCGCGAAATATACTTCTTAGAATACCGGTATCAATCAATTTTGTAAGGGCAGAAGAGGTTTTTAGGCAGCAGGCAGGGTAGGAGGGCGGGGCAGGGCAGCGAGGTTACAGCACCAAGAGGCTTAGTACACGAGCCGGGCCCAAATTTGTATAGGGGTCACTAGTAATCTTAAGACGCGGGTATAACAGGCAGCCTCAAGGGCGGTCAGCCCAAATACCCCCGGGGACATTTGCACTTACCAAGCGCCGTAGACGCATCCTCCCGGGCTTTACGAGCAAAAGGCCCTCGGGAAGAAGCGTCCGTGTTTTATTAATCTCACCACCTAATGGACTGTGTTGTAGGCAACTCGCATGTTTCAGTATTCTTCTAGAAGAAATTATGGCTAATTAAGTGATGCAGGATTTCCGTTGTTTTTTTAATACGCGCAAGTAGACATCGCCATAACCCATTTTGGGTTATGGCGATGTATAGTTAAGAGATAACGCCAATGGGTCTAGACAACGAAGTATGGTATTTGCACTAGCTTCTATACGTCCGGAAGTAGGTGGAATCCTAGGTTATCTAGACGATTGGCCCAGCTAAATAATGCCTCTTCCTGAGCGTTGTCTAGCCTTCTATGGAGTGCAGGGCAATTGGTTCTAGATTGTCGACCTTTTGCACGCGCCCAGAGGCGCTGTCCGGGAACGTAATATTCACGCGACAACGCGGCGAAATTAGGCTTTTTGAGAGTCCTAGCCTTTTGGCAGGCCGCGCTTATATGCTTATTGATGGTCATTTTGCTTAAATCTATGGTAAAAAGGTGGTGGTGATGGTAAATTTACAAAAAGGATCGTTCAATCGTGAGAGATCGTTCAATCGTGGCGCCCGCCAATTAGGTCAACATGTGACTGCTACCAAAATCAGACCCCTTAGGGCTTTACCCTTCCCACTAGAAATCATCCTATCAAACCTGATATGAGGATAGTTTAGATAATTTTAATCAAACTTCCAAAAACCTCGATCGAAAAATATAGAGGGTTGACCTAGTTGGGGGGGGGGAGGTTATGTATCAACTCGTAGCCCCTTGCCAAGACTTTTCTATGCGGGTAACCCCCCCCCCCCCCTGACGGGTCGGAATATATTTAGGGTCATGGTTGACATGGGTTCTGGTGATGTCGAACCCTTAATTAAATAAGCCTTCCCGGGGACGCTATATATAAGATAGGAATGCTCGCTGCCAGTCTGTCAAGCAGACAGGTCAATTACAAGAGAACTAAAACCACTATACTCACAGAGTATAAGAGAGTCGTAGGCAAAGCGAGACGCTAGAGAGGAACGATAGAACAAATAAGAGAACCTTTTATAAGCAGTATATCAATACTGCAACCTCAGCAGCCTCAGTAGAACATTTTATGAGGCGGAATATACATATTGTTATTGATACTATCGAACGAACGCTACTTAATCTCACGAAACGAAATAGTAGCCTTGTTGCTAAGGCCCTGATCACATGACTACAGGATACCGTTGTTGAGAGCGGAAATCCCCATTACACTAGTTAGGCTCTAAGCGCTGCAAGAGTTCCCGAGTAAAACGCTAACTGTATCGCTGACATCATCCGCAGTCGCAATATCAAGATAGCCATCTCCGTTGAAGTTGCCCACTGCAACACCGATCGGCACAGACCCAACGGGGAATACGGCCTGCTCTTGGAAGGCCCCCAGTCCAGTTCCGAGCAAAACGCTTACTGTATTATCGTTCCTGTTCGTAGCCACGATGTCTTGATGACCGTCATTGTTAAAGTCACCCACTCCAATATCGCTTGGCCCACCCCCAACGTTGAATGTAGTCTGCGACTGGAAGCCAGACCCAGTGCCGAGCAAGACGCTTACTGTAGTGGTGCCGAGATTCGCAGATACGATATCGAGATGGCCATCTCCGTTAAAGTCCTCCAGTGCAACACCAATTGGCCCGGGTCCTGCAGGGTATATATTCTGCGACTGGAAGCTTCCAGTACCAGTTCCACGCAAGACGCTAACGGTATTGGCGTCGTAATTTGAAGTAACAATATCAAGATAATTATCTCCATCAATGTAACCTACAGCAACGCTCCACGGCCCGGACCCAACGGCAAAGGTGGTCTGCGGCTGGAAGCCAGATCCAGTACCGAGTAAGACGCTCACTGTACCATCGTTGACATTTGAAGCAACGATATCGAGATAACCATCATTGTTGAAGTCACCCACCGCAGCTTCTGCAGGCAAAGAGCCCACTGAGTATATAGCCTGCGGCAGAAAGCTCCCCGCTCCGGTACTGATCAGGACGCTCACCGTATTATCCAGCTCACTTGTTGTCACAATATCGAGATGGCCATCATTGTTGAAGTCGCCCACTGCAACTCCGACTGGAGTGGACCCTACATGGTATACAGCCTGGGCCAGGAAGCTCCCCGATCCAGTATTGATCAAGACGCTCACTGAATTGCTGAACTCGTTCACAGCCACAATATCTAGATGCCCATCGTTGTTGAAGTCGCCCACTGCGAGGTTGTTCGGTGCGGACCCTACCGCATAATCAGTCCGCGCCTTGAAACTCACGCATAGACAGGCACCAGATGAGCAAGGGGATTTAGCAGGGCACTTTATCACATTAGCGGTAAGTCCTTCGAGACAATTGCAAGCCTACTAGAGACATGCGGCCTGGGTCCAACTCACAGTGTTCCCACAAGTGCCACAGTTACTTGCACTGCTCTGGAGGTTGACACAGGCCCCATTGCAACAGGTCAAGCCGGACGCACACTATCAAGCACCACTTAGCCATCGTCACATAATATGCAGTCTGGGGCCATCTTACACATTGCCTATCACAAAAAGAAGAAGGAGAATCACAATCTGGCGGGTTCAGGACACAGATACAGCGTCTATTTCATATCAGCTTCCAGATCGCTCTGCAATCCCTAGATGATTAAGAAAGAGACCTACGGCGTCGTTTGTCCAAGGTTAAGTCCAGGTAAATTAGGAGATCCACTACCGTTGTCGCAGTAGCCTGATGGGTGACCTTGTTTCCGACACTTAATTAAATTAGTATGTTAGTATTTAGCAACCTCTGGATATCCACAAATCGTACCTTAGCGTCACAAGCGGCCGTATTGCAACCACCCCCACTGCCTCCACCCCCAACCCCAACCCCAATGTCTCCAATATCACCACCATCCCCATTATCAAAATTATGACCTCCGTAGGAAATTTTGTCTCCACTCCTTGGCCCACCCCACTTCTCTGGAGTTTCTTCTCCAGTAAGCGCAGTGACAACAGCACAGCATAAAAGGGTAACAAGAGCGAAACGCATTTTCATAGGAGCGTCGTTTGCTAAAGATGATAGAAAAGAAAATTTATAGAAAAAAAATGGTTAACCTTGTTGTACTGGTCGTTAGACTAGAAACGGCCTGTCTTGCTTCTTAGGTATTATATTCAGCGTGTTTCTACGGTTATTTATTAAATAAAGTTCCTTATTATAAATAAATCACTTAGAAATGTTGCCTAGAATGTGAACTATTGATTTTTATTTTACACGAACAGTAATTATACAGAAGTCAAGAAGCTTATAGTATGTCCTTAGATTCCGGCAAAATATTCCGGCAATCAGAATAGAGTCATATAGGATCTGCTTGGTCTCTGTGTGTCCCCTTGCCTGGCTGTTACATTCAAGAACACCCTCTTAAACCACAAGGATCTATATGTTAGTCAAGTATATTAAATACCTTAAGTATCTATTTTCTCTAATAATAGTGCTTTAGTTTATAGATAATTTATTAGTCTAATATTTTGTGGATTAGCGCTATATTCACCCGGAAAAAAATCACTACAAGATTAGACAGCTAATGTACACTTTACCTCTCTCTCACAGTCGATGGTAATTTAATATAGACTTAGATTTATAGGTGTAAAAATCCGAATACAACGGTTTGGCCAGGAGCATACACAGGCCGCTAATTAGATCCCACATAAATTAATTCTGACTGCCAAAGCATGTTGCCAGAACTAAGGCGCATACCATAAACCTCTGGCATGCCAGAAAATGAAGTTCAAGGTTTTCACATTCCAGGGAACATGTCTAAGCGTTTTGATTATAATAACTTGCAAAATTCAGACAGTTAAAGAATGACTGTAAGCACACTAGAGTTATACAACCAACACTCTCTCCATTAAGAGACTTAGACAATAGTTATAAAATTATTTTCAGTACGATAAGCAGTATAGCAGATTTAGACTGATATCCTTTACCTGCCAAATTGTTAAATCTTTCTAGTAAGCATTTTTATAAAATACGTTTCGGTTTTATTGCCCTTTTATGTGCTTTATCACCGCACTGCTTAGAGAAGACGGTCAAGAAACGTGGGGCGGGCCTGGGCGGGCAATGTTACCGTCACTTTTTTTTAATGAATGAGTAAAAGTAATCATTTATCTGAACTATAACAGATAATACAATCCGCCGGTCTTAGAACTTTCTTTCTCACCGAGTGAAGGCTGCTATATGATTTAGTAAAAAAGTGGTATATCGTGATGTTCGGGATATAATAAAACTCGCTGCCTCTCGCTAATTCGCGCTTTATCTTTTGTCTCTGAGGAGAGGAGCAAAAAAATGAAGTCTTAAAAATTTGAAGAGTTCCCGGGACACGGCCCTAGGCCGGGCGCACGCACAGATGGCCAATCAGGTTCCGTGAAGCTCAGGTATAATTGTCGAGGCAAAAATACCACCGTACAGAGACTAAACTGTGCGTGCGCACTTTTTGGTCGAATCGCATGTTTTGACCCATTTTTCTGTCGCGACAATAATCGCCGGAATATTTTGCCAGCATTTGTACGCATACCATAAGCCCCTGCCTGACCTTCAAGAAAATTAAAGTTGTCTAGATTCTAGGGAAAATGTCTTAGCATTTTAACCATAATAACAAATCCTAGACAATTTTATAAAAGGCCACCAGCAGACAATTTAGCTAGGAGGGTAGCGTATTATTTTTCATTACAACAACTAGTTCGACCGGTTCAAACTGATAAAATTCCCTACTAAACTATTTCACATTTGAAGCAGGCGCCTCTATAAAAATGCGTTTCGCTCTTCTAGCCCTTTCATGTTGTGATCTTGTCACTGCACTCACTGAAGAAGATGCCCTGGTAAAGTGGGGTGGGCCTAGGGGTGGGGGTAAGGTTTCCCATGGGGGTAACAATGTTGGCAATGGGGATGGTGGTGGCATTGGCATTGATACTGGGGGTGGTGACATTGGGGACATTGGCGTTGGGGTTGGGGGTGGCTGCGACCCGGCCGCTTGTGACGCCAAGGTAAGATTTGTGGGTATGGAAAGAGGCTGTTAATACTAACACACTGATTTATTAAAGTGTCGGAAATTAGGGGATCAATCTGGCTACTGCGACAACGGGAGTGGATCTTCCAGTTTACTTGGACTGATCCTTAGACAGTCTACGCCGTTAGTCTCCTTCACGATCGTCTTAGGTTGCAGAGCTATCTGAAAGCTGATGTAAAATAGAAGCTGCATTTGTACACCAACAACAGGCTGTGATCCATCGTCTTCCTGCAATAGACAATGTATAAGGCACCCGCAGGCTGTATATTTTATGACGACCACTAAGCAGTGCTCGATATTATGTCAATATTCTTATTGCTAACATAATCAACTCTCGCGCTTCTACAGTGCCCTGCTGGATCGACTCGCTCATCTGGCGCCTGCACATAGAGCTCTGTAATTTATTTTATTTGTAAATACACTACTTTTAGGCTTTTTTATATAGAATAATAATAATACTAAATAAAAACTGAAAAATACCTATATATAAGGCCTAAAAACAGTACTAATACATGCTGTATTTAAAAGCTTGGTATATTTGCCTTGTTTACACTAAAATGGGAACCCACTGGGTTCCCAAATGGGTTATAGTATTCGACCCAAAACCCATTTTGGGTTGGGTTGGGCTGGGTTGGGTCCGGGTTATAGTGGGTTCTGGCGATGCCTAGGCAGTATTATAAGCTTTCTGAAACTTCTCCTTAAATTTCTTATTATTTACTTAGGATTACTGCCAGTTACTATATCTACCAACAGTAAGGTCCTGTATATTAGGGATTTTGAGGAAATATAGAGGTGCTTTTTCTGGATACAAAATCGGTATTAGAGTCAGTATAGTTGGTACAGAAAGAGGAGAAGCCTATATAGGAAGAACGTTGGTGGACTGAGGGCCTCTCTTTTGTCTCTTAAGTCGCTTCTGCTCCTGTATATATAGCTTTCTATAGATTGATTTAGGGACGTTGTTGTAGGTTTTTAACAGACTATCTTCCTCTGTATAGCTTGTAAAGGCCTTTAGATTCTGTACTGTTAGCTTAATAAGCTTTTTGCTTATAGGATTATACCAGTAATATAGTCCTAAGTAACTAGAGTCGACGTCTCTACCTTGCCTGAATTTGCGGCCTTACTCGGGTTGTAGGAAGAGTGAGTGAAGCAGAATTTCCAAGTAACCTCTACTGACCGTTTATGATAGATCGCGCCGAAAGCAGTCCGCACGTTGAGTGAATTCTGGCATAATAAACCCAATGCTCTCGGGTTCTTGTTGGTTGGATCATCCCGGGCTGGCGATTCTTCCCAGCACAAGCTTCGCGTGGTTGGTCAATGCTCCCGATCCTTAGCATCGTCGCCGGCAGAATCACACGCCGAGGAGTCTATGCTGGCGCATTGCTATTGTGACCATAAGGTTCGACATTGGCTCCCAATTGAAGCTTTGTCCCATATTCACCCAGAGCGAATCGCTAATATTCCTGTTCCTTTTCCCTTGCAGGCTCAGGGTTAGTATTGCGCCCGACGCGACCGAGCCGGGTACGACGCGCTACGCCGCGTGGATTCAACGCATTGCCATGCAACCGCCTCTCATGCTGGGCAAGCCTGATGATGCCGGCCATTGGGTCATAGTACAGTTGCGCTCCCATCGCCAAAGAGATCTGTTGGAAACGTGGCCGCTTTGCTCGACGTATCTGATAGGCCCCGATTGAGGAAGGCTCAGCCCTCCGGCTGGCCGGAATGTAGTATTCCCGACGGTGTGTTTGCGCCGCCTGGCCTTGCCTTTTCAACTCAATGTTAATTACCATCATATGAACAGCCACCCATCCCTCTCACGGCTCCCGACCCTTTACCGTCCCTGCGTCCGGCCAAAAGACTCTTGATCGACCTCATTCGCTTCCTATCTCAATCTGAAGACCTGGTATCGAACTGAAAGTGATCGTTGGACAAAGGATGGCAAGCCGAATATATTGGATGTCGGACTAAACCAAATACCAGCAAATATAACCGGACTTCCTGGAGGATTGATTGAAGTGTACAGACAGACAATGAGAGTCTTCAATAATCTTCGAAATCCCTTTTGGTTCACCAAATGATGGCTGATCCGGGATCTTTCGCTACGCCGCAAAGAAGGGCGCTATAGTCGATCGGTCCGTTGTGTGCTTTATGGGATTTGGCTAGTCAACGCATGCTGCACTTGACCTGGGAATTCTGGCTCTGTTTATTCCGGTTCTCAGGAACGTGAATGCCATCGAACATTCATACAGGAAGGGCCGATTGAAATGATCGAGGTGGGTTGCCCGCTAGTTCAATGCCCAGTCCGACTTAGCGCCGCGGGATATCACCTGATAGTGAGGCTTAGAGCGTGCCCCTCACAGCTGAGTGACAGACAACGTCTTCCTTTGATTCTTTGTTTCCAATCAAATTAAACTTGGCTTGATCATGGCTTCGATATCATTCCGTGATAACAACCATGGTCTCCAGATTGGAGACAACCATGGCTCGATCAATGCAGAGTTCCATCTACCTGCGGGTAAGCCAGGCATCGAGCACGGCCCGGATCGACTGACTAACCGCCGCTTCGCACTTTAGAGCGACCGGAAACTCCACCCATCCCGTTATCGACTGTCCCATTCGCGCGCGACCCGGACTTTGTCAGTCGCGACACGCTACTTGATCGAATCCACGAGAGAAGCTCAACCCTAGCCTCAAGGATAGCGCTGGTCGGCCTCGGTGGTGTGGGGTGAGTGCAGACCAACCAGTTACGAAGTTTATCGCTCACAACAAAAAGAAAATCGCAACTTGCCATCGAATATTCCTACCGAATCCGAACAAAATCGCCAGAAACATGGGTTTTCTGGGTTCACGCAAGTAACAAAGCCCGGTTCGAACAAAGTTTCCGTGACATCGCGGACCAGCTCAAAATCCCCGGTCGTCAGGATCCTCAAGCAAATATATTCAAACTCATCGAGAACCACCTCCGGGATAGCAAGATGGAGAAATGGATCTGCATCCTTGATAATGTGGATGATGATAAGCTTCTTTGTTCCTTTTCGTCGGCAGACACAGTTGATCCGACAGCATCTACATGGACTGCGTCGGCAAAACCTCTGTTGGAATACATTCCTAGAAGCCAACATGGATCTATCATTATCACAAGCCGATCTAGAGAGATCGCGTTGAAAGTAGTCTCTGATAAGAACATCATTGAAGTGCAACCGATGGAAGAGTCGGAGGCGCTAGAGCTCCTCCAACGGACACTCAGACAACCTAGCGAAAGCTCGGAGTGTCAACACTTAGTGAATGCGTTGGAGTTTACACCGCTAGCAATAGTACAAGCCGCTAGCTGTATCAGGAATCGGGGACCTCGCTATTCAGTCTCACAATACCTGAAGGACTTTCAGGGGAGTGATAATCACGCAACAAAGCTTCTAGAGACCCAAGCAGGTCATCTCTATCGGGACTGGGAAGCAAAAAATTCTATCCTGGTAACGTGGCATATATCGTTCGATTATATACGCCAAACAAAACCATCTGCAGCTAAATTACTTTCTCTCATGAGCCTTTTCGATCGGCAGGGAATACCAGAGAACCTAATCCGTCATCAGTCAAATGCCAACTACACATCGAAAGCAGGGCTTCTGGATGACCTCTGGGACAGGGAGATATCCAAATCTGATGTAGACCCCGATTTCGAAGATGATGTCAGTATATTGAGAAACTTTTCAATCATATCTGTCAATGAGGATAACAATTCCTTTACGATGCATCGGCTAGTGCAGTTGGCTACACGTGCATGGTTAAAATCTCATGGAGAGCTGGATCAATGGAGAGATAAATCTATTCTTAACCTCTGGGAGCAGTTTCCCACTGGAGAATACGAGAATTGGGCGAGGTGCCGGCCTCTCTTTCCTCATGTCAAATCAGCAATGTTACAACGGCCATCATTGCTTACATCCATACAACAATGGGCTAGGTTACTTTTCAGAGGCGCGTGGTATGCGTTGAAAAGTGGTAACATCGTCGATGTGAGAGAAATGGCATCAATATCAAGGAATGCATTGGTATCTATTTTGGGTGACGAGCATGAAGAAGTCCTTGACTGCACAGATATTTTGGCAACAGCATACCTACATGAGGGACAGTGGGACAAGGCCGAGGAACTTGAGGTGCAGGTAATGGAAATTCGCAGGACTAAGCTCGGCGAGAACCATCCCTCTACGCTGTCAAGTTTGGCCAACCTGGCTTCGACATACCGAAAGCAGGGCCGCTGGGATGAGGCCGAACAATTCGAAGTGCAAATCATAAAGGCTCGCAAGGCGAGTCTCGGTGAGGAGCATTTTGATACACTGTCAAGTATGGTTAGCCTGGCATCGACGTATCGGAAGAAGGCCCGCTGGAAGGAAGCCGAGCAGCTCTTAGTGCAGGTAATGGAGGCTCGTAGGATGAGGCTCGGGGAGGGGCATCCGGATACACTATCAAGTATGGCTAACCTAGCAGCAACCTACCGGGACCAGGGCCGATGGGAAGAATCCGAGCAACTCTCAATACAAGCAATGAAGGCTCGCAAGAGTAGTCTCGGCGAGGAGCATCCTTTAACCTTGACAAGTATAGCCAACCTAGCATGGACGTACCGAAAGCAGGGTCGGTCGGAGAAGGCCGAGCAGCTCCTAGTGCAGGTAAAGGACGCTCGTCACAGGAGGCTCGGCGAGGATCATCCCGATACATTGTCGAGCATGGCTAGCCTGGCAGCTACCTACCGGGACCAGGGCCGATGGGAAGAATCCCAACAGCTTGACGTTCAGGTAATGGAGGCTCGCAGGAGGAGGCTCGGTGAGCGTCATCACTCTACGCTGTCGAGTATGGCCAGCCTGGCAGCGACGTACCGCAAGCAGGGTCGGTCGGATGAGGCCGAGAAACTGCTGGTGCAGGTGGTAGAGGCTCGCAAGACGATACTCGGCGAGGTGCATCCTGATACACTGTCGAGCATGGCCAGTCTGGCGTCATTGTACCGAAAACAAGGCCGGGAGGAGGAGGCCGAGAAGTTTCTGGTGCACGTAATAGAGATTCGCAAGAGGAGGCTCGGCGAATATCACCCCTCGACACTGTCGAGTATGGCAAGCCTGGCATCGACGTACCGGAAGCAAGGCCTACTTGATGAAGCTGAACAGCTCTTGGTGCAGGTTATGGAGGCTCGCAAGACGAGGCTCGGTCAGGATCACCCAGATACGCTGTTGAGCATGGCTAGTCTTGCTTTCGCCAGGAAGGATTCAGGGCACAGTGCTCAGGCCATTGACTTACTACGAATTTGCGTAGTCAAGCGGAACCAAGTTCTAGGTTCCAATCATCCCCAAACGTTAGCAAGTTGTAAGACTTTGTTGGATTGGGAAAGGAGCAGTTGAAACCCAATGCTAGATGAATGCTCGAATGTACTGCTTTCGGCAAAGCAATTTCTAAGCCTTACTGTTATTTTTCCACCTCAGATATTGACGCTATTCACTAGGCCGAGAATGGATTTGTTTTGTTGTTTGAGTAAAGTATACACTCAACTTGCGAAAGGCTGTGGATAGATGAAATCAACCAACTAACCAACCGAGTGTACTGATGTCTCGCTACTTCTGAGTTATGCTTTGTTGGCCTTATTAAACAACAAAAGCGAACGAACATAGATATTTCCTTGGTGTCTAATGCCGTCTGGGTAAGACTACGTATTACAAGAGGCCTTTAAAGATTTATTGGCCCTGTTCCTCCACCTAGATAGACTGATATTGAATTTTTAACTGCTTTGAAAGCCAGATTACTTATTCTCTGCATACTCCCTTTTGGCCCCTCCCCACAAAATCATGTTTTTTTGTCTTTGAATTATTTTCAACAGCGTTTCCATGATGAATGTTGGCGAAGATATGGAATACTGATTAAGCATCCCGATAATTGGTATCTTGGCCGACTATGTGACAGGTCCTCTGAATATTTTTTAGTTGCTCGGGGTGGTGTTCATTCTTGACCGTGGTTTTGAGACGGTCCTTCGAGGTTCTGCTGGGTTGTCGTATTGGACACATCTCCCAGCTACTGAGTCGTATTCGTAGGACTTATCGTCCAGATTATCTTCTTTGGTTTCTTCGTTTCTGTTTCAATTGTTTTCCATAAACGGATGTCAGGTAATCCCACGTCCGCTGCTATGGCCGCTTCATTCAACTGGGATTATGACATGAAGGTTCTTTACTTCGCTAGTTTCATGATTATGGTCCGTTGCCTCTACCGAGTCGTTGAGTACATTCAAGGATCAACTGGCTTTTTGCAAAGACATGAGTACTTTGCCTATATTTTCGACGCGACCCTTATGATGTGTGTTATGGCCATCTTTATCGTGTTCCATCCAAGCCAGATTTTCACCGGCCAGCATAAGGAACTGGATGAAACGGAATTGATCTACAGGCGCCAAGGGTACGGGCAGCAAGTTTGAACTTTAATTTTGCCAGCACTATCGAAGTTTAAATTCTTTGAAGGGATATAAGAAATCAATTTTACCATCGTATAGAGATGTTGGAGATAGTAATTCTTGGATGGCTTATCTTTATTGAGAGAGACCTGTGTTATCTATGCCCATTTGGCTTCTTCTTTAAATTCAATAGACTGGCTATACCGTTGATGAGACCTGGATCGCCGGGCCGTGAAAATCCCTGAATGAATTTGCCCAGGTGGCCAAGCGCCAATCCACTGAATAGCTATCTTGTGTAAGATTCTCTCGGATACTAGTTATCCATCTAGTCTACGTACTCATACCACGATCTTATATTGCAACGACCGGGCAGAAGCGGCCTTTCGGATATTTCCTCTGCACGGGAAACTCATGAAACCATCGGATAGTTATGCCTGAATTATTCTTGATCGCTCCTGAAAAGCTTATAGGTGTCAAACCTTTATCAAATTCAAGTTTTATGTTTACTACACTGGGACTTAGTCACACTTGTAGTTTATGTTGAATAGCAGGAAAATTCTGGTTGGCCGCGACCTAAATCAAAATATAATTCTTCTACTCTCCCCAGTATTTGAAAAGCGGTATTGATTTAAGACATTATGGCGAGGGGACTCCAAGGGTTAGCTGAGAAAGGTTTAGCCTAATACATCGCGACCCGGAACCAAGGTGCAAATAACAGTCAAAATGACAGCTTAGAGCAAACTGGCCGCCAGTGATTTTTCGCATGCGTGAATACAAATTGCGAACACTAATTTGCGAATACGAGATACCGGCTCGGTCAAAGATTTTCGAGTTCTCTTCCATTCAAGTTTAGCTTCGTGGGTCTAATTAGGAGCGATAGACTTCACTATGTAAATTTGCCTCCAGTCAATCTTGGAAGTTATTGATACATAAGCCCAATGGCAGATTCTAAATATCGTTCTTATTACCCCCACTATAAGAAACAGAAGCGTCCCTCTATCTTATTATCTACACCTCCATGGGTTCGTCCGACTATGCCCATACGAGTGCTATTTTGGTGCCATTGATGACCTATGTAAGTCCTTCGCCATTTCCGAGTCGGAGGAGGATGGTCTTCGAATTTTTCAGACAGCCGATATATTTGTTAAGCTGCTCTCAGGATCGGATTATAATCTCTATCTCCTTCCAAGGTTCTTCACAGGAAGCCTGGAGCCTTTATCATTTTCTCCTATCCCTGTGCGATCACCCCCGAGCTGGAATGAATGTGATGGATACAGAAATTGAGCATTCATCTGATCCGTGGAATCTATTGTTTCCTCGTTGAGGAGTACCATTATTGGTTACAGTGGCCAATAGAACAGTTATCTTGGGTTCCGTGATGCGGTGACGGGCGGAAATATTTGGATATATGAAATAGGACCGAGCCAAGAATTCCTAGAAGTCAAGACGAGTTAATGAATTGAATTTAATGCTAATTGGATAGGTATGTAGTGGTAGTGGAAGGAGTTGAACGTTTCACGTCTTATGTGGTGTAGAAGTAACAAAGTGAAAAGACGCTGAATCCATGAGTTTTATGCCTAAAACCCGAGGAATCGACCATGGACTGTTAATTCTGCCGTAAGTCGGTCTAGACTGTTCAAGCCAACTGTCCCAAGGTTGTTGCGTAATTTGACTTTCTCAGTCCTAACATTCCACTTGCTTATCTAAATAACGGTTTGAGTTTTACGTCTAGTTGTTTGCTATTTATAATAATTCCAATTATTTGCTTGATCCCATGTATTATTACTAGTATTTATCTTTCTATTCACGGAGCTGACTAACAATATATACAAGCATCTAGAAGTCCACCTGTTCAAAGTAAATGTGCCACAATAGGCAGAAAAAGACCCAACAGAGATCCATTCGAAAACTGCGTCCTGCTGCGTGCAACATTCAGCGATGTAGTTGTGGTAGGAGTGTTTCGATCATTGGTAGAACTTCCAAGGGTTGACGTGGATGTTTTGTTTGGGTCATCATTTGTTTGAGCCATCGTCACTGCAGACTGGCTCTCGTCCAGAGGCCCAATGATGGTAGTCTTGCACTCTATTATCGTCGAGGTCGACTTTGTGCCGCCTTTTCCACTACCTCCATGTGTAATAGACACACCTGAGTGATTTGAGCCCTCTGTGGTCGTTGAGCCGATAATCGTTGTAGGGCCAATGATTGTGGTTGAGCCGACAATTATTGTTGACCCTGTTATTTTCAATGGCTTGGTGCTGCTAGCTGGTCTGGTGGTGCTGTCTGATCCCGTGCCCATCACTGAGCCAGTGGTTGTTGCTATGCCAGTGATTGCTGTTGAGGCCGTCATCTCAGATGAATAACTTGCAAATGTGCTTGATTTCCGGGTACTAGAGATGCTCTGCGTAGTTGATTCTGTTACTTCACTGTTCGATGTTGTTGTGGCACTACTCTCGGTGTGGCTTGTTTGTACTGCGTTGGTCGAAGTTGTTGATATCGTCGTCAGGTCAGAGCAATAATTCAGGAATTGAGCAAACGATGGTAGAAGTAATGAGAATGCATCTGACGAGGAGCTCGCATAGTGGCCGATACACGTCTTGCAATTTCCAATATCCAGTAGATAAACCGAATCACTTTGACATAGCTCTGGCCTTTTTCCAGTGGCTTGTTGTTCTAGTGCCGCGTCGTTGCAATCGTTATAACATACGCCGGGGATTTCCGAGATATCTCTGCGCTCTATAGAGCCCAAAAAGACGCCGGATGAATCGCCCTGCAAGGGCAGGATGCCACGTTTACTCTGTGTCGCATTGTGCTCTTCTCCCGTTTGGAAGATATCATACTTCAGACCGAATTCCTCTGGATCCAGGTTGTAATAATCCCGAGAGAAACTGAAATGTTGGCCATTTGTATCAGATGCCCAGGATTGGTTGAATATCAGAGGCGGGGCTGGAATACAATCAGATGGGGCACAAATGTAGCCTTCAGCAGGAAGTCCAGATTCGACATTGCACCCAGCCCTGCCACCGGTGTGAGATGGAGAACAAAGGAATCCCGGTGGGCAACCCCAAGTGTAGTCGGCTGGTAGCCTCGAAGGAGGTGTATACGTCGGGTTGATAATTAGTGTCGAGCAAACTGACACGCTAAGAGTCACGGTGCTTCCTGAACTTTGTGTCTCTGTGAGTCCCGCCCCGGATTCAACGCTGGTGACTGTAACGGGGACTGTTCTGATGGTTCCTGAAAGCGGAATATTTAGTAAAGTCCAATAATAGGGCATCTATCATACGTACCTGGAAGGGTTACTGTGTTAGGAGGTTGTGTGATGACCGTAGTTATTGTTAAGCCTGGGATAATACTGGTCCCCCTTGGCAATGTCACGGTGCTAGCAGAGATAGTGAGGACCGTTGTAATTGTAGATGCAGGAATTGTTGATACACTTCCTGGGGCGGTTTCAGTTGTCACAATCGTAGGTCCTGCCACTGTTGTTCCTGGGGCGGTGACAGTTGATCCAGCTAGAGTTACGTCTGTCCCTGAAACTGTGACGGTTGACCCAGGCAAAGTGACAGTGGATTCACCTGCAGTGACTGTTGATGTCGTGATAATTGTGGTGGTTGACCGACCGAGTGTTATTGTTGTTGAAGAAACATCTGTTACTGTGGTTGCAGGGGCACTTATCGTCTCAGTCACTGTTATGCTTCCTGTGCCGCTCACTGTTTGAGTGATAGTCTCTGTGGATGCTGGGACACTTATAGTCTCAGTCACTGTTGTGCTTCCTGTGCCGCTCACTGTTTGAGTGATAGTCTCCGTTGCAGAGTCCGTAATAGTATTGGTGATAGTCTGTGTAACCGTAGCACTTGCCCCATCACTCACAGTCCTGGTAGTGGTTTCTGTGACAGTCTCGGTCTTAGTCGCACTTTCGGGGTTGGTTATAGTTTCTGTCACTGTGTCGATCTGAGTATTCGTGATGGTATTTGTGACTGTATCGGCAACTTTATCTGTGATAGTGCACGTTATGGTGTTTGTGATGGTATTTGTCACCGTGTTCGTGATGGTATGAATCTGACCAGCCCCAACGCCGATGGTCACTCCTATAGTCACAGTGACAGTCACAGCCTCTGGCACTAATAGCCCCCGGGCCGCGGGCCCTGGAGTTGTCGCTGGGGCGACAGGAATAACCGCGGGGGTTTCATCGTAACTTGAAGATGTAGATAGTGCAGTAGCCCCGGTCGCTAAAAGCGACAACCAAACGATGGAAGTTCTCATATTCACCTTCCTGTGAAAGATGGAGTACAGGAGTACAGGATAGAGTATGCCGTCAAGGGGAAACAAAGAGTCGCGAGAAGGCAGATATGCGAATATAGCACCACCCAACCTATGCACGGCCCGTCTCGTCCCCAGTTCTTGAACCGACTCAATTGTGCGAGCCTCGAAAGGATGCATCGTGCATGCATGCAACACGGGCTGGGCCTCGACACCGCTCATATTCTACCACGCTCCGCTTCACATCCTCGTCATCTGCGAGAAAACCATTCAGCTCGGGGATAAAGACGAATTTGGAATACCGGACCGTGGCCATGCGGGTGTGTCGACAGCTTGAAGTGCAAGCTTTGAATGGAGCTAGCGAATGCAAGCCGGGCAATTCAGCCGCATGGCACCATTGAGGGGTTCCCAAGCCCCTCAATGAATGAATTGATCGACAGCCTTGCCCAAGAACCTTGCCCAACCCAAAGTAACCCAGCCTCCATTTTTTTTTCTCTCTGGAATGTGGTGAACAGCTGGTAAGGCGCCCAGTCTCGTATTTCCCCGCTATGAACTGGCTTCGAACAATCGATGCGGGTAACATAATCGTGCCCCGCAGAATATACGCATACATTCGATGGATGCCGTGCAAAGGGCTCGTTCTTGTCAACAGAATTCCCATTTTAGGAAATGATCAAAAAGACCGCGCGGGATCTTTTTTGGAACGGGCTCGAGGCCGTGCATTGGTTTTCTTTCATCGTTGGCCCCCCCTCAACGCAGACGAGGCTGAAATGGTGGGCTTTTTCCAGCACAGAGCCAAAGGACAACAAAGAATCCCCATTTACACCGCGTATTTCGTAGACACGGGTGGGAACATCAGGCTGCGCCCCCTTTTTCATTGCTTTCATTAAGCCTGCATTCAGAACATCCCTCGTATCCACCGCCCTTCCGAAGATCCCACCGAGAAAGGCTCTTCCCATGTCGCTGAGTGAGCACTGAGCCGTGAAGATTTTTGTCGTGACATTCTATCAAGGGCACCCAGGATTGAAATTCTTACTCCCACAGTCCCAAAATGAAGCTTCTCGGTGGCGGGGGCCTCTTGATGTTGGTCCTTGCAGTCGACAACGCAATGTCGATGTGCAATACTCTACAGACACAGGTGAATCTGACCATGTGTAACTGGCAAGGTCTTCGGGGTGAGTCTTTCTTTTTGTCCACTTTATACCGGACAAGAGCTCTCTCGGCTGACAGCAGTAGCGAACGTTTTACACGATACAGTCTACTTAGATGGAGGCTCTCTATGGTTACAGCAGTACGCAGCGGCCCATTTACACCTAATCCCCAGCTGATGATTTTAGAGGGTACGATGACGGTTGTGCGAACCATATCAACGACGGTAAGCAGGAAGTTCTGACTCGACCAAATGTCGCATACCAGCTAATAAAGGGACGCACCAAGGTAATTTCAACGGCTATATCTACTATCTGAATTTATCCACGCCTTTTAATATTAGCTCGGATTTTATGACCGTGCTCAGCAACAAGACAATTGCCGGGGGCGCGGCCAGTAATATCGCACCCAATTACATTGACGGAGTAATGTTTTCGAACGACGATGAGTTTTATCTTTACGGGTTTGTTTTTTCTCGGCATTTTCTTCTGAAAGGTGGGAAATCACTAACTCTCCCTCAAATTCCTAGCGGTATGGCTAGAGCCACGAATGTCACCGATACACCGGCTGGGGATGTTGTTCTTGGATACGAAGCCTATCAATACAACTCTGATGCTCAAATGTGGGCGCCGAAGTGGTACTCGGACAATCTTCCTTCTGATGTCACCCGATACATTACGAATGGTGCTGGTACATCTGCACCGAGCGAGAATATGGGATTCTATTTTAGTGGCATGCGTGCTCCAGACTGGGGTGCATTCACTTTTGATGATATGAAGTCCAACTCGACGGCCAATACACTCATCACCGTTAACATGTCCAAAATGGGTAAAGGTAAATGGGCCAATAATTCACTGCCAGACTCTGTGTCTGGTCGCTCTAAGGCAGAGCTCGTTTGGCTTCCTGTATCAAAGTCTGGCGTGTTAGTTGCTATCGGAGGAGTTGTAAAGCCAGTTGACTTTTGGCGGACTACTGGACTCAGCGACTCCCAAATCTCAAAGAGCAAAGAGATAAGCCCCACTTTTATGGAGACAGTCTCGGTTTATGATGTTGAATCTAAAACGTGGTATCTCCAGAACACGACTGGTGAAATACCGCCACAGCTTACACAATTTTGTTCGGTCTTGGCCAGCTCCTCTGACGATTCATCACATAACATCTATATTTATGGTGGGTATGATGGTCTTAAATACAACTCAAATCCATCGGATGACGTCTATATTCTATCTATCCCCTCGTTCAAGTGGATCAAGGCATACAACGGATCAAGCACACATAGCCGAAGTGGGCATCGATGTGTGAAGGTATATCCTGATCAAATGCTCATTTTAGGAGGTCAACATGTTGCTAGCTCCAATTGTCTTGAAGATGGGGTTATTGTCAATTTCAATCTCAACAAGCTCGAATTCCAGGACAGCTATGATCCAACTAAGTGGGATGGTTACCAGGTCCCTCAATTGGTCACCTCTCAAATAGGTGGAGAGTGAGTAGTAACCACTCCTTCTCACTTGGCAAGGTTTATTCACAACATTATATTTAGTTCTTCTGGGGGCGCAACTACAACTTCGCCATTTTATTGGACCAACAGTACCTTGGGGGATGTTTTTCAGACAAAGTACTCAAAACCAATTGCAACATATTGGCCATATGGTATCTCTGAGACCTCGGGATCACAAAAGGCTAGCGGCGGACTTCCTTCCTGGGCACCTCCAGTTATTGGTGTCCTCTGTGGGCTTTTTGGAATCGCTCTCCTTATTGCAGGGGTTTTGATGTGTTGTTGCCGACGACGACGCAGCCAACGTCCATTGATTGTGTCGAAAACCGCCAAAGATATGGAAAGTACCGAAGATCGTAAATTGATGTATGCAGGCGGTCCTGCTTCTCCGAGGCCGGGTCCAGCATCTAACTCTACTGGCGTGGAGACTGGTGCAAATGTTTCAACAATGCAAGATTCAATCGACACATCTGTATCACCCCGAACGGTTGAGTCCGGGGGGGGATGCAGTATATGAGATGCACGGTAATGGAAGTTCCCTCTGAATTCGTACAGGAAAATGCTAAACACCGTTTTTGTCAAGATTCTTCACCGGCCGAGCTTCCTACTCACTTCAATACCATGTCTTCCGCCTCCACTACCACTCCGCCACTCGGCCCACTGCACGGCTGTGATTCCCCAGTCTCCCCACATAGCCCCACTGGATCGGACTCAGGGCAGTCCTATCAACATGTACATCACCGAAGCCCCTCGTCTTTATCAAACGTACCGTCCCTATCAATAGATGACGTTGTCACTGGGCGTACCTCTTACTTTCATGAATCCTTTGACCATCATAGCTCTCAACGTGCACGTCATGGCTCTGAGATCTCAGATGCCAGTATCAGCTCGGATGAGAGGGGGCGATTTGGGGGAAATGAGACCATTCAAGAAGCGGACTAGCACACATACTTGTATATATTCATTCAAACTAATATTAAACTTGTGTCATCTTCCTCGCTGAAGGCGGTGTTTATCGCTTCCATGTTTTTGGTGAGGTGAATCGATATTCACGCAACCCTCAAAAATATACGACTTAAAAGATGGCGTCTTATCGGGGCCTTGAGTTACCAGAAAATAGTATAATATTCATTCTGTGTCATATAACGTAGTCTAGGTAGCGACAGTAAATGACTTTGGATGGAAACACAGAAAGCAAGTTGCAACAGCCTATCTAGAGCTCATGGCATGGAATATGGATTCCTGGAGCCCAAACGCCCTAGGACCTTCATCTTCAATCGTAGTTAGACTGATCTGGAGGTTATATCTCCACGATAAAAGCATTCAATTGCGTGGTATCTGAACTTCAAGGCGTATGGTGCATTTATCTGCCATATCCCTTCTCTCGTAAATCTGAACTCGAGCTCGCCTTTATCAATAGACCCCTCAGACAAGCAATTCCGCAACACTGTAGCAGCTATGTGCTCAAATCAATAACATTATTTGGGTGCCCAATGATTTGAATCCTTAGATTTCTAGAAATCAAATTCTTGATCAAGCCCAGGGTATTCCTCACTAATCTCCCTCGTTATCGTATCATATGGACTTGGATCAGTCCATACAATATCAAAACTACGTAGTTTCAGCCTTTATATTTCTTAAATCTCTCTGGTATTGATTTAACAACTTACCGGGCTTTTGGATAGATAGGTGGATCATAATTTCCCATTTCTTCTATTATGTGCGATATTCGGCGATGCTCCCAGCAAATCAAGATATTTGCCTCTCCTCCATACATTTCAATCTTATCCCTTACACATTTGTAGTCATTTCGCTCACATTAAATGTCCACATTAATTCCCAGGTCGTCGGATAGTGGTACCATGGTATAATATGGTCGTGATCGCTTCCCACCTGTCACATAATCAGTATCTTAATTAAGGTGGGTCCCTTGGTACTCTTCCACTTCATACTTGGCTTTGGCCTCTGCGCCATTATATACCTGATATTATACTAAGAGTGAACACCAAACACATGGCGGAGACATTGTGCACGCTGTAGCCTCACTTCACTTAAGCCCAGGCCCCCGTTCTTTGGCTTCTCGCCGTGTTGAATGAAATAGACTCTCGGCCGCGCAATAGCAACTTGAATGATCCCGAAACTCTCAATATCAAACTGAGATGCATTTCTAATGCATTTATCGAATGTTATCACCGGTTTTGCGTTTTCGTTTTCGTTCTGGCTAACGGCGGATTTGATGCCAGTATGTTCAAAATATCAAGGGAACTTAGTGGGTACTTTTCCTCTTCTTGTAGGGGCTGCAGAACGGTAAATGCTTTTTGCTAGCTAGATCATTGTCCGCAAAGCAATAGACGAAGGAAACACAATACAAAATATCTTGGCTTCTTTTCTATTCACCATTCATATTCATGGTCTCCAAAGCATGCGCCCATGCGGACTTGGGATTTGTCAGGTGCCGAACCAGTTATCATGACCCTTCAATTCAAATCGGGCACTACCAAGTGCGTTACTAATTAAAACATCGAACAACAAGGGTTTCGGATTATTCTATTACGTGTTATCAAACTAATACGTAGTAGGTGTCATCTGTCTAAATATTCTAGTCACATGGGACATTTCAGAATTGGGGGCAGGCCACCTGTCGAAGAAACTTCGGGCGGCTGATCGAGCATGCGATCGAGCAAGGTGACGCCTTCTAGGTAAATATTTTGAAATATCGAAAAGTCTTCTTCTTTTTGCACAACCATTATGAAGGTATTTTCTAGCCTTTTGCTTGGGGCTTATTTGAGTTGCGTGATGAGCATGTGATGTGATCATAGGCTGTGATTGTCTCTTTTCCGTCCTGCATATCCCCCAGTTTTCATCACCCACAAGAACCTTTGTGTCTGCCTCGAGATCAAATACTCATTTAAAACAGTTTGCGTTCAATTGTCTTTAGTATGAATTTCTTTAGAAATACTCTACATATACTATCATCTGATTTAAAGTTGCTCTATGTTATGCCCATTTTCCCGATCACTTTCGTCTCACTTCAGGCTAATTGAAGCAGTTAATAACCAGCAACTTAGTATACCTTATTCTCAACATAGTCGATTCCATCACATTGGGAGTCTGTTGGGCGGCTTTCAAAGGATACCATGCAAGAAAAAGAAAACTAGTTTCCGCTGACCCCTTCTATTTACTTTGTTAGGATCCTTTTTAAAATGGCAAGAGTTTCTCGCTATTAATCCCGGTTGGTTCATTTCGTTTTATCTTGAACTGGATTCTCCTTTTTTGCTATTGGATACATTAAGTGTATTTACCATTCCTCTTCTTGATTTTCGATTGCACATTATCCCAATACGTTGGACTTCCAAGTTTGTCCTAACGCATTCACAAATAAAGGTGTTTCGTCTTTCTGTTGCACCAAATTCCACTATAAAATTTAGGATTCCACAGGATCTAGAGAGAGAAACGATCTTATTATAGCAGGTGTTGTCGTTCAACTTTATCTAAAGACAACTCAATGCCAATGTCCGACATTCCTTAAATTAATGGATATAGATGACGATTCAAATAAATATAGGGAAACTGACTAGTCGAAGAATTTCGATTCGCACTTAACGTAGATTAAAATATTGAATTGGGCGGTGGACAGATGACAGAGCTCAAGACTAGCGAAAAGTAAGAGGATAATTCACCCTTTGGCAAGGTGATATGGGTTATTAAGGGGTAAATTGGGGCTACAGCAAAGTTCCAAGTCTACCAGCAGCTTGGCTGCCTAGCAGATAGGAACAGAAGGGAGACCAGGATGGCCAGGGTTATATCCTTCGGCTTAGACCTCCGTCTTAGACACTGGCGCTGCTGCTTCCTTATCCACGGACCCCACCCTTTCTTCGTGCAGTGCCGCCAATTTCTCTGACTGGATAGCACCTGTCTCAAGCTTCCGAACGTGCTGGAATTCGACTTTGGTCTTCCAAGCCTTAAGTCCCGGGGTATTGAACATAGTATCCACATCCTCGAGGGTTTTTCCCGCGGTCTCGGGAAAGGCGAAGAATACATGAACAGTCATCGCAAAGCAGAAGACTCCGAAGACAAGGTATACCTTCCATTTGATGTTCTCAAAGGCCGGTGGAACGAAGTACGACAAGGCGAAGTTGAATATCCAATTGGACGCTGTCGAAACCGCCACGGCTTTACCACGTAGTCTCAAGGGGTAGAGCTCTGGTGGGTAGATCCAACTCACGGGACCCCATGTAGGCGCAAAGCTTGCAACAAACAGATAGGTACAGGCGATGACTCCTTTGGCTGCACCTGGAGCATCAGATAAATCCCAGGATTGCTCAGCCGTATTGTTCAGGCCACCAGGAGGAGCTGGCTTGCCATATGATGCCATAATACCGGCATTTGCAAACATCCAAGTCATCATCAAAGTTGATCCAACGAGGAGGGGAACCCGACGGCCCCATCTATCAATAAATACCAGAGCGAATATGGTCATAACAACATTTATCACATATTGGATAGAGGAGGCAACCAGGTTGGCATTTCCCGAGAGGCCGGCCATGCCAAACACGTATCTTTATGATTTATTAGAAAATATTCTAGTGATTATCGGACTTGATTTCAGTTAGACTTACGTGATATAGAGCATCATGACGTTCATGCCAGTGAGCTGAGACCAGATTTGAGTGAACATGCCGATGTGTGTGCGATAGATCATGTTCGGTTTGAAGAGATCCAAATACGAAGCATCGGCGTTCTGACGCTCAAATTCGACCATGTCACGAATTTCCTGTAGTTCGGTTTGAACGAAAGCGTCATTGTGGTCACCCTTGGCGTGAACCAGAGCCAGCACCTCATGGGCCTCCTCCCAGCGGTCATGCTTTGCCAGCCAGCGGGGTGACTCGGGCATGATAAAAACCATGAAGAAGAGGAACACGGCAGGGATCATCTGTAGTCCCCAGGGTAGACGCCAGGCAGAGGGACCATCAAGGAAGCTACTTCCGTAGGAGATATAAAACATGATCAGGATGCCCCATGTAATGGCCCATTGTTGAGCACCGACAACAGTACCTCGCTTGCTGGGCTGTGCCAACTCGGCGACATAAACTGGAACCTGGGCACTCAGAATACCGACGGATAGGCCGTTGATGAAGCGACCAACGACAAGCTGGCCAATGCTGAAAGAGGCGCATGAGATAGCGGAGCCAATACACCAGATGACCGAACCGATTTGAATAGAAGTCTTGCGACCGAGCCAGTCTGTCAGAATTCCGGAGATTAGGGCACCAATAAACGATCCACCAGGCATGGCAGCAGAGATGCCACCCTGGGTGCTCGAGGTAGGACCACCGCATTCGTTCTTGTCATTGACGCCGGTCTGGTTGAAGAAACATCTGTACTGCTGGGTGCCAAGACTGGAGAAAATGCAACTGGTTAGAGGCAAGTCTTGGATAAGAGTAAATGGGTAAAGTGTCTAAACGTACATGGCTGACATCGAAGCGATATCGAAACCGAACAGTGCACCGCCGATGACGGCCACCGTGGTGATGACGTAGATGTTTCCAATCGTATAACCCATAGTGAGGGTCTAAAGCCCTAGAGCTTGAGGGTAAAGTTCTTTGGAGAAAGGGCAATGAACTTGAGAAGAAGAGGAGAAAGCCAGGGGAACAGAAGGGGCAGACATGGGTTGAAGTATACAACGGAACAATGGTCTCCACCAAGCACGGGGCCTACTACTAATCAAAGGAAATCAAAAAAAAAAAGACGCAAAAACCTGGAAAAGGATCATCGAATTAAAAATTCGCACTTGGGCCGACTCTTTAGAGCCAGTCTAACCCAAGGCAGTAAACGCAACCCAGAGCGCTTTTGAAAATGCGGGGGGGTGCCCAGGGCACGACGGTATGGTTGGATAGATCCATGCACCAGTTATTCGACTAGATTATGAAGGTGAGAAAAAGGATGCCACGCTGACCGGAAGTAGCAAAAATATTGCTGTCTAAATCTGTCTTTCGGCGTCAACGGCTCCCCGGCTTGCCCATACTTCCCCAGAATCCCCCATCTATCAGGGTCTCGCGGTCCCTGTCACGCTCTTCGTCTTCCAATCCACGAGAGTTTCAGTGCCGAGCCTAAGTGAGGTTCTTGGCTGCAGGTCCAATCATCCTCTTTTATTCCCCCGCTTGGACCCACGATCGTATGCAACTTCGAGGGTCGACTGTCGGCGCCACATGGTTTCATCGCGTTGCTCTCCTTCGATATTTGACCGTTCGGGGACCGGCCTTTAGGGGAATTTCTGGGACCATGCGGAGTACTCGACCGTTGGGAAATGAAAGACAAATGAAAGACAACGAACTCGTTCCACAATTCACGCGACTTATTCTCCAAGGTCTCTGCTGCAGCCTTCCAAGGCATGTGCCCGGGCGGGCCGGCTCCCTCAGTCTATTCTCATTGGCGCCCTCAAAAGCACCCTGGCAAACAACATCTTGGCCAGCATCTCGGGGATTCCGGGATAATGGATGCGCTCTTCCGTATGGAGCGAAGTTTCTTCCCTCAGCTGCCTTCTTATTCGTTTCTGGCCTGCCGCTGCTGACCCCTCCCCGATTTGTCTACGATCTACAGCCACAAAGCCCCTTCAAAGCCAAGTTGCCCAGCCACCAAGCCGCCAATGATCGTGGCGGATTCTTGTTGTTCGACGTAGAGCCTAATACGGAGTACGGAGTAGGTACACAAACAATATGGCCCCTTCTCTCGGGATGGGAGGGTACGACCGCAATTAATAAATCACATCAGTGCGCCTGGAACCAACCAGAGTTATTGTTCATGCGTCCACCTCGTCGACTTGATCTGCACGGGTCGTATAATCTGTATTGGCTACCTCCCCGCCCGCACATCTTGGTTCACGATTTTCCATGTACCGTTTCGTGAGGTTTCCCAGCTTCCACATTTGCCCTGGCCAGGGAGTCAGCTGGTGCTAATGAGTCATGTACAAAGAAATCCAAACTCTGGTAGGGTTCAGTCTCGTCAGGCCAGACACGGTGGAGTGAGTGTCACCTTACCCGGAAGCCACTCGAACTCAAGGCGCGGGCGGGCGTACTTGGCTTAACCCACCCGACACCCTGGCGACATGGCGCGAAGCCACAGCATCATGCCCTCCTGACAGATTCCCATCTCCTAGGGAGCTAGAAATGGTGGTCAGATCGACGGTCCGAGCACCTTGCGGTTTTCCAATAAAGCCGACCCGAAAGTGATCCAACCAATCTGAGGGATGCCTTCTTTCGCTTTCATTCCGTTTTGCTCCTTCTTCCTAATTCCCGATTCGATTCGGTGTATGACTGGATGGCTTCTAGAGCAAGCACGAATTCCCCGATTGGTGGCGGGACCATAGTGATCTATGTGCCAATATTCATTCATCAGCAATATCCTTTTTAAGGTTGGGGATGGTCTGAGGGTGCAGCGGTCGTGAATCTGACCTGAAATTTACTACTTGTTTTTCGGATATAGAGATTAAATGAATGATGAACATCCATAGTATCAGCAACTACGAGTCTGAGAGTTAGGTACCATGAGTGAAACCTCGGAATACGTACCTCCATATCTAGCTGTCATCCCAGACCATCCACCTGAATGCACTTGTTAGAACACTCCGCTATAAAGAAACCACCAAATCCCTCATTCTCCGTTTCAATACCGTTACCTATACAAAGAATATACAAAGAAGATTTTACTAGTACACCATGGTTGCTCAGGGATCGTGTGAGCTCGGCAATAGTGTGAGATTTATTACCACATCAGCATACCTTAAGGTAGCGATAATCGTAATTAAAGAGAGACCATTTATCTCTCTCCCACCCCCAGCTTAATAACCCTCTAACCCTCATTTACTTCATCTGGCACAATTGAATGCCTTGAGCAAAAACTGGGGAGTTTTGAAGCCTTAGCCTTAAGGCATAGACCCCACCGCCTACTCTAATGGTGAATGGTGACCTTGAGGTAATTCAATCTCACCCTACCTCAGAGTCTCTAGACATGCTCTTTACCGCTGATCGATAACCTTCCACTAATCACCCTCATCCTCGCCCTCACCCTCTTACTGACCTCGACACTATAGGCAATCCAACTGACCTCCTACATTCGCTAGGTCCTGTTAATGCTCCTCTCGGTGACTCCTTACCCCCCACCTTATTCCGAACATGATCTTCTTCATCAAGGAACCACCGATCCAAACCTTACAATATGAAGCCTCCTGGTCCAACCAGATTCCTGGAAGTTCTAAGACTCTCCAAGGCACAACGAAGAAATTTCCTCCCGTACTGAATGGCTAACTTCCACTGGAAGTCCACCACCACTTTTCACCTGGGCCCAACCGCGGAGGAGAAGCTCCTCGCTGTCTGCCTTCCAGCTGGTCTCTTCAACAACAAACCTTCGCTCATCCTGCATAATGGGCCAACCAAATAGGATGCAACTCTGGCCACATCCCGTAGCGACAAATGAGGTCGCCTCAGACCCATGGACATCACTCTCTATCCTCATTCGGCCAGCAATCCCTCCGCGGAATCCCTTGTGCAAATGATTCCTTCGTCCACCAGTCACACCTCCGCGGCATTCACCTTCGAGATCAACCCTGGTGGTAAAGGCACCGACCGCCAGCGCTTCGAATGGTGGAGCAGCCACGGCACTGAGATGAAGCAACTGGCCGGTCATTCCTATGGTTACAAATTGGTGTGGCTGTCGGGGCCAACCATCGGTGCAGGCGGCAGCAGAAAAGAGCGCGATCTCGGCATTTCCAGTGATGGGCTAGAAATCGTGGCGGTCATCGCTCATAATGACTCCATGATCATGACCAAGGGCTTCCGATTTAACTACACGGGCACTGGGTTAACTGGGACGCTAGGCGAGGGTTGGGAGGTGATGACCTTGACCTCGGCGCTGCAGTTGTGGTTACTGGATGTGTCGGACGTCCCAACTGCAGGAACCGCTCCCACAAGCAATGATGCCTCTTTTTAGGTTTTGGGGGCTGCGCTTGGAGACCTTTTAGATATGCTAGATTAAGCTGTACGCTAGATTTCCTACAGGCATTGCATATAGATAAATTATAGCTGCTGATTTTTAATGAACCATTGAAATCGATTTTTGAATTACCAACAGAAGTATCTACTAGGATATCCGATGATCTGATGACTCAATGTGCATGCTAGTAGTAATTACAAGTTCAAGTTACATCTGGCCACCTACCAGGGTTAGGGCATCGCCACCGGCGCGAACCGGTGGCTTTATCTAGGCCCCGATTGAGTGTGGGGGTGGCTGGGGTCATCACGAATCTAGCGGATATTCGATCATCCGTCTTTCCTCTCCATTTTACATAACTACATAATATCGAGGGAATCCCTCGCCTTAGTCTCAACCACTGCACTCATTCTACATATACCTTGGACTTACTCACTTTAGTCATGACGATAACATGGCCCCCATCAGGGAAAAATCAATTCGGCATCGCCACACTGTCTCTTGGTAACTGGAGAAGCCATTCTCTTGAACCTAGACTCCAAGCCGCGGCCGAAGCTGGCTACGAGTGGATAGATCTTTTTGACGAATGCTGGGCGGCGTACCTGGAGGAGCATGGCCTACCAGGAGACCAATTGTGGGAGCCCACTCCTCGCAATCTAGAAGTCGCTCGGAAACTAGGTCAACTCGTGAGATCAATGGGAATGCGTATTGCTTGTACCCAACCACTTCGTCAAATCGAGGGGATCAAAAACCCCACAGAGCGTCGCGCAACCCTTGATCTAGTCGCCAAACGGTTTCCCTTCATGCGGGCTTTTGATACTGATCTGGTGTTCATGTGTGCCAACATACGCACCGACAGCGGAGTGACCTCAGACCTGAAAACCGTCGCGCGTGACTTGGCTGAGCTTGGTGACATGGCGGCAGCATATGCACAGGCAGATGGCGGCCGTATGCTAAAGATCGGATATGAAGGACTCTCATGGGCAACTAGAAATACTTGGTCATCTTCATGGGAAGTGGTTCGATTTGCCAATCGTCCAAATGTGGGCTTGATTCTCGATGCTTTCAATATTCTGGCAGTTGAGTTTGCAGATCCCTATAACCCGGCAGGACATGGGCGTATTTTTCCAACCCTAGAAGAGTCTCTTCAAATCCTTACAGACTCGCTCATATCGCTCACGGCCACTGTCCCCGGTGACCGAATCTTCTTCTTCCAATGTGGCGATGCGGAGTTGATGAACCCGACAACCTTTTCTCCACCTTCAGATCCGAAAACCCCATTACTTCTCCCGTGGTCAAGAAGCCATCGCCTATATCCTCTAGAACAATCAAGAGGTGGCTATATGCCCGTCGAGCTTGTCGCGGCCGCCGTGCTGGCAACCGGTTACGAGGGAGCGATATCACTAGAAGTTTTTAATGCATCTCTGAATGAGCCAAGTGATGACGTTCCACCAATCCATGCTACTAGGGGCATGAGCGGATTGAAGAATCTTGTTGAGGTTTCAAGAAGACTCCCTCCATTCTGGAAAACCAAATCGCATGCCCGGGAAGCTCTGGCTCTCGTTAGCCAACGACTGCAGAATGGCAGACATCATCTTTAAATGAGTCTTGAATCTTCTTGCAGTTGATATTATTCTTCAGTTGGCGACCATATTATACGAAAACTTTGCTGCTCCAAAAGGACGCCATCATTATACGATGGTATGGAAATACGTCGCCGACTTCGCAAATTTTTCACATAGTCGTTACTGGGCTAGTGGGGTCATTGGCGAAAACGATTGCCAAAGTGACTCGTCCCGAAACGTATTTCTTACTGTCGAGGTCCTCATTTTGACCTCATATATTTCTTGATCCCTCCGAGTCGTTGAGTGAATTGAAGATTTTTCCTCCCTCCATCTTTCATTATTGAATATCCAGCATCTATCATGTCGGAGTGCATCCCAGGAAGCGATATTCTTATCCATAGTAACCAGTATAGGTAAAAAGGTTCAATTCATTGACTACTTACACATCATTCTCCACTGTGCCTGTCTATTTACCTGCGACGAGAACACCGCGATACCGCATTTTGCCGTCTTGTAAGGTCTTCAGGCTATCCTTCACGCCTTCCAAAGTCAATGGGAAGGTCATCTTTACTGGTTTGATACCATGGACAGCAGCAAACTCAAGCATGTCTCGATGAACTTGCCGCGCGGAGACAATGCCACCTTGAACTCGAAGACCATTCTGCAGCAACGGCATGTAGGGGATCTTGAGATCACCTGCGTCCACTGAAAGCGGGGAAATGACACCGTTGGGAGCCATAACACTGAGGTAAAGCTGCCAATCTGGCTGGCTACTTGTGGTGACAAGCAGGTTATCAATGGGCTTCTCAAGCTTCAGCTCCTTCGCTCCCTTGGTGGCCAGGAACTCGGTCGCCCCCAGTTCCATCGCCTCTTTCTTCTTGCTATCGGAACCAGAGAATACGATGACTTGACAACCCATCTTTGCTGCAAACTGGATGGCTAAATGGCCCAATCCACCCAAACCAACGATTCCCACGCGTGCGGTCGGGCGAACCTGAGCGACATGGAGCGCATTCCACACCGTCGATCCGCCGCACATCAAGGGACCAGCGTCCTCATTCGAGACTCTATCGGGAATTTGGAATAAGAATGCCTCGCGCCAAACTGCATGGCTAGCGAACGAGCCCTGGTCAAGGTCGTCCACGGCATACATCTTGCGCTCGGCGCAGAGAGTCTCCCAACCAGTCAAACACTGTCGACAATGGCCGCAGCAGTCGTGTTCATATCCCCAGCCCACCCGATCACCCTTCTTTAGCAACTTCACGTCTGGACCGGTCGCCTCCACCACTCCGGCTCCCTCGTGCCCCAGCGCCATGTCCGAGTTCAGAAAATGAACATCGGTAAAACAAACACCAGAATGGGTGACACGGACGAAAACATCGTCTCGTTTGAGATCGTCACGACGGGTGGTATCCTGACGAATTGATCCGTCCTTAGCCCCCTTGAAGACAGTGAATTCGATCGGCATAGTTGGTAGGTCGATGAGAACGCAGAAGGACGTGTGTCTAGGTTCCCGAAATAAGCGTGTGAAGCAGAATTTCCAGAAGGTAGTACTAGTATATATTTACCTAAAGTTCTACACGTCACTGTGGATCAAACTTAGTGGGATTAGACTGGCAGCGTTATCGAGTTACAGCGAGTCATCTATTCCCGCAAGCAAACCTCCTTCGCGACGAAGCCGGTTTGGCCACCTATGTCATCGTCTCCGGCTTTTGCTAAAAAATGGGCTTACGAGAGCAAACATGTTCAGCTATGTGAGACCTAAACCGCCCATGGCAAGACTCGGTCGGTGATTTGTGCCTATCTAAATGGTGAGGTCATACATCTAAGATGATTACCACAGCGACCTACCTGCAACTTCTCATCCATGGATACTAATCAAAGATACATAGCTTATTGCTTACCCCTCTGTATCGCACGCAGTCGAATCTTCGATTGATGTGTCTGGTGCTGGTGCCTTGAAAATGCTCACCGGTTGAGGAATCAAATAACCAGTTTCTGTCGATTAAATGCAGTCATCAGCTGGCTAGAGGTGTGGATTCTAGTGGTATTTGAATTTTTATTGGACAGCGGGCTCAACTCGGTAATACTATACAAGTAGTAGCAGTACTACTATATGTGTACTAGGGTATAATAGTAGACCCAATATAAGACAAATTGAATGCACTGCAAGTAGCAGACAATTGCAACACAACCGGTCTCCAAGGCAGACTGAATCTAGTACTAACCTCAGAGAATCGCAGTATTACATATTTTAGTAGGATTACCAAACTTAACTTGGGTAGGGTCTACAAGTTCCTGCCTGGTAATTAGCCAACGGGGAACGCATTGTAGACTGCAGAGGATGCATGAGGCGCACAATGCAAACACCTACGCCAGATCATCCTTTTTTCATAAAATTGGCCATTACCGACCTAACTAGGCTATAGCAGTCTTTTTCTAGCCCTCGAGCTGAATGTAGATGTATTTATCGTATCGTATCTCATCTCATTCTGTCCGATCTTCGCCGTAAGGGCGATTCTGCCACTCCTTGGGTGGGCGGTGAGAGTCGCGATATCGGCCAGCCCCATTGGGAAAATCGCGTAAAAAAGTCTATTTGTTGTTGGCTTGTCGATTTTCTTTGTTTTACACGTGGTGGAGAAAAGGCTTCTCTACAATTGATTCAAGTCACTGAAAGATTTAGTTGTGATGATGATCCGCATAGACGGTGTGAGCAGTACAAGCGAGCGTGCGCAGATCACGGAGAAGGATGCTGCATTGGCGGTGGTCAGTGATGTGGCACAGGAAATTGATCCGGTGATTGCTAAACGAGTGCTTCGGAAAATCGATCTCTATTTCATGCCTGCGATGTTGATAGGTAGGCAACCCGTTGTTCTAATGTGCTCGATGGGTTCCTTACTGACGGGCGAACGTTGATCAGGGTATGGCATGGTGTACTATGACAAGGTGCGACGAACTAAAATTTGAGATTCAAGAGCGATTTGTTGATAATCTCCGCAGGCTATTCTGGGCAGTGCTTCTCTTTTCGGAATGACGACGGACCTGAAGTTGTCAATCGTTGACAATTCAACAACACCTCCATCGGTAGACACGTCGCGTCTTAGCTGGGCCACTTCCATCTTCTATTTTGGCATGCTGGCAGGTCTTTATCCGATGACTCTCGTCCTTCAACGATTTGACACACGTTATGTTCTTGGCCCCGTCGTACTGATCTGGGCCATTGTATGTGCAGCCACCGCGGGTGTGACAACTTGGCAGGGCCTCTTTGTCCAGCGATTTTTCCTCGGCAAGTTTCTCTTCAACCCCTCTCCTTACGGAGATGCAATACTAATACAAAACAGGAGTGATCGAGAGTGTTATCCCGACTGCTTTTATGACCACCGTGAGTAGCTACTATACGCAAAAAGAGCAATCAATGCGACAAGCCTGGTGGTTTTCTGGGACTGGTTGGTTTACCATAATTGGCGGTGCCCTGAACTATGGATTTGGTCAAATTACCTCCGGATCCATGGCCAGATGGCAATATATCTACATCCTTGCAGGTGGATTGACATTCCTATTCGGCCTCTGGTGTTGCACGATGCCAAATTCCCCAGTATCAGCCTGGTTCCTGACTGCCGAGGAGCGCATTGTCGCCGTGGAGCGCCTTCGAAAAGGGCAGACCGGGGTTCGATGCCAGAAAATCAAGCTGGACCATGTGAAAGAAGCGTTTACAGATGTAAAGCTGTACTTGATTGCCATCATGATGGCAGCAGCGTGAGTCCTATATGATATTCCTCGGTGGGGCTGCTTTCTAACAACCATCAGTTACACCATCAATGGCGCTATCTCCGGATTCGGGCCGTTGATCGTCTCCACCTTTGGATACGATACTTTAGACTCGATTCTCTTTCAATTTCCTGTCGGTGCTGTCTGTGTTATTTTCATTCCCCTGTGTGGCTATATACCGACAGTTATCCCGAATACGCGCATTCCAATGCTCATAGCCTGTTGTCTTCCTGTTATCGCTGGATGCATCATGATCTGGAAATCGGAATGGGGCTATCAGCCCGCAACTCCGGTTGTTGGCTACGCATTGACGGGGTTTTTCGGCCCTGTAGTGAGTCTGATTATCACTCTCGGTGCTAGCAATGTCGCTGGTGCGACAAAGAAGTCAATCATGGCCAGCAGCACCTTCGTCGCGTACACCATTGGAAATATCATTGGACCACAGCTTGTCAAGAGTACCACCAAGGCCCAGCATTACCCCGAGCTATGGCAAGGCATGATCATCTGGTGAGTTGAGCGGGTTCTATTAGATGAAGCGTTGCACCGCTAACGACATCGCAGTTACTGTATCACGATCGCTGCGGCCATTGGCCTATACATTGTCCTGTGGAGAGAAAATCGGCATCGGGATCTATTAGAGCTGGATGAAATCCAGCGTGACAAGATTGCCTTTGATGATCTTACTGACAAACAAAATCCGTTCTTCAGATACGCTCTATAGTGCTCCATGCTATGAAGTTTCATGCTCAATTGTTACCGACCAATATCGCCAAGCTTGTAAATAATCAATCTTGGAATGGTTTTGCAACGTCTGCAAACCTGCCAGGCCAGTTTCAATAATAAAGGCAGTCTGCATAGATATGGCAATGGTCATTTGAGTCAAATTCGTTTAGTAATAGAAATGTCAGTACATCAAATCAAAGCTTAGACGACTTTTTATTCGCTTGGGAATTGTTGAAAAATGAAATAAATCTTTGTTCATGCCAGTGGCTTCATCGGACCTTGTACTCAGCCGGCGTGGGGTAAGTAAGTGCCTAGGTGAGGCAGCCCAGCACAAGACGGAATCTTAAGATTCCGATCTTCACGTACCCCGCAGGGGCTTTTATAGTCCGCTCCACCCGGACATAGTCATGTTTAATTTTCATTCATTTCAAAATGGAATCGTCAAAGGAATCCAGTCTAGTCAGATTCTCGGATAATGGCCAAACCATCACGCGTGATCCTCGTTTTGAAGTCACCTGGGAAACAACAGATCAACAAAATCCTCGGGCGTGGTCGGTTTGGTACAGGAGTTTCATTGTTGCTTCGATGTCCTTTTCAACCACCATAGTGTATGTAAATCTCTTCCAATATGAAATCATTTCCAAATCACTCCAAACGAGCCGAATTGACATGTGGACAGAGTCATATATACGACGATGTACACATCGGGGGTTGAGGGAATGCAAGAATCGTTCAGAGTTTCATCCAAAATTGTTGTGCTTTTGGGGCTAACCACAAATCTCTTTGGCCTCGCCATCGGCTCTGTTGTTCTTTCATCGCTGTCGGAGATCTATGGTCGGAGGCCTGTGTATTTAATATCTGTTTTCTTGTTCGGTCTCTTGATTCTACCTGTGGCTTTGGCGAAAAATATCGAAGCCGTGCTGATCAGTCGATTTTTCGGGGGATTTTTCGGTGGTGTCATGATCGCGAGCGCACCTGGAAGTGTGACCGATGTGACCGACGATCAATACCGTGCCCTTGCTCTAAGTTGCTGGAGCCTCGGAACAATGAACGGCCCTGTCCTAGGTATCGATCCCTTGTCTACGGACAGTTTCAAATTATTCCTTCGAAGCAACGCTGACGAGGAACTCTTAAAACAGGTCCAATTATAGGCGGTTTTGTCTTTCAATATCTTGGATGGCGCTGGATAAACTGGCTTGTCCTGATTTGCACGGGAGTATCATTGGCCTTGATGTTTTGCGTCAAAGAGACATATGCACCTTCTCTTCTACGAAGTAAAACCAAGCAACTTCGGTCGGATTCTGGTGACCAGCGGTGGTGGTGTCAGCATGACCACCATGAAACAGGCGTTCGAATGCTCAAGTCTAACTTGATCAGGCCAGTTCGTATGATCGTTTCAGAGCCGATCTGGTATATTCCCCTATCATTTTGTCCCCGAGTTCCATAGTAAAGCTTTCTAATACCATTTTCCAGCGTCTTTTGGAACCTCTACGTGGGAGTTGTCTATGCCGTACTCTTCCTTTGCTTTGTGGCATATCCCATAGTATTCGAAGACATGCGCGGCTGGAAACCTGGCGTTTCAGGGCTTAGCTATTGTGGCATCGGAGCCGGCACTGCGATTGCAGTGATGCTAGAGCCATTGATACGCAAGATCATCGCGATGCATCCCAATGACCCACATACTGGCAAACCAACACCGGAAGCTGCTGTATTCGCAGTGTGTGTCGGGAGTGTACTTATACCGGTTGGGGAACTTTGGTTTGCGTGGACAGCAAAGCCATCCGTTCATTGGATTTGCCCGATCCTTGCCGGATTGCCTTTCGGTCTTGGGAACGGGTTGACTTTTATCTACGCAACCAACTATATGGCCGGAAGCTATACTGTCTACGCTGCTTCAGCCCTATCTGGGAATTCTATTATCCGTTACGGGCTGGCTGGTGTACTGCCCCTTGCTGGCTCGAAAATGTATTCCACGCTGGGGCCGAACTGGGCTGGAACGATGTTGGCTCTAATTGAGTTTTCTCTGATCCCAATCCCTTTTTTCTTCTATAAGTATGGTTATAAAATCAGACTGAGAAGTCCCATGATTGTGCAAAGAAAAAAAGGAATCCGTTGAGCTTTGTTTGATAAGAACGGACTGGATTGAAAATGATGTTCTTAAGCAAAACAATGTCCATTATAGCAGATAAAATGATTTTTCGAAGAAAACTAGAATTAGGTTTCAAATCAATTAGAAAGATACCAGTCGAAAAATCTCTCTTTCAATCCCATACTGGAAGGAGATTCGCATCTAATCCATTTGCAAAAAAGGGATTGGAGCCATTCCATCCCATCATCTATCATCTCCCCTGGGTATGAGGCATTCAAGTCAAGCTCTACCGGTGCTACGTGACGGGACGAGGCACTCCCTGAAGGATCGATGTGATCCAAGTCATCTCCTATCCCAAGAATCTGGGATGAAGAAGTACCCGTTCCGCGAGAAGTTGGAAATCTTGAAACGCCAGGCCCTTCTTTTTGCGAGTTGGCAGTGGAGTCTATTTTGCCTTGTGGTTCTGTACTGTCAACTGTTCGGACATCTTGAAGAATAGTCTTTTTGGCTCTTGTGCTTATGGCAGGATGTAGGCCATCTGGGCCATCTAAGGAGAAGTTAGAATTGATGGGACCCGTAGTCAATCGCATTTCCAATAGAAGTATGTTGAACTAACTGGTTGAAGCTGAAACCTTTTGTCGTCCGAATTCGTTGGCTGCATGATTTCGGTAGCTGTCATTTAAAGACGAAGATGTCGGCAATACGTCCAACGCCCTGGGATTATCGGAGGATTGATGATCGGGAGACAAGATGGCATCCGCCATTTGCTTTAGTTTACCAACGGTCCGTATCATTTTCCCAGACATCCATGTTCTGCGACAGTGCTCTCTGAGTGAAACTGTGGCCTCCAAGGTAAGATCTCCATATGCTCCTTTGAACGACGGTTGTTTGATTATAAGACCTAGCGCGATAATAGTAGCGCTAGTCAAGTAATGTAGGAATGGAAATGTATATTTCGGATGTTCTTCGGGCACCTTTTTGAAATCGTCGATGATGCGCTGGGCTAAACGCATGCATGTAACTTCATTTTGAATAAGTTCAGGCTCATCAATAGGCAACAACCTTTGAAGCATTGGTTTTCTAATCAAAAGGTGGATTGAGGACCATCTCTATGGGAGTTTGTTAGATCGCAAACCCCTTTTGGGCGGACAAACTTACGATGCGCATCATGAATTGTTGCTTGACTTGCCACCACGCCAGTGCCTTTGAGTTATAGTTACTTGGGCTGAGTGGGTCGTAAGAAAATTCTTGCGAAATGCACTTCTGAGACTGCAAGACGAGATGCTCCAGGTACTCATTCAGCAACGTGGTCGGAGTCTTGTCAGATGTAGCAGCTCCGTAAAGTGCCTCCCACACCTTGCCAATAACTCTAGAGTAGCTAACCATTGCTATCAGGTACGGAACCATAGTTGGTCCTTCAATCACTTCTTCGTCTGATGCTGCCAGCGTAAGGGCTGTTCGGTATTTTTCCAGCCTTTCGTCGCTAATATTGTGAGGAAGTCCCACATCAATATTGACATCTTGAATCAGGAATGGTCGACCGGTCTCGATAGCTAGTCGTCGATCTAGCAAGTAAATGCACCACCAAAGCCTACGAGTCATTTCCCCTTCGAATGGCGTCATGGCATCAACCATCCTTTCCCTTTGAATTCCTAGATGATGCGCGTGGGATATTGATAGAGCCAAAACCTTTTCGGCAGGTCCGTGGGCATCGAGGCGAAAAAGGTAAATGACCTAGCATAAATCATCTATCTATATATCCCTATATCCCGAGCTTCACCCACCTTGGAAGCGAAAAGGTAAACTTACCATCAAAATAACTGTTTGGAGAAGAAATATCTGGTCTGTGCATTGACTGAAACCATCAAGGAGATCGCCGAAAGCGTCGCGCGCAGCACTATAAAAGCTCCAGCCTGCTGAATACGGGCCTTGGTCTCCTTCAAATCGCGAAGATTCCACACATTTACCATTGGCGAGACACAATAGGATATGCGCTGCCTCGAACCGCTGGACTTCATTATGGCTGCTGCGGCTTGAGTTTTGGCCGAAGGAGATGGCCCAGGTTTTTTCGTAGAGGCTCCACACGACTGGGAGATGAAGAAATGGGACAAGGACATGAACCTCATCGCAGAAGGTATGCATAATAGCTTCCCACTGGCCCCGATCAGGAATTATACCGTGCCTGCGTAAGACCCTCTGTGTAAGGCTTGTTCCTTGCTCCTGAAAATGCTGAAGTGAAGACTCAGGAGATGGGGTCAGATTGGATCTATATTGACCATTTGGCGATGTTGATCTCTCGCGGGAGTATTGAACGCCCATTTGCTCCAGTCGTCCTTCGACCACCGTCAGATTGTGGGCGATAGACGTCTCACCTGAGAACGCCTGCACATCGGGCGACGGACTTCGGTTGGAAAAAGCCATTTCATCTCCTTCTATGAAGCTTAGAACGTCTTCTTGTCTGTGTAGACGGCCAGCATCACCGTGGTTCTTTCCAGGCGCTTTCATGCCATGTGATTCTGGGGTTCTCATCGAGGTGAGCTCTCTCTCCAGTCGCGTCAACCGAGAAGCGATATCATTTCTAGACACAGATGTAACACCGCTTCCTCGCCATCGTCCTCGCATGTCAGTTCCATGTCTTTGACAATCACGCCCCTTGGTTACACAAGTTTGACATGGGACTTTGCCGTCGCACTTCGTGGATATTAGCCCAGATGAACCCTGCCTCACTGCAAGCCGTTGATAGAACCTTGGAGCTCATATATACCTTGATTTTCCGTCTTTGACATTGGTCACTGTGATCTAGGTAAGTTCAAGTTGGAGGCATGGGAATCGAAAGAAAATGTACCCTGTACATACCAGGCTCTTGGTGCGTAATGTCCTCTTTTGGTTCGTTTAGGCGGCGGCTGGACAACAGTCTCCCCTGGCGACTGGTTGTACCCCGTCGCATCTAGCCAACGCCTCAGCAGATCAAATCTGTTAGATTCCCGCGTTTGGTCTGCTCTGGTGTTGACGGCATCAAGTTTCCGTATCGACAGCCGGGGGGGGCGGGATTTACGTCGAGGCCGAGTGGGGTCCTTCGGAATCTTCGGAATCTTCGGCTGTGGGGGACGAGAACAAGATCCGTGAACCTTTGGAAGACGATGAAGCGACAGCCGGGCAAAATGAAAAATAGTGTGGTGGTATAGTAATCAAATGCCTAATTCGGGACTACATTGCTTGAATAAAAACACCGTGCGAAACATTCTGATAATAAATGATGTATTGTTTCACTGAGATTCATTCGACATCGAAGACTGCTTGATGCCTCGGTAAAGTATGCGGAGTAAATGCCGAATCTATTGACAGCGTTCACAAATGCCGACCATCGCGAAATGGATGAAATCAAGTTCAGAGTGCGATGAGTTCACAACAATAATCAGTTGACAAGATAAGTTTAACACCTTTCTTCCCGGGGACGTTTAGAGTAACCAGGTAACATACTACATAAACTCAATTCTTGAGTTAGCCATCTATACACTGAACTCAAGTGTCCAATTGGTCTGTGTCCGATCCATCCATGAATGTATCCATTGTCAGGTTTAGTAAGCATGAGGCTATCCTGTGGTTGTTGGTAATGCCCATCAGCTTATCCCAGCCCCAGTAATGCCTCGAAGAGGATGGAAGCATGACTTCACCCACGTCATTTGAGGCTGTATTCCAGCTCCCAGCATCAGTTGCATCATCTTTCAAGCTCTCGCTAGAACAAATGCTATCCAGCTCATGTGCAGCGTGGTATCCAAATCAATGGCGCGGTCAAAACTTCTTGTTCGGCTTGATTGTGAAAATTCGCAAAGGGCTTCATTTCTGTGGTGACAATGGTTTTAAGAGGCGGTGGATAGTGTGACCAGCGATATAGAAAAAGAAGAATTCAAATATTTTCAAGCAACTGATGTATCCCAGATAATCTCACTCGGAATCGGACTTCTTATAGGCTTCAAGTTTATACTCCTCGCTCTTTCTCCGCACTGTGTACGATGGTCTCATGGATGACCTTAATCCCGCCACCATGACTGTCATGGCTCTGAGCATCCCAGTCTCCTTCTCCAGCCGTGCAAGTGGGAGGCTGTTGTCGCGAAGTAGGTAATATCATTTGCTCATCACTTGTGGTGTTCCATTGCGTGTCGGCGGGGAGAGAAAGCGGATGACGGAACCTCTTGCGCTTAGAATACCCGGTGGTGTTTTCGCCTTCGGATAAGGGGTAGGCTGGATAGCTTTGCGAGCCACTTCTTGTTGTGATGAATAGCCCCGCGCGGCGAGCAACACGACGGACAAGAGGATATATCATAGGCATATTTCCGATGATGACAGCGACGAAGGTCTCGCGACATGCCCAGCTGCCAGCTTGTTGGGCACCATTTGCACCAGCCTAGAAGAATCAAAGGTTAAATCAGAAATCAGGTTGAAGGGGGCAGTTATACTTACTGTCAGAATCAAGACACAGCGCAGAATTCCAGCCATCATGACAAATAAGCCACCGCTGAAAAGGACGAGGAGTTCCAGTTTTTCCCTCCAGCGGAGCCGAGCTTTGAAGAGCATCTACAAATTCACCCATTAGCAATGTATACAATAGCATGCTTTGTTCAGTTTCAAATTATAATCACTTACAGGGGCCGGGATGCTGATAAGGTAGATATCTGTAGCCACATTGAGCACTACTGTGACGTATATATCGATTTTGGATACCGCAGGTTGACAATGATCTGGCAATGAATAGTAATGAGTACCGACTTCAGACATCGACAGTAGAAGTAACCTAATGAATGACTCACTTCCAGGATTCGGATATATCTGCCAGTTCTTGTGCAAGGGAAAGCAACCAAAAATAATGGAGCAGATAGTGGCAATGTATGTTGCGGCGATCAAACCATAAGCAACATGGATCCGAACACGCATGTTAATTAGGCCCGCCCTGCTTCTGTCGTCAGTGGCTGTTAAAGCTTACTTTATTGTTTCAAAGACTCACGTTAATCGAGAATAGAAGATGGCCATGCAGGTCTTCAACAACCACAACAGCAGTGTGTATAAAGACCAGCCAGTCACCTGCACCTTTGAGCCTCCAACGCGCAAGCGGTATTCTTCTGAGCTATGAGATAGCGTCCTGCGCTGCTCATCGGTCATGGAATTGTTGGCAAGGCCCATAAACCACGCACCGACCATGTATGCGGCACCAGTCTCCAGCCCGTACACCACCTAGGCTGCCTGTCAGTATCACAACTCGAAACATTCTCGCACGGCCAGTAATTGCACTACTCACACACGCCAGGAGCATCAAATAATCATCTGCTTGAAAATTCCGCGGCCCGACCATGACCCATCGTGCTGTGGTACGTAGACCGATGACCACAATGGCCACTGCCAGAAGTGTGAAAGCCTCGGTGTTAAAGTCACCCATGGTTCGATCGAAGCGGGTTTCCTTCAGCAGCTTCACCTCCGGGCGTTCATCAAGATAAAGAAGGAAACGACCCAAGGGGAAAGGAGAAAGTAAAAGAACTGGTTTCTTTCAGCCCGTTTCTCATTGGAACCAGGCCGGACAAAGAAGCAAGCCCACACCCCCGGTCGATTTATAAATGGCACAGCAAGGCAAGGCCAAGGGCAACCCCCCAAAAATGGGACCCAGCCGCCAACCCGCTACGGGTGGGAGTGGATACTGCTATTTCTTCAGAGTCGACCCAGTTTATGGAGTGATGGCGTCGTGCTAACTAACTAACGCGCAACGTGAAACCCTGACAGGTCAACTCCAAAGCCGCCGCCAACAGATCGGTGGATACTCGTTTCGCCGTACCCTGCCGTACCCCGTGGGTTTTTATAACGTCTTGAAGAAGGGTTCGAGGCCCAGACCCGATTGTGCAGTCTTTCCTCGTCCCGACCAGCAGGTTCCTGGGAAGTGGATGCGTGCGAGATAAGTCAGGAAGAAATCGATCCACCGTGCTCCTCCGAGCTCGACAGGCCCATTACCTCATCGAGCGTACGATCGACATTGAAGAATTTCTATACGGATTATGGAGTAACAGCTTTTGAGAACCGAAATTGCGCTGAGCATCTCTGGCTCTTAGATCCCTTCGACGCGATTGGTTACACGGGCAAGAGATAAGCTGCAACTGGAATTGGGGGAGACCCTCTTCGTCTAATGGAGGTCTGCTGGTCAGCTGTCCATAGCCGGGCCAGTCATAGATTTTGCAAGTTGTTGGTTGCCGATACATCGGGGTTGGGTGCTGACGACATTACCCTGGTTCTAAAAAGGGACATTGCCGAAAAGTACGGATTATTCCACGCTGAGAATAAAAGAACAGTGGATAATAACCCAAATATGGAGTACTAGGACTGTGATGCTCACGGGCCTTCCGGATGTGGGCTCACCCTAGTCCTGCACAGTATGTACTTCCTGGTTGTGTTTTTCTTTTCTTTGTTTTCTTTTATTTTCTCCTGTCCCGTGCTTTCCAGTCCATTACTTCGTACGACGTACTCCATAGATTTGGTATCCTTGGACTTTCAATGTAGAAATCAATCTGAGAAGGGTTTTTTAAGACAGCAGTTTGAGCTCAAATCACTCGAAAAAATAATCGACAATAAAATTGTGATTGTAAACACTTCCTCCATCACCCTATTTCACCTAGTCAGGATCAGTGTTTCCGAATAGAACACAAAGCTCCCTGATCCATGACAGGCGGGGAACCCCCGAGCCCTCCAGTCAGACTGCCCCGGTGGAGTTGGTGAGGACCCGCCGTGGAGCGAACGGCCAGCGCAATTCCGGTTCTCTTCCCGCACCGTTTAACCCCAAAGTCGCGGTTCATTTCTAGAACGCTTGGTCTGATGTGCATGCGATCGGTTGTTTGTCAATCGATAGTCCTTCGGATCTCGATAGGAAGAGGTCTGAGCTCCCTGGAGGGCTGCAGGCCGATCGTTCCTAACCGGATATTGATTGTAATTCCTCCTGGTCTTGGAGGCAATAAGCCAGATTCCCCCGAGTGGCGAGCAAGGCAAAAGTTGTCCCCCTCCGAACCGATTTGAATTTTGAGTTTCCAGGGCAGGGATAGGAGGCCACCCCAATAACCCTACTCCTCGTGGGTTCCCAAGGAGTTTTGACGGCGTGCGTAGACCGCGCTAAAGAGGACACTAGGCTAGCCCAACGCCCTCGGGTGTACCGATTGAAAGAAAAGAGAGGATCAAGAAGGTTAGCGATCGGCGCGCGGGTCTGCATTTGGCCATGTCAAACGACGGAGCGTGAATTGAGTTTTAGTTCCACAACGAACAGCCGAAGATTCTTTGAGAGCGCCATTTCAGTAGGGAATCAGGTCTTCGTGCGAGATTCCGTATGTACATGCCCCTTCTCAGGAGTACGGACTTCGATCCTCTTTCCTGGATTTGTTCGCATGCATGCAAAAGGTAGCCAGGGTAAGGGGGTAACCCCTGGACACACACTCGCATCCACACAGCACACCCCTCTCTCGCTTCTTTTTTTTTCCTGCCTGTCTTCCACGTAGTCTGGTGTGCAATAGACACAGTGTCTGTACTCCTTCATGACTACGGCATAGAGAGACGAGTTGCACGTAACTTTGTTGAGGTGGATACGCCAGACCCAACCCTAATCCAGGAGTGTCGGATTCATTTCCCCGGTAATTGCCTTTTGACAGGCCCACTAGGCCACTAGGGGGACCGTCCTACCTCGAGGCTAGACGGCTTAGTTCGAGGCTCGCGCAATTGGGCTAGAGGGGCACGCAGGCTCAAAAGTGTCGGAGTCCCTCTTTATTCACAAGCTGTCTTTCGCATTACGCGGGTCAGTTGACTCTCGTTACAACCCTTAAGAAATGGACAACGTGGATCTTGTGGTCATTGGCGCCGGTGAGTGACCCTGTGCTTTCTTTTCTTTTGATTTCGGTCTGCTCTGCACTGTTGTATTCTTCTCGACTGTTATCGGCGATTTTCTTTGTTTTCTTTTTTCGTTTTTTTTTTTCTCTCCAACTTTTGCACAATATCTAACCGATGTCGATCGACCAGGTTGGAGCGGGCTCGCCGCCGTCAAAACCTATCGTGAAGTAAATCCCGACAGCAATGTCCTTCTTCTGGAGGCTGCCAGCTCCATTGGCGGAGTCTGGGCGAAACACCGACTGTACAAAGGGCTCAAGTCGAACAACATGCTCGGCACGTACGAGTATAGCGATTTCCCCATGGATGAAGCAACTTTTGGGGTGAAGCCCGGCGAACACATTCCCGGCGACATTGTCCAGCGGTACCTGGAGGCCTACGCGAAGAAGTTTGACTTTATCGATCGCATTCGACTCAACCAGCGAGTCGAGAGTGCCGAGCACCGCTTGGACGGAAGCTGGCAGCTGGTGGTGTCGCACGAGGATCCCTCTTCACGGACGGTGATCGACACGAAGAAGCTGATTGTCGCGACGGGCATCACTTCGCAGGCCTACCTACCCACCTTCACCGGACAAGAAACTTTCGGCGCCCCGCTCTTCCACTGTCGTGACTTCCTACAGCACGAAGACAGTATTCTGCGCGAAGGCGAGCGCGTGACAGTCTTTGGTGGCACTAAATCGGCGTGGGATGCGGCCTACGCCTGTGCGACATCGGGGATGAAGGTGGATTGGATCATTCGCGAATCTGGCCACGGTCCGAACTGGATGGCTCCCCCATACGTGACGCCATTGAAGAAATGGTTGGAGAAGTTGGTGACCACGCGGTTCCTAACGTGGTTCAGCCCTTGCATTTGGGGCTCGGCTGATGGATTCCCTCGCGTCCGACAGTTCCTACACGGCACTTGGCTGGGGAGAAAGATTGTAGATGCCTTCTGGGCGGTTCTGGCTGACGATGTGGTGCAGTTAAACGGGTTCAACAAGCACGACGAGGTCAAGAAGCTGCAGCCATGGATTTCTCCCTTTTGGATCGCCTCATCCCTTTCCATCCTTAACTATCCAACTGACTTCTTCGACCTTGTCAAAGATGGTACCATCAAAGTGCATATTGCTGAATTGGACCATCTCTCCGATCACACAGTGCATCTCTCAACAGGCGAGTCCTTGTCTACTTCGGGCTTGATCTGTTCGACAGGTTGGCGAGCCACTCCGAACCTTCAATTCCTGCCAGAGGGAATCGATCGCGAACTAGGATTCCCATGGAGTAAGGACCCTCTCGACGAGAAGATGGTCAAGGCTGCAGACGAAGAGATCTTGAACCGATTCCCTCGTCTTCGCAATGGACCCACGCCCAACCCCAAGTATCGCCCGTTGAACGACGAGGCCGAAGCCTCTGCGCCGCATCCATTTCGCCTAGCTCGCTTTATGGTGCCTCTCTCACAAGTTCGAGACCGATCTCTTGCATTTATGGGCGTCACCATGACCATCAACACCACTCTCATCGCACAGACGCAAGCACTCTGGATCTCGGCCTACTTCGGCGGCCAACTCACTCCAAATGCCGTCGAGAAATGCCCAGCCTCCGTGCGTGCCCAATCAGACATCAAGACTGAGGATATCGACGATATCAACCTGGCCTGGGAGACCGCCCTGCACTCCGAGTTTGGTCGGTATCGATACCCCGGCGGGTTCGGCTACCGCAACCCGGATTTTGTCTTCGATGCCATCCCATATCTAGACCTGATGCTGCGCGATCTCGGTTTGGCCCCGGAGCGAAAACAAGGTCTGCTCGCCCGCTGCTTCCATCCGTATGGCACTGAGGACTATCAAGGCCTGGTGGATGAGTGGAAGGCGACTCTTCCGACCGGAAGAGAAAGTGAATAGTCGTGTGTGGCTGCATTGGATTTATTTTGTTTCCCTGTTGTGAATTCTATTCGCGCATCCCGCGAGATACCCATTTTCTTTTTCCTCTTTCCAAGGTCGACTTGACTATACATACTAGTACAGCACAAACCGCCTAGGTATTCGATTTGAGCAAAACAATCCATGGACGTACTCCGAGTAGCCTATTTTCTTCAAGTTAGCAGCCGATCCCAGCAGACTATCTCGCAGTTTGAAGCAGCAACCATCTATACCTCCTACCACTGCCTAGTGGTACCCCCCTCCCTGGACAATTAAAATTCATATTCCACCATTACTCGTTTAGAGTCCAAGTCTCAAATAGAATAGTAAAAGGGTATAATAGTCGAGGAATCTCAAGACAATATCAAGACGACAGTGCGGAATGGTATTGTGCTGATTAGAGTCAAACGTGTACTAGTATCTCAGGGAATACTCGGACCTGACGAATGAGCTATGAGCGAATTTGCTCCAGTTCATCCTGGACCATATTGGGTAATGATGTGTGTGGTGTGTGATGTGTGAGTGTCCAAGAAGGAGAAGGAAGAAGGAAGAAGACTCTCAGTGTAAAGGAAGGTGATGTTGATGCCGGAGGCATTCAGGCCGCAACTACAACTACAACTACAACTACAAGATACCCTCAGAAAAAGTAGCCAAACCCAATTGATAATACTAGTACTAGTACTAGTAATATAATCTAGAAAATACCAGCTAAGAAGAGCCTGGCTCCAGCATGTGAAACTGTTCAAAGACCGCCACTCCTGTGAGAGAAGACTCTCGTATAACGGACTTGGATGATGAACCCATTCCCATTTCCACCTCCACCATCTCACCTGTTATACTCCCCGTCCATCGCATATAATACTCTCCATCCCCAGCGATTTTGGTTTCCGTGGAGACATTCACTCTTAACCGTTTATTTTCCTCCAAGACAAAATCAAGCTTGAATCCATCTGGAATATCGCCCACATACGGCGGGTATCGGGAACCAGTCGTGTTCGGGCTCCCCGTGGGACGAACAGTGAGGATCGAGACATCGCAAGCATCTACGAGAATCTCGCCATCACGAGCGACGAAGCTACTCACATAGGTTGTGTTCGTTGGGTCGTTGATGGCGAGGTAACTGAACCAGACAATCGAGTAGGCTCCGAGTCGGCCATGGCCCCAGTACCAGCTTCGGACGGACTCGGTGAAATTTCGATCGGACCAATTCTATTCGTATTGTGGTCAGTGATCATTTCTGGCGGGGTTGGAGGCAGCGCCGATTTACCTTGTCATGATAGGCAGCGCCTTCGAATTTCAATTGAGTCCCCTGGATGGTCACGTCGACGGAACCTACGGCATCGGGTACCAGATTCACCCACCCGAGGTGAGGAGCAATCTGCAACGGCGTAGTATCAGACTTTATACCACAGGGTAGATGAGGGGGGGGCTTTCTGAATCAGTCGTCAGCAGATGAACAAGGGGAGGAAAAGGCAGATAGAAAAGAAGACGAACCGACGTGAAACTCAATTTGCCCTTGACATCCAACTCTGGCGAATCCACCAAAATCTCATAAGCAGATAGATCCTCTTTTGAGGCATTCCATCGAAACCCAGTGTCCTTCCACATCCCCGAATTAACGTTCCCATCAGCCTCTCCCTCTCCACCAATATCAACCGTCGCCAGCGTCGCAGGAAGATAACCCGCCCACGAAGACCCATTGCGAAAGGAAGCCCAAGCATAGGCGATAAGCACAGATTCCTGCGTTGAATCCAAAAAGGGAAACGCATCAGCCGTGGCGGTAAAAAAGGTCAAGACGAGCGATTCGCGTGGATCATCCAGGGAAACCGCATCAAAGTACCACCAGTCAAAGACGGAGCTATTGATTGAATCGAGCATCGGTGCATCGAGGCTCTGTCGGCTCTGAATGCCCAATATGCCACCGGGGGTGTCGACTTCGAATCTTGCATGGGCTGATTCGTTCTGGACTGTTGCTGGAATGCGATAGGTCAAATGGGGGGTGGAGAATGTTGATGCGAAGCCCGGCGCGAATGCTGCAGCGGCTGTCAGAATGACAGCCCAGCTCAAGGTGAATACGGCCATCATGAAGGCACTCTGACGAGGATTAGAGTGGATTAGGAGCAAGGAGCGAAAAAATAAAGAAAAAACAAGGAGAATGGAAAAACAGGAGATTCGCTTCCACTACGGGGAAATGTTCGCTCGCTTGTTAAGTCCTCAGCTGCGCAGCGCAGTGCAGTACAATACTCCGTACAGTGCAATGCAATGCAGGCCTCGGTTATAAGTACAGCGCAGGATCTGAAACCCACCAGATCGCTCGATGGTGCCACAAAACGCCTCTGACGGTTCGCCGGCAGCAGGCCTTTTGACTGGATCTGACTGGAACAGGGCCACACCGGGCGTAGAAGTAGATAAAGAGATCCTTCAGCGGCTTGGCGGAGAGAAAAGAGCAATCCTGGGCAAGGGACGAGATGTTGAGTGGATATCAAGGGGTAGAGTGGCATCGATCGAAATAACCTTTCATTGTCTTCGAGGGGGAAACGGGGAGGATTACGAGGGCAAGCGTAACAGCAACACAAGACAAGAACTGAAATGAAATGAGATGTCAATAATTGCACAGTTGCTATATACCATCAAAGCACTGGACTTGAAAGACCAAGCGTGCTGGATCATGTCACAGAGAGAAATCAAGTACACACGTCACACGTCAGGCTAGTAATCAATCAATCAATCAATCACAAAAAGAAAATGGAAAGAGAACGTGAATCGGAGAAAAACCAAACACAAAGATCAAAAAAAATACACAGCCCATCCCAGATGCCCAGTTCACCTTCGCCAGAAACAAAGCTTTCAAAATCAAGTCAAATCAAATCCAGTAATATCAATCAAATCAAAATAAATCCCCGACTCCCCCAGGCCACTGTGGGTCCCCGATCCGTCGTCCGCGTTTCCTCCCCGAAAATAGATACAGGTGGGGAGGGGAGTACCCGATGGTCGATGGTAGATGGTATGTGGTATGTAGTAGATGGTATGGGAGCAACGGCGGATGCGGAGATGCCACAGGGATGCAGAAACCGATCAATTCACTAGACCCGCCCGTTGAGGATGGGGCTGCCGTCTTCGCTGTGGCCTTCTCCTTTGAGATCAGGGTTGTGGTTGGTCGAGTCCGAGTCGCCGTCCTTGCCGCAGCCCTTGACCAGAATGTGCCTCTGTGAGAAGTTAGTTGGGGGGGGTTTCCAAGGTGGTTTAATGGTAATATATGGAGAAGTGGATTCCATATATGCAGCATACCTTGAGGGCATCCTTTCTGGAGAAACTCTTATCGCAGTGCGAGCATGGGAACGGCTTGACGGCCAGATGAATTCGCTTATGCCGCTTGAGATCGTGGTTTCGATTGAAACTCTGAGGGCATTGGTCGCATTTGAATGGACGATCGGCCGCCGGGGCGGGCATGCCATGAGGTGGCGGATGGCCCCCATAGAGATGCTGCGCACTGGCGACATGTCCGCTGTTGAAACCCGGCAGCAACCCCGGTTGCATGCCGCCCATCATCGACATGGGGCTGTTGGGACTATGGACATTGGTCATGACGGGTCCATTCATGGCGGGGAGCGAGTACGATGGCCACGGTTGACGCGGATAGGCGAGGGGCGGTTGGCCGCCGGGACTTTGTGCAGACATGCGCGCCTGCGGATGAATGCCCAATCCAGCGGGGCTCATGGCGGGGGGGCCGCCATACATCGGGGAGAAGCCGGTTTGATGCGGGCTGGGCATATGGGGCGATGTACCGTACATCGGAGGTCCTTTCGGGGTGCCATAGGGATCGTTGGATTGCAACGGGGCGGGCGACGTCGCGTGGCCGTGGCCGTGGCCGTGGCCGTGACCTTGATAGAGAGCCATGGAAGACGGGGGAGCGGGCAAAGCCTGTGGGAAAGTCAACGAGGGTGTCTCGAATGGCTGCGACAGCCCATCCGCGGAAACGGGAGCCATCGCGATGGCCGAACGACCCACCATCCCAGACGGCGAGTAGGAGTTGCGTTGTGAGTAGGCCGGGTTGATCCCAGACCACGAGACGGCACTGGTCCCTCCTGCGCCCGCCGTGCCCGTCCCTTGAGCACCGTATGGCGTGCTGGGCCAATAGGTCGGCGGCAGATCGGACGACGAGACTGGGGCAAGTGAGTGGGACACGGCGGTCTCGCCAGACTGGTTTGTGGCCGGGGGTGTCAGCAGGTTGCCCACACTCACATTGGCGGGAGGATGAGAAGCCGGGGGGAGATTGTGTTGACTATGATGCAGATTGGAGGGTATCGAGGACCACTTCCCGACGGGTTGGTTCGGGTGAATATTGGTGGAGTAATGGGTGTTGTGGGCGTTATGGGCGTTGGGATTGGCGTTGTTGGTGGCCGCCAGGGCAAAGGGTGGCGGAGGCAACTCAAAGCTGGGGAGTGTCGGAGCCGCGGGACGACGAGTATTTAATGTTAATGAATGGGCGGCCGATAAGTCCAAGGCCGACCCCATCGCCGGGGTGGCAGACGGATTGACGGCGAGAGTCGCCAGGTTGGAGGTGTCGCGAGCGAAAAGCTCTTCGGGGATGGCGGAGGGAAGAACGGCAGCAGCAGCCACAGGTAGACCGTACGAGGCAGTTCCGTGTAAAGACCAATCTCGAGCTTCAGGTAAGGCCCCCGAAGGGCTCGAAGGATCCAGGAGGGGCGAATGTCGATCGCCGAGGGTTGCGATCGGAGAGCACTGCGTGACAGTGGAGAGTGGTGGCGGTGGTGGTGGAGAGGATTATCAGGAGATTAAAAGGAGGAGAAGAAGGAAAAAGGAGGTCACGGTCGAGAGCGCATGATAAAATGGGGGGGGGGAGGTGAGGTGTGAGTGTAGAGCGTGTAGAGAGTTAGAAGAGAGAAGAGAAGAGTGGAGCGTGGCGTCGAGGCGCGCGGGGGAGGAGAATATAAGGAGGAGCGTGAGAACTCGAACAGTTAGGGATTTGGGTACCCTAGGGTAGTCTAGAGATATCAGAGTTAATTTGGGCGATAGCATATAGTATTATAAAAAGAATAAATCGGTCTGGACGAGAAGGGTTAGAGTAAACGAGTTGAGTAAATAAGGAAAAAAGAATAAAAAGAATAAAAAGAATGGATAGGCCCACGGTCGGTGCGGGCCTGGAACGTGGTTGACACAAGAGATTCTCCTAGCGAGCATCGCGAGCTAGTAGTCTATCCGAGGAGTATATAGTAGAATAGGATATACGATATACGATATACGATATACTATTCTATAGTATCAGTCTTAGTATCCTAGAACATTATCAAATAATATTTACAGAACCATTAGGGTTTTAGGGGACCAAAAGAGAGGGTTCTGGTGGTGTTGGTGGTGGTGTATGTGTATGTATATGTGTATATGTATGTATATACACATAGTAAATGTGTATGTGGGTAAAGTATATGCTGTATAGTGTACCGTAGGTATACAGTATACACTGTACGGTGTACACTATACCGCGTATAGCATAAACAGACATCTCTGGCGAGCGGACGGAAGCATCTGATTGGTCCATCCCCCCAATTCACCGGTCATCTGCCACTTTCGGCCCCCACCCGAGACTTCACTCGCTTTCGGTCTAAGACCAACCCTCTCTTCTCTCTCCACTCTCCTCCACTCTCCTCCACCAATCGTTCCTCGTATCCAGTCCCCAGTCCCCGGGTCGTCGGGCCCAGATCGCGGAGCGAAACAGAGCGAGAGGTTAGAGAGGTTTGAGAGGGTAGAGAGGTAAGACCTAAGGTGAGATGAGTCCTCCTCCCTCCCTCCTTTCCTCCCCTTGTATGGTCCCTGATCCATGGTCCATCCTTTCATCCCCACTTCCCATATGGCAAATCTATACGGATGCGTATCTGACTAGACTCTGACTAGACTCTGTCTCCTCCGTCTACTCCGTACTTCTCCGCCTCTCGATCAATCTCGCCTCCTCTCGCTTCTCTCTCTTCCATGGAACACCCCGCTGTCAGGCAAATGGCAAAGTTCGATTTGGGCACCTGGCACCTGGCACTGGCACCTGATGGATCCATCGCTCGCTCCGTCCCGTTTGGCGGTGCCTGTGCTTTGCTTGTGCTTTTGCCTCTCCAGCATGCCGCGCATCCCTAGTCTCCTCTAGCCTCTCCTGGGCATGCCGTAGACTCCTTTTCCACTTTACTCGTAGTTCTGTACTCCGTACTCCGTAGTTTGGGATTTGATGAGTCCACGGGATGCCCCACTGCATCGCAATCGGGTCTGCATGGGTTCGTGCAATTGCCCACTGCCAGGGCAGTGGGCAAGATTGCATACCATAGATAATAATCAGAATAATCATAATAATAGGAAATAATACAGTAATCCCACTCCCATGACTCCGTAGTCCGGACAATATCAGCAAAGTAATTTAAAAAGGGGCAAAGAAAAGGCAAAACTTAGACACGGAGCTCCCGGAAGGGTCTCCGTGCATTCTTCCCATTCCATTCCACTCAATCCTTTGTCTCTTTTGTTTCTAGCGTCTCGGGTATTCAGGGCTACAGGGCTCCAGGGCTCCATCGCTCCAGTCCAAAACACCCGAGGGTCGCAGTGCTCCGTCGTATCGCTAACAGTAATAGTCTCGGACGGCCTACCACTCTCGTCTCGAATTCCGGAACAAAGCAATGTAAACAAAGGCTGGGAGTACAGTACGAGTAGGAAAACAGGAAATAGGGGAGGCCATACGGTGATACTCTCTGAACATGGGAGTATCACCATCCACACTCCCACCACCACTCCATCACCACCACGATCGTCGATCACAGCCCACCATCGATCCGGTCCATCGCCGATTTGCTGTCGGGCTCCAGTCTCATGCAAGGCGGCTCCAGCTCCGGTCCTGGCCCTGATGTGACAGCGCGAGTGGATCTCGCTCGAGCCATGCGATCGTCAAATCCACGTCGGTTCATCCCGGTGGCTTCGGGCGTCGCGGCTGGCGTCGACGCCCTCCTGCCGATCCATCGCCAGTGGCACTCTCCTAGCCAGTGCCAGTGCTCCTTGCGACTGAACCCGGGAGATCTGCACTGACTGTTGTAGTGTGGGTATACAACCCCAGTACGGAGTACGGAGTACTCCATAGTCTGTAGGGCAGAGTGATGGAGTTGGCTGAGGGGTGATGTGGGTGAAAGGGGTGGTGATGGTTGTGGGGAGCCACCTGCAGTAAGTACTAGTACTGTGTAGTGTGTACATAGCAGACCCATCCATATTATTGCTTCGATTCTCTCTCCTTCTCTCTTTTTTCTTTTTTCTTTCTTTTTTTGGGGGGGTTTTTCCTTTTCTCCCAGAGCTGAGAGTGGAGCAAGTGATGAGTCGAGCGTCCGCGGCAAACAAACCACCGGTTGATGGAGCAACGACTGCGGGTAATACGAGATGCGATGGAGTGCTCTAGAATATATAGATAATATAGATAATATACGGTATAATATTATCTACATACATTTACATGTTCAAAGCTCAGGCTAGGTGCGCAGTACCTAGACACTAGTAGTATGCAGCGTTCCTTGATTTCCAGGGAGAGGCCATCCTCCAGAGCTACTACTAGTACATATTATATAGTATTCAAGTTCCTAGTATATTCCAGGCACAAGCCAGTGTAACTTTGTACTTGGACTTGTTGACACTCGACCGTAATAATCATTCTAGAGGCTATCGTGGATGATACTACTACTACTACTACTACTACTACCACCTACCTAGGTAATAGTATAGTAACTCAGGTGGAAGCAGGATATATAGATGTACCTGCTACCTACTACTAGTACATAGCAGAGCACTATATATCTTCTCTGCCAGTGGCATCCGTGACCCGGACCCGAACTTGAACGACAGAGGGACTAATACTTGCTAGTATTGAACATACTATATTCTAATAGTAACATCTAATCTAATACTACTACTACTATTCATCCTGTTCTCGAATGTTTCGATGACATCATCTGGCGGGGTTGACTCCAACAGTTCGCACTTCCAACACTTCCACTTCCACTTCCACTTCACTCATTTACTCATTTACATCCCACCACTACCACACCATGTCTGGAATTAGCAAAGCCTGCTGCTCGTTCGTCTCCAATGACTACCCACTACCACTACCCCATGCATCCACACCCACTGACCGTGACAACAGCATCCCACCTGTCGTGTCCAAGGGCTACCAGGCCAAGGGCAGCTACCAAACCATCAATGGCCTGAAGACATGTATGTGGAACTTGAACTTGATACACTCCAGTGCACTCTTCTCCTTCCAATGCGCGACGCTAACCTCTTGAACCACTCCAGACGTCACGGGCCCTGAGACTGCCACCAAGGCCATCCTGCTCATCTACGGTAAGTCCTACCTACCCTTCCACCTGGAAACTGACACAGAATACATCGCTAAAAATCCAACTGGTAGACATCTTCGGCTTCTTTGACCAAACCATCCAAGGCGCCGACATCCTCGCCACCTCCAACGACCAGAAATACCGCGTCTACATCCCCGATTTCTTCGAAGGCAGTCCCGCCGACATCTCCTGGTACCCCCCCACGACCGACGAGCACAAGCAAAAGCTGGGCAACTTCTTCCAAACCCAGGCCGCCCCTCCCAAAATTCTCTCCAAGATCCCCGACATCGTCAAGGAAGCCAACCAGGCCGCCCCCGGCGGAGCCTTCCAATCTTGGTCCATCCTGGGCTTCTGCTGGGGCGGAAAGATCGCGGCCCTCTCCGTTGGTGCCGATAACAAGATCTTCAAGGCAGCTGCACAGTGCCATCCCGCAATGGTCGATCCCAATGATGCCAAAGCCATCAACGTACCTTTTGTCTGTCTGGCGTCCAAGGACGAACCGGCCGATGACGTGAAGGCCTTCAAGGCGAACCTGACGGTGCCCAACCACGTGGAGACATTCCCGACGCAAATTCACGGTTGGATGGCCGCTCGTTCCGATCTGGAAGATCCCGAGGTTGTCAAGGAGTATGAGCGTGGGTACAAGACGGTGCTGGACTTTTTCCACAGTCACGCTTAAATGAGGTGCATAGTTGGACTCGACATGGGATGAGTAAGATGACGAATTCCCCGACTAGCTACGCATCGAGTGAAAAATGAATTTATGTGCAAAGCCGAGTATTTTCCATTCCAGTGGAGAAAGTAGTGTTTCGAGTAGACGAACAACGAACGAAACCTTAGAAATTGACTCTATCGCCGCTCAACCAAATACCAACTAGGGTCTAGGAGCTTAGATATTTCAAAAGAATACTTTTTACCTGATTCTCGATCTGCAATCGGCCCAAACTCGGGTATGTCGGCCCATTTGCCGTTTGCCGTCCCCGTTGCAGTTTGGCAGTTCCGCCCCGTGCCGAGGATCAGTGGGGCCTTCACCCTTTGACTACTTCAACTTCAACCCACTTCACTACACGGCCTGCATTGACACAGCATACGCTTGCACTGAACATAATATATCATCCAAGCGCATTTGATATGTGCTAGGCGACTCTCTGATGCCTCTCTTTGGGCGACGTCGTTCTCTGTCGCTGGCCGACGAGGGTAGCAGCACACAGCACCTTCCATACCATCCGGCTTTGGGCCCCCCCCCGAAGCGAAAGAAGGAATATTTCATGGACTATTTCGCAGACGTAGCGAAAATTCGCTATCTCCGGACTCACCCCAGCGTGAAAGAAAGCAGGTTGGTACACTCACTCAATCTTCTCCCATCCTAGTCACGAGAATACTGACAGGAATATAGAATCATCAAACCCCGTCTCATAGCGACCTAGACAGATCTCAGAGACGAAAAAGCCGAGATGAATCTTGTCACAGCTCCGGAGATTTCACCTCAAGCACCCCAAATGACGCGTCGGCTGCAGCTCAGACCGAGCCAAAGCAACCGGGGAACATCCAGGATTATCTGGAGCACCGACTTGACATGGCTAGCAAGCCACGAGAAGACCCAGATTCGAATGTTCCCTTGGAAGACCGCATTCTAAGCAAAAAGGAGATCATGGCGATCCTCTCAGGAGCACCACATTTCTTGCTGGAACGGGGCAAGCATAAACGCTGGTATCCCCAAGTTATTTTCCCTTGGGATGATCATAATCCATCGGTCCAGCGCATGCTAGATCGCAAACCCCTTTCCCACCCGGCATTCACATTATGTACACTTCATGCGCATCTTCCCGTACCAGACGACTGGGCCGTGAGAGGGGGTGTACCAACTCCAATCGAATGTTGGGGTCGAAGCGACGCTTCCAAAAGAGCCACCTTCGACGTTGGCATATTTGAAGTCCCAAATATGCTTGGAAATAATGGCCGAGAACCGGGGACTGTAGGCTTCCGACATTTCCTCGAATTGCCAATCTCGGATGCAAGACAATACACTGGCCCGGAAGAGCCACGCGAGGCTCCCAACCTCGTGAGCCTGAACTCTCTACCAGCAACGGAGGCTTTTGATATCATGGAAAACTACAACAGACCGTACTCGCAGTGCCTGAGCGGAGCCGTCTATGACCGGCGACAACTGATCCGAGATGGTCCGAATGCCTGGAAGCGCATCGGAGTCCGCGACATCAACTTACGATCTTTGGCAAACCGGATCAGTCGTTTGCAGCACATTCGTCGCGATGTGCTCCTTGATGGTTCAACAAGTACCATACTCGATTTCGAAACATCACACGAGCAGTATAACCTGCTGCATTCGCAGTTTCTCTATCCCCGCCCGCCACCGGCGGACGTGATGCCAGGACACCCTCAAAGTATCAAGTCTCAGATCAAAACCTTGGCCACGGTGTTGGCTACTCCTGGAGCATGGGTGAATTTCAGCTTGCCGGAATGGCGCTTTCGGGCCGGTCAGCTACTTTGGGAAGTGCCTCGTCAGGGAACAGCCTCGAAGACGTCAAAAGAACCATGGATAAATGATGGTATGGAGAGGAAGTGGCTGTTGGTTCAGCTGCTTCTTGCAGCCGAGCTTCTAGTTCGCCTGGATGCCTTTGTCCGCATTGACATGCTACACGATCCCCATGGTGGCCAGGTGACCGTTCAAGAAGTATACAACTTTGATAAACTCTGCGAAGGCAAGGTGAACTGGGATCTTGTTGTCGTACGTCGCTTTCTTGACAATCTCGAGATCGAATGCCCATCGAACTCGCCAGCGGCGGCGGCTGAACCAAATACACCCACCAAGACGGCTCGATTTTCTTTTTTTGAGTCCATCGGCCGTCATATCTCTTCTGCCACAGAAAAAGCCGACCTATGCTCCCCCTGGCAATGCCATATAAGCTCGCCCCACACACGCCAACAACTTGAAGGGTTATATAACTTCGCCGAGAATATCGGCTGGCCAAAGATGGATGCGATACGGTCTACCTTTGAAGAAAAGCTACAAAGAAACAAGAGTATATTCCTCACTCAGCCGAACAACATCCCTCGCGACAAGGAAAATGCACCCAGTCAGTCCAGTGCGGCGCTATTGGTCGACGCAAAGGAAATGTATAGCCGTAGCCCATCACGCCGTTGCGTTCGGCTCCACAGCGCGTGTCCAGAAGATGGCGATCTGCAAGACGGTGAGCCCTTCGGCTGGATTTCTCGAAGCTGGCTGTCTGGATTTGTGATTCCTGGAGAAGCCATCTGCCACCTCCTAATTGGGACGCTACTCGAAAACGATGAGGAGGCGATGCAGCAGCTTGGCGCGATGGCGAATCTCTACGGTGGCTTTGCCTACGCAGGACGCAGTTGGTGGAGCAAATCGTGCATTGTTGGGCGTGTCTTGTCTAGTCTGCAGAATACCAAAACTTCCATGGGGTGGGTCGGGAGTGATATACTTCCCCGCGATGCAACTACATTGGAGGTGCTAGGAAATGGTTGGTTTGAAGTTGCGGTCGAAAACCCGTTGGAGCGGACGTTGAAACCCAGAATCAAGCAAGGAGGGAAGCTTGCGGCTGAGTCGACACCGCTGGGGATGGGAGATATCACAGCCGATGCATTCACTTTGCCCATTGACCTACCAGCGCCAGCGACAACTACCGTCAGCGTGGGTGCATTGACCTTGTCAGTCAGCACCTTGATTAATCGAGGCATCACAGCCAGTGAGGAGACATCGCTTTCTTTCTCCTTGCAGGGAGAGGGAGATTCCTCGACTGCAGTATCCTTCCCACTGAAGCATAATGTGCGGTTTATATCAGCCCATAGATGCCGCCCACCGCTCAGCTTTACATCACACCATCACCCTCACCACGACCAACCATTGGAAGACGATGCTGCGGCTGATAACAGCCAAGAGAAATCCTCGACGTGGGGTCAGTATACACGTCTCCCGGGGCATCCCTTACACCGGTCTTTCCCGTATCAACATGTGCAACTTGACGCCCTCCCCAACCATCGGGGCCCGCAAGCCACAACAGGGTCCAGTGCAGACAAGGAAGTGCTAGTCATCGACGCCCGTGGTCCTCGAACAAAGGAAACTTTTGTGCGAGCCTGGTGTGCCTCAATTGGCAGCCACGCGATCATCGGTCGTGCGGGGCAAACCTGCGTGGCATGTTGTGTGCGAGAGGCAAGGGCAGTGGATGTTCAGATCGTGGTGCGAGTCGGGGAGTGAGCGAGCGAGATTTGCCTTCAACCGTCGTCACAGCACTAGCGATCATCTCACCATTATCCTCTCGCCATCGTCGTTGATAAACATTAACTCGCCGCTTCGCGACGATCCCTTCCACATGGCTTGTCAAGAAAGGGGGGGCAAAAAGAAAAGACGCACCAGGTGGCAAAATAGAGAAGTAGGTACTAACTCCGTAAAAGAGGGGGAGGAGGGGAAAATGAGTAGCTTTCCTCAATGGCAGTTACTATGCGAAAGCTTTACTCTGTGATTTTGACTTCCCCGTCCTGTTTCGTGGGAAACATATCTCGGCGTTTCGCCGGTAAGCCCCTATTTTGGGGGGAGAAGATGTACCATGACCTACTACGGCGTAGGGCAGATTGGGTCCCCATTTACCCGTTCGAGCCGGTGCGAGACTTCGGGGAGAAGAATCGATAAGCAAGCCCATCATTTCACAATTAAGATGAGCTCTGGTCACCGCGCGACACCCAGAAAGGAAGGAAAATCAGGTAGCCGAACTTCCAGAACTCCATTGCATCGACAACATAGTGGCACGCATGTGGCAGGGAACCACTTCATACATAGTTATGTCGGGAGTCAAACCAATCAAAATGGACAGGGAAAAATGAGCCATGTCCATAATCATGCTAAGCAGAGCGAATCAAAAACACCAGGGAACAGGAAGACATGTCCACCCCAAGCTCCCCGATTAGGATCCACGCATAGGGCAGTGCAGACCCAGAGGAAAATTTTTCTTCCTGGGGGACGCGTAAGTGCGAGTTGCAGATGTACGTCAAACGGCCAAATAAGGACAAGGGCCCGAAAATGGTGAAACGACGGACTCCCCGTTGGACCCACGCCAAGGGACCAGTGAGGGTCTTACATCGAGGGCCCACCACGATCGGAATACCCGGACAGATCTCAGAAGACGGAGTACGGAGAGGAGAGGGGATGCTGAAGACGTACTGTATCTTCTCCGTGCTCCGTAGAGGGAGTGTAGACGCGAGGCATCCGATCTAAACTTTGGGATATGGAGACTCCATACTCGAAGGATGGACTGTACTAGTAGTAGTTATAGTTTGTCACAGAGTCTACTGTACATACACCCCCTTGGTGGAGTTGTAAATCCTCGAGTGGTCGTCTTTCGCTTTCCATTTGAATGATTCATGTCATCCAGTCCTGGACAATCTAGGGTTTCCGAATTACTATCCGAAAAGGACACCGTGCGGAAGCTTGCCATGACATACGAATACTCGTACTCGCCGAACCAGCCACAAGAAAGCAATCGAGACATGATAGAAAACATCCATCCTCCGGACACTAGCATCTCAAAGCAGTACCAATGCCGAAGGATTCTACAGAGAAGGTGTGGGCAGACAAGAACAGTGGGCAGACAATCGATGCAGGATGCGCGCCATAAAAACCAAAGAAGCAATCCCGCGCCCGGCAGTTGGATTTTGGCAGGCAGCCTGGTTAGTTTGCTAAACCTATTGTAGTCTAGTGAGAGGGTCAAGCGTGCACGTCAGCCAGTCGACGGAGATGTTGTCCGGATAGAAAAGGGTCTGTACGAAAGGTTTGTAATAGTGTTTGAGATAGGTATAAGATGTCCTACGAAAGTGTTGGATGATTCTGTGGAGTTGGAGTATAGCTACCAGCCAACTTAAAATCCACCCGCCTGCTATCATCTTGGAACTATCTACTGATTTACTGGTTTCGTACGGATGATTACTCTACTAGTGGTTAGAGGCGAGCCAAATCGGATGTCTCAGATGTCTCCAGGATCCAATTCAGCCCTGGACCCTGGTTTCATGAACCGATCGCCGCGACGTTTCAACCGAGGGCCGAAGCTTTCCTTTTTTGCGCTCTTTTTTCCACCTGATTTTCGATTCTACAGTATTTTATTCTCCGACATGTGGCCGGAAAAAGCCTGAGTTCCACACCAGATCTCGCACCAACTGCAACTGCAAATGCACCCCGACCTCTTGGGATACATATTTGCCCCTCCTCCCTTGATGGCCAATCACCAACCGACTTCTGGCTTGTAACAAGGTCGGGGCTGCCGTCGATCGTGCACCCATAACGTGGCCATGCGGGGCTTCTATCTTCTCCAAAAGGGCGGTCGGAGGAGGAAAGCATACTCGTATGGCTCCATGAGAGTAGGTGGGAATACTCGCACGGAGTGATGCAGACGCAACCACCCCTTTAGGTCAGAATGACGGTCTAAGGTGGTTGGCTACGACCATATTTTCTCTCACATCATTCCAATCCATGAATAGCGCAGATCACGTCGCCAAAAAGGCTGTTAATTTACAGCTCTACTTAACAGATCATCGGGGAGGAGGGGAGGATGATGGAGATGATGGATCAGGAGGAGGAGGGGAAGGGACATCGCCGATGCCCACCCCCTTTTTGGGTTAACTGGCTTCTGATTTGGGGTGACAAGATGACTATCCCCTCTTTGTCCTTCTGGGCTCCATCGCAGATCGCTAGCCCCTTTCCACCACGAGTTGATAGTCCGGATCGTAGAACCTCCCTTTCCCTTCCGAGGTTCCCTTCCGCGTGTTTGCCCCATGCAAAATGGAAGCTCGCTTGAGGCTTCGAAGAACAAAAAAGAACGACGATCGTGGAACACCATACCTCGTTCCGACGGGTGCCAAGGGTCAATTCTGTAACACGCTACGGCGTTGCGACGATCCTTAATTAAACCTTGACCACCGGATCCACCATTGCGGGGCCTCGTTACAGACTCAGACTCGATCGCTTCCTGCATCTGCCCTGCCCCCCCCCCCCCTTCCCTGTCATTGCGAATAACTAGATACGTGCAGTGGTGACCAATGTCTTTTTCAAGCCTTTCGGACTGGGCTCCCACTTGGGCGTAGTCGCTAGAAGCGAAGGTTTCTGGGCGGTGATTTCATACTCGGTTTCCTCCGTGTGAACTAAACCAACAGAGGATGCTCAGGATGCTACCAGGCCTGTACTCCTGATACTTACTCCATCATGTACATACTTTGAGTCGAGGCTGAGCCACTCGAGCTGAACCCTAACCATACTCCATCTAGTCCGTAAGAAAGTTCGATATTAGGATTGACCTGATTGACCGACTGGGGCCTGTCAATCCAAGGTACGATGGGGGGGTCCGATGGGGGCTCCGCGTAACTCTCTGCGGGTACAAAGAGTGACTAAGGAGCGATCCTTGCCCATTGGCGGCTGGATTGGAGAAGCTGTTGGCATGGCTGATTGTTTCAACGCAGTTGAAGTTAAAAGTGGAGGGGGCAAAATAACGTACACGAGTTCGAACCTTGTTTGGTTAAGGGAAGGCGATGTCATCGACATCCACTAGGGAGATTAAGCTATGTCGCTGGTCAAGGTTTGAAAAAAGAAAAGAATCCCCGTCGAAAAGGGGGTTGTAGGCTAGACCAGTGCCGAAATGGAAGGGCAGGGCAAAGTAAAATGTAAAATGATGAACAAAGAGAGGTAGTCTACGGCGTACGAAAGATTAGTTACATTTGTAGCCGAAGTACTCCGCAGTACTCCGTAGATGAAAGCATACGGAGCACGGAGTACAGTACAAATATCCCAAACAGTAGCAGAAAGAAATTAAACGATCTGATTCATTGCGTGCTGGGCTCGGTCGGGGGCTAATACAACATCAGCCGTGGACCCTGAATCTGTTTTTAGCATTGCATCTCTGGTTCGGTAATGGTGGATTTCCGTTTGAAATTTCTCCACGGCGGACTCCGATGTGTCTACCAGAGATTAATGTAGGCAGGGGAATCTTGATGAAGCGGTAATTTCTTCTTCTTTTTTCTTGAAGGCGTGGAAGGTTAGGAAAATCGATCCCAATTGTACGGCACACTATACAAAATGACGCTATACTGTTTGGACCGATAGACTGTCTTCTCGAAGCCACCAAGGTTCTAGTCTAGTGTGATCACCTCCGAAAATAACCAGAGAGAGAAGGTTCTTTTTGGAAGAGGGGCCTAGGAACAACAAGCTCATTGGTTCTAAGAGCCGACCCAAGCTCGCATCGCCAATCAACCCGGGACTTTGAAGGACGCATTCCCCAGTTCATCAAGGATTGACAGGTGCATAACAATACTACATAGTACTCGTACCCAGCTGGAGTTGGGTCTGGCACAGAGGACAGGGCCTCTGACCACATGCATCCACCCACCCCACTGTGTCAGGGCTCCCAGACCATGGTTCCTCGTCGCCTCATTTGCCATGAACCAGCCCTGGGGGTCTATCGTACGCAATCAGGGGCTATTCCAAGTTACATAATCGGGGCCATGGCGGTACGGGAATGTACATACTCGTGGGCCCCCGACTGCTGATGTACATCTGTCCATTAGATGTGTTTTCCATCTTGCCATCGGGGCAAACGAATTGAGGAGGTATTGAGTTAAGAAGTAGTCGGGGAAAAAAGGAGATACGCACTACTAGAGTCTATTTTGAAGAACCAAGTACCCCAAGTATGAATCCAAAAGTAAATCTACCTAAAAGGAAGTTCTCCCCCTGAGATCATCGATACTCCATGACCTGCAGTTGAGTTGGGCCAAGTCGATACATCCCTCTTCGTCCTAGTGTCGGTCTGATGCAGAGCCACTGTGTTCCACGTCTGGTGGAATAGGTAGAAACTGTGGGATTTTAAATTTTTTGGGATTTTCTTTTTTGATTTTGATTTTTCCCTTTTCCCGTTTGAATCATATTCTTTTGTATTTTTATTTTTATTTATTTTTTTTCTGAACAGCAGTCCCTCTCCCCCAAAAATTAAATAACAAAACCAGTCCTTGGGTCGTTTCACCCCGCGATTAGCTTGTTCTTCTCCCTCGACTCTATAGGACATCTTTCCTACCCTTCATCTTTTTTTTATTTTTATTTTTATTTTTTATTCTCGCCATCCACTTCATTCACTCCTTTGGCTCTTGATTCATCCTTTTTTTTATTCCTTTTTATATATCTTTTTTTTTTTTACTAATCTCCTTCTGGTGGTTGTCTTCTTTTGAAACTGTTCGATCTCCAAACCATCACGCGCCAATCTAGAACCCTAACCAACAACCCCCCCTTTCAATGAAGCACTCTAATTATACTCTATAATTATCTCATTGATTAATTGCCTACCACGGTATCAACGTGGATTTTGCGGACCATCTCAATTTATTCTCAACCATCCTCACTTGCTCCATCGCGACAATTACAGTGCCTCTTTTTACTCTCGAAACACGGCGGAGTCTCCCCCCCCCTCACCCTCCACCGTCGCTTTCTCTCTCCCCTCCTTTCCTCCCACCTTTTTCGATACACGTCGACAGGCCTCTGAAACACGCGATAATTCAGACACTGCCGCATCGATTTACCGGTGGATCTCCGAGTATACTCAAAACAATTGGGAGGAGGTTATTCCGGCGCATTATCCATTTCACCCTCGACCATCTCCAACCCTCTCTCCGCGTGGCCTGAATGGCCCACCTTTTCCACTTGAATCGCTCTACTCTGTTCTCGATACCTCCTCGTGCGCTTTTGATGCGCCTGGGTCTGTGGTGGTGGTAATATTTCGCTTTTGCTCGTGGGAGCTATGCCCGCGGTCGTCGAGGCGATGGCAACAACACCGAATTCCGCTATGGACAATGATAAGAAACGCAATAAGTTGGGATATCATCGGACATCTGTCGCATGTGGTCAGTCTCCATCCTTGAGATTCTAGTTATCTTTTGCACATTGCGCCGACCCCAGGCGATTTGTGAAATGCGAAATGCGAAATGCGAATGCGAATGCGCTGCTTAGCACATCACAAGTATTCACATGCTCATACTTTTTTTACCTCGCAGTGCATTGCCGGCGTCGCAAGATTCGATGTTTAGTCGCGGCGGACGATACTCAAGGTCGATGTGAGAATTGTATTCGGCTACGTAAGGAATGCCAGTTTTTCCCAGTCGATCAGCAACCGCCAATTGAGAAGAAGTCGCGGCCAAGTTCGCGATTGGAGTCGCAACCGGGGGATCACTCGGTGACAACGCCTATTTCATCTTCCCCAACCAACTTGAACCCGGATTCCGTCGAAGCTTTCTATCCGTATTCGCCAATGTCAATGAATGCGTCTTCCGGGCAGGATATGACCGGATTTAACCCCGCTGGATATCCTGCAACCCCGATGTCGGGATTCCCAACTGGTAGGTATCGAATATCGATCGATGCGCTTGCGCTACCCCGGAATATTGCGCGAAACTAGTTTTCTTTCCAAGGATTTAAGATCTGACCGAACTGTATAGACCGAGCCATGGCCCCGGGAGAATTCTCCGGCCATCCAACAATGGAAACCGGGGTGCCCTGGGATGAGTTTACAACGATATCCGACCCCCCAGATACTAGCCACAATAGCCGCCAACAAAGGACAAATGATGAATCTCGCCCCCGGTGTCTGGAATCCAAACGGCATGCCTCCAGGGTCAGGTCTTCCTCCAACATCGCCTATGTCTGGCGCATCACCAATGGCAGCTCAAGCACAATCTATGAACCCGACTCCAGCATACACCATGCAACCCGATGGATCTGTTTGGCCAGTACCGCCACAACAACCGTCGCGAACAATGAGTTATCCCGGTCAAGCAGACATGAGCTCATCGTATCCGAGTCAATTCCCGCAACATCAGCAGCAGCAGATGCCACCAGACCTCAAGCGAAGGATGACGACTCCAACACACCACCCCGGATCAAACCCTGAAATGCAAGCCGGACCGGGTTCAGTCTCTTACCCACCCCAAGCAGGCATGGGATATGCCCAATGGCCCATGAACACTATGCCCGTGAACGTGGTTCCATACCCGATGTACACGGGTGAAGCAGTTCAGCAACCTCCATACCCCCCAATGGGACACCCGCCAGGTCGATCAGGTCCCTAACAAAAGGAGGGCCAGGGGTGCATCTCAACATCATGAAAGCCGAGTCCCTCCAACGGCACTTTGCCAACCATATTCAATTCTCCTCCCTTCAACCTTCACTTCGAGTTAGGTCATTTGTCACCTTACACCATTCCTAGACGGCTTGTTTCATTTCTAATACCCAGTGGGATACACATCTGTTTATCACAATCTCGTGATTCTTTCTCTTCACATCCATTCCCCCATATCCTCACCGTTATCATACCTCTTTTGATCTTTTCTTTTTCGCCTTATCCTCATACACCGTGGCAGATCTGCTTTCGCAGCTAGTCATTAGCGGGCGCAAGGGTTTCCGGGTGGCATATTCATGCATATTCTTTTTTTTCTCTCTCTTTTCACATGGCATGGCCCATCTTGTCTGGCGGGCTCTTTTCTTTATCATTTCTTTGCACCGGAGGGCTATTTTTTTTCTTTTCTTTTTCTTTTTCCTTTTCGATTTCCCCCTTTCCCCTTATCATCTTCTCTCTTTTCAATCCTTCTCCAGTTGGTCACACGCTCCTCGATATAACGCGGGCTAACCGCAGAGGATTGTTTCGGGCACCTTATAGACTTTCTTTTGAATTTTTCTCTCTTCCATTTTTATCTTTATCTTCATGTCTACGGCCCGGTGGTACTATACTTGCGTGTGTTAGTTTTGACCACACATTCGAGTGTATACCATTCGGTGTCAACTGGTTCGGGCGACGAGGACTGGATGAAATGTCTCCGAGTTGGTCTCGATTAAACTTGAGGCCCCAGACTCAAGTCGAGACAGACACTGTTATGAGCCACTTTGACAGGAGACAGCCATGTTACGACGTTATTGATTTCACCCGATTGGGATTGCATTACTGTATATATTACATTATATTCGATACATGGAACTGGAACTGCATGTCTACTACTAGCTACTAGCACTGCTTTGAAAGCTACTCAATTTCACTAGATGATAGTCGATGATAATCGGATTAAATGTGATCAAATCACCCCAAGTCCAATGCCCATGTCCATGCCCACTCCTCAACGGTTTCTAAAAGTTCCAGTAGAAGTTTGGATCTAATCTCCACGAGTGGAGCTCTAGCCAAAGTTAATTGCAGATAAGAAGAAACACTGCCACACTGACAGTCGCGCCATGGCAACGGTCGGCCCTACGCTAATTGGGAGTGAATTGCCTCACCTCAGCACACCTCAGGGGTAGCCATTCCAAGATTGTCCGGAGAATCTTCTACTCTGGTGGTAAGATTTGTTACCTTGTTTCTCTCGATTTAAGACTTTGTCAAGAAGAACGGGGATAGCGCAATGACGACGTTAGTCCATCAATACTTAATCTAGGCACTGCTCCGGGGCAATTTCGGCGTCGCGATGATCGCTTGCTTCAGATGGTCCATGCTCCAGCGCCGAAGATGGAGCGAGGCGCGGCCTTGGGCAGCATTGCGCCCCCTGTATTCAAGCTTCATGTGTTCAAGAGGGAGGTGAATGGCGTTGAGTTGAGATTTTCCTTGCCCTTGCTAGTCTGTTGTCAAGCCCACCTGCCTATCATAGACTTTCTCCGGTTGTCTCCAGCAATAATGCCACCGTTGAAGATGGAGATTGTCCGCGACCGACACTCCAAATGCTGTTCCCGGTGTGTGAACTGGTTTGGATCGCCAGAGACAGGTGCGATCCAAAGACAGATAATATTGGTCCCTACGTATGCTGTAGTTTTGAGCAATTCTATGTATACCTCCCAGATCCCATCCCAACCCAACCCTAGTCAGCCCCTGACGTGTGAGTACGACGTTATGATAGTATGATTAGCTATCGGCCCTATGAAAGACAATTGTTCCTCGAATCTACGAGGCATCTCCGAGGAGATGTTGGTTTCGCTGCTAGGATTCGCTGAGACTGACGGTGACGTGATCGATTAGGAGATTCGAGGCTGATAAAGTCGATGGCGTCAGACAAGTTTTGTTCTATCACATCTTCTTCTGCTGCCATAGCATATCAGCCCTTATATGGAGGATCTGTCAGACGCAAGGCATCTCCAGGGTAGATATGTGCAGAGATACCAGGAAGATACGAGTTTTCCCTTCCAATGACAGCGATCAGATGGGTATCTTTCTGTCGACGACACATCGAAATGAATTATCAACCATCCCTGTATCTGCACAGCCTACCAGAGACAGTCTCGCGGGGAGATAAGACCCGGCCGCGGAGACACTGCGGCACGGAGGATCACCCGGGGGATCCGTCGGAGAGCGATTTCTGGGGTTGAAACCTGGAGATAGGCGATGGTGGCTGCTATCAAGGGGTATCAGTCCAGCACCTAGTCAGCGACGAGTGCATCCTCAGTGGCTATGGCAGGGAACAGATCAGAAGATAAGGATCCTTCAACCTGCCCAGGGCCTACCAGGGTAAGGGTTATGGGGCAGTGTTGGTGCAACTCTGATCGTCCCAGCCCCAGTCATTGTTATCAGCGATATGCAGTAGACTTATCTTGGCTGTGAGTTGGTCGAACACAGAATCGGCACCGGTCGGATCTGCCACGATTTCCTTAAGTTTGCTGTTGGGCAGAGTTACGCCTTATCGAAACGTTTTCGGGTGATAAACGCACGGTCAAGGCAACATATAAAGAGCGGTCCCCAGCAGAGGCTGAATTTTTGGTTCTCCAGACTCAGGTCTGCAATGGGGAAGGTGAGAACCAGGGCGAGCTGAGGCAAAAGAATATTCTTCACAAGCCTTCAACAGCAACCTTCACACTATTTTTTTTTTCTGACCTGGCTCGAGTGGAATGAACCGAGTGGTCAACTGGAGTGGATGGTCCATATGCGCGGTGTGATTTCCTTCGTCCACGCTCTGCTCGGGGCAACCCAGCTCTGATATGGAACCTGTCACCTTCCTTAACCGCTGAAATTCACCCATAACCGCAGAAGCCGATCAAAAAAAAAAAAAGCGAGCGAGCTTGAGTGTTCCCCTTCCCCTCCCCTCCCCGGGGATTTCTGGACCGGGAATAAGACGGACACAAGTACCGGCTGTTGACGGGTGGACAGCCCACATCCATCAGTGATGCAGGACGCCACCAGCAGGAGCAGCAGCAGCAGCACTACTAATGGTGGGAGAAATCAAGCGGTATCAGACAGATTGGCGTTATCAAGCAGAGGGTGGCAAGGCAGTGATGACCCCCTGCTAGTGTTGATGGAGCCCCCCCCCACACACGACCGATCCCCGACCACACAGATCAGAGATGGCGTCGAAACACATGCGATAGTCAGACAGCAGATAAGATGAACGGGATTGGGAGTCCAGCCAAGGTACAGCAAGCCAATGATAGGTACGCTGGGGGGGAGATCAACGCGCCTATCAGGATGACCACGGCTAATTAGCATTAGCAGTTGGATTCGCTGTTATCATGCTTATCTCCTGCTCTGCAAGTGGATCGGTGGGGCAATGATGGGCGCAGGATTGGAGATGATGTCGTTGTGAGAGGTCAATGGGTGGGGGTGATTGGATGTATGCAATTGAGGTTATGAGAGAGGAAGAGGAGGGAGAAAAGGAGAAGAAGGAGAGAAGGAGAGTGAGTGAGTACTCAGAGTACTCAAAAGAGTGCAACTCACCTGATCTGTGGGAAAGGGTCAACCTGGATGAAAATTGGAAAGAGCGAATGTCGGAGTTACCGAAAAGGCAACGCCGTTCCTTCCTTCCCCAGGGTGACCAGGTTGACAATACACTGTTATTACCAACATTACATGGGATTACATCCCCTCGGGTAAGATCGGAGCCCGGTGAACAGATGCTCCTCAGCACTAACCCAGCACTAACCCAGCAATATACTTAGTACCACACTCGAGGTTATTGCGGATCCGCTGGCCCTATCCTGGCCCTGAACCTAGCCTCGTCAAATATTCTTATCTCTGGACATTTATGATATACTATTATGTACTGTATACCCTGTTTTGCATTATAAGTTGACTACTGCATGACACAGTAACAGTAGGAATAGTAGACTATGCATGGTATAAAGTAGATCTAGTATACCATACTGCCATTCTACTACTAATAGTATACTATGTCGTAGACTATTAGAGTATATGTTGACATCGCTCTATACTCCGACTCACAGACCATGTCTCCATCCGGAGGAGTTCCAGATGGGCTCCACCAGTATCTGCGGTTCGGAGAAGGCTAGCATCCACTGCCATACAACAAGTAGTACGAGTACCTGGAGCTACAGAGAGTACCAGTATCAGTATATTAGTCTGGCCATTATCTACTTCAAGTCTATATCATAGTAGCATATACTATAATACTATGAGTATACTCTGTATCCCCTGTATACCCATAAACTGTATGTATCGGACTCGGCCCGAAGGCCAGACCGGCCACAGCTTTGGTCAACCGCGCCTGTTTAGCCTCAAATCCACCCACTCCGATTCGTGGACTCTGCAGTCAAGCAGCAGGAGTAATCAAATTATAAAAATAACAAGAGTCGGGATATCCAGTGACAAAGTACGAAAGTGTACGGAGTACTCATAATCCACACTCCATAGAAGAACACATACGAGTATACGGAGTACTCGCAAGTAGAAGAGGGAACGGAAGTGTGGCGTAATGGAAATACCGAAATACCCATACACCCCATACATACGCAGTCCACGAGCGGAAACCGCAGTGCTGGAAAGAGTCGCAGTCGCAGACATATCATCTTCACTTCACTCCACTCTCCATTCCAATTCCCTTTCTCTTTCTTTTCCTCTTTCTCTCTCTCCCCCCCCCAATATCCCCACTCCTCCTCCTCGTGGTCAACTAGTCTCGTCCCCTTCTTCCGAATTGCTCAATCGCCTTATTGAGCATTCTTCTCCCCTTCTGCCTCCGCTCGGCGCCACACCCTCGCCTGTCGCATTCTTCCGGGGCATGAGCGTCTGGAGGGTCTCAGCCCCCCCTCCAACGACTCGACACGACTCCAGACACGGTCAATTTGGTTATACGGGGTTGGAATTTGATGTGAAAGACCTTTCTCAAAGACCCCCCGCTTATCCCACATTGATCGGCCTGGTCGATACAGACCCTGGTCGCGGGCTGCGCCATCCTGCCAATCGTCTGACTTGGCGTCACTCGATCATCTATTCTCGACAAGGGTCTCGTTTACGGCGGGTACGGGGGAATTCCAATTCAAACCGTTTGATTCATTTCCATTCGGGGTGTGCCAGCTTGATCTCCTCCCCCTCCCTTCGCTTTCGCTCCCCTCCTCTCCTTCTCCCCTCCATTACTCCCACTTTATGGAGGGTATCAACCATGCCGGGCATGGGGCCGCCCGACCGCAGAATTCCGGCTTGCCTTTCTTCGGTCTCGACGACCATCACATGATTCCCGATGACTTCTCCTTCGGTTCGCCTTTTAGTCCGACCGACTCCAATCAATCCAACACCAACGATAACCCCCTTCAGGATCCCATTTTTCCGGGAATGGAAGACCGGTGCCCCGCGCGGTGGCGATAACCCCGGTGATTTGCAGAAAGAAGATCCCTTGGCTGCTCAGATCTGGAGGCTCTACACTCGAACAAAGTCCCAACTACCAAACCAGGAGCGCATGGAAAACTTGACCTGGCGAATGATGGCCATGAGTTTAAAACGCAAGGAACGGGAACAGTTGGCTCTGGCTCAGCAACAACAGCAGCAACAGGCGAGGTACCTTGGCCCCATCTCTCACCCCCATGTCTTCCCCCCCCCCCCCCCTCCACAAAAATCCCACAGTGAAATCCGGGGGGGGCACCTTGCTCACCTTGGCTTGCAGGACCGCACAAACGAACACCGAAGATAATAGCCCCGCTCCCAGTGGTATTGCGCAGCTGCGTCTGTCCGACCATGACCACCAGATGAATATGGATACCACCCCGGATGCGATGAACATGGATGACTTTATCGTCCCCTTCGACTCCCCGGTCGAGTATTCCTCACATCCCGCCGCTGACCGCCACTTCACCGCGACTCCTACCGCGGCCTCCGCGTCGATCCCTATCAAGTCCCGTAAAGATCACCAACAGCAAATGGTCGATTCCGCCGCCGCAGCGTCATTCCCACACCCCGCGCCGGACCAGCGGAAAAACAGCGAGTTTGGCTATGTGACTCGCCGAGTGCGCAAGACCAGTGTGGACGAGCGCCAGTTCTTTGCCGGCCTCGCCGTGCCCACTCGGAAACGACCTGCAGAGGCATCTCCTCAGGTGCCACCCGTCTCGAACGCCATGATGGCACAGCACGCCGGGCTGACGACCGGCTTGCCGGATTACTCTCTCGACCAACCCTCCGCCTTCACCATGCCCGGAAATGGTACCGTTGGTGGTGGCCCGCGGCGTCACCAACATCATCACACAGCGTCCGGCATCCCTTTCAACCTGGACACCTTTGGCATGGGCGATGACTCTGCGATCCACTCGGCTGGCCCGTACCAGCAGCACTTCACCTTCTCGCCCTCCGACTCTCCCATGACCGCCAGCAATCCGTTTACCAGTCTTTATGCGCAAACACCACTTGCATCGTCGCTCAACTCCACAGAGTTCTTTTCTCCGCCGCCATCGGGATACCAATCAACGGTTTCCACCCCCCAGCCGATATATGAAGGAGAGCAGTCCATCTTTTTCAATGATGCGTCGACAGCCGAGTCTCAACCACATCGCCGAGTCCCCAACTATATCCAGCAACGGTCGTCCAACTTGTCGGCATCCCTGCAACCGCGTCATATTTTTAACTCGAACGGCGAGTACCAGTCACCGACGTCAGGTCAACCGATTCACTCTGGATTCTCTATGCCGCAGCAGCATGTCGACCCGTCACATGTGCTCGGCAATGGCGAATATTCTACCACTGCGCCCTCAGGCAACATGTTCACTTTTGGTGGTGACTCGGACAATGAAGATGACGACAGCCACACTTTTGAGCGTGGAGGAATCGCCATGCCGAACGATTTCCCTTCTTTGGACGACCCCAGTGACATTGGTGCTGGCTTGACTTGGGATGCAGGATTTCCTGGGTCTGTCCAGTCCTTACCGGGATTCACTGGCCAACATCGCAAACATGTCACCATTGGATCTACTGATATGATCGACGGCCCTGGAGAATGGCAGCACGCAGGAAGCTTGGGTCGTGGGCATGGCTCGGCTGCCTCGGTCAGTGACGTGCGCAATCGCGATCGTCAGCAGAAAATCGCTCGCACCTCGTCCACCCCCAACGCTCAGCAGCTACTCCGCCAAAGCATGAATGGACAGAACAGCCAGCCTCCCACGAACCACCCATCCCCCAGCACCCCTCCTGAATCCGGTCTTAGCAGCGCCGTGCCTTCGCGCCCGCCGAGCCCTGGTGGTTCTAAAAATGGCGATCCCAACGCCGGGCCCACAACGTGTACGAACTGCTTCACCCAAACCACCCCGCTTTGGCGACGCAACCCTGAGGGTCAGCCACTGTGCAATGCTTGTGGCCTGTTCCTGAAGCTCCACGGTGTAGTCCGTCCTCTCTCCTTGAAGACAGATGTTATCAAAAAACGCAACCGCAGCAGCGCCAATACCTTGGCCGTTGGTTCCTCCCGCTCCTCTAAGAAAACATCTCGAAAGAACTCTATACAACAGGCTTCTCTCAGCGCAGTTGCCTCCCGCGCCCCCAGCAACAATGCATCCGAATCACCGCCCGCGATCGCAGGATCCAGCACTGCCGTCAAATCAGGCGTGGTTCCGATCGCCGCTGCTCCCCCCAAAGCTGGCCCTCCCGCCGGTGTTGCCCAAGCTCGCGCTGGTGTGCAAGTAGCGCCTCGACGACAACGCCGCCTCGAAAAGGCGCCTACGGGATCTGAGCAGGATCCCGAAGACAACTATAGGTTCAATGCGCCAACCAGCCGATCTAAGGTCGTCCCTCTAGCGCCCGCCATGCCACCCCCAGCAGCCGCCAACCCGGCCAATCACAGTATCGCAGGTGGCCAGGGTGCAAGCCAAGAATGGGAATGGCTGACGATGAGTCTGTGAACGATTTTCTTTCTTGTTTTCGGTTGACCGACGCTATTTCGTTTCTTGATTTCATTGCTCGAGTCGATGCGACCATGACGGGGTGGCCACCACTCCTCTAATCTCATTCATAGACGACTAATGTCCTCCCGGTGGACCATCGATATTTTACTCCATTCCGCATCGCTTCGCATCCGTGACCTTATTCATGCTTTCTCCTCCTCTTTTCTTCCACCGAGCCATTTTTATTTATCCATCTCTTTCCTTTTTGTCTTTCTTACGTGTGTTTGATGATCTCTGTGATTTGATTGATACAATCGCGTCTGTCCAGATCCCGAACTGATTGTTCTGTCCTGGTTTTCTTTTTTGTTTCGTTCTGCTTTCTTATGTGCAGTTCGGGACTGGGCAGAAGTGCGCATCTCTCCTGGCTTTTTTGATTTGATTTGCTTCGATCCCATTTCTGATTCGATGTTCTCTGATGTCTATTTATGGTATTTATGCAACGCAAGCCCTGGTGTGTTGGGATTCTTTTTCTTTTCTTGATTTTATTAGACTTCAATTTGATGATGATTCTTATGACTGCTTCTGTCCACGACCCTTCGGGTCAGTGCTTAAAAGTGGTGCGACATCTAATTAGACAAGTTGCATCTGTCAGTAGTAAGTATCTTCACTCAAGTTGCATAGTACATACAAGACTACTAGTACTAGTATGCAAACACTCTCTGGTAGGAGCAATAACAGTCCAAACACATTGCCCAGGAGTAACAAATGAAAACGAAATACAGGTTTTAACAACGCAAAAATAAAGAAAAGACCAAGAAAAGCCACGAAGAAACGCCCCTGATTCGGCCACCACTCGACTAATACTAGTAGTGACCAGCATGCAGTGCCTTGTGGCCAAATCCCATTCTCGTACCAGTGATTTTCAATGCCTTGCATACTAGCAGATAATCCAGTTCAAGTCTCAGGGTTGTACGACTCGTAAGAGATCTTTCGCATAAGCAGCCGCCACAAGTGCTGCGTAAGGCTGCCAATTGTCGTTTTTATGGTTATCAGAATAATCTGATATTCCCCTGATAACCAAGCATGGGAGCTCATTCCCAAGCCCGGCAGCCTCCATTTCAAAGCATTTGATACCCCATGCATCTCTCAAATGATCGCGATGGGCAACAGACCTCATGACGGCATTGCCTGATGCAATAAGACCATAGTGTATAGCAGGTATGTCGGATTTACGCACATGTCGCCGTAGCAATGCAGAGGTCCCGCAGGCTGAGCAGTCACTCCCCTCCTTCCCTTTGTGTGGATGAGATGATTTATATAGCCGATCTAGTCCACGACCAGGGAAGCTAAATCCCCGTGCTCCTAACTTGCTAGACTTTGCTACTGCGATCTGAAGATAATCCATCATTGTACCATATCCCAATTGGTGATTAGATTGGAGCAATGCAATCGCGCCGAGTAAAATTCTGGGTGGCCGAGCTAGATAAGATCGAATCTCGAATTTTCCATCACCAGTCCATCGGCCCTTGTCGTATTGTAGCACTCCGCCTGGTTTGTGTCAGAATTTGAATAAAGAAATATATCGGGGAAAGGCAAATAGCTGATAGCCAAACTGATATAGATCTTACCATGGAGTTCACTGGGCTGACTGACCACAACATCACCAAGATGAATGTCATTTAATGGATTGGTAGGATGGGGTGCAGAAGGTGCTCCTCCTCCAATGCCAATCATCAACCCGAATCGGATATTGTAGAACGTCCGAGTCAGATCCACCACAGTGTGAGCAATGGCAACCGAACCGGTAGAAAGGACAAGGGAAATGCGATCACCACATAGTGGTTTCCCATCCTCCCAACAATGTAGCCAGTCTCATCCCTTGGTTGTCGTGGTGGTGGGGCATATTCTTCATCCAAGAACATTCGAGATGCAGTGACCTCCGTTGGAAGTACACAAAGCCAGCCCACCGTGTAGACACTGCGATCCAGTCGCCGAGGCAAGCGTTGATTCATGGTCAAACTTTCCTTTCTTCTGACGGAGTTTTTTTTGCCAGGGGTCATGAGACTTGGGGAACCATCGCGAATATAAGTAGAACCTCATCACTTCAGCCAGGCGCAAGATTGCAGTGAGCGGCAACATTGGAACTAGATGCAGTAGTTACGCGCCTATAATTCATTCTATAGCTGCAATTCAGGCTACTAGTGAACACGATGATATTCCCAAAATAGTACGCTACAGAGAAGTATGCACTGGGCGACGTTTGAGTTGTCGCGCGCGTAGATATAAATGTACTTTGTATAGTTCGGCACTATTCGTATTGATAATACTGTATCTAATACCCTATAAGGTAAGTTTTGCCTGAGGCCGTTATCTCAGTCACGTGGTTCTTTCGTATCTCAAAAAAAAGCTCCGCGGCTTCAATTCGACTCCACCACAAATCGCCGCCATGGGTTCCAGCTCAAAACGGAAGAAGGAAAAGCAAAAGGACTTTCAGGTGAGTCCAATCCATATCGCTGAACTTATATCATGCTTGGAAAAAACCATACTGACTGTGACCCCCCAGAAACCCAAGCTGAAGGTCGGCAAGGCCAGGGCTAAGCCGGAGAACTTCACCGATACCAGTTTCAAGTCCAAGTGTATGCTTCGTCACCCTGCATAATCCACCCCGTAACAGATATACTGACTTGGAGTCCAGCCATTGTCCTCAATCAACAATCTTTACACCTCAATGCCCCCTCCTCTAACAGTGTCTTCACCCACAATCTCTCTCTCCTCACCTCCAAATCCGACAGCCAACGTCGGGATTCCCTCGCATATCTCACCACCTCGATCGCATCGCGTCCTGTCAACTCTTCCCTCCCTCAGCCAGTGAGCGTGATGCTCCCTTCGCTTCTCCCCTCATTCTCGATGGGAACAACAATGTTCGCACTCAACTTCTCAAACTCCTCCGCACTCTGCCACGCCACGACATCGAAGACCATGTTGCGCAGCTCCTCCCTTACATTCGCGCCGGAATGACCCATCTGGCCGCAGATATCCGCGTGTCAGCCGTGGAAATCCTGTCTTGGATGGTCGAGGCCGCAGGCGAACAGGTGGTTTCCTGCGCAGGTGGCTGGATCAAGACACTCAATTGTTTCCTTTCTGTTCTCGGATGGCACACGGAAGAGTCATCGAAGTGGTCGTCGAACCGCGCATCATTCGGCAAATCTGGAAGTCAAGGCCGACCGATGGTGAAAGTTCTCGGCGCACTGGCTGAGTTCCTCGATGCTGGAATCGGACAGCACGACGCCGATGACGATGAATCGCCAGAAGACGACGGTTCCTCCTCTACATGGCCCTTCCCGCTGTCCTGCACCGGTCAACATATGATCTCGGACTCATCTGCGCCCTACGCCTACCTGAACCTCTTCGGACAGCCGCGCGACGAGGAGGGCGAAATGTACGAAACCCGGGAGGACCGATTCCGGGTCTTCTCCAATCGTTTTATGCCTGTCATTGAGCGTGGCGTGAAGAGTGCCCGAGAGGAGGGAGGTGAAATGGGCCGTGCTTCGTCTGGCGTGAGCAAAGTACTGAAAGAAGCTATTTCGTATGGACCCGGTGCATGAAATTGACATCTGCGGCGAAGCACAATATGCCAATACCAACCACCGGCAAGTGTCGTTGTTTCAAAAAAAAAGCCCCATCCCAACCGACTTGGTCGTTTGGGTGCTCGCAGGAGCGACGGTGCTCCTTTCCTGCGCCAAGGGCATCGCAGATGAATATGGCTTCTCGATATATTGACCTCCTTGTCCCACACCGCTTCGGGTGGCAAGATGGCCACGCTGGAGGTCCATTTCTCCAAGTCGAAACGCGACTGGAAGGTGTCAAGGGGGACATATCACAAGGGCCGACCTAACCAAGATACCCATGTATAGTTCATAGAGATACATAATGCATCAAATCATATAACGAAGCAAGAATAGCTTCTCGGTTCAAAAGATCTCCAGCTTTGTATCGATTATTATTTTCCCTCTTTTTCTTTACATATGCCCTGCCAAAACTAGAACTCATTCTCTGTCTAGGTGGATGCGATTCATGATTGTAGTACTAGTAGTAGACATATTGAATAAACTACGCGTTTTCCCGATCCTTATATTCGCCATCGGTTTCTATATTTCCAAGATCAATGCTAGACTAGAAACTGCCATTTTCAGTCAACACACCTTGCTGACAACACCCAACTTTGAAATACAGTATTCCATAGCGTATATATGATAGATGCCTTCTAGACTAAGGTTTTACTAGGGTATCTTATCCAATTAGTAATTATTATAGCATTCGTCTGTCGTACTATATACTAGTATGAAGCCCAGAACCATGCTCTATAAACAATATATCGCTAATAATGACGTAGTCAATTTATCTCGCTATGTCTTTTCCTCGACATATGGGCAATTCTCCTCACCTCAAGTTACATGTTCCGAGACTTCACGCATAACTATGCATGGTCTTCCAGCGAAAACACCAACATTCCAGTTTTATAGAGAAGAGCAATGCGCTCAAATTCTAGACCAGCAGCTCGACAGATATGAGCGTACTGGGGAAGGACCCTACGTGATCATAACTTCAGTTGATGAACGTTCTTTCCTCGAATGCTTTACTGAGTCTAGACATGATCTTCTACAGAAATCATGTGTGTCTTACGACGAGCAACATTCTATTATCCTTTTAGAGATGGAGTCAAAAGTGCACGCCTCCGCTTGTCATTCTTTTACAGGGATAATTGAAACTTGGGGTTACCAGGCGGAAAGTATCATTATGCCAACAGGATCTGCATCGTTTCGCGGCACTACACGGACAAAACGGGGAGACTGCTCCTGGATGCCAGCTGAAATTCCATCTGGACGCAGCCCGAAATGGCCAACTTTGGCTGTGGAAGTCCAGTGGTCAGAACCAACATCGCATCTAATGGATGACATTCGTTTTTGGCTGGATGATTCAGAGGGAGATGTAAAGATCATGCTCACTATTTCGATCTCCGCTCGTTACACGATAACCATTCAAAGATGGTCTCTACGTTATCCCCAAAATAAATCGAAGCCTCTTCCATTCCCGACCGCAACAGTCCAAATCACCAGGGGCCTCAACAAAACCAGTCAGCCTAGGATCACGGGCAATATAACTATCCCTTTTGAGGAAGTATTCCTTCAGCCGAGACGGCCAACCGAAAGTGACCTAATTCTCTCACGACCTGTTTTGGAACGTATGGCTTCGAAGATTTGGACTGCTCAAGATCAGCAATAGGCTTGCAAGACCTCTGGTGACCCTATACCTATAAACCACTTCATCTTTACGTTCATATGTTTTTCGCTCAGAAACACCACTGTATTCTTACGTTTATTATTATTATCTTTCACTGAGCCAAACCTTGAATGATATTTATACTCAATTTGAAAGTTTGGTTGGCTCTACATCTTAACATTTTCTTTCTATATTTCTCCTAAATCAAAAGTTCCCACAACCACCATTGGAAAGCTGATATCTACAGGTAGAAAAGCAATACTACTACTACTAGAAGATGGATACATAACGCGAGGAGGCAAGCAGGGCTCATAACACTGGCATCTACTTGGTACTGGTTCAGACTTGTTCAAGTTCTTGTGCAGGTGGTTCAACTTCAATTTGAAGTAAGGGTGAAGTGGCATGCTAACCCTGGAAATATACCTAGGTAGCTATATGTAACATATTTCCCATTCAATGTGGGGCTTTCCTATTCTAGGTGCCGCCGCTTTAATGAGGGCACTCAGAATCAGACTCACTGGGTAGATCTCAGTCCGGGCTCAGATTCACTGAGCAGCTCAGAGTAGGTCACGTGGTCAATTAGTAAGGCTCTGAGCATCTCTGAGCGAATAGTTACTAACGTAATTCCCGCCCGAGTGAAACACCCGCCCGAGTGAAACACCCGCCCGAGTGAAACACCCGCCCGAGTGAAACACCTACCCCCATTAGAAAAATTCAAAATCGATTATCTCAACCAACACCTATTAATTCGGCTAAATATAGCGATTTTTACATGTATTAATCTTGTGCCCAATCTCCCTGCACCCACTACACCTAGGCAGAGCCCTAGTACGTGGTGGATCTGCCTGAGCAGGCAATTCGCCCTGCTCGTGCGATACTACCCCATCACCTTCTACTAGCTGGTTTAGCTGTTCAACTAGCTGTAAGCCCTCTTCGACGGTTAGACCCTCTTCGCAGGGTATATGCCTAGTTGACCGATTGCGCTTCTTGATAATTTTCTCGTTCGCCATACGTAAATTCGCATTATCCTGCGCTAGCAACGCAGCGTTGTGAAGCGATAGTGCAGTGCCCTTGATAATTTGATCTAGCATGCTTTTGATTGGGCTTAGAGGGCTACTTAACTGACGGTGTAGTAGATCCTTAAGTATAGATGCTTGTTTTTGTAGCTAAACAATAGTTCTAGGCGTTTTTGGTGTAAATTGGCTAGATCTGCTGCTTGGCCGGCTGCTTAGTAGTGTAGGCGTTTGTAGAGAGATATTAAGCTTTGAAAGTACTCTTTCTGCATTAACTGGTACTAGGCCACTAGCTGTAAAGCTATTCTGAATAATAGCTGGCTTTTGGAAGGCCTCTAGCCGTATATATTGATAGTTCTCCAAGAAATCGTACTTATAGATATGGTTATATCCCCTACGCGCAAGATCGCTGACGAAACGACTATATGCTCTCTTAACTACTGCAAAGCAGCCAATATCTAGTGGCTATAGTAGATATAATGAATACAAAGGCATACAAAGAGGTATAATATTGTTTTCTTTACAGATTTGGTCGAATTAGGGCGTAAGGTGGCTACTATAACCGTCAAGAATCAGTAGGCGAAACTGGCCGCGTACGTGCAAATTTGTTGATGGGATAAAAAGCTTTTATAGCCAATGTAGGCTAATCTTATCAGTGGTCTAGCCGTTATTAGAGACCTTGATTCGCCAATCTTTCAGAAGATTATTGGTAAACCATCCTGTAATAGCTACTTTGTCCTTAAAGATCATATATGGTGGTAGCGAATAGCCATCTGCGTATATTGTTTTGATAGCAGTAACCTATTTACGATTTCCTGGTTGTAATAGATGTCTCCGACCGTAGTATTCTGCCTGCGTTACTACCTTCTGTGAGGATATAAGGCCTATTGTAAAGCCTGTCTTATCAAAGTTATAGATATCCTCCGGTTAAATACCGTTCTTATTAATAACGCGTTGTACGGTAGAAAACCACTCTTGTAGTGATTTTGGGTCTTCGTTTAGTGTGCGCTGGTAGTCGTATCGTACTGAGTAGCGTGTGTGTAGCTTATCATGACGTTGAATAAATTTAGATGGCCAATTCTTGCCAACAGTAGGCGGAGGTTGGCTACCGCGCACAGCCAGTAGGATATTAGCCATTTCTCCTACAGTAGCCGGCCTAGGCGCTGCTCCACGCGCATCCATAGAGAGAATCCACTCAGTAAGCGAATCCTCCTCTAATTGGGTCAATTTATGGCCGTTTGGGCGTATATCAACGCGTGAGGGTAGGCTATTCGCCCGTCGAGACAAGGTAACATGAGATACACCAAATTGCTTCGCAGCTGCGCGAATTGATTTGAATTAACCCTTTTGAATAGCTTGCAAGGCTAATAGAACCCTGCCCTCTTTCTCGGTCGCTTTTTGCCAGGATTCAGTGCGTTTTGGTGGCATGGTAGATGGTTGAAGCATGTAAGTTGGTCAGAACGCGCGATTTCTGGTGGGGTGTTTCACTCGGGCGGGTGTTTCACTCGGGCGGGAATTACGTTAGTGATTGCTCAGTGATTACTCAGAGACTGATCAGAGGCCTGGCGGGGTGCATTCGCCAGGGCTACTACAAGGAGTACAGCTTGGATCAAGAAAATCAGAAGATACCGTCGTTCGCCATTGTATCAGGTCGCAGACACGCTGAAAAGTATCGATATGATAACACTGGAAACCATCAATCCATTCACATTGGCACCATGGGAGGAACGTGTGCAGAGCGATGGTCAGGATTTACCAGAGACACAGATCGAAACGGGTGGATTCATGCGGATCGCGGTCAGCAGTTCGGCGCGGAATGAGGTGATAAGATTTGGCGTGGCGATTGAGAAGCAGCCACATCGGTATCGAAAACCGAGGCTGAAAATGTTCTCCGCCACACTGGGTGCGAGAGCGGAGAGACAGATGGTAGAATGGAACCTCCGAATCTGAATTTGTGCGATTTTGAGGGATTCGTCGGAGGTCTCGATGAAATGTCGGCTGCAAGACATGATGGCTGCGATATCGAGGGCCATTCTCCACGTGGAGTACAAAATAACTCATAAGTCTTGAAAATGAATGACACTGTATGATTTACATGCCTCACCAAGTTAGCTTGCGCATTTACTGTTCAATATATACAGATTTGTGAGGCTTAGGCTGCTTCGGCATGGTATATGAAAATACTTTGTCGCATGCTTGCTCTATTCAATACTTTTTGAGCACCTTCTTTTGAGCACCTTCTTTTGAGCACTTTCTCCATTACAGTAAACTCGACGATATGCTCATCTTTAGTGAAGATAACCTGGAGAAATACAATTTTCATGCTTTTGGAATCGGTATAGCTTCCTTCATGTGACATTCCTGTTTATGTCCAATGTGTATAATTCATGCGGATGCTTTGCATTTTGGGAATTGTCTAGAGATAATTGAAAGTACACAGCTTGGAAGCCCATTTGTTCGTGCTTATGTGCACTACTAAAACCTCCATCAACGCTCTCTGATAATGTATTCAAACTTCAAGATTAAGATTTCCATACTTCCTAAATTTGAATAAATACATCCAGTGTACCTTGACTAACGGTAGTGCATTTTGATTCACTGTATCGGCCAGTCATGAGAATTCGCAAGTCATTACTAGTAACTTACTCCCCAAATCTGCAAGTGTTCCTTGAGATGCCAATTTCTGTGCCACGTGTCGACGAAAACCCTGGAGTGCCGATGGGTTGTCATTCAGCATCCGAATCACCCAGTCATCGTGCGAACATTGGATCAGTCGCAACTCGAGTTTTCTTGGCGTTTGATACAGTATGATCTCTGAAATACATTTGTTTCTACAGAAGGAAGCAGAGGATACTCGAAAATGGCCGATAATTGATGACAAGTAACCATCCTTGAAAATTAAGACGCGGGAGAGCATCATTCCGCTTTCAGCAGGTAGCATTAGGGGCGGGAGCTTACTTTCTCATAGCGACTAATCACATGTCTCCAGTATTTGAGATTTTGATTTCGATAGGTTGGTTATCAATAGGCTATTCTCGGGTACCCGATTACCGCGTTGCTCGAGGGCTCGATAGCTTGGCAGAGTGTTGCCGAAGAAATCTAGCCGAACAAAGCTTACAATTTTTTTTGAGTTATATGTAAATTGAACACCCCCGCACGCCTTACTGTTCACAGTCTAGTTGATGTTGTGTCCATTTATTTTATCCCAACCGTGTGAAACAACCACCGCTCATTATTTTCCGCCGATCGGGACTCGTGGACACTTTTCCAAGCATTTGCTCCATCAAATCCGAACGAAACTGAATCAACATGTCAGAGGGAATTGAGAACAGTTTAATTTCCGCTGTCGATAATCAACAGGCACAGCTTTTGTCGATCACCCAAGAGCTGGTTCAGCAGAATTCCTCAAACCCACCTGGAGATGTCTCTACAGTGGCGACTATAGCAGCTAGGATTATTGGAGAGGTTATTCCTTCAAGCAAAGTCTCCATCTACGAAGCTGCCCCAGGAACTATCAACGTTGTCGCGGTGATACAAGGAAAAATCCCTGGGCATGGAAGGAAGCTAGTCTTTAGCGGACATCTCGACACCTATCCTATTGGGGACGAAGAGAAATGGACGTTTCCACCTCTTGGCGGTGTCATATCCGAGGACGGTACACGTCTTTATGCACGAGGAGCGACAGACATGAAAGGGGGTATTGCGACGTCTATAATTGCAGCGAGTGTTTTGGCGGAGCATAATGAACACTGGAGCGGTGAGATCGTGATTGCGCTAGCAGGAGATGAGGAGACAATGGGTACACTTGGCTCGGGCTATCTTCTAGAGCATGTCAACGCTGTAAGCCAGTGTGATGCCATGATTTGCGGAGATGCCGGTTCCCCAGCCGTGCTGAGAGTTGGAGAAAAAGGTCTGGTTTGGGTGGAGATCAATGCAACAGGAAGCCCCGCACACGGTGCACACGTGCATCGAGGATCCAGTGCCATCGAAAGGCTAATTGGCGCTATTTCGGCTCTGAAAGACCTTGAGAATCTACCAGTACAAAATCCACAGGACGTGGAAGACATCATCACTGAAGCTAAGACAATTTCCGAGCCTCTTGGTGGAGCGGGGGAAGAGAGAACACTCAAAAGAATCACGGTCAACATCGGAACGATCTCCGGTGGGGTTTCAGCCAACCTTGTGGCCCACAAAGCTCAAGCCGAGGCTGATATCCGCTTGCCAATGGCTATCACAGCTTCTCGGCTCGTTGAACACATTCATACTGTGCTGGATCCTCTGGAAGGCATCTCTTTTCAGATAACAAGGCAATATGATCCCTCCTGGACATCCCCTTCACAGGAAATCGTTCGTCATACATTAGCGGCGGCCAGAGCTGTCGTGAGCAACGAGGCAGCACCTGTTATTAATTTGCGAGTTGGAGCATCCGACGCGAGATTGTTTCGACAGAAAGGGATACCATCGGTAATCGTTGGACTCACACCGCACAACATGGGAGGACCGGATGAATACGTTCAGATAGAGGAGCTGTCTCAGGTGGCCAAAATACATACCCTGGCTGCTTGGCGATATCTGAAGGCATAAGCAAGCTCGCTATATGCAGCCATCGACTCAAACAACAAAGTAACAGAACTCATCAGAGTCCTCATCTCGGCTAATGAGGGGTTTATTGGGCGGAATTTGGCGAAAACAAGTAGAGGTGGCAGCTAAGGGGGCTAAAAACAGTTGCATCTATTCTCTCAATATGTGAATTACAAGTGTAGCTCAATTGAGCGCATCAACTCAGCGCTATACCGGGGTATATGAAATCATTCATCCGTGTTTCAGGGCTATTTAACGAGGGTCTCGATGGAAGTCGATACTGGCTCAACATCGTTGACGAGTTCACGGGGTGGATAGAGATAGTTCCAATTCCCGGACGACAAGGATTCGTCATCGAATCACTAATTTTTTTTTCTCGATCATAACGAGTGACATGAGCGAATTTGTCGAAGAATAAGCCTTGGCCGGATCTCTGAGCAAGTGGGAGAAGAGATGAAGTTTATGCTTTTCTCACGGGCTATCCAAGCCGAGGTCACAGGGGTTGACCAACACCAGCAAAATGGGGTTGCCAAAACAGCTTATAAGACAACCTATGATAGATTTGGGCTTACCCTCGCACATGCAAGACTACCCCCTAAATTCTGGCCAGAGTTGCTCGACCCGCAGCGTTTCTCTCAAGTCGGTCGCCGTCATCGAAACTCAACATGACTCCATACCAAGCTTGTTACGGCGATAAGCCTGACCTATGTTTGAGAGAAAAACATTGGCCGTGCTCGTTCAGCAATTGACCATTTCTACATTTCTACATAGCCCAAAACTGAAGTTGAATTTCTCGCTAATTAACACTTTTTACTTTCTAATTTTTCTACCTCCGCAGCCATGCGTTTTCAAGAACGGATTAATCTTCGAGGCTAGAGCTGTTTCTATTTGCAAATCCATCGGTTGAATTTTTGAATGGGTGTCGTTTGAACCTATCGTGTTTGTACTGTTTGCTCATTTGGTGCCCGATTTCGGAGGCGTTATAAAATCCGATGCCTTGACCGCTGAGAAGAAAATCAGATCACCGACGTTAGACTTGTGGATTTGACTCAAACATCAATACTCGTTTCTGGTTCAGTGATTTGTCCCGCTCCACTCCTACCAATCCACTACAGTACTTATTCACTTTCAGGCCATGGAGCGCCTTCCGCCTAATAGAAGACGACACAAAGTGCCACTGGCACGAAGAAAAAGAGTTTCAAAGGCGTATGTAATAAGTTGTCATTACAAATTTCTGTGGTAGCCTAAGCTGATCCACATGCATAGGTGCAATGAGTGTCATATTCGACGCATCAAATGCACAGGCGATAGTCCCTGCAAAACATGTCACACCGCGAACAGACGTTGCGTCTCCCCCCCCCCACGTCCGAGAACGTTACCATCGCTCTAGCGACTTACCAAAGCATGCAGGAGAATGAAAGCTTCCTACAATCATGTCTCAAGGCAGCGGTACCCTCGTTGCGGAAGCGGCAGGAGCTGATGAGAAAAGTGCGTCAAAATGAGGAATTCGACGCGGTCGTTGAACATGCAGAACCCAATTCCCCATCTTTCGACTCAGAGGATCTGATAGACGGAGGCCATTTACTGGCAGACCCAGATGGCCAGAGTAGGTTTATCGGCAGTGCATCAGGTGCTGCTTTCCTGGACCAAATTCGTCATTTCGTCGTTTCTGTCTCACCGCTTCTCGCTGAAACCGATGGAGGGTTTCAACGACCTCAAATCGACGATTCTTTTGGCAAATTATTGGGAATATATCAAACGCACGATTCTCGTACACTTCCCTTGCCACAAGTTGATCCGTACTTTCTCCCGCCGTACGAAGACGCGGTGAGACTGCTTTCGCCCCTGTGCAGCTCTACACAGGCAATGAATGGTGTGCACATATACTTTTGGGGTCCCGTATTGGAGCTACTACAACAAGCTTACTTAACGGAAACACATCAAAGCGGGATTCCAGACTTGGTTACACTTGCAACGCTCAACTCAGCGCTTGCTTTTGCCACTCAGCAAACCGCGGATGCCACATTCGAATCTGCTAGGGCATATTTTGCCCGAGCCATTTTCTTGCTCGGTAGACCGCTAGAAGCCACTACGAAGCGACATATCACATGCCTGCTGTTGCTAGGCTGCTTCCTTTTGGGTGAACACCGAAGGGACGGGGCATATGCATATATACGCATGGCTGGGCATCTTGCGGTTACTTACGGTTTCCATCAAAGTCAAATGACCGGCGAAGCACAAAAACGATTGTTTTGGACAATCTACGCACTGGAAAGGTATTGAAATGATCGACTTCATTATTTTATATATTTGCTCATCGCAAGTACTCCAGAATATTGAGCTGTCTGCTGGGCCGGCCCCCTATGATTAAGGATGACGACATTAGCGTTGCTTTGCCCATAGAGAGCCCGTTAGTATTGGCCCTTGCCATTTGCGTTTTCAGAGTTGAAGCCGATGCTGATGAATTCGCAGAGGTCTCCCTCACCCTGATGGCCTAAGGCTCCATGTGCAGCTCGCTAAAATTGTCGGGCAGGCCGTGGAAAAGATTTATGGCTATGGTGGCAAGGGCTCGCATCCGCCAGAACTGGCTCATATATGGAAATCCCTGGACGCCCTAGAGCAGTGGCGCGCTGGTCTGCCACATTCTTTCGACCTTTCTCTTTGTTCGGTTTCAACATTGAATAGAGACCTGTTGTCTCTCCATATGACTTACAATCATGTAAGCCCCAACTTCCTCCCAGAAAATTTTGTCTTTCAGACCGCCAACAAAATGATGATGGTACTCCGGTCAACACATTACATAACATCAGTTTAACGGTTTTTGTTTAATGCTTTTAGGCAATAATACTTGTCACTAGACAGCCTTTTTTCTTTGCAACCAGGCGGACAGTCGCGCAAAGTTTCGTGAACTCTGCGGAAGTCAACCTCGCAAATGAGAATTTGATTCGTCAGTGCAGTAAAGCTGCGGATCGAAATACGCAACTATTTTGTCAACTCCTTGATGTGGTGGCTACCGAGAATTTATGCCCGGGCACACTTGATTACCACCATGCGTTCAATGCTGCGATAATACTTGAACTTGCTCGATTACTCGACCGAAATACGACTTCAGCTTTTCAAAATAAAGTACAAATCCAATTTACCACTAACACGCTGCAGAGCGCTGCACAAAGGGGAATTGCATTTACTCAAGATTGTTTTATCGTACTTAGAAATTTACACAAGTTTGTTGAGGAATTACTTCGAACATTATCGCGTCTCGGTCAGACTACAAAAGTCAAATCGCCAGAACAACAACGACTGTCGCTTAGTGTATCCCCGCTTAGGGGTCTTGAAGAGCAAACTGGCCTTGATAAGGGATTTGCGATGGGAGATTTTACATTTGAGCATGACGAAATGTTCAGCGAATTTATGACTTGGCTTGATGACCCAATACTTTAAGTACGCTACTTCTCAAGTTGTCAAGGAGAATTGAACAGAAACGAGGGCAATGAAGTCTCTTTGTACATATATTTGGACATCAATCTAAGCCACAGGAACAATCGATCCGAGTTTGACTCAAACTTAATATCTCTCTCGCGACAAGACTGTTTGCATACGATCCCGAAGGAGGGCGGCCCCGATCATACTACCGGGCCAGCTGAACCAAGCTTTGCTTGTACATTCCCCCGTATAACTGTCCACTGCCTCGGAGAAAAGCCCGTCGGAGAACATAGTTCCCTGAATCCTGCCCCACGCATTATCCCTCGCAGCATAGTTACCTATCATTTCTGCAAATACAAGCTCCTGGAAATATCCCAATGGCCATGGCCCCCGGGTATGCACACTGCCCAACCCACCGAAGGGGCCATCCGCATAATATCCCCCGTCATTTCCAACGGATAAGCCAAATTGCATCGTGCGGTGCCAGACACCGGAAATCTCTCCAGTACTTGCGAAGCCCCATTCTCTTGCAAATAACGTGGGGATGTCGTTAGCATCATGATAAAAAACATGCTGCCCTGTTCCGTCGGTAAGATAGGCGAACATGTTTTCCTTGGTCTTCGGGTTTTGGGCCACAAAGTGGCTGATTGTAGCATCAAACGTCTCCTTGGCCAACACTTGCATGCGTGAAGACTGGAGGGTGCCAGAATCACCAAGTATTCTCAAGAGCTCCGACAGCCGTTTGAACATGTACCACACAAGGACATGGCTTGAGAAGTGGAACGGGAATTCCACTGGATCATCCCCGGGTGTCTCATCGGTAGGGAACAGCTTGGATTGAGGGTCTCTTCTCGCAAGTAGGATCTCAATAATAGGGGAAATTGTATTCTCTTCAATGATGCCTCGCACGAAAGTCTCCGAATCTGGAATAAATTCAAAGAAGTCGCAGAGTTCGAGAATGGGATAGCATTGCTGGTCCAATTGAAAAATGGGACCGTCTTTAGGAACTCCATTGGCTAAATAGGATCTATGCCAGAATATATGCGGTCGTTGAGCATCATGAAACACCCAGTTAAGGTGGCTTTTAACCTGGTGGCTAATCTCCCTCCTGTAGTTTTTGGCAGTACATGGGTCGACAACATGGCCCAGTCGTTGGAAAGCTTCAATAAGGAAACGGACTTGCCAGCTGGTTCGTATCTCGGGTTAGTATTGATCCAATGAGAGGGCAAAGCGGAGAAGGATTACACTGACTAATTGTCTCTGTTCCATCCTAAGGGAAGGGCAACATGATCAGTGATTACACATGTGCTGTGCTCAGAAATCGGAATCATGCAGTTTCCAAGAATGTACTCAAGGTTCCCACGAATGATGTTCAATGCTGCGGGGTCTTGCAATTTCCACAGCGGAAAGGAGGGCGGCTCGGAAGACCAAAGGTGTTGTTTAGGCCGAGAGGGATGGCCTTGCACATTGGGATGCAGGGTTAGATAAAACGTGACCGGCAAATCCGGCATGATCATCACCATGGCGGGATATCTTTTTTTGACAGGACCCTGCGGATATGTCTGCTCAGTGTTTTCAGAGATGAGGTTTGTAATACTAGAGCAGTTGGTCCAAAACATGCCTTCAATTCCTGCATCCAGATTAGGATTGCACAAAGAGAAAGTGCTGCCTGTTGCACAGGATCTGAAAACATTCGATGTTTTGGGAAGAGGAATCGGACCTCCTTCCGTCAGTTGGCCGTATGACGCTCGGTTCAAGCTCATTTCCAAGCTCAAAACAACTGGTACTAAAACGCCTTTTGGCAGCGTGGTAGACAAGACCGTTTTTTGTTGGAACTCGCCATTATTAGAAACGGTGGTCACTCTCTGAACTTGGATGCCGTTTTGCGTTTGATAAGATATTTTCAGACGGTCACGCTGTATCGATATTTCCGGGCAGTGCACTGGGCTATCATGAATCTGCAAACCAAAGCCTGGCGTACAGTCTTTGATGAGCTGCATCATTCGGCCTCGGTATGAACGAACATAGGCGGGGTCGTAAAAGCGGTTGCCGTCGAATTGCTCCAAAGGTGAAAGGAGCACGACGCCATGTAGTGGATGGTAAAATCCAAATTGCATTATCTACGATGAGTTTGATATTAGAGCTTGAGAAAAACTGAAAACTGAGAATGAATTACCGTTCCTTCTCGGTCCATGGAAATCATCAAGCCGTTTGAACCCCAGTCGATTGTCTTTAGCCTGTTAACTGCCGTCGAGGCCGGCGAGAAGCTTCCAATGGAACCCATTGCTAGAGCCACGGGAGTCAATGATAGACGGTTACTTTATTGTAATCCCCGAGCTTGAGAGATTTAAAGGAAATCCTTTCGTGAATGAGCAGGTTATAACAAGGCATGCCGTACTGTTCACTGGGCCGATAGCTTCGTCCGAGGGAGGATCATTTTATCCGGCTAGGGTACCGGCCGAGTGAGAACCTCACGGGTACTGCACCCGGTTGTGCTAACGCGGGTACTGACCCCGCGGGTACTCTACCCGGCTACGGAGACGCAACGAACACAGAAATGTCAAAACTCCGCAAGATCAGCTGATTCGATAACATTGTATTAATATTGCTCTAAACCTTATGGGCCCTTAAATATCAAGACTGCTATCTGCTAATTGGGGCTCATGATAAGAGCGACTCACCGGTTTGAATATCTGATCAACCCTCAGCACAATGGAGCCCCTCAATAAAGAAAAGCAGGGCACCTCGATTCATGACGAGAAAATCACAGTAGGAGGTGTCAACGACGAAATGACTTCTCTACAAGCCGGCCCTGATGGTTACTACCCCCGCTCAGAGGAGGAGAAGGCGTTGAGCCGCTCAGTGAATCGGAAGATGGACCTTACCCTCCTTCCATTCCTCTCCATGCTCTACCTTTTTAACGGCCTGGATCGTAGTAATGTGGGGAATGCTCAAACACAAGGTATGAAAGAAGAAAGAAAAGAAGCTTGTCTCGGACATTTTTCATGCTGAATACCTATTTTAGGATTTTCAACCGACATCGGGGTCACCGACAACGACGTCAATGATGCTGTCTCCTTGTTCTTCGTTACGTTTGTTGTCTTTCAACCATTATCTGCTGCATGCGGTCGAATTTTTGGCGCTAAGTACTGGATTCCATCTCTCATGGTGAGTTCTCACTTCCGGTATGAATACAACAAGCGGCTAAATAATGTATCTAGCTCATCTGGGGTGCCCTGACTGTTGGGCATGCGTTCATCCATGGTCGAGGTATATCAAGCTTACACTAAACATATGTTAGTTTTCTTGCTAACTCAAACAGGTCAGCTTATTGCCATTCGGCTTTTGATTGGTTTATTTGAGGCTGGATTTTACCCTACCGCGTTGTTTTATCTTTCCACGTTCTACACACGGTTTGACCTAGGGGTCCGAATTGGCTTGTTCTATGGCCAGTACGCTATTGCAGGTGCATTCTCTGGAGCAATTGGTACGTTTCATCAGTCAGAACTTTCTCTTAGTTCGCCGCACGTCTTTGTACTGACTTGCTTAGCCTATGGCGTATTCCATCTCAAAGGCTCTTTGCATAATTGGCAGTATCTTTTTATCATCGAAGGCGCGTTGACCATGTTTTTTGCTGTTGCTTCCTGCCTATTTCTTCCTTCAGATCCGGGATCCGCGTGGTTTCTGACCGAGCCGGAGCGGGAGTTCGCTAAAGAAAGAATGCGTTTGGATGGCGAGAGGTATATCTTGGAAAATCAAGAAGCAGACGGTAACCAGGTAACCAATCGCTTGAACAAAAGGGACGTGGTCGAGACGGCGAAGGACTGGAAATTGTGGACGGTCTTGGTATGCAATATTTGCGCCAGTGTGCCTAGTCAGGCCTTTTCGGTTTTTCTTCCTTTGGTGGTGAAAGGCTTGGGATACACATCTATTAGGGCAAACTTGGTAGAATCCGCTCCACCACTCGCTTTTAGAAAACCACGTGCTGATATCAATTCTCCCTTTAGATGTCTGTTCCGCCATTTGTCTGCGGGGCAGTGGGCTTATACCTTACCACCTTGAGCTCTGATCGACGGTGAGTTCTTTCTTCCTATTGCACTTTCAAATGCTTACAAATATTACAGCAAGGAGAGAGGTTTTCATATAATTGGTGGCTTAGTTGTGTGCCTTGTAGGGCTGATTATGACCGTTACAATCCTGAATAACCATGGCCGTTATGTGGCGTTGTGCATCCTTCTTATGGGGAGTTATGTTGCGTCTCCGCTAACGATGGCCTGGCTCAGTGGTAACACGCCAGGTAAGTATATTTGTGCGTCTTTGAGAATATATGTCTAATGGCCTGCAGATCCGGGTAAGCGCTCCTTGGTTATTGGAGTTAATGGATTCGGAAATCTTGCTGGAGCCATCGGGTCGCAGATCTTCCGCTCTACTTACGCCCCGCGATACCTAATCCCATTCTATGTTACTCTTGGCATCATCTCCTTTTCTATAATAGGATATATTGCATATCGAATGATGCTCAAGGAGGTCAATAAGTACAGAGCGAGAAGGTTGGCTGCGTGGAGCTCTGCGGAAATTGAGGATGAGCGGTCGGATGTGCAGCGACTGGGTGACAAGAAATACACATTTGTTTACGGCTTGTGATTGTGTCTATTTAATAGTTCTCTTTTTCTGGAACCGACTTGAATTTCAGTTTGTGGGCTAAGTCAACATTACTTGACGAAAGCCCACACGTCACATGATGATGAATTTGTTTGCGCGATGGATTTTGGAGAACATCCTTATGAGACGCCTAGATTACGGGGGAGAGAGAATGAGGATAAGACGAGTTATGGGTCATTTTAGGGGCCGCGGTGGAAGTATTATGGATTGTAGGCTTTTGCGGGCAGAAAACTGCCAGCGATGTTTGGATAGGCTGCTAAGTGGGGGACTACTATTGACACCAAATGCTAAGTCATTTCACCACCCTATTTGATCGTGCTTCTATTCTTATCGAAATAAAAATCCAGTCCAGTCAATTTTATGTGTATCGCCATACTCAAAAGGCGACGTCTATCAATTAGATCAATCAAGAAATTATGCTATGGTGTAATCATCCGCTTAAAAGCCCACCAGAGGCCCGGATAATACCCTGGAGCTTTCCTTTTCGAACACAAATCTATTCGTGATCGACCCAGTTCCGGAAATGGTGATCTCCACAATGCCTCCGTCTCGTAGCCAGTTGGGGAGCACATCAATGCCACCTGATGTTTGTACAAGGGTGTTCATAACCAATCAAAGAGACGGGCCGGTATGGATCATGAAGACGACGATTCAGAAGGGCCGAGAGACCCCCCAAAGGACCGACGTTTGTAGCGACGCAAGCCTCAAAATAAGATATCAATACAGCATTCGGAGCCGAAGTTGAAGGAAATGTTGCCACTTTTGACTTCATTCCTAGTATGATGGACACGAAGGCTGCCCAGATCAACGACGCCTGGATTGTGGACAACGGATGTGCTCAGCACGTCTGTAACAATGCCATGGGATTCGTCAAGATGGACAAATATGATGGTCCACCGTTCCGAAGTGTCGATACCTCAATGGCGCCTTCTGGCATAGGAGTGACAAACTTTTGTGCAATGGCGGTAGACTCATGATGGCATACCATAGGCCGTGCAACACACAGTATAGCGCAATATCCAGACATAGAAGGGGGGAAGCCCAAAATACCTTGGAAATTTGGGCATGGAGCAGTTGTCGGACGGCGTCGGGATGAGAAACGCTGACTTCATTTGACGCGATGCGAACAAAGTATCCTTTGTATATCACGCAATAAGTAAGCGTTTTCTCCAACATCAGGGATCAAATAGACAAATCACAAAGGAATAGCATGATGCAGTTAGGTGCTTACGCTTCGGCATGGCCCTTCAAGCTCTACGAGACCTGCCAGAGATTGAAAAATAATGCCAATAGTAGACCGGGGACATCATCGAAGTCCAATATCTTCCTATGATCGCATGGGCAACAATGGCGCTGATTAGAGTCAACGCCCAGACACCCCAGCCTTTAACAAACTCCATCAGGGCGAAAGCTGTGACACAATCGACGGAGCGTACACCGCTGCGTCCATTATTTACCCTCATTTACCTACCGTGCCGCATGCATCATTGGTTGGCAGACCGCACTATTCGCATTTAAGCCCTCTTTCCAAAACCCGCCAAATATGTGCCCATGCAAGTGCCTTCCATTGCTCTGCTTGTCAGTAGCAAACTCTGCTTTCAGGATTCAGCATTTGGCCTGATTACAAAGGTCTGAATCGTACAGCGAAAGTCGGAAATTGTTTCCCCTGTGGAAACACACGCGTTATATCTGAAAAGAAATGCAACAGGCTAGGCAAAAATCCCCCTCAATTTTAGAGTGTCTCAAATATCCATTCAGAAAGAAATATTACCTCAACTTCACTCCCTGGACTGCAAGGCCGAATGAAAGAAAGTCCACAACCAATCATAATACATTTAGTGATCATCATTTAGAACAGGGTTCTTAAGGTTTAAAAATAGACAAAGTACTCCAAACAGAGTGTTCAAAACCCGTCATGTACGCTGAAAACCCCCAAGACAGCATACTATTTTAATTTATATCACATTGTGGCATGTACTTTGCCTCTATGCCGAGTCCGGAAAATCATTTAATCAACCAGTCAAACAACGGTTGCTATACATGATCACCTCAGATTCGGTGATTCTAACCTTCGAAGCGCCAAGCTGCACGACCTATCTCAGCCAAGCGATCCAATCCTTTAGCGTGGTTGGTAGCACACTCCTCCATGTTGATGCCTGATGTATAGCCTTTTCGTGGGCCCTCAATATAATTGCGAGGCTTATCATGTTCTCTTGGCTCCCAGGATCTGTGATCAGTAGGGGAGTAGGGGAAAGAGGTGAAAGTGATAGTCAAAATTCAAACTCCTAGGAGCAGCAAAGCTTCATGGCCCTATTGCCTGCTTATTGGCCGCTGCAAAAAATCTTGTCCTATCTCGATCGGGAGAGTTATAGGATTACTCTTCCTAGGAGATTATGCAGAAGTATTCAGCTGCGAAGAGGCTATGGCATTACTACAAACTACTTGTCTGTTTAACGATTCAAACACATGTAGATCTGATTGGAAGTTGTAGAAAATTGGTTCTCCATGCTCTCTGGCCTTTGACCTCTGCAAGAAGCAGCATACCAAGACAGACTAGACGAATTGTTCCCAGGAACTTGCAGACTTCAGCCAGAATTTCATAAGTTAATAAGGTAAACTGCTCTGCGTTTTTGCTCCTAGGAGGTAGTATTGCCACGCAATCTTGCAGCTGTTTGGGATGCGTACCTTTTTTGGATGGAGCATTTGAGCGTTCTAAAATGGGGAGAGACCTTTGTGAGGGGTAGCGTGTTGCGTTTTATTGAGGTGGTTAAGTCAGACCGCTGGCTCTCATGTAAGCAATGCTCAGAGAGCAAATCAGAGTGATCGGAGAGCCGCTCAGAGTAGTCACGTGATGATCACTGATCCGCTCAGCGTGCTCAGAGACGTGCTCAGATCTACTCAGTGAGCAAAAGCGGCGCTCACTGAGCACTAAAACGGGAAGGGAAAGGCCAAGACCTTGTATGGGAAATCCGGTACGTAGGTATAGCATATCATTCTACAAAGAGTACTTGGGCAGTTACATTTCTCCCTTTAATATCTTGAAATAGTTATCATGTATTTACAATCCCTAGATTTGTTTCGAATTACTTTCATATCAGCTAAACAATCTTCGTGCTGAAGTCACCGGGCAGCTGCTTCTCTACCGCCGGTGCCGCTGCTTTCTCCGTGCTACTAGCATCTGTATCCAACCCCTCCACAACAACGTTAGTATCTGCTCCTTCGTAGACTTCCTCGGGTAGTATTGCGCGATCGATCTTTGCTTCCTCGGCAGGGAAGAACCGAGACAGGACTAGATAAACCAGGGCCGTCGCAAAGAAGCCCAGTAGCCAACCGAATTGATACGGATGCACACCTACTCCAACATCAATCTTTGGGTTAACCGCATTAATGAGACCGGGTAGATTCGGGGCGACGCCGACCAGGAAGGCGACAAGAGCGCGCCAATTTATGCCGTATATCGATCGTGATAAACCAGGAAGCTTCCAGTTATACCGGTAAATCGGGTTCCAGGGCTGATATAGTGCCAGAGAATCGTATCGACGACGATTGACGACCCAAAAGTCAAACAACATGATTGCCGCAATGGGACCGAGAAAGATCGCATACGCAGACATGAATGTGAGGAAGTTACCTGCCGATGCCAGAATCTTCCAAGGGACGAGGGCCCACGACAATATGGCACAGAGTATCTGACCACGACGAATATTAAGTACCTCGGGGGCAAGAGCTGTGAAATCATTGGCGGCTGATATGGAATTGGCCGAGATATTAACACCCAACGATGCGAGGGCGAATGAGAAACCAGCGAAGAACCGACATGCCCGGTTTGGCCAGTAGCTGATGAGAACCAGTGGGTCCCAGGGGAGCTCTGCTAGGTTATAATGGGCTTGGCCGGCGGATGATGCTGCAATACCAATGAATGAGATGAAAGTGAAGACGATTGGTAGCATGGGAATATAGAGAAGTTGCCATCGAGGGCTGACGCGCGAATAGCGGGAGAAATCCGACTAGATGGTAGTTAGTCGGGGGGGAGTTCATAGTGATGGAAAGAGAAAGAATCTGGGGGATGATCAAGAAGCTGGTCACGATGATGAGGTTTAAGATTTTAAGCTTAAGTGAAGAGTGGATACGAGGATCCGCCGACTTCAACTTGAACATACCTGGTTAACACTGAGTGTGGCATAGTTTCCAAGCACACTGGTCATGTTGGCTAGAAATAGCCAGCTATACTTCGATCCAGAAACAGAGGGCTTCTGCTGTTGGAAGATGCCTCCCCACCTTTCTCTGCTACAAAGGCCCAAATCAAAATGGCGATCCACGCGATGGGAACCAGGACGGATTTCACGGTGAATAGCCAACGCAGTCGGTTGGGGTGTAAGCAGAGAAAAGGGAGTTGGACGATCCAGAAAATGAGAAACCCGATCATAGTATTGGTCGTGATGCCCTGAGATTCGGGGATATCGTTGTGCAGCGTCAGATAGCTCGGCCAGATGGCTCCGATCATGACTCGGACCGCATTGGCTCCATTTACATTTTGAATCGAGAACCAGAAGATTGCAAGGATGAGTCTGGAGATAATGGCAATATATGAGCCCCAGAAGCCCCAGCTGGCGCGTGCAATGACGGGGAAAGGGACGTGGTAAATGGCGCCGACCGCACCGTTCCCCGCAATGACGAAGGACATGATGAAGAAGGAGATGGCCACGATCGCGAGGGCCTCGCGGTAGGTTAATCCGACCGCGATAATACTACTGGCAAATTGCCAAGTAGCGGCGTTGAAGGCATCGGAAATCCAGTAAGCTAGGGATGGCGTGAGTGCAAAGGTGGAGGAATAGGTAGACCAACAGTGGGCATACCTATGAGACTCGCAACTCCCCACTTGCGATCAAGACGAGCAATCGGATCAAGATCACGATTAGTCCAGCGAGCATTTCCCTCTGCAAAGGCCGAGCGAGCCTTTGGGACGCGGAGATGAGGCCAAGAGAAGTGCATGGTGCATCGGGAGCAGAGGGATTAGCGACCAGCACGGTTGCACCTACTACGATGCCTCAAGGTGGACAATGTGAGGAGAAGAAAAGAAGAAAAGAAGAAAAGGAGAAAAGAGGAGCAGCAAGTCCTGGATAGTCCCGCTACAGAGCAGAGCAAAGATAACCAGGAGAAGGCGATACTAAATGATCATCTCATTGGAAGTAACCGTGGGCTGAAGAAGATAAGATAGTAAGACCTGCAGCTGATTTGATTGGGTGCAAATATGCATCCCTCGTATTCTCCTCTCCTCTCCTCGGCTGAACTCCTTCATTATTTCACTTGCTCATTATTCAAAATATCTTCTTATCGCTGCTTCTCCCCTGGAAGTCGCACATCTTCCCATCCGCGTCCATCCCCAACCGAACTCGACCACTGCCGAATTCCCTTCCATTCCGTCACATCCAACCACCCGATCTGTTGCACGTCACCAAACCCACCGATCCAGTATGCCTGTGTGACCACCAGTCGGGCCCAGAAGCTCGCGTGCGGCGAACGCGATGCACCGGGCAGCCACGCCTTTGCGTCCGGGTGCGACCGCAGGAAACACTTCTCCAGTGCCGCGGCATCGTGGCGGGAGAGCGAGGGCAAGGGGTCGAGGTACCCGAACAATGTGAAGCGAGGTAACGCAGCAGGACTGTGAGGCAGACCCGGGTACACAGGCACGGCGTCTTCAAGATGCTCCCACCAGTCCAGTTCGAGGGAGACGTTCGATCCAGCCCCGATATTCCGGAAAGTGGTGGCGATGCGGAGGGCAAGGATAGTCGGGTCCCCGTTATCTCCGAATGAAAGACCATCGGGCAGAGCTCTGTCACAATCGGCGATGTATTCGCGTAGTCCGATCGGAAGACCGGCGACTGAGGCTGGGGTGCGGGAGGAGGGTGGGATCGGATCGGGGAAGACCGTCGAGATCACACCGGAAGAGGAGAGGGCCAGCATGCGGCGGGCCAGCAGGGCGGACTCAAACCAGGTCGGACGAGTGAAGGCATTTGCTTTGTGTTCGTGGAGCGAGTGGGAGCTGGGGTTGCTCAGGATCGCCTGCTCGCTGGTGGGCAGGACCGAGGTAGAGACGAGAGCACCCAGGGCGAGTAGCCCGGTGAGGGGTTTGAAGAGCATGGTACTACTAGTATTTGACCACCTGGAGAGTAGCTGAAAGCTGAAGAGTCGAAAGCGAAAAGCAAAGGCTAAGGAAGAGAAAGAAGAGAAGGAGAAAAGGTGGGGTGCGGAGAATGTCGCCGGGTCCGACCCGCATCGCCTGATCTTATCAGATGCCAACGGTGGTGCATGAGGTAATATACAGTACAGTAGAGGTCTCGTCTGGTAGAATCTAGTATAGTATAGATATATCCTTATTATGATGCTATAACACAATCATGGATCTACAAATCAAGCATCCTCAGAGCAGCACCTGGATTAACACATGCTGGACTAAGGAAGACCCCTCGAACCAATCCAGTCACGCGATATCCACTGGCACACGGGCACCTCCAAGGCTGGCAGATAAGTCGAATTTACATTTACCAAGGACTCGCAGACTCACCAAGTGTGCTGTATACCTACTAGTAGGCTTGTATTAGCCGGCATAATGGAAAATCGAACCGTCCTACTACTAGTACCACTACTACTACCAGTAGTAGTGTTATCTACCGTACTTCTCTTGAGGGCATTGGCCTCGCTCTAAAGTGGGGTAAGCGGAAACATTATAGCACGATCACTGCAAGAACTGGAATCCATGGATACTAGTATGGATAGAGAAGTAGCCCGGTGTCTACTAGATATACAGTTCAGTTTCTTGTCTTGTCCACACAGATCCCTTGCTTTTGTTACCATCGTGTCATTGTTGTCAAATTACAAAGGTACAGTACTCGGGATTATGACATTTACGGCTGACATCTTCACTAAAGAGAACGATGAACTCTCAATTTCCAAAATTTCAGAATTTTCTGGCAATAAAATATGAATTTTTATGCACTGGTACCAGTAGTAGAAATTAACTATGACTTGACTCGGTCGCGGGCGGGAAAACAACCTGGGGATATACGGCGACTCGGAACCAGGGAAGCAAGTACAGAATAGAAATAATATACATCGGTCCTGTAAAAGAGCTATGGGTTTAAAATCGATGGATGGTAATAAAATTGCAAAAATCTTTTCTTTAGGGAATACCAATTCAGTTGTGGTGATTTCCGACCGTGATTTAGTAGTAGTAGGAGTAGTAGTAGCGGTAGAATGCTAGCCCATGAGGACCTTGCGGGTGAGAGAGAGTGAGGACCTTGCGGGCAACCCCCCCCACAAATGAACCAATCGACGCAAATCCAGTGGACTGGCCTTGGTGCAACTTTATTTGGACCTCTGTTGATGATTTACATCCTGTCTATACTTGAAAAAGTACTGCATTCGATCTGGTTGGCATCCTGGTCCTTCTACACGTCCAAGGGGGATGCCTGGCCTCTTAGCGACTCCCACAAGTCCTTATTTCTCCCCTAGGAGGCCATATAATCCTTGGCAATCCCCCTACGATGATTGCTGGGCAGTAATAAGGTGATTCGATTCCCTATCTGGTCATGGAATCACTTTGTTACTTGCTGCTTGGTAACAACATTCTATTTACGGCATCTGGTAAGGCTTCCAAGGTTATTTTACCACCCTGAACTCATATTAGCCCAAGTTCCATGTGTAGAATAAACATGAATCTAAGTAAGACAAGTCGGGTTTCAACTGTTTGGATTGTTCTATAAACATGTTTGTGGTAAAAGACCAAGATTAAATCGACTTGTGTGCATGACTGTCCCATATGAATCCCGTGTTATGCCTAACACTCCGCCTTCAAATAGACCATCGACATCTTAGCAATCTTAACTCATCAGGTCGTTTGCCAATATTAAACTCTGTATAGAATAGGGCCGTCTGTTCTGGTGATAATCATCTCGATCAACAATTCTCCGAATTCACAATGATAGAGAATGAAGCTAGTCGTCATGAAACAAGGTTTGTAGGTGACGTGGCTGAGTGATGAGCGATTTCCATTTACCTCGGGTTATCCATATTCATGAGGGTTGAAGACTATGAATATAGCCAAAATGAGCTGCAATGACTCGCATACAAAAGGACACTCATGTAAATCCTAGTTCATCAGTCGATGAACCTCAGGCTGGAATGGAAAACACACGCAAAACCCAGGCTCACAGAATGGAAGACCCTGGAAGGTACCTGAGTGGGGATATCTTATGGTAACATTTTGCACCCGCCAATTACTGGTCGGCGTTCCTAGAAGCATGGTCCCGCGCCACCAAAAACATTTTAGTCCGGGAACCGATCCTCGTTAGGCTAGGGGGGCTGAATTGTGCCGCCTAATCCCTAGCATTTCTCGTCTCGTTTTCACCACCCATGCATTTCCATTCCTCTCGGATGCTACCAACATTACTGGCCTACTTTTCAACATGGCGTTTCATTTGACTCAGTCTCAGCGTTTGCAGCTCGTCATCTCTATCTCTTTCTGCTTCTTTGTTGCAGAAATCTCTGGTATGGTCACAAACAACTCCCAGTCATTCTTCAGACTCTGACTCTTGTCACCTTAGTTGGATTCTACACACGTTCTCTAGCTCTTGTGGCAGATGCGTTCCACTATGTGTGATAAACTATATCCCTTTATACTATACTGACTTTCACTGGCTAACCTGTCCAAGCTAAATGATCTCATCGGGTTCATCGTTGCATTTGCTGCTTTGAAGGTAGGTGTCATGATTATCAGCCACCCCCGCTCCTTTCTGACATCAACCAGATATCCGCGAAGAAAGACTCCCCCCCATGACCTATCTTTTGGCTGGCAACGATCCAGACTTCTGGGTGCATTTTTCAACGGCGTTTTCCTTCTAGCACTGGGTGTCAGCATATTTCTACAATCTATTGAGCGATTCATATCAATTGAGGGTATGTTATGCCTCGCTTGGGGACATCTTATCAGACTTCTAATCAATTCATGTAGTTGTGGAACAACCGAAGCTTGTCCTTATCATCGGATGCGTCGGCCTTGCACTCAATATCATAAGCGCCTGTTTCCTTCACGGTATGCATCAGGTCACCCGACCGCATCGCCCATCGACTAACCTACGATTTCTTCTAGAACATGGCCATGACCACGGCCATTCACATGGGCATTCGCAAGGCGAGGAATCAAGAGCCACAGAGAATGGTAGTGGGACTGTCGAAAACACGGAAGATGGAACCCAGCAGGTAAGAACATCCCCCGAGATGACTACGAAGATGCTTACTCAAGTCTCCTATAGGTGTTCACCGTGCACGAGAGCCATCGCCACAACAACCTACAGCCATCCAAGACGGGGTACGATCTTGGAATGCTAGGTGTCTTGATCCATGTCCTGGGCGATGCGGCCAACAACGTCGGCGTCATTATCTCGGCTCTGGTGATCTGGCTCACTTCCTATCCGGCTCGCTACTACGCGGATCCTGCTGTCAGCATGGCAATTGCCATTATTATCCTTACAACTTCACTTCCGTTGGGTTCGTACTTAACCCCCTTCATCATCCGATTTTATTTATTTATTGAAAAATGTCCCGTATAGTAAGAAACTCGGGAAAAATTCTACTGGATAGCGTCCCGACCGGCATCAATCTTGAAGACATCAAACATGATCTCGAAATGGTGCGTTCTCCCTCCATCTCGATTTATCCCCGCTAACACCAACGATGATTCCAAGATTCCCGGAGTTCTATCCATCCACGAACTGCATGTCTGGCGTCTGAACCAAGAAAAAGCAATAGCCTCCGTCCACGTCACCATATCGAACGATACCATTACCGAATTTGTGCAGATAGCAAAGACAATGGGCGATTGCTTCCATAGCTACGGTGTTCATTCAGCTACAGTTCAACCGGAACTTCCATCGCCCTCTGCCTTGATATCGTCGGGGACTGAAAATCAGGAGGAGTGGTCGAAGCTGTGCCAGGTCAAGTGTGGTGCTTCTTGCGAGACCTTGACCTGCTGTGGGTAGTCTGTCTTTTGGAATCCACAGTCCCAGAAGCCATTGAGACGAAGAGAGCAGCTGTATGAGAGAGAGAAAGCTGCTTCATACGGCCCATTTTACTCAGAATTGTCATAATAAATGCGAAGAAAAGGTTCTCCTTCTCGTAGAACCTATGGGCTAAATTTGAAGATTAAAGGGAGTATATTCTATTGAAACAATCTAGTGAATGAAAAACATGACATGTGGGCATGTTGAATACCTCACAAAATCCAGGTTAGTGCATTAAACCCTTCACCGACATCGTTCTGACATTTTTGATCATCGAGACCCATAAATTTGATTGCATCTTTTTCACACATATCCAATTCGGCTTGGTTTTTTATACATCCTTGAGTTGTGTATGTAGTCTCCCTTCTAAGAGATCCTTGTTGCGTTTGAGCTCTTCAATTGTGCCTTTCAGCTCTCTTCGAAGCACAGAAACCTTTTCTGAACGCAATACATCATCCAAGGCTTTAAGAAAAAGCTTTATGTTTTCGGCAAGTTGTTCAATACCATTCGAAGTCTTTCGAAGTCTATAGGCTGCAGAGTATCTTAACTCATAAAGAAGGCCAAATACTTCGTCGATTGGTTTATTTATGCCTTCCGCTGGCTGCAGAGGATGTTGAGAGATGAGATTCGTCTATTCTGTCAGTTCTACTACCTTAGGATAAACCCAGCCTTTTATTGCCAAAATACAAGGAAAATGCTGGTGAGCAAACTCAAAACAACTCTCTTCGAGTAGGTTTTGTGTCGTGGTTGTGATAAGATGTTGACATCGATACTGTATATATACTGGGTATAGTAACGGGATGGCTCTATTGATATCTCGATTTCCTTCCAGTATGATTCTTTTGGAGTGTATAAATTATATTGGGTTTTGATTTCTATGAATCGGTTATACCTACTATCTGATTCCCTATCCCCCTCATTATCTGGTTTTGCTTGAGAAATGATATCAATATCTCTAGAGACTTCTCTTCGGAGATCTCCTTTACCGCACTTGCTTCATCTCTCGCCGCCTCTGCTTCTGAAACTTCTCTCTCAGCGCTTTAAGTTGGTGATACGTCAAACAATTCCGGGAATCGTCTCTTAGCTTTCAAAGTATCGTCAAAAACTTAATCTTCGAGCAACTTTTTCGCGACGTTACTAGTCCGAGCGATATTATATTCCTGCAACATACCTGCGAGAGAAGGCTTATTTTCTTGAATCAAGCTCCTAATCACTTTTAATCTTCAGACGTAGGAGTAGGAGCCACGGAAAATATGTGGAGTGGTGGAGGTTAAGACGTGAATCTATGCTAGATAGATCTCCCCTAGCTTCGTCTGCGAGCCTCCGTAATTTTGACCTGGGACTTCTCTGCCTTCTGCCACTGACCTTACTTCGCAAAATTCGACACCAGAGCGCCAATACCTTAGGATGGTTCTCATTAAGCTTCGACTTGCCTGTCTCAGGGGAAACCTAGGTATTCACGGTCTAGTGAATGATCACATGGCTTCAGATAACTTCCCAGTCCGATATCAATGCTACGTAGTAACCTTTGTACCAATGCCAAACCCGAAAGCTTACCCAAATAGGCTAAGATCGGAGTATTAGAATGGAAGATCCGCTAATTAACCTTTGGGACTAGCCTCTTCCGCTGACCGTTGTTGTGGAGCCGCAAGAACTCGAAGGAGCCTGAACTGTACCATAACTGTAGTATAAGGTTGCCTACAGCGTAGCTATTATAGTTGCAACTTGGTCCCAGATTTGAGTCGGCTGGAGTTCCTGACACTCTATCATCATGATGGACCGCATGCCACAAGAGCTGCTTCTTCTCATCGGAAAGCATATCCAGGGAAGCTCTGACTCGCAAAATACCCTATACTCACTGACTCTGTGCTGCCGGCATTTCCATGATGTATTCCAACCTATGATCTACCATTCTCTTTCGATTTCTTCTTTCTCCGTCGGATTTGCTCGCTTGATTATGCGACTATGGCGACGACCAGATCTTGCCAGTCAAGTTCGACGATTGGAAATGTGCTGGTCAGATTGTTCAGATTGCGACCAGGATTCAGCAGATAAATTAAGCGAGGACCCCGAGGTCGTACGTTTCATTGAGGAAGCATTGAATGAGATATTCACCCCAGAGGAAGAGGACACGAGGTCTATCTGGGAACAGCATCTCGATACTGAGTTCCTTTGCGCTGAAGCATGGCTGGGACTGTTGCTTGTCCGGGCGAATCAGCTCCAAACAATCGAGTTCGGGCATGAACATTCTGAGCTGATGTCGAATATTCTACACAAAGCCGCAAACCGACAATATCCTTTTCACAGAGCTCCGCCATTTCCATACTTGGAAGAGGTCCAAGCGTGCGTTGCGTGGGGAGCGGCATGGATTGACTCGGGTTTTCTCACGCCTTTCTTCTACTTTCCCGCTATTCGCACAATCTATGGATCTGCCATTGGTGAGAGGCGAGATGACGAAAACATGACGCTTGACAAGAGCTATATCTCGTCCCCGGTTCGGGAAATAATCGTCGATGAAGCCTACTGGTGTCGGGGTATGTTGGATTGGCTTATGGTTTGCACGAAGCTCGAGCATGTTTCCATCAATATCGAGGTACAAGCAGATGAATATGAGATATCAGACCATGAAAAGTTCGATGCATCGCTATTTCGCACGATGCTTCTTCCTTCCGCCAAGACTCTCAAGACTCTTCGTGTCTGTTATGGTGAATGGTACAGAGATAAATTGGAAGAGCACGATGCCGATGATGCTCCTTTCGGAACATTCAGAGACTTTGTTGTCATGGAAGATATTTCGGTCCGGCATTCTCATTTGATCGGCCGTATCAGTCCTGACTCCACTGATCATTGGGATACAAAGCCGCTTGTTGACATACTACCCTTTACTCTCCAACGGTTCGAAATTATAGACCTGATGGAGAGTCATCAATTACAGTTGTTGTCACAGCTTTCGGAGCTAGTGCGCCGGGGCTGTTGTCAGAATCTTGAACGGGTAGAGTTCCATCTTGATTTGGAGGATTCAGATGCACCTATCGATGCACTGAATAGCCTCAAATTGGAATGCGATGCCAGGGGTATTGACTTGGAGGTTAAAGCACAGGAAGACTCTTAGTAATACGTACTAGTATTTGTTTGCTATTTGCCAGCATGGTGCAGTCACGCCATGACGCCTTTATCTAGCCTTACCTTCCTAGCCATCATTCAAGTTCCTTCTTCAACCTCCGGGGCTTTAATTCCATGCCATTTTCCAAGTTTCTTCCCCTCTATATCTTCATTACTATGTAGCATCCCTAGTAGGTACTACTAGTACCTACTAGTACCTGGTACCTACTACTGAGTTGGATGACTGAATGAAAGCAGAGAGCTCTTACTGATTATATGATTATATCTCAACTTCCTTACAATGCTTGTACATCAATTTGCAATCGATAGTCCCGGCCGGACAGTTAAGGCCTTTTCCTTTTTAATTTCTCCAGACCTCAACCTAATTCTAGAAGATGAGTGAAGCTTGAAGTTTCTTGCTGAATTGGTTGAGAGGGGGGGGGGATTGGGACCTAAGAGTCAATGTCCCCGCACAGTCATATTTCCAGGCACTATCGTAGTAATAAAGTAAGCTAATAGAATCTAATCGCTGCCGATGGATCGCGAACTTCGTTTCGATGGTTTCAAAATAATGTGCGAGCCCGGGGAGTCAAACGCTAGCAGATAGAAGTTGAGTACGATTTCGCAGCCGAATATGGAAGTATAGTATTGTCACCCTGGCTTAGCTGAAACAGTACAGAACATATGAGACAAGTAAACGTCTGTTTTGTACTGTTTCATGAAGACGAGAAATGACAGTTCACTACCTATTGGAAAGTGTTCGGTCATGATTTTAGCTTCTTCCATGCCGTTCATGTTCTTTTTTCGTGGTTTCACAATCCCGTACGTCTATCGAGGACAACATCGTCCCCCATTTTGGTCAATACGGCCTTCTCCTTTGTCTCCATATCTTGCGCTGTTATGAATTGCGGAGCCGGATAGTAAGATTTCCAAGAGCGTCAGCCTGTTGAAATACTCTCTTCACACTTTCGCAGCGTACTAATTTTGATCTGACGCAGTCCCAAAATCCCAATGAGTCTGCAGAGAGAACAATGACTTGGCCTGTCTCTCGAAGCCTTATCCCGACACAAACATCTGCATCAAACATCTTTCTATAATCACACGCCTTCTTTATCAAATTCAACTTCTGACGAGAACGTCTTTGGTATAAGAGTTTTCTCTTCGAAGATGGACCAGACCTACTCGAAAAAGACAACATTGCATTCGAAATTTACGGAAACGATACTGATACTGGCACCACTGACAACTATGAGATGAACATTATGGGTCGATTTAACTGCCACAACTCAACCTGCAAAGCCGACGCTTGGTCCAGCAAGATGATAGCCATTACGATCCGGATGTATCCTGGCAACAAATACAACGCCAAGGTCTATCGTCAACATTGCAAAACTTGCAATAGCATCAGCCGTCCTCTTCTAGATGATTCATACGCAAAAAGAGTGGCATATCTCCTCAAGAAGTGGAAAGGCATCGATCAAGAAGCACCTGCTTACTTAAAGAGAGTAAGGGGCCGCACAATACTTATTTGTGTGAGGGTTGCAAAGCCGGACATTGCACTTATCTCAAGAAGCATTGAAAAGGCCCATCGACAGTTACAATCTCAGTTTGGAGTGTCGTGGGGATTGTTTAGCCGGGAAATACCGGGCTATTTGATATGGAAAGGGATATCCAATCTCGAAATCTGGAGTACCGGCAGCCAAATGGATGGTGTATTCGATTGCACAGAATTTCTAGTCCATAATCTATAGTATGAATTGCCCGCATTGTATAGTCCAGAGATTAAACTGTATGTTGAGAGGCCCCACCAGCGAATATCTACGGCTTTCAAAGACTGGGACTGTTAGTTAATATGCCCAGAAACTATACTTCGTTGCTTCCAGCTCTGGCGGTTTTGCTATTCTCCCTCTTCCCGATATTAATCACACTTGAGATGGTATCTTGATGTAACAACATGGGATACTTCGATGATTCAGAGTAGAGTAGTCGGCTTGTGCTGACACTTCGCTCTGCCTGTTCTGTTGCAGTGGTCTGGTGGCATTCGGGAAGAAGAAAGCAAATAAATTCTACTCATTCAGCCCTCGGGCTGAGTATTTCAGAAAAGAGATAGATAAAATGAGACAAATACCCATAGTCCATAGCGCTCCTAAACCGCTTCTTGACCTCCTCCTACGCCTGGACAAGTCCGCGAAGAATCGCCATTCCCTCCTGAACATCATCATCCTCCCACGGCTTCAGTCCATAAGATTGCATAAAGTTGGTCCAGGAACCGTAGGTCTTGACTACCGCGCGCTCTGCAGGGGTGAGGGGTGGTTCTAACCACGGTGCTTGATTAGGAAGATGATTCAAGTCCGTTCCTCGAGGGAGGTACTCGTACGCAGTGAATCAGTAGAAGGCATCGTGGTGGTTTGGACGGTGAGCTTTCCTGGTTGGAGACTGATTTAAGTCTGTGGGTAGACTCTTCCAGGATTCAAGTTCCTTCGATGGAAATGGAGTGAGCAGATGATGGGAAGAACCTTGTGTGTAGGTGGAAGTGGAAGTGGAAGTGGACGTGGAAGAGGGGAAGCCCTGGCTTGTTGACATGCAGTGTCAGGTGATCCCATACATCGTTGGCAAACAGCAAGTCTTGAAAGGTTCAGGTTGTACTAGAACGAGATTCAATCATATCTACTTAGACTTGGAGTTGAATATTTGATTATTATTGTTGAATTTGCAACTATGAACGAATTTACGATCTCTCGCAGTACTATACACAAGGTCAAAGCTTGGGGTTTAGGCCGCCTTCCAGAACACGCCAAGAAGCTTGTATATCAGCCTATGATATGCCATGTGGTAACTATAGCAGAATAACCTATGACATGAATCTCACGACATACTGGCATACTGCATAAAATTCTCAAAGCCCTGCATGGTATTATATCCCAGGCCAAGGCTTACTGAGAGGGCGGCTAACCAGGCGCAGTCATTCTGTCCTAATTTAGTATCACAGCCATAGTAGAATGTATGCTAAGCCATGAGTCAGAAGCTTCCCGAATTCCATGGTCATGCCATTCATTCATTCATAGATTCCATCAGTAGTATCCGTATTAGTACTCTGCAAATATGTTAGCATAGTTTACCTCGTGTGGCAACACAACCACCCCGAAATCGGACATCAAAGGTTCTCCGCTCAGCTGACCCCTGCCCACAATGACTCACAGCGGAGCCATTTAGGTATCAGTGGCGAAGTGCCAGGGGGTCAGTGCAGCCTACGGAACCCAATACGAGCAAAGCTAAAGGAAGAAGAAAACGAAATGAATCAGAAACTGTACGATTGGCTATCCTTGCGAACCTTTCCGAAAGTCCGGACGCCGATCCGATCCTATCTCCTCAAGGCGCCCACAGCGCCAGACAAGAGGAAGAGGAAGGGGAGGACGAGGTTGAGACTGCTGTAGCACAGAACTTCTGTTGATTGGATGACCAATCACCGTATCACCAAATCCATACCACCCATAAATAAGCCTTGGAATAAATAAACAGGAAAACCGTTCCATGCCCCACACACTCCGACGCAACAAAGCAGACATAAAAAAGTTTGGAAAAAAAATAAAGAAGGGACAAGAAATAGAGATGACGAGGGGGCGGACCAACGTACATCGTACACATTCACAACAGTGAACCCCCCACGAAATCCGTAGATAAAGTGATGGGATGACCGCTGTGCGGCGACCGTGAGCCCCGGATGGAAAGGGGAGAAGAAGAGATAATAAGGAAGGGGGTATGTACAAGCAGAGACAATCCGGGCTCATCCGATCGCCGTGGGATAAAACCCAGGACAAGCATGACAAAAAAAGACGGGCTTTTTCTAGTAACCTCACCACATAGGAAAAGACAGACCGTAGCACCGATTCGATCAATTCAGGTAATCCGCACGAATGCTTGGGTTCAGGGCGACTTTGCGTGCCTCACTGCCGCAGCAGGCCCGTTTCATACCGGCAGGACCTGAGACTGAAGGGCCATTAGCCATCAGGAAAGAGGTCGCCAAGTGCCCATCGGGTAATATGGATGACGGGACACCAGAGGCGCCTACATCAATCAAATGGCGAACGTGGTTCTGAAGGAGGAGATCATCGGAACCGGTGCGCCCGCGCTTGCGACATTGTCGGCGCTCGGGGGTTGCACCAGAGAGCTCGCACAAACTCTGTGCTGCTTCGCTCAGGCTGGAATCAAGAGAGAACTGCGACAGATCCGGTGCGGAGCCCATCGCGCCCGGGTAATCGGGCGAGCTGTAGAGATCGGCCAAGGTGCTTTCGTCGATCGGCGAAGCGGTGGCTAAAATCTTGCGACTCTCCTTAAGAGAGTTGCTAGTACAGCGTAGAGTTGCCTTGACGGCAAGCCGTGAAGGAACGGGGGCACCGGCGCCAGAAGCATTAGATGAGACCGATGAGGAGCGAGAAGAGCGCGACGACAAGGTCGACACGTCGGAAACCATGGAGTCGGGCGACGATGCTGAAGATGTTGACCGAGCCAGAGAGGACCGGCGGGCCGCTGCGGGGTATCCATCGAACGACTGAGCCCGAGGGTAGAACGAAAAAGGCGGGCGCTGATCCAAAGTGGATCGCGCCATGCCCATGTTCTGCGCCTGGGACATCGCCGTACCGATGGAGGGGCGACGGGGACCACATGTTGCCGCATTCGCAGCAGGAGTGCAAGCAACATGTGTCTGGGGGGTCATCTGGGGGGGTAGGCAGCATCTGAGGTCTCGGGAGAGATGGCATCGGGGGGGTTAACAAACTCCATCCGGGGAGTCGGCTCCAGAGCCCGGGGCAAACTGCGCGGGCAAGTTGGAGTCTGCTCGCGAGAAGTCGATTGGATCGACTCGTTGCTCGCCGCACTACGCGGGGAGGGAGAGTCGGCCAGGCCTAAATCCATCCCACCCATCGCCGAGACCGGGGTCGTCGGTTCAGAGTCGACGGAATCCAACTCCGGAGTCAACCGGGGGAGAACTGTCCGCCAGCACTGGCCCTCACTGGCTGGAGGACCACCGGCACCGGGGGTCAATTTGAGGACCAAGTCGGTCCATCGCTGGAAAGTCGCCTCCGAGATGTGTAGCCGCCACCCAACTGCTTGCAGAAACATCAACTCGTTTTGGTTGATTTCGAGGGTGTTCAAGCCCGAAATCTTACTCCAAGCACGGGCGGAGTAGTTGCGGTCCTGTAGATACTTAGAAGCGAGAATCAAGGCCGCCAGAAACATCCGGCGACCGCACTGCATGGCCCGAGTAGCGGACTGATCCCGAGATTGTTCCCGGGTGAAGTCGTTACAGGGCACATGCGGCTTGATCTTAATCAAGTAGTAAAGGGCCACCTGCAGGGTGCTGTAGCTAGTGCGCGAACGACGAAGAGTCTCTTGGATGAAAGTCCGGAGAGGCAGGACGCCTTTCGAGCCGGTCGCGGCATCGCTGCGGGATGCCGCGGCGGAGAGGGGCCAGATGTTTTCGACGATTTGCGATGCCGTATCTTTAAAACACAGGGAGGAGGGTTTAGCGAAAGGACATCCAGCGAGTGTGGATGAATCCGACACGACTTACCGACAAGGTTATCGACGAAGCTCACTTTGCGCTCCGACTGGCGAAGCAAACAAGGTGGGGGACGCGCGCCGGGGCCGTTGGCCGCGACGTTGGTGCGCCGGGGATGCGTACGCAACTCCGGCGGTACCGGACCGTCAATCTTGGGATGAACTCCCTTGACGAAGGCCCGGGGGCATGCGACCGAAGGTCTCGCCGCCGGCTGGTTATCCACATCATTCTCCCAGATTACATCGACCGGGTTAGTGGCGGTCGAAGAGATGGAGCTCTGAGAGGCATCCAGGGAGAAGACGGAGGAAGACGAGGACGAGGCGGACGAGGCGATCGAGGAGGCATAGGGGTGAGGGTGGGACGCTTTCAAAGTTGGGTTTGAGATATGAAGACCCAAGACGTCCATCCCCGACATATCCGAAGACGCGGAGGGATTCATGAAGGACAGGAGTCAAGTCGCGAGGAGGGAGAGAGGGAGAGGATGAAATCGATTTGGAAGCGAAGTGTGTCAAGATACCGTTAAGCAGGAAACCGGGAACGAAGGCCGAGGAGACAGGAGCCGTCTTTGCGGAGGCGACGGCAAAGCCTAGAAGTTGATATGCGCCAGTTGAGGAGATGGGGGTTAAGTGGAAGTGGACACCGAGATGGCGGTGGGGATCCGAGAGAATAAGAAGTAAGAGTCACAAGGACTAAAGAAGGAGGCAAATATTAAGTGAAGGGGACAGGGAAAGAGTAAGATAAAGAGTCAGGGACCGATCACACCAGTGTTGAGGCTATCCCCGAAAGTGGCAAAGATGACTCGAAGTGACTGAAGTTGGCCTAGGCTTAGACAGTCACGATCAGGCGGGAGTCGATAGCGGCAACACGGGCGATCGGAACAGAGGACTCAGTATACATTTTGAAATGAAGAACGATGGGGGAAGACAAGGCACCTAACGGAGCATGGACAGGCAGACCTCGAGGCTGGCTGTTCAGGCAGTCGTTGGGTGACTAGGCAGAGGGGGAGAGAATGGAGATAGGATGGCCAGGAGGGTCCAGGTCCGGGTATCCGGGAGTATGGTGTAGTGTGGTGTGGTAGTGGTGAGAGAGTAGAGAGTGAGTGGTGAGAGGAGGGAGGAGAGGAGAGGTTGAGGATGGAGAATGGAGGTGAGGATGAGGGGGGAAGGGAGTGGGAGTCAGAAGAGGTTTTTCAGGCTCACCACGGATGAGTTGACTAAGAGCGATGGGGGAGTGGGAGAGTGGCGGGTGGCGGGTGTGGGAGGCGGTGTTATTCGGTCAGTACTATTCTTAACAAACAGTATTGTACTGTACAGTAGACTACCGTAGACTACAGTAGATAGTATACTATACTATATACTATATAGCATTATCTATGATTCGATTATATTGATCTTCTCTATCTTGACTCTATCTCTACTCTACACGGAGTATACTGCGTATACTCTCTCTCCCAACTCTCCCTACGCTGCACTGACTCATCGCCGAAGCCGGCTTGCGGCTTGCCACCCGGACCAATCAATGGGGATTTCCCGGGGGGAAAAACCCCCCTGGGTCTCGCCTGTGATTGGTCATCCCCCGATTACCCGCTTCCCCATTGGCGCAGTCTCCGGGGAAGAAGTTTGGTTAATTTTGGGCGGATGGCAGTGCCAGCTATTACGCACTGGGCTGGCACCGGGCACTGGCACCGGGCACTGGTGATTTGCTATTCTAGGCAGCCCACACAGGACCACAAGGCGCTTATTCGCTAGGGCGCCAATCATGAGTTTACATATGGGTGTACACTGGTTGGTACTTTGACTCACGGTGGCAACTTATGACTCAAGCAGATTCTGATGAACACATGGCCACACTCTGTCTTTGTACTGTACCGACTAAAAGTACTAAAGTATTCTGCCTGAATGCCTGACGAACTGAACTCCATCGGCTATGCAAGCACCTCCTGCAGCACCCGAACCAGTCCCTGCACCTCCGCCTCTGTTGCCTGTTAGTCTCCACATGATAAGGTGTATACCATGGAGTATTAGGTACTCGTACACACGAGTACCTAATACTGCCTATACAGTATAGATAAATGATACTCACCACTATTATAATGCAAAAAACTGACCCTCACCACCCCATCCTCAACATCCGCCAACCCACACACCTCATTCAACAGTCGATGGCTGTACATGTGGCCACTCCGGAACCCAAACGCCGATCGGGCCTCCACCGCCTCCACCAACGCCTGACTCCCCACCCCATCCACCGTAAAACTAATCACCGGCACCCTAACCTCCTTGCTCGCTGACCGGTCCCCAATCACCCGCACCCGAGCATCCGAGTTCAGAAACTCCAGCAGGATCGCCTGCAGCCGTTCCTCGTGCTGACCCATCTCATCCCACGTCTTGGCGGGTGTGGCCCCAAAGTACTCCACCACTGCCGGAATACTATTCGTAAGCTCGTAGTTGGCCGATGCCAGGTTGAGCTTCAGGTCCAGGCTATCCGTTGGTTTGAAGAAGTGTGCCAGCGACTGGATCTCCTCGTGGATTCGTGACGAGGCGTAGAGTTGGGCGATATGCGGGCCGTACACCTTGTACCACGAGAATGCCTTGAAGCGGGGAAACCATTAGTATTAGTATTAGCCCATAGTACATTGTAGGGCCGATGATAGGACAAGACAACAAGGGCAACTATGTATGCCCAGATGTACAGAACAACTCACATAAAAGTCAACATCAAGAGCCTTAACATCAACCTGTCGATGAGGTGCCAGAGCAACACCATCCACGCAGAGAAGCGCCTATACAATATATCCACAAGGAAAGAAATCAGCCCTCTTGTCCAGTCCTCTTCAAAACTCACCCGGTCATCTCCGGGATATAGATACGTACGCGTGGGTGCACATGAACTGCATCGGCGATCTCGCGGATCGGACTGATGGTACCAGTGATATTAGACGCATGGGGACAAGCCACCAGTCTAGTCTTATCTGAAAGAAGGGTCTTCAACTCGCCCACATCACACGTTGGGTTGGTCGGGTTGGACGATGCCCAGAATTTCACCTTGAGCCCTAGGTGCTCCGCAATCCGGACCCATGGTGCCGAGTTGGCTTCGTGGTTGAGTTTCGAGACGATGACTTCGTCGCCCGGCTGGAATTTCAGCGCTGTGGAGAGATTGTGGAGGAGTTGGGTGGTTGAGACGCCGAGGTTGATCTGCCAGTGGTTAGTAAATCAGCATTGTATGTTGCATATAGGTACTGGCAGGTGTCTACTAGGGCCACTGTTGGCGTACCTCTTCTGGCTGGGCGTTGATGAAACTCGCAGCGCTCTTGTATCCGTTTGAGAATCCGGCCGTAGAGGCTTGGGAGGTCTTGTATGTTGCGCCAAGCTGAACATTGGTGTTGATCAAATACGAGCGAATGCTGCCACGATCCGAGTTAACTTCGCATGAACATATACACAGAAAAAGAGAATGACCTACGAATCAACGACGGATCCAAGGACCTGACTTCCACCTGATTCAAGTTCAACTTAGCAAATCATATCCCTTCAAGTTCCAATATCGAACAAGGGCTGCCCAGGTGCATGGGTGATCTATATCCCACCTGCATTGTCCATAAACACCTGTTCCTGCTGCAGAGCCGGGAACTGGGCCCGCGCCGCTTCGACATCATAAGTAGCAGCCATTTTGAAAAATACTTGTATAGAATATCTTTTATTCACTCGAGTTGGGAGTTGAAGTTGCAGTCAGGACACGAAGTCGTCTCCGAGAGGGAGAGGGGTAGTGGATCTCTCGTACTCCGGCTAATTTGATAGCGGAGTTACTCCGCTGAGATCAATGCCACAGCCACTGGCATGAGTAATGGAAATGATGAAGTGCAAGTACATACGGGTATCCTTAGTCTATCATGCGTTGGACCTCTTGAACTGGCATCGACCTACTAGTACTACCGAGTAGTATAGTGCCATCCCCATTCTGAGGCGCTGCCTACTCATACCAGAAAATGGAATTGCCACATGAAATAGCCTCGATATAGATCCATTACTTTTCGCCATTGAAATCTTATGGGCCAGTCTCGTCTGAACGTCTACACGCAAAGCATCGCCAATTTGAGGATATCCTGCGGATCATACTTGAGAATTCGAGGTAGGTGTTAATTGAGGAGACTGTTGTCTACATCACTGCCGCTGGTACGGAGTACTCCAGGTGCTAAATCTTTGTCCTCTTGATACTAGTAGGCCGAATCAATTCTGATGCGTATACCAGTACGCCTGTCTCATATTCTCCCCTCATGGAGACCTCGGGATCCGCCAGCCTGAACGAACGGATCGGACTCGGCAAATTTCAGCACAAATGGCAAGCACAGAGACACAATCTACAAGACTCAACTCAGTATAGCACAGAGAATCGAAATCATACTTCAATCGGGTATAAGTGGTATAAAATCCAAAGCCAAAAGAGCCCACATAACAGATAGACAAGACAAGAACCCCGAATCACCCACAGACACCACAAGGCATAGCAAAGCAAAGCAAGCCAGAGAAGAAAAGAAATCAGGAATGACAATAAAGGTTGAATTTCCGAGTATATCACCGCGATCGAGCACCCGCAGTGACTCCCGCACCACTCGCATTGGTCGCGTCATGTACAACGCAAAGTAGATATTTCCGATCCGGCACTACAACAATTTCATGTTTGCGCGTGCGCATCCGCAATAGTTTCACCTCATCCTCCTCTTCACGATCTGCAGAGTCTGGATCGCCGTCTTCGCGCGGGGTACTCGTCCCATTGGCGTATACATTATATGCGCCCTCCAGGGCCGGTGTACCGCGCTCGTCGGCCTTGCCCGTCGGCCGTGAAAGCGATACGCCAAGGGCGGAGGCGCTCGAGACGAAATTAAAGATGTGCGCTGCCAGCGTCTCTGCCTGCGAGGGCTGGTATGTGGAAGGTGAGGTTTGAGCTGGAGAGGACGGGGAGGAGTCCGTGGGTGGTTCGGTGGTGGGCGGGGCGATCGGGGCTGAGCGAGGTGTGTTGGTACCGCCTTCTAGCGGTGCGAGGAGTCCGGTGCTTTGGATGATGGATCCATCTTTGCGGGAGAGGATCAGGGTGGATTGCACCCCTGGGCGGGAAGTGAGGTGGGAGAGCAGCGCGGTGACATGTTGAGGCACCTGCTGTGAGCGCTGGAAAGGTGTCTCCTATTAGCAAGGGGTATATTTGTGGGCTGCAAATAGTTTTTGGAAGCTTACCTGGGGTGGATTGGCCATGGTTGGTGCGCGGGGAATGTTTTAGAGGAATGAAGAGTGACGGCGGAGAGGCGGTGGTCGCTGATGGGCGATGGGCGATGGGTGGGTTTAGCAGGATGGGGTGGATCTCATCGCAGCATGCTTATTATGACGAGCTATCGTAAGGTAGTAGACTGGACTGGAGACATAAATTGTAGGTGACAAGTCTCTCGAGTGAAAATTGAATTGTCTCGTCGTCGCAAACTCGCAGCTTCAAGCGATATCAACAAGGATGACTCAGCGGATCACATGGTCTGTGATGTATAGCAGGACAAAGGACAAAGACAACAAGGTCAATGAATATGAATAGATAGGCGCTGGATTGGATTGGATAAAGTGCCAGTGGTCGTAGCATGGAAAATAAAAGAGAACCGTAAATTAGAATAGAAACTCGGTCAACACGGTGATGGTGGCAGAAGACATTGGCTCTAGGCGAGTTTGCTATGCATGGCGATTCCAGTGGGGGGCCAATTTATTTGCAAATGGAAGTCTCATGTGGAATTACCAGTGTATAAACTCACGATATCTGACCTTGTCTACAACTAATCTAGTATTTGTTGCATGTATAAGTTATCAAGCTTCAAATTCCGTCCTCGACCAACCCAACCCAATCGGGAACGCGTCGCGCAGCTCCGACATTGCAATCACCCGCCACGAACTTCAACTTTCACTTACGGCAACTAGATCGCCAATTCCAACGATCTTGGGTATTCGAGGAACTTAAATCTCGCCCCATTCCACTTTGACATTTCTGAATAGTACTACCATCGCCCCAGGCGAGCCAGTTAAATTGCTGTTTCTGAGTGAGACTGAAAGTCGAGTCAATACCAATGGTATCTTCGATGGCTTGATGCATATTTCATACCTGATCAACACAACCAATGATGTATTCAGATTGCCATGATATACTCTTATAGTTCTTGCCAGTTTTCCTACAGTCATGCCTGATCAAACGGAATTCCCTATAGAATTGATGCGGATTTCAATTGATTCGCCGCTTATTGTGGAAACACCACTCGATCTTGGTCTCATAGTAGAACAATGCAGTAGATAGCCAGATATCGATGCTACCTCGAGTACTCGTATATACTAGTATGAGTCACGGTATGCAATGCGGACAAGACAAGACAAGGCGAGTGGAGTGTTTGTCGGAGAAGCAGCCTATCAATTGTCTTGCAGCTCCGGAGCCACGGCGCTGACATCGAATCAGCCCCCATCAATCCCCGCGGAGAGGGAAAACACCAGCTTTAAGACAACACACCTCTCTCGCCCTTCAATTCATACTTAAAACTATCCTTCAACTCAAAATATTACTATTACTGTGACAATGGCAAGACCACGTGGACGATTCGTTTCTCTCACTCCGGCTTTACTGCCGTCGAATAAGACCGTCCTCACTGGGCGAACAATTACCCTCGAGAAGCTTCAGCCAAAGCACGCCAAAGACCTCTTTAATCTTGTTGGAGGTGAGGAGCCTGCCAGAGCGTCCCTTTGGGACTATATGGGCGATGGCCCATACACACACCTAGAGGAATTCGAGAAAAACATCGCAGCACGTTCGGCCTCTCTCGATCCATTCTTTTTCGCAATCATCGATAAACGCAGTTCAGTGCCTACCTCCGGTAAGGCCATCGGATATCTGACTTTGATGCGGATTACACCGGAACAGTGGACTGTCGAGATTGGAAATGTGATGCTTTCGGCTGCACTTCAACGCACAACTGGTGCCACCGAGGCGTTTTATCTTATAGCACGACATGCCTTTGAGGACTTGAACTATCGGCGATTCGAGTGGAAATGTGATTCTCTCAATTCTCCATCGCGCAAGGCGGCTCTGCGATTGGGTTTTAACTTTGAAGGTATCTTCCGACAACACATGGTCGTCAAGGGCCGAAGCAGAGATACAGCCTGGTTCTCTATCGTGCGAGACGAGTGGGATAGCGGCGTCAAATATGCGATGGAGAAGTGGCTAGATGGAGAGAATTTTGATGAAAATGGCAATCAGAAGAAAGCACTTCAAGATTATAAATCAGAGTCTACAGCAAACTGAGTGGAGTACCTAGGCTTGCTGCAACTTTTATGGAGCTTCAATTTATCGTTAGAAGATTCCCGTGATGCAACAGCAACTATCCAGAAATTCAGAAAATAGCATGAGTGTTCCCATTTCCCAACAATCAAATACATCGATGTCTTGTCAGGTAAAGCGAGATGACAATTAAGATAGACGTAGAGACGGCACGGTGTGATCTAGCGGGGACATGGGCTTTGATTCAGCAGGTCTACTCAGTGGGTCGAAAGATATAGGCTGCCAGTTAATTTGCGGAGGGTGCTGGTCCCTATACACGATAGGTTTACTATTCCTTATATTTAGGTTTGCTTGATACAATAGCGAATTGGATATCATACATTTATTGAAGTATGCATTATTGATCCTAGTAGGCGTCGAGCTAGTCAGTCCAGTCCCAGCTCCTTTTGTCACCCCTGTCCCATCTTCGCCAGCTTCGTTCGACGATACCTCGGTATGGACTTATGTCAATGAAAGCAGCAATGTTGCCAATATCTTCAAATATTTCATTCATGGAACTTCTATCGTCCTGGTTGATGGCTGCCAAGCCAAGACAAAAGGCAGGAATGAATAAAAAAGGTGAAACCACCGATGAATCCAGATGCTCGGTGCTGGCCAGACCATCCCGAACCACAGATTGGAGTTTTGCGTCCTGAATTCCGTTGGGATGAATGACCAAGTATAGCCATGCATACAGTGCTGAGACACAAGAAGCATGTAAATCAGAGTATTCTCCGTTATCAAGAGGAGGTTGAGGTTTCAACTCATCAAGGTCTTTCCATATCTCAACTGCATCCACAATCAATCGCGATTTTAGGCTTGGCAGTGCTTTTGAATTGATATGTAGAGAGTAGATCTTCTCCATAGTGTCCGAAAGGCCATCCTCAATGCCAAATGTAGCCTCCGTTCTACCGCCAGGTTGAAAATTCTCTCTTGGTATAGTAGGAAGCTGCGATATGTTCCCGGCAGAGATTTCGTGCAAGCTAGAGAGTCTGTCGACTCTCTCTGCAAAAGCGTAAAGAAATATATACTTTTTGTTGGAGATGAGAGACATTTTTTAATTCCAGATTTTGGGTGGTCAATTTTTAAGAAATATTCACGACAGCGTGAAAGAAAAAAGGGACTTGAAGATAAAATAGAAATCAGGATGAGAATGATCTCTCGGAGAGCCCTTCCGACTTTTATAAAAAAAAATTGATCGGTGCAAGAATCCTTGACCTAGATCAGTCTTGAACAAAAAAGTGGGATTCCCTGTAAAATCACTTACAATACAAATCCACCTCGGTAAAAAGAATCCATCCTCATTCCGCGACCTTGCACAAAGGTCACCGTGTGGCTCTCTACTGTACAGTGGATAGAGTCTCGCTTTACCGTGGAACTATAGTGTGTAAACTTGGCCGTGCACAAAATACCTGACAGTGAACTATTCCAAAGTGGGCTATACCTAAGAGAAACAATATCTTTTTCGTACCGACATGATTCATTTAATACGAACATAATGTGGAAACCATCTACAAACAAGCCATTTGAATACCAACCATGATGATCTCGTCCAGCTAGTCCCTGTAATTATATGGGCCGAGTCCTATTTCATTTGCTAGCCGCTCTAGCCGCGGTATGCGGAATGCTGCGAGGATCCACTGTTGTGGTGGTAAGGCTGTGGATACATCAAACGCCACCTCCACACCATGCACTGACTCCAGTCCACAAAAGAGAAGTAATTACGCAGCGGAGGGTGCTGGGTGCTTTGACCAGCTTGCAAGAGTTGGTGAGTGTAACCAGTTTTCACTCAAAAGCATCCGTGCTTTAGAGAAAAGCTAGATCCTTAGCTTTGGTATGTAACAGTCTTCAAGCTTCGTCTCACCTCTCTGTGGATCGGTGTTGTCGGTACCACTCCGAGGCAGGAAATCCAGCCGTGTTCTTGGGTAGCACCAGGGATTCTGCAAGTATAGATAGAATTCAGTACTTGAGGCTGTATGCAATTGGGGCCCACTTCCCATGGCCCCCGACAAGTGGAGGTACTTTAGAGAGCTAACTAACCCAGATAGGCCAACGGGCAGAGGGGCTGTGAAAAGACAATAGTGGAAAGTCGACGAAGAATTGTGTGCAAAATCACATAAGTTTCGCGAGCCTAAATGGTTTTAATCAAGGCGCAGGGGGGGATAAATCAAAGCGCCGTAATTTCTAAGAATTGTAGAGTTATAAGTACTATAATCTTCCGATTCCAACGGCACATTTTCGTCCATGTATACAAAGGTAGATCCATAAAAGTCCGTGCTCATAGGTGTCTGTGCCCAACCTGGTCTAGAGCTAGAGTTTTAGCTGGGCTTTTGGCCACCGAAAATACTCCCGCGGGCTCATGCAATATAACGGGGCGCTGTCTTCTCTCTCCCGAGCTGCTGCGGGGTTAGTCACATCCCAGTGTTCGGTTTTAAATTCATCAAATGGCAGTTCTGCGGCCAATCCACATGGTAAACTATGCTAGACCTCAGGCTACTGTGAAATACTTTCAACCCAGAATTTGTGGAAACTTGGAAGTCAAAAGAAACAATATCAACCATCCAGTCACCCAAATAACTATTTAGCCACTTGAAAAAAGCAAGTATTCGGTCAACAGACAGCAAAAGCAATAATCCGCAAGACATATTCGCACAATAAACTTGAAGGCTAATGCATGTCAAACTATGGTGCTAGTGCGTTTCTTGACGAGTATAAATTCACTTACTTTTTGGCAGATTAATTGAGGCCTATGGTACTCTCAGTTTTATAATTGCAGAAGTTTCAGGCCCGGGCTCATATGACTTCCAATAGATGTTATTTAGACTCCTAAATCTCCCTCTATTAACCTCGAAAGAAATCATACCCTGCCAGAGAGGCGTACCTTTTGTCGTGGCGAACATTTCAACCATAGAAGAATCAGGGGAGCATTCGCTTTTAGACAGGCCAACAGACGAAAAAGAAGCCATTAGACTGCCACGACAACAATGGTAAAAAGACATTCCGACAAGTCATAGCGGGCGAAGAATAACATTCAGATCTACGGAGTAATTCTAAAAGTTTTAATCTCGGTGGGCCTATATCCTTAAAGTGGGGGCCTGATTTCCTAAACCAGTTGGTAGTTAGCGCGCTGGAAGGGACGCCTGAACAACTTGGAATGTGCCAAGCAGAGCTGAACCCCAAAAGTTGTACATTAAAAATAGTAGTTTCACGATATTTCCCTCAGATAAAGCCAGTTTCGAGCTTTACCAATTCGCCCGTTAGGTATTCGTCGGTGCTGCCCTAGCTGACATAAAGTGCCCGGCCAAGGCGTTCTGCCTTTTGTCTCGTAAGTTTGGGATGTTTCAGTCGATGCAAAGAGAGTTCAATGGTGCGGACTGGCAGTACGATGATCGTAATGAACAGAATCTGATTAGAAGGACTTGCAAGTAGGTCGGCAGCGAGTTTAGTCTTCAGTAACGAGGTCGCGTTTTGGGATCCATGGATTGTATTTACTAGGTACTAGTGGGAATGGCGTTTACCTACCTAATTATCTGATAAAGGTTCACTATATCCATGGATCCTACTATTATTCTACTTACTAGTAAGAGATATATTCTTGAACATGAATTATTCTTGGAATTCATATCCTCCCTACGGAGAGATTTTGTTTCTTGGTAATATTTTGAGATAGAACCTTGAACTACTTGTAGTAGAGCTTCTACTATTATTCCAACAAATAAACTGTAAAAGAAAAGCTAGTATATGTGTGGATAGGAAATAATCACATTATAAAGCCAACGGCAAAGATCAGTTGCATTTCAAAGCAATGGTATCGTCGAAATAAGGGTGATCAAAGAGTATTTCAGAAGGGAATTAGAAAAAGAAAAAGAAAATCGAAAAGATCGTCACTCTAGTCTCGGATATCGAGAAACATCATATAAGGTCATAAGAAAGAAGAGAGAATGATCAAGCGAATTGAGAAATGAAAGTCTCGAAAGCAAAGCATATCTTCAAAAAGGGTATAACGAGTGATTATGAAAAAATCAGCAATTCCGAGCCATACGAGGTGGCCCACTCATACTCGACTTATCAGACAGCCAGCCAGCCTCGATATCCTCGATCATGTTATCCAGCTGGCGAATGTTCGCCCGGCTGTCTCGCACTGAGCCCGGAGTTTCGAAACCACTGTTATCACTGCTGCGAGAAGAGCTAACCCAGCTCTCCGGTCGGGAATTATACTGCGGCTGCTGCTGGTATTGACTTTGACGCTGGTAAGGGTTTTGAGGAGCAGCTGAGAGAGGAGAAAGTGCAGCCTGCAAACCGTCCATCATTCCGCCGTCCTTCACGCCTGCGTTGAGGGCAGCGAGGAGAGCAGCTTGCAGGATTTGATTCTGCCGTTCCAGGTTGGCGACACGGTTTTCGAGAAATTGGTTGGGCTCTTGTTGCATATGGCGACTGCTTCGAGGTTCTCGAGAACGGTATGTGGATTCTGAGTTGATTGAACTGGGGGACGCGAGGTGGTCAAGGTCACGACTGCTGCGGCCTTGAGGTGTTTGAGACCGCATTGGGAGAGGATAGCGCAGCCGAGTGTGCCCGGTGCGTCCGTCTACCGTGTCATATTTGTGGCGGATGGGGTGAGCACGCTTGGGTTGTTTTTCAGCCTGGCGGCGAGGCCGGATGGTGTCTGCAGCTGGGCCGAACCCCTCATCGTCCGAGGATGGAAGTGGAGACTCCGCTCGAATAGGCTCATAGGACTCGGGGATACTCTCGTGACGGAGGCTACTGCGAGAGCTGCTGCTGCGTGACACCATCGAGGCTCGGTGGTGTGCAGGACCGAATGGCGCCTCCAAGGATCTGGCAGATTGTCCCGATGGAGCAGTGATGTTCCTCTGGGCTTTGTTGCGGTTATTTGATGTTTGTAATGATGGATCGGGAGGAAGAGCTCCACTTGGCGGAGGAGAAGGAAGACCAAAGGGGATATTTTTGCGGTCGACATTTGGGTCGATCTGGAGAGCCTTGCGAGAAGCTCGTTTTGCATGAGGCTTGCTCAGTGTCATTTGGCCTAGAACAGGCGAGTCTGCGAGTGGTTCTCCTTCTGGGCTGCTTGACTCCACAAGATCCTGCATCTTAGGAATACGTACACTGGAAGCACGCTTCCGAGGTCCTTGTTGTTCTGGTGACGTCGAATGGGGTCGCTCAATTGAAGCAGGCGACTGACTACCGCCATCATCCACAACGGAGTCTGCCTCGCCAACAAAACCTAATGCGGTTGCAGACCGAGTTTCTTGATTTTCGGGCTCATGGGGATCCTCTGCGATGGGCGAAGGTTGGCCAGGGGGTAAATCCATGCCTTTTGCCTTCTGCCGAGCCATCTGTACCGTGAGGCGAGATTTATCGGGGGTTGCGGGTGGTGCACGCGAAGGCTTGGGAATGGACGGCAGCGGCCTTGTCGGCGCCGGAAGAGGAAAAGCCTGGAGAGTACCCAAGGCCAACGACATGGGTCGAGATTTGCTCTTAGTTTTGTCGACGGTGTTCGAAACAACAGCCTCTTCGGTGGGGTTTTCGACAAAGGTTTCTGGTGTTGCGAGAGCGCCAGAGCATTGAGCAGCATCTTCAATCTCAGCTTCAACTTCAACTTTCGTGGTAATCGGTGGCGTCTTTGGCTTCTGCTGCTTTTCTTCGGTAGGCTTGATGAGATCCTTAGCCTCGGTTGAAAGGTTTGACTTGATCGAGGGCGCTAGGCTAGGAGGCCTTTGGTATTGAGGTACCGAGGATAATCGCCATGCATTCTTGCTGGAGATACGCGGTGGTGCAACATCAGGGAACAGTTTGAGGGAGTGTTGTGAGGGAGTCCTAATTGCACTGGCGGTCGAAGTGTCCATACTTGATCTAGATGGCTCTGCGCTCTGCTCTGGCTTTGACACGCTGCTAATAGATTGGTCCGATGATCCCACTTTGTCGACGCTGGCGGGTTCGCTCTTGGAGCTAGTCAGGGAGGGCGCCACGTCTTGATCGACAATGTGAACGTTTGAATTGCTGGAAATTGAAGGCTGCCGGGTGTGATCACTCTTCGGGCCACTTCCCTGGGTAGCCACGACGGATGTTGACGAGATCGAGGGATCGGTGCTGGCGGAGCGAGTCTGCGACGAGACTGGGGTCGGAAGCGCAGATGCCGGGGTTAGGTTCATGCTCATGTCACTCTTAGCTGCAGGCCTGCCTGCAATCGAGGATTGATAAGGTGGAGGCGAAGGATCATTGAAATCCGTCATGGAAACTGCGACATCCACCAAGGATCCGAAGTCACTGAGGTCCAATGAGGCCAAGCGGCTTCTGGTGTCTGTTGAAGACGTCTTGCTGTGCCCTTTATTATCGAGCCACGGTCGGCCGATGTTTTCGACGTCTTGCATCTTGGACGACTTTGATGATTTAGAAGTCTTGGAAGTCCTTGACAGGGTTCTTTCAAGACTACTCTTTGAATCCCTTCGATTGGAAGCTGCAGGGAGGAGATACCCTTCTCGCTGAAGAGCCTCAATTTGTCGCTGATTATCTTCCTTCTTGGTTTTTGGCGTCGTTTCCTTTTTCTGGCGTTGGGTAAACTGAAGTAGGCGTCGATGCAAAGGCTTCAGCTCTTTCGTGAGCTCCTCCTCGGGAACCGGTGTTGGTCTCTCGGGCGATAGAAAAGTAGGCAGGGCAGTAGTGCTTTCCGCAGGAGCATTCTGAGTTTGAAAAAAGCGTACAAGATCCGTTAGACTTTCATTCCGGGGTGCCCTTTCGGCCATGCCCGCAGAGCGAGCCTGGGGCCTTGGGGAGCTTACTCCTCGCGGGCGGGCAGACTCTCGAGATCCAGAGCCCCCAGTAGACATGCTGGACTGTCTCCGCTTGGTTTTTGGTTTGGATGGGGGATCGGGCCTGTAGGTTCGAACAATGGGGCTTGGTGCGATGTCACTTTCATACACGGTATCCCAATGATGCATAGGGGCATCTATTGGCTGCCTTGGCAATCCGGCTAACCGCCGGGTTCATAGGGGCCTTGATGTATGTTCAAAGGGGAATAGCAACTATTGCATTGTTAGAAAGAAAAAGATAGAGAGGTGGCGAACACGTTGCATAGCACACATGCCTAGAAGGCGGAGCTCACCTTAGTATACGTAGAGCCGAGTTTCAACAGGGATTGTGGCGAGGTAGATATAGGCGCATATGCAAGGCGAAATGACAGGTATACTATATACAGACACAAGCCACTCGTGGTATGTACAGAGAGATTTGAGGGTGGCGTCTGGGTCGAAAGGCGAAAAGAGAGAAAATGCACAGCAGCTGAGACGAGGCAACCGAAAGGGAGGGTAGCCGGTGTTTAAGTGTGAGAGAGCTGCAGGATTTTAGAGTTGAGCTGTCGCATCTCCTTGAAAGAGAAGAGGGGCGGCAACGCCATCCTGGAGACGATCCAGACGCAGGAGTAGTTCGGGTCCGCCCATCGGAAAGCAGATAGCCTGGAAAGGGCGCAGATACAGTTGAAGCTAAAATCATTAGTGCCTTCGTAGGGAAGGAGTTCCAAGGCCAGGTCCATGAATTCATGATCATCTGGGTGTGACCCTGTGCAGCGTGGTTCGGGGGATCGGAGCGCCGCAATATGACACAGCAGCTGGATGGATTGACAAACTATTTCGGCCTCGCCCGGCATCGACATGCATCAGCCACACTGATTGGTGTGTTTGCTGAGAGTTCGTGAAAAGCACCGAGACCGAGTGCTGCTGCTGCTGCTGCTGCACAATCCCCTTCGTGGGCATTGCATTGTGCGACCTGCCTAGTATTGAGATGGAAGGAGGTGTTCGTTCCTCCGTTTACCCCGTAGAAACCAGGAGCTGAGCTGAGCATTAGGCCATTGCTGTGCTTTCTTTTCCCCTCTGGCGAAGTTGTTGTTTCCCCAGTTGCTGCACACGCAAGGGGCCTGACCCAAGTGTTTGGGCCATTGGCCTCCCCCTCCTTCTTCAACTTCTCATCGAAAGTATAAGCGACGTCAGGATGTGAGGTATCAGTTCCCCACTCGGATAGTTCGCCGCAGATCCCAAGGATCCCCGGTGCGGGTAGAAGCTGTCGATCGTGATGAGCTGCAGCCCCCGTTGGCCGTTGCTTTTTTAGCAAGGTCGGGTCCATCTGCAGTAATCTAGCAGCGTGAAGCAGCATGAGAGGGGAAAGGGGGGAAGAAATGCTCTAGGATCCGCCCGAAAGTCTAGTGTTGCTGATTATTGAGTGCGAGTTGCGTCTGGGCGATAGATCGCCCACACTTGGTGGGGATCCACAGGCCCTTGCGTAAGGGATCTCACGCAGCCCTTTCGCTTTTATTCTCCGTGAACGGTCTTGCCGATGCATGGTCACGCATCGTTCCTGGCATTCTTGAGTTCGGGTGGCGCAAGAGATGGAGTGAGGTGAACAAGCCGAGATGGGAAGATGAGAAGTGGAAGTTGGAAGGGGAAGAGGGAAGTGCAAGTGCTGGCAAACACCACACCACTTCACCTCCACCCCACCCCACTCCGCTACTGCACAACAGACGAGATCTGTCAATTGCCCCCACCTGTCATTTGAAGTGACCTTCCGGTTGATCGGGCTTGGGCTTGGGCTTGGGCTTTTCTACAATCTCCGTTTACGAGAGGGAAAACGTAGCCGTGTGGCTTGGAATTCCCACGATGATGTGTACTCCATAAAATGGATGTTTATACATACATGTAGCGAACATCAGAATACATGAGGGCCCAGTCTAATCCAAGCTGGTGGTGTACGGAGTAGTGTAAACGCCTTCTAATGCTTTCCTTGTAAAGGCGATTGCCGACTCGAGCTCGTCACAAGTCAGCAGAATAGTGTAAATGCAAACCAAAAAAAAAAAAAGAGACAAAGAGTGAGACAGGATAGAGTGGTGCGTGGATTAGGTTCGTACGGTTCGTCGAATCGAGAAGAGTCTGGCCCCCTCGGAAGGAAATGTAGAGCGATAGCACAAGTGAAACATGCCCATCTATTTGCGTCGCTGTTTGGGCCGAATGAATGGGTCTGCGTCTTTCTTCTTTCGCATCATCTGTGGCCTTGGTTTCGGCGGGGCCTAAATAGATTAAAAAGCGGAACGAGTGAGCGAACAGATCAGAAACCCAGATGAAAACACTAAACAACGCTTACCTCTCCGGCTCTGCCAGCCGACGGTCCACTTGGGGCCCGGATTGCCGGTGCAGGTGGCTTGCCTGTCGCATATGCTGGTCCATCGCGGGAAGGTTTGATGAGATCCTACGTAGAGTTCAGTGTCAGCAGTGGGGATTCCTATATCTTCATCCAATACATTAACTCACGCTTGGTGGGTCTGGATTCCGAGATCCAGTCGGAACATTAGAACCCTTCGGACCTTTGGGGCCTTTGGGACCCTTAGGCGCATCGGGAAGACCATCGGTGCGTTGTCGCATTGCCTGTGGAGCATCGGGTGCCGAGTCATTGCGTTTGCGCTTTTGGTGGCGAGCAGAATCGTTTTGGTTTTGATTCTGCTTCTCGTTCCGGTGGTCGTTCCGATACTCAATCTGGTGCTGGTTCTGAGGCTTGTTCTCCTCCTTTTTAACTGGATTTTCAGTCGTTGCTTTCACGGTAGGCACCTGGGGATTAACTCTTGCAACCTGACGTTGTTGCTGACGGTCGGCGTTCTGTTTCCGAAGGTCCTCGAATTTGCGTTGCTGATTCTGTAGCTTCGACCTTTCGAACTTGGTAAGTGTCTTGGGCGGTGCTTTGCACTGAGAAGTCAAATGACCAAGCTGACCACACTGAAGACAGAGCTCAGCAGTGCATCGAGCTTTGGAGTGGCCAGATTCCCCACATCGGAAACACTTGCCACGCGATGCCTCTTGAGCTTCGACGTTATCGCAGTTGTAGGCAAAATGTTCATTGCTACCGCAAATCCCACAGTTCCTGGTAGTGTCTAGCCCCATTCTCCCGCCTGAGGGGCCTTCAGGTGGTGCGTTCGGAGTTTCCCGACTGGGTATCGACATCGACACCGAGCGAGAAGCCGGTCCAACAGACGCCGGGGATTGTCGAGAAATAGGCGGCGCTGGGGACTCTGCTTTCGCCGAATCCGAGGTTTCGACCGACGGCCCAGGTAGGAGTGGACCGACATCAGTCATCTCAACTTCTTTGTAGCCTGTAAATTGTGGTCGCTCGAGCATTTGAGTAATGTTTCCTTCTGTATACACCTGACGCCCACGCGCGTCTTGAATAAGGCTATTCCAGAACTGGCCTTGCTGAAGGGCTTGCGAGTTACCAAGCACCCAGAGCGAAGATTTTGCACGAGTCAACCCGACGTTCATACGACGGATATCGGCCAAGAAACCGATACCTTTGTTGGAAGCGCGGACACAAGAGAAGATGATGACTTCAGCTTCCCGACCTTGGAAGGCATCCGTAGTATTGAAGTCCACTTTGGTGAGAATTTCCTCGCCGTATCTGGAAGCAAACTGGGTCTTCATTTCTCTGAGTTGGCCCTTGTACGGGGTGATGATACCGATCTTGCCTGCAAAGTCGTAGCTCTTCACATCTGTGACGAGTCGTTCATAGAGCTGCATTGCTACTCGCACTTCTGCATGGTTGATCAACGAGTGGCCTTTAGTGGCACTGTGGTGCATGCCTTGGACGTCGAAGAAGCGATAGGGGCTCAGCAAATCGCTCTGATGCCATGGGCGGCTTCGAAGCTTCGCCATGTCGGGACCATCCTCAAGCTTGCCATCGTAGAACGTGAGACTGGGGAAACGGCTGATGTCTGGATGCATACGATACTGAACATCCAGCAAATGTACGTCCTTTGGATGATTCTTCTGCATACGAACGAAGAGACTTTGTTCGTACTGGAACGAGGAAGCCATCTTCGAGAGAACAGTAGGAGGCAATTGCTTGGGATCACCGACCAAAATGCACTTGGAACAGCCATACTTCAGCGGAATGAGCGCGCTCAGCTCAATACACTGAGCCGCCTCGTCGATAATGACAGTTTCGAATTCGACGTTCATGCCCTGGAAGATTTCGTGGCCGGAACCGCTGAGAGTGGTGCAGATAGCATGCGCGCCGTCAATGACCTCTTGCTGGGCACGTCGCTTGTTGAGCTCTGCGGTTCGGGTCTGGGTGTGAAGTTGGTCTCGAGCCTTGTCGATATCCGTACTCAGCTGAGACCTCTTCTTTTTCGTCAACTCGAAATCGCGCTCGAGTTCCTCCGGAGCAGGCAGACCCTTGGCCCTGCATTCGTCCAAGGAAGTACGGATCTCTTTGAATCGAGTATCAGTGGCCTTGTGCTCTTCATAAAGCTTCTGCATGTCAACACCGTTGCTAAAGCTGGTGTTCTTGTTGAGGCGTGCATTCACCATCTCATCAAGAGTGACATCGAGAACATTGGAATTGATGGCATCGCTTCGTCCCAGACGGACAACTGAGAGCTTTTCATGATTGCCATTAGTCGTCTTGACACCTTCCTTCAAACGCATCACCAACTCGTCGACGGCAGCGTTACTTGGTGCACAGATCAGGATCTTCTTCCCTGGTGCTTTGGGCTGATTGGCATGATATCCAGGTCCAATCGAGACAGATGTCTTGCCGAGCACATTTGTCAAAAGACTTCCAACCAAAGCTGTGATGGTTTTTGTTTTTCCGGAACCGGGGGGGACCCTGGATCAGAGAAAAGCCATCGTTGTCCATGGCGTGCCTGATAGCCCTAGCCTGGGCACGGTTGACAGAGTAGTTCTTCATCAATGGATCCAGCTTAGCCTCTCCGTATGAAAGAATTGGTGAAGGCTTGGCTTGAACAACCTCGTCACACAGATCGTAGAACTGCAGAGCCATAAGGGCACCATACTCTCGCTCTACGGGGATCAAAGAGGTGATCTTGGTAGCCCAAGATGTTGAACCCGTACCGAAGGAAGAATGGAACTTGCTATTTCCAATATTCATCCGATACGTGACTTCTTGCTTGCCGCCTTTACGATTGATACCAGCCACACGGGCAAGTACATGTCCGGCATCGGGATCTCCGGTCGGGTTAGACGAGCTAGAGAATAATACGAGGTCGCCTTCACCCATGCTGAAGTCTTTCAGAGGCATTCCAACCGGTTGCGTACTGAACTCAATCCATGTATCAACAGTCAAGCGAGACATGATCTTCACTTCAAAGGGACGGAAAGAACCTTCCTCTTTGGCCTGTTGGAAACCCTGCCAGGCTTCAAGAATCAACAATGGCTCAAATGTACTCTGGTACTCGGTAGAGGTGCGGAAGGTGTTGGAGACCAGAGTATAATCGGAGCGACCAGATGAGGAGGGGAGATCGCCAGTTGAGAAGAAATCCCACGAAAGGATTGAGTGGTGGAGACTGGAAAGATCGGGTGCTAGACGAGCACGCATATCTTTAATCGAACGATGACGCTTGGTCTTCTTGACGGGCTGCTGCTGCAGTGACTGCTTCTTGCTTAGCTCATAGGCGGCCACTGCATCAGGCTTCTTCGCCTTTGCGCCAAACAACTCCTTGTCCAATTCATCCTCGCTCTCGGAATCCGAATCTTCGCCAGAAGAGACCATCATACTGTCGGCAGGGAGGGCATGGTCTTTGCCCTTGACGCCGATACCCTTCAGGCCAGAGCCCTGCTCGGCTGTCAGCTCGCCAACACCGCGCGCCGGAAGATTCTTCTTCATCCGTGCGGCAATTTCCAGATCACGTTTCTTCTTGGCTTCTTTCTCGCGTTCACGCTTCTCACGGAACGACAACACACTGCTAGCATCGTCTTTCGGACGCTGGGAAGAGACCTGTTGAGAAATAGGGGGACGCACTCTAGGAGTCACCAACGAGGACTTTCCAGCTTGCAAAGCTGCTTTACGTTTAGCCTCGATCGCAAGACGATTCTTGTTGAGCTCCACGGATCGAGAAAGGTCAAGGAGCGTGCTATCGGGAATATCGTCAAAGTCATCATCACTCGGGACAGTACTAGCCTGGCGAGATGACGGGGTTGAGAGGTCCGACGATTTGGCAAATGCCGTGATAGAGCTCTGCTTTTTCATGGCAGCGGTAGACGCTGTGACAACAGGCTTCTTGTAGTATGCCTCCAACGAGCGAACAAGCTCGGCCTTATCGCGTGTAGTCAGGATAGTACGAATAGTCCCATTGACGGACACGCCCTCAATGAACTCCAACGCGTCCGGACGAACGGTAGTAACATCCAAGCTACCTAGTCTGCGCAAGAGCTTAGAGACAAGACCAACCAAGGTAGTAGCAAGATACTCGTCCTTCAGCCTCAACCATTTCACCATTGCACTCATGGTGACGGTGGGAGGCTTCAGGAAGTTCTCCGACACCGACTTTTGACCAGGATCCGCATCTCCCACTGCACCAAGGAAGACACCATACTGGTCAAACAGAAAGTCGGCGAACTGGATTGTGTCTCGACAGAACTCAAGCATTACGGATTTGTCATTTCCCCGAAGATGCCAAGCCTCTGTCTCATTAAAGATGGTTGTCAACGCCTGCCACAGAAACTCCCAAAGCTTCTGCAAAGACAACACCTCGCGACGGTCCACAAGATTGCGTGTACGCAGCATACCAGTCTGACTATTACACAGAATCTCTACGATATCCGTACCAGTGTGGAGCATTCGCGGGGCGGGTGCGAAGGTTTTCATGTTAGAGATTCGGCGGAAGGACCAACTCAGTCCGTACATAGTTGTCACGAACGTCTTCTGTAGCAGATAGGAAATGGCGTCTCGGCGAGCCGAGTGGCCGCTGAAGTTCTTGATCAAATCGACAGATGCTTGGTAGGTATGCACATCTGCGGCGAAGAGCGTTGAGATAAGAGCGCTGCTGGTATCCTGGCTTTTGAAAAGCGATTCGAGATGGTCTGGCCTGAATTCCGCCAGGCGCTCGATGACCTGGCAAGAGAGGCGAGTAAGGTTATCGTATGTCTCATTGAAGGTACCCTTTTGCTTCTCCTCGCCTTTGGTCGGGAATTTTTCCAGGCCGACGAGGGGCAGGATTCCGAGCAAGGCTGCCTTCGAAAGAGCGGGATTGTCCTGGTGAAGATGTTTGACAACCGCACCCCATATCGGCGGAGAATACGTAGAGACTCTGTGTGAGAGAGTTCCATGCTTGAGAATTACTTCGTAGTCACTCTTCAAGGACTGACACTCCAGAGCAAGAGTGTTGCGAACCACGTCCATGCAAAAATCGACAATCTCCTGTTGGCGGCTCTGCTCAACGGCAAATGTCGGCGTGTTCAGGATGACTTCAATGATATCACTCAGCACACCCATGGTAGTCTCCAGCACAATATGATCGACCGAGCTCCGCGAAGATTCATTGTCTGTAAATCGACGGAGGGTATGGAGGAGACTTGTAAGTCCAACATGGAAACAGTGGTATCGAGATAATTGGGGGTATTGTGGATCCTGCAGGCGTCTTAATAATTGCAATGCGAGGAACCGGGAAGCAGCTGGTGAGTGTGCGGGCTTCAAAGAAGCCAAGAATGGGTCAATCCATGAAAGCATGTCCTTCATTGCCGACTTTTCATAAGGCTCGCCTTCGGTAGTTTGCATGAGGAAAGTGTTGAATTGTGTGTTGAAGAAAGTGTGTTCCATGAGAGCTTGCGGGGATATTGTCTGCATAGCATCCCAGAAATCGGCCGGGGCCTTCTCGAGGAAGGTCTGAATAGTGTTCAAGAGGAATCGCAGTCCCGGTGTTGGAAAGCTCAAATGATCGACCGAGAGGCGGAGAGGGTCAATATCAAGCGCGCGAAGTTTGTGAGTAATCTGCTCTTTGTCAAGTTTTTTCACAATCAATTGCATGCCACGCCAAAGGCGTTGAATGACGGTAAGCTGTGGTGGCTGCATAGAACCAGCTTGCAATGCACTCAGAAGGCCATCGCGAATCGCCCAGTCGAACTCCAGCGCGGTTGGAGGTCTTCCATATCGTGTCCAGGTGGAGATAGCCCAGAAGCTGCGGAGTTGGTTTGAGTCGAAAAGGAAACGAGTGACCGCCGGTACATAATCAGAGATCTTCAAAGTTCGTTTTGTCTGGATGAGTTTGAAAGGCTCATCAAAATGTTCCGTCAAGAGACTATCACTGCGCAGCATAGCCTCACAACTCAGAGTTTCAAATATAGAAAGCAAGGCTGCTCTTTCCAGAACATCCAGCGCGATCTGCTGTGGGGGCACACTTTTTAATTGTGTCGTGGCCGTATTCAAGTTCCGCGTAATGCGCTTGATATCCCACTCATCGACCCGCTGAAAGAAAGCCTCGATATCCTCATCTTGGTAGTCCATCTTAAGCTGATCCATGAGCCAGATTTTCCCCGTGTAGTATTGTTTGATACAGAGGTCGCATTTCTCCAGGTTTTCGTCGAGTTTCGTTAAAACCCAGGTTTGGAGTTCTTCGATGCCATCCGCATTATATGCAAGTATGCGCATGCAAGAGAGGAATTTCTCTTTTCGCGCAGTTGCCACAGCCACCTGCTCTTTGACACTCTTCCCTTGCTCATCGACATGTTCTGAGTCATCGTATCGGCCGTAATCTTCGTCGTGTTGGCGCGGGCAGAGGAGGTGGGTGCCATCCGGAAGGGCCTTGAGCTCTCTATGCAAGGACAAACGATGGTTAGCAGTGTGTGGTGGTAATTCATGGACAAAGGAGACTCACCCAATCGCATCCACGAACTCCATGGCTTGAGATTCACAAAGGAAAGAGTTACTGAGTTTTGCTCAACATCTGCCAACTGTTTTGTTCTCCCATCAGAATATTCCTAGCACATATGTCGTTCGAGTTCCGAGTGATGCTGATGATGAAATGGAGTGGGAGGAATGGGTTTCGGTTTCTTTGTCTGAGCTGACACACTGAGACGCCACCAATAATAGATATGGTGAGACTTGTCACGAGAGAAAGAAAGTCTAGAATTACACCGAGTCCCCACCGCTCAAGTGAAGTGGCCAAGATGGACCTTGAAGCTTGTTGAGCGAACAAAAACCACCAACAAAACGCGGGCCGAACGCGGGCAGAACGCAGCTGCACGGGACTTGGGCGGTGAAGGGTGAGCGCGACGCGCCGCATTTTACTGGAGTGGGAAGGATTGTACTTTTAAGGCACTCTACACTGCATGTATTATTACTACTACTTTATTACTTTATCACTTTATTTGTAGGATGGAAGACCGCACATTGCACTATTCATGGGATATTCGGATTAAGTAACTTTCCCATCGAGGGCATAGAATAGAATACATGAAGACCATCCCCGAGCAAAGCCAGCAACACCCTCGAGAGAAAGGACGGATGAACCAGCAATAGAGAGAAGAAAGGAGAAAAAGGAAAATGTCAAGGAAGATGACCTCAAGATGAGACGCGAGGGGAGTTAAGACCGCGTGTCGAGCACAATAGGGGGGGAAGGAAAAATGGAGAGAGCAACAACGCTTTTATACAAAGAGCGAGAGCAATATGAGACATGCAAGGACAATAAGGAAAGGGGAACCGCCATGGGCTGCCATGTATAGAAGAAACGGGGAATAAGATAGTGGTGAAAAGCAAGAGAGGGGTAAGAAAGAGAAAAAGAAGGGTAAATGCGCCAAACCACCAACCGGGTGGAGTATACCAAACGCCTGCTTTCTATCGGGGAATATCAGAGCTGTGTGCGAATATTGGAGAAGCGGGAAAGAAAATGAAGCGGATTGCGAGAGAGAACAAAAACACCGCGCAGCATATTGCTCATGAGAAGATGGAACAAGTACGATCTGCCTATCCAGATCGTACTCGCCCGCAAGAGGGTAGGGAGGTCGTAGTCATCAGAATAAGTCTATGCAAGACCGCAGGTGCGGTGCCTCAAATCACATTATGTGCAGGGGGCTCGCCAGGGGCCCGGAACGGATCTTGAACAGTCTCGACCCCGTGACTAGATTCCATCCTCTGAAGCATGGCGGCGGAGGTGAAATCATTGCTTTGCTCGAAACTTTGCCTCACACGTTCGAATGAATGCCGTGTCCTGTCGTGGGATCGCCGAACATAGTCCACGGATTGTTGTCGGGGATATTGGTCAAGGCTCGCGGTATAGTTGGTCCCATTGCTTCCGTTTTGACTGCGGGGATTGTGGCCGTTCTGATGGACGGTCGCTGGTGGATAGAAAGGCCGCTCATCATCGGGGATGCCGGGGTCCTGCTTCAATTGCGGCTGAATCGGCTTGGCCAGCTCTGAAGAGGCCGCCGACTCGTCAGTCGAGGCGGCAATCCCGGCTCCCCCTTTTGGGGAAAGATCATCATCAACATCGTCCAGGTATTTGAACTTGCCGAGGGTAACCTGTTCGCGAATAATGTCAACGTCGAGAGGGAAGAAGACCTTCTGGACGGCATTGTAGGTGAAACGCGGCAACAAGGAAATCATGGTTGTAATGAGCAAGACAACCCAGAAGCTGAGGGAACCGTAAACTTCGTAGGCCGAATTGTAGAATTGACCGGAAGCGGTGAAGCATGAGTAGATACCAGTCCAGAAGAAGATCAGCAGACAACTGATGGCGTTGATCAGAACGGTGAACCAATCCCAGCGGTATGTATTCATCATGACATAGATGTTGCTTGCAAGAACAGCACAGGAGGCAATCAGAACACCCATGCGAGTACGGTCAGCGATGTCGCGGCCGCTCTCGGTGGCAAAGTTGGCTGCTTGGTAGAGTTGGTATGGCATGAAGAAACAGATAACAGACTGGTACAGGCCATCGGCCATGTACAACCAGAACTTGAGCTGCGACCATTCCTTACGCTCGATACCACGCATGTAAAGTTGAGGCACTGCAAGAGAGATCTTGTCATCAACATCCTGGTCAAAGATACCCATAAAGATAACTGGCAGGGAGGTGAACGCCAAGTTGACGAGAACGATATAGGTATAGTCGAAGAGATAGGAGCCATCGAAGTCGTTGTATATACAGTACCAGAAGAGAGCAAATGTCCAAACCAAATTTTTGTAGAAGAAGTTGGCAGTGCACTCTCCTAAACGGCGGTAGGACCATCGTCCATGAACAAGAAGCAGACGTTGGAGGAATCGGAATTGTCCAATGGCGTAGTCAGAGGACATGACAGCCTGTCGACCTTCCTCACCGGCGATTCCAACACCAACATCGGCTTCTTGAATCATGGCCACATCGTTGGCACCATCACCGATTGAAAGAGCCATGATGTCCAGACCATGGCGGACCATATTGACAACAGCAGCCTTCTGGGAAGGACTGACACGACAGCAGAGAACCGCCTTGCACTGCTTGCAAAGCAAGAGGAACTTCTGCTTCAGTTCATCGTTAAGCATCAACTTGAGAGTTTCACCATCGACAATGACGGCATGTGTAGCGTCAGGGGGGGTGTGGTCCGCACGCGCAGCGATAAGCTCTTCGTCCGAGCCAGTCAATCCGAATGTTTGAAGATGCTTATCGAGTTCCGCGGATGCCTGATCAAACTGACTTTCAGCAACGTTGAGGACGATAAGCTCCATGTCGTTGTTCAGCAGATTGCAGGAGAAACCAATGTTGATAGCAGTCTCGACCTTGTCACCGGTAAGAACCCACAACTTGATACCAGCATCCGCAAGGAGTTGAATTGTATCCGGAACACCGTCCTGAAGACGATCCTCGATAGCAGTTCCACCGAGAAGCATGAGCTCCTGTTCGATTTGGCTCGAGACCTTCTCCAGCTTTTCCTCGCGCATCTCAATGGCGGCAGCGGCGACGTCGTGTTCCCGGCTCCAAGCCTGATATTCTTCCTCGCTAAGGAGTCGGTCGGCAATACACAGAGTTCGGAGGCCTTCCTTGGCATATTCTTCCAGGTGCTCGGCAGTCTTGCGTCGGAGATCTTGCTGCTTACCGCGTGCCAGGCGGGAGTAGATGATACTATCAGCACCCTTGCAGAAAAGACGAATGGTACCATCGGGCATGCGGATGATCGCACTCATACGCTTTCGAGATGAGTTGAATTCAAGGGTGTTCAAGACAGTGTAGGTACGCTCTTCGCCCATAATGTTCAAGAGTAGATCGTCACCCGCGCGACCGAGAACGGTGAAGCCACAGTCACGGGCGGTGCTGACAAGAGCCGCCTCATCAGGCGATTGAGCCTTGAATTCGATTTGCGGGGGATCACCGGGAGTGTGCTCCGTGATAACGGTATGACAAACAGCCAGAGCGAGCATGAAATGTTCCGCGGCTTTCTTCTGTTCTTCGCCAGACTGTCCGTTCATATCGGTAACAAAGTTTGGAGCGATGAACGTCAAGTTCTCGTCCTTCAGATACGGGTTATCGTGGATGAGGCGCAAACCCTCCAGCATTTTCACGGCATTGGCGGCGATTTGGGCTCGTACTTGAGTGGCCTCGGCATCGGCATCAACGCCTTCGCGACGCCGCATTCCGATCTGTGCTTCTGTGTAGGCTTGACCATAGGACACGCCATTGATCGTGCATTTCTTGAACTCCATCACATTTTGCGTCAGGGTACCGGTTTTGTCGGAAAAAATATACTCGACTTGTCCAACGTCATCTGAAATGTTCCACGACTTAGGAACACAATAGAGACCCAGCCTCTCGTAGTACATGTACAGATCACTGTGGATGAAGACGGCCTGGATGGTGCGAACAATTTCGAGCGAGATGTATAGCGAGATGGGAACCAAATTCTGGAACAGAATGACAGCCGTCCAGAAGGTCACAATACCAGTCACAGGAGGAGTACCTCCGTAAGACCCATAGTCGAAGAAATCCAGCGACTTGTCTGGAGCAGCCCACGCAATACCGTTCACGATACCCGCAACCAGACACATGATGAAAAGGATGATGAAGTTGTAGATAACATTCCAGTTCAAGTCCTTCGCCAGACGGGCACGCTTGGCAGGGGTTGCTCCGGAGTTGAGCATGATTTTGCTCTCTCCGCCGGTAAAGACGACGACGCCAAGAACCCATTCAGTACTGCGCAACGAGCATCCACGAAGCAGCATGTTGTTGATGGTGATAGGTTCGACCATTTCCTTGCGGGGGGGCTTCCGGATAGTTCGGATCGCGCTGGTCCCAACGAATCGCACCGTTGTAGGCGTACAGATTGGGGTGTGGTGCCTCGCTCTCAATAGTAAACTCGGCCTTTTCGCAGTCACGGGCGTGACGAACCTGGCGACCGCAGTGAAGAGCGTGACGAACCTTCAAATTGGTCTCACCATCTAGACCCATAGTTTCAACGTAGCAGGCTCCGTCGGGGTCGGAGGTGGACAGAATCACAACATCGGCGGGAACGGGGTCCTCGTTGTACAAACGAACAAAATCACCGACTTGGATGTTTTTCCATGTGTCCCGCTTGAACCGTCCCTTACCAGTGGTCTGCTTGGACATGTCGACGACAGATCCTGTTTTCTTGTCGGGATTTGTTGGAGAAATCAGGTTCTCGCGGTTGGCGCTGTCAGGGGAAAGAAATTTGTTTTCGGTGTTGCTTGCGACCGGCCAATCCTCGCGGGCTTCGGGCTGAGGCGATGGAACATCGGTCATTTGGATGGCATCCTCACCGGGGGCCAATGAATTGCGGTGCGAGTACATTCCAGATTGGCGCGGTGTTGCCGTAGTCATAAATGAGTCCCGTCGGGCGGCATCCTCATCTTCTGTGTCTTCGCGCTTCTTGAACTGAGTCTTGATCCACTTGTATGAGGTGATCACACCGCGAGTGCATGACTTCTTGAAGCGACGCCATAGCCCAATGCTGTCTTCAGTCGAATTAACATTTGTCCATTCGATCAGTCGATATACCGGTGAGTTGTTGACTTGAGTGTCGGAAACAGTTCGCCCCCAGTCCTCGATTGCGTCTTTGATTGCAGTTACCACGATAATGACAATCAAGGGAACGGCGTTAAGACCGGGGTTATTGGCACCGAAAATAGGGAAAAACTAGAAATTCCAATTAGCAATGGGGTCCGTTTTTGGCTGTGATGGCCATTGGGAAGGCAACCGGGGGCGGGAGGGGGGCCGAAGTGTCACATACATTAAGAATAATGACGAACAAGAAATAAATATTGGCGATATTGTGGAACTGCAGGAAGACATTCTTCGGGACGAAGGTGAGCGCGGTATACTTCGCAGTTCGAATCTTGTTTCGTGGATAAGCATGCTTCAACTGTCCTTCTTCGTCTCGTTCGGATTCAGGGATCGGGATGTTGAAGTAGATCGTTCGGTTCTCGTTTCCTTCCGATTGTCCGTCGCCCACAGTTGAAGCATTATCGCCTGCTGAACTTGTCGCGTTGGACTTTCGCTTCTCATCTCTCATCTCCCCACGTTTGTGGAAACGATCGATGATGGAGACTCGTTTCCGCATGCCGCCGGAACCAGTCTGGCGCGTGGTTGCCCATCTTTGTCGCTTGGTCGGTTTGGATATATTACTGGGGACCTCCTGAATATCACTCGGCACCTCAAGGTTGTTATTATCCCCGGGAAAATGCACGGAAGCCATCTAGGCTAGTGTTGCGCCCAGCGAGGGCATAAAACTTGACGATGTTGTCTTTTGGGAACGAAGCGGAGTACCATCCAACGAATTAAGCGTGAGTCTGATGGCGGATAGGGCCGAGTGTTCGATTGAAAGCTGATTCTTCACGCGAGGGAGGTCGTTGGTAAGCACCAGGTCATCCGGGGGACGAATCGCAAGTAGGATGACAGAACGCGCGGATGCGAGCGGGTTCGAAGGGAATCGACGGAGAGTGAAAGGGGGATGTCGAGAATTGACGGGGAAGGGCGAATCACCCACGGGGGGCCATGCAATCTGGAGAGCGGAGGAGAGAGGGTGGTGGGGGAGGGTGAGAAAGGTGAGAAAGGGAGGATGTTTTTTTTCTCGAGGGGCGACCTGAGCAAAGAAAGAGAAGAAAGGTAGGCTCGACGATGTGAACAACAGCTGGGGGGGGAGGGTATGGTCACGTATTGTCATCGGGCTGCTTACATGCCGGCTTGGTCAGCAGACTTGGCATAGTCAGCATAGTACAGCATAGTACTAGTACAGCATCGTGAATAGTGGTAGTAGTAGTAGTAGTATAGTGACCCTTAGTATAATGAGTATATCTTAATATACTTGATAGTCTACTCGAGAGTATCCTAGATGCTCCCGTATAATGAGGATTATATTTGCTGTGAGACTCTGCACTACTGGTATCTCCGATAAACAGATCGCCCCAACTGAGAAAAGTCCGGTATCAAGTGTACCAGAGTGTACCATACCGTACCAGCCTCACCCGCTCATTGCCATCCCTCACAAATCTGGTTCAGCATCTAAATTTCTGACTGTGGCAGTGGCAACGGCAACGGCAACAAGATGACCTTCGGCACTGCACGGAGTTAGGAGTATGATTTATAATACTAGTATGGCAGTGTGAAAACCACCGTTTGTTCCGTCGTATATTTCCTATTATGTCTGTGCTTATTATGGTTATTTCTGGATTTGGCCCCCTTCTGCACGAGGGACACAGCCCTCGTATTCTTAGAGTGCATACAGTACAAATAATGCATGCTTATGTACGAGGGGGTATGCCACCGTCATAGGACTCCATAGGATACTCAGTACAGTTCTGCAACCCACTCTCTCCGTGTCGTGCCCCATCTGGAACCTTTGGAACTAATCTCTCTCGCCTGGGCTCCCGGCACTATCGGGTCTGGGCAGGGGTGACAGTGACAACCCTAGCCCCGGGGACGGATACTCTCCAGTCCGCATGTCGGCTTTAACCACATGCCTTGCCGTGCTCACCGAGATATGCACATATTAGATAGAGTATAGTACACCGCGTCAATTCTAATTGCGCTAGATACCAAACGACCCCGGAAAGAACGCAGAGGCCACCTTGCTGTTCGAGGCAAATATTCTCTGTTGTCTCAGGGTCGGAGCAACGCGCCTGAAACGGCCGGCGACACGGCACGAGCGTCCGGTCCACCTGAGTCAGCGCACTAACTCCACTCCGCTCTGTAGATTCGATGTGGAAGGTCTAGAGATTCTTCCATTGGTGGTGCTGTATTGCAGTCCATGCTGGGCATTTCATCGGTTAGCGCAATTCTGGATCTTCCAGGGCGGACCTCTGTCCATGCTCTCGCTTGCAATTCAGCGATGCCTGGGAGATATACCCCGTGCGGGACGAGAGTATTGATAGATCATGTCTGCCTTTTGTGCCTTTCATTTTCCCTTCCCCTCCCCCCTAACCCCTTTCTTCTGCCACGCGATGGATGCGCTTCCGAATCTTGGCTCGGGACAGAGTCCTCGTACTCCATACATACACTCAAAATCCATGCATTGGCCCCCGGGCGGAGCGGAGTCCACTGTTGATCATTGTAACTTGCCGAGCCCGTTGGCTCCAGTCGTGCCTTTGTCTCGGTACCGGTGACCGACGGCGATACAGTGCAATGTACTAGTAGCAATGTCTTTGAACGTCGTATCCGTACGGCCGTAGTATGGAGTAGTTCGATGCCTAGACGACGTGGAACCGCGCAACTTGGTGCGGGTCAACTCTTGCAAGGAGAGATTGCAGGACAGCTCCAAGTAAAAGGTTGGCATCGACAGCAATCAAAACATGACACGGCGTCGTCAGCCCGCGCGGATCAATCACGAACCATAGTGGAGCAGGAGGGTACGATTCGTAAACTCAAATCGGATCGACGGCGGTGCCCCTGAATCTCTGAATCTCTGAATCTCTGGCCGGACAGGTGTACACCTGACAGATGTCGTTACAGCAAAAGGCGCGGGTCTGGAGTTGATCGAATGCAAGGCTGAGTCCCTCGCAGGATTGGGGGTTGGCATTGATGAATGGCGGTGGTGGGGGCCAACGCGTTATTGGCGGGTACTCTACAGTAGTAGTACGGAGTATTCTGTATCGCCATTCTTGGAAAGGATTGTACTTGGTAGTATTAGTGTAGTTTTCAAGCTTAGGGTTTTTAATAAGAATCAAAATTATTTCAAGTTATCATCTAATAGCTAAATATACGAGTAGGCGGGCTTGAAGGGACTTGCTATAAACTGAGTGCCCTTAGTACTGATAATACTCCAGCCATGCTCCGCACCTGCTGTCAATATATACTACGGCCCTGGAAGTATGTATACTCCGCCTGTACTTTTGAAGTTTGCACCACCACCACTACTACTACTACTACTGCCAGTAACCACCTGGCAGCAGTATTTAGTAGTATACCAGTACTATGAGTAGTACTGAGTGTACTCAAGGAAGGAGCTACCAAGGAATTCAATTTGGCGTGTTCAGCCTCAACGGTCAGGTGACTTCGCGCCGCGCGACGCGGACTCCATCTTCGTTGCCCGTAGACTTGTTTGCTTTCACCAATACCTGAATTCTCCGCGATGCGATCGTCATGGTCCAATATCTTCAAACCGCCACCATTTGCGCGAACTCCGACAGGCTTGACCCCCGAGAAGAAACACGTACGTGACGTCGAGGATTCCCCTCAGGTTTCCTCCTCCCCGCTATCCGACCCCCCACCATCATCAAATATATCATTCCAAGGCTTCTCAACCCCAACATCAACCCCGACTCCGGTTCCAGATACCCCGGCTTCAGATACTCCCAATGGCCCGGGTGCCCAGCTGCATGCATCACTATCCAGCACCCTCTCTGATAACCCCCCCGAGACCGTCGGCTCGAGAGAAAAGCTTCCAGAGCATCGATTCCACAGTTCCACCCTCTACTCTCGATAGCAGCTCCCAGCGCATAATCAAAGGGGGCAAGGAGATTGTCATCAGCTCCGATGGCGAAGACACTGACTCGATCTCCGATCTTGACGATCCATCTACCCTCTTTTCTTCGACCCCAAAGCCGGAGTCAAAGAAAGGGCCCACGGTGTCAAAGCCTACCCGCTCAGGAAAATCACATCTCGCCCATCTGACGGCACAGAAGAGATACAAGAATAACCTTGATGATATTGTTCTTGATGCGGTGGATGACAATGAGATCGAGGCAAAAGTCGCCGAAGTAAAGGCAAGCCTTGCCCGATCCAATGGCGAACGAGCCGCGTCCAAGCACGCAAGAGACAGCACTGCCATCAGCGAGGGCATGTTAGCTTCCGCATTAGGCGATACCCAGGATGAAGATGGACCTGGACTGCAACGTCTTTTGAATGCTGTTCGGAGAACTGAAGCCCTCGACCAAGGCCGAGTCTGGAGATTCTTTGACCAAGTTCCGACGACACCCGCCAGACTAGAGTTTCCTAAAGATCATTTCCCGCCTGGATCCAACTTGGCAGCGCTTAGAGGTCAGCTAAAGAACACAACCTAATTGCAGCCATCGCTAACTCAGTCAGAGCCTGAACCTCGTGTCCGAATGATCCAATCGGGCATTCTCGAATGGGCTTCTTCGCTGGCACATTTACCCAACGAGTTCATTCTTTGGCTTTTCTGGTCCAGTCAGTTTCCCAGATTTATGACTAACTTACAAGACTAACAGTTGTATAGTTCCAACCGAACCACGGGAGGAAATAAGAAAAGCCTTTTGTCGGATCATCGTGGTACGTCCACCCAAAATTATTGTCTTCCCTCATGCTAACTGAAAGACAGAACACTCCTCCCAAGTGTATTCAGTCACATATTCACCCCAATGACATTGACTCTCTCTTTCGACAACTGGGAGCTAAGCCCCAAGCTTTAGATCTCTCCAGTGTTGTTGTCGAAGATCTCGCTGATCGTAAGACCTGCTTTTCCCCTGATCCACAATGGGCTCATGAATATGCTAACTTTCTTCAATTAGAATCTCCCTCGGGCTCTCAATTCAAAGATCGTCCAATTTTACTTTCAATTTTCAGTCTGCTCCAAGATGCTTCAGAGCTGTAAGTCTCAATCATACCCAGTTCATCAGGCCACAACTCACCATATTCTAGGTTTTCACTTGATGTTCGTGCGCATGCGATTCATATTCTGTTGCGAATTTCTCTAGACAATTCCCTTACCCAGGACTTCACCATCCGCGCAAGGCTACAGAGTGCTTTGACCGCTCTGCTTGAAAATGTTTCTGAAGCGGAGATAGATGACATGGTATGCACGCACTTGATCGTGAAATTCTAGGAATGGCTTGCTAAATGAATATCAGGAGCGTCAGCTTGGTAGAGCTCTCTACGACACTGTCAAAGACCCGCAGTTCCAATGTCGCATGATACAACATATCCTCCCCACATCACCTTGGATCTCGCTTCTACGATATCGCCTAGCTGTTTCATTCCTGCTACAAGAGCCAACACCCCTCACTGGACCTCTTGAAGAAGTTCTTGACCTCAAACGGCTTTCTCATATCATTCGTGACCCACGATTTCAGATGAATATAAACAACGGAAAAGACGCCGAGTATGATTTTGGGGAGCTAATCGCTCTCACCCAGCTCTTGGAAGTGGCCCTCAACACTACACTGTACGATCTCAGATATAAGGAGAAGAACACCGAAAAAGAGTTCAATGCCGCTATTGATCAGCTGGCAAGCCAACTCAAGACGAATTTCAGCTCCATGAAGGAATCCGGAGCATCGCATCTTAAACGAATGCTGGCCAAGGGAGCATTAGAGACCTTGCATTACCGACTTGTCTACTCAGTCCGTTCTAAGCCACCACCGAAGAAAACACCCTTCGAGGCATATGCCAAGGAAGGGAAAGGCATCAATAGCTACTTCAATAAAAAGGTCGCAGGAGATACTGGAGGGACAAACGGAGATACCACCCAGATACCAATAAGGGGACATGATCATACGACATAGCTTCAGCAAGTTTTGTTTGAATGCCTTGCTTGGATAAACCATACCTCTTGCATGATTGGGGAGAGGAGGATATTGAGATATTGTTAATGACCGCAACGATTGATGATCACTACGAAGGCGAGCAGTATTTTGTTTACAAGCAAATTTGACCGAGAATTTCTGCAAATTATCCGGATAAGGAATCAGATGAACGCTCAGAGAGATTGGACCACAGTATCAAGTAAGGTTAGTCATGGGATGAGATGTGCAAAGAAACCTCCCTCTCTATGGAGACAGCCAGAAAGTAGGAGGAACCCGAACTATAAAACAACGAAAACACCTGGCCACGGCTCCCGAGGAAGAACCGCCAGCCGCAAGAGAGAGAGAAAGTATAAAATATCAAACAAGATTTGTTTAGTCGTAGAAACGGCGGTTCTCGTTCTTCCCGAAAAGCGTCTCACGGACGACGGGGAGAGCATCGATCTCCAACAGTCGCAGGCGCTCCTCGAAAGTGTTGTTAATCTCGATCTTTCCCTGCCCACCAACGATCACGACACCGCCAGCACTGTATCAAGGTAATTAGTATGAGTGTCATACTAGCCAAAAAGAATATGTGGGAAACTTACGATCCCTCCGGCAAGGGCTCGGACTCATCAACAGAGAGGGAGATCTCTCTGCCAGTGTTCTTTTCAAATTCCTTCGCAGCACCCACAATAGCCTTCTTAGCAACATCAATATCCTTCTTGCGAGCGCGGATGTCCGCCTTATCCTCATTCAGGAAGTACAGGCCCTCGACGACGAGACCCTGCAGCATACCCTCATACTTCTTCTTGTCACTGGAGGCAACCTTGGCGACCTGATCCCTGGCCTTCTGGAAGAGATCATCCAGGAGCTCCTGACGACCACCGAGCACGCGGAGACGGGTCCGGTTGGCCAGAGTCGAGCGGGTGATCTGCTGGGACATGGCGGCCTGCTTAAACTTCTTCTCGTAGAGGGTATCGATAGAGGCGGTCTCCTGGCGCACAAGCTTGGACTTTTCAATGGCAAATTCCTCGTCGGCCTTGAGTTGGATCTCGCGGGCCTTCTCCATGGCTTCTTGTCGGATGAAGGCGGTCATCTTGCGGAGCTCGCCCGCGACCTGGGGGGGATCGGAGACCACGGGGTCAGTTCGGGTTGCAAGGAATGCAGGGTGGTATTGCAGGGAATTACCTGATCATCTGAGAGGGCATGACTTTGCGACATGATGAATGTGGGATGGTGGAGGAGAGGCAGGGAGTGGTGGGATGCGTAATTGTGGTTGAAGTTGAAGTTGATATGTGAAGGTGGCAGTTGTGGTGGAGAAGGAAGCTCTCTCTCTCCGCCCACTTCTTCCTTACCGCATCCAACTACTTCAACTCCTCTCCGTCTCCCCTTCATATTCCCCCTCTCCCCTCCCCGCCCTGCTTTTGCGCACCCTTTGTCATTTGCCCTTTTCTCCCTCGAGTTCGACCCTCACATAATGGATTCGGTTCTCCGGTAGTCGTCCGGCTTCTGCGCTCCTCGCCCCTCGCTCCTCTCCACCTTTCCGTCCTGTTTGTTCTCAACCGATGCATGATACCTCAACTTGGTCAAGATGGGAAACCTGGGAAACTTGTCGCCGCAGGGCAGTGTCGCCGTGAGTGGATAAACATATTTTTCCCAAGAAGAAGAACAACAAGCAAAGGTGGACAGTCTTACTGACAACCATACTACTAGGTCGGCATTATCGTGGGGCTTATCTCAACCAGTCTGCAGGCCATCGGACTCACTCTACAACGCAAATCCCACCTACTTGAAGACGAGAAACCGCTGTATGATGCGCGCCGTCCCCCATACAAGCGTCGGAGATGGCAAATAGGCATGTCCATGTTCGTCATTTCCAATATTGTCGGCAGTACGATCCAGATCACGACGCTTCCACTCCCGGTCCTGTCGACACTTCAAGCGGTCAGTACATACATCTTGGTTATTCGGTGATCGTGCGACCCTCGGTGGACTAACGGAATTTGGGGGAATAGTCCGGGCTAGTGTTTAATACAATTTTCGCGACACTCATTCTCGGCGAACCTTTCACTCGTTACTCCTTCGCCGGCACTCTACTCGTCTGCATCGGCGCCGTGTTGATCGCGACTTTCGGCGCTATTGGGGAGCCCGCGCATACTCTCAGCCAGCTTCTCGAACTCCTGCACGGCCGGCCATTTCTCATATGGATGGTTCTGACCCTTGTCTTGGTAGTCGTCATTCTAATCGGATCGAAGCTTTTGCGAAAATGTATCCCCGGCTCCCGAGCCAAACCGGTCGCGGGTGGTCATTATACACCACACAACCTGCGGGCACAGAGTCGCATCAAGCTTTTCCGGGGTATGTGCTATGGTGCGGTCAGCGGAATACTATCAGCCCACTCGCTGTTGCTGGCCAAGTCAGCGGTGGAGCTTCTAGTGCGCACGATCGTGGATCGCGTGAACCAGTTCAACCGCTGGCAGTCATGGGTGATTTTGCTGGCTATGATCTTCTTGGCTCTGACCCAGCTCTTCTACTTACACCGTGGACTGAAGCTGTGCAGTACTAGCATTTTATATCCGTTCGTGTTTTGCATCTATAATGTGATCGCCATCATGGATGGTCTGATCTACTTCCGACAGGTCTCCCAGCTTGCTGGTATTCACGCGGGGTTGATCGCCCTGGGAACTGTCATTCTTCTCGCCGGTGTTCTCTGCCTATCCTGGCGCCTGGAAGATATCGACAATCATGCTGCTGTCACCGTTGTGGGGCCTACACAGACCGGCCTTGGACCTGGTATGGCAGTCGTTGAGGAGCATCCGAGCTCTCCCGGCCTCCTGGATGGCCGAGACGACGAAGAATCACGAGTTGGAGAGCGAGAGCCTCTCCTCCAAGGCACCATCCGATCTCGACATCTCTCGTACCAGCGTATGCGAGCACCCAGTCTCCCGCTGATCCTGCCTAGTGACCGCCATGAAGCGGCAGATCTCAACGCAGCCTCTATCTGGGCCGAACTGGATGATTCCGACTACGACATGGTAGACCCCCATTCACGTCCCGAGCGACCACGCAGTTCAAGCAGTGGTGCAGCGTTGAACGGACCGATGCGCGGCCTTTCACGTCACTCCACTATTGGTCCAATCCCGCAACATCGCCAGCGAGGGAATCGTCGTTCAGCGCCACCAAGTCAAGGCGGCATCGCTTGGCGCCGAGTTTCCGCGCCTTTATCAGGGCTATTAGGAGGTTCCCAGCGCAGACGCCGTGCCACCTCCGGCCACCTCACCTCATCCAGCTCACAAGAAACAAACGGGTATGGAACGATCCAGGAAAATGAAGTCGAACCGATCGAGCCAGACGAGACCGCTCCACTTCGACCCCGGCGGAGCTCCACAACTGGTGGGCTTCTCGCAGGCCCGAGAAGATCATTGCTGGGTGCCTGGCAACAAGGACGGGATTATTTATCTCGATGGAGGAGCACGAGCACAAGCACAATCCCGCGGGCGGGTAGCCGGGCCGATCAGGTCGAGAATGACGGGTCTTCATCACCTTTATTACCACGTGTTGAAGCCCGTCCGCCATGGGCTCACTCTCACGCCCACGAGCGTCCCGTTTCACCACCTTCATCACTTTAGATTCCCCGCAGAGTCATCATCACTGTTCATCCTGCATGCTACCACCACCCCGTCTAGATCCAGCTTCCCTTCCCTCCACTTCCTTCCACGTTTGATATTGGAAGATACCTTCCAAGGCCTCGCTCTTTCCGCCATGTACAGTAGGGATCGATTGAGTCCCGCCTACCTCACATCACGCCACATCTTTATAGAAGATATGAAGATGCTTCTTTCCGTCCTTTAGCTACGATACCACCGTTTCTTTGTTATATACACGCGTGGAAATGATTTTGTGAACAACACATATAATAATTGCTGAGATGAAACTGTCCACAGGTAGCAATAGTGCAGGTGGCTACTGCCTGCTCGATAGTACCAATAGATACCCACTGCCTACTACTACTACAGGTACTACTAGGTGGCAAAGTCATTGATCGCATGTAAAAGATACTAGTAGTATTCGCTCCTAGTACCGCTTGTACCTTACTACTAGTAGTACCTAGCACTCGAGGTCCCAAGACTTTTCCACGGTTGGAATATACCAGGAACTACCACTAGGTACTACTAGTAGTAGTGCCTACCAAAAAGATCTACCTGTCTTCAAGTTTTCCAGGGTTACCTAGTAGATAGCACTGGCATGTCCGAGTCATGGTCATGAAATAAACTTGAAACCTCATTTTCATTCAAGTTGGAAATCAAATACATTGCAGTCTGACATCTCGCCTAAGAAAGCAGAAGTAACCGCACCAGCAAGCTATAGAGTATAAGAGATACAATCCAATCCAGTCCATTCCAAAGCACCGACAACCTTGGAAAATACAAAGCCGGACTACACCAAGGAGATACACTCACATCCGATACCGATACCATACAAAGAAGCCTGCAGCAGAGATGGGCAGAATAGGGCGAACAAGTAATACGAGGCTCGACGACCCAGTTGATAGAAGAGACTCATCTCGAAGAAACAGGGTTGAGATTAGACTGAGAGCGAGAAAACCAAAGGGGACGGAACATAATACCATGGGGAGACAGGTACAGACAGGAACAACTTGGGGAAAACAAGGAGGTAAGAGCAAGAGACAAAAGATGGGACGCGAGGGGAGAAACAATAAACAGGGTCAGTTAATGGGTCATGTGAGGAGTAGTGAAAAGAGTTATCGCGAGACAGGATTCAAGATAGAGTAGGGGAAAAGAAATGATAAAATAGAATAAAAGAGTAAAATCAAGTTAAAGAACAACCATTGGAACCAGAAACACCCTCCAAGGGGCTGGTGAACCACGCCGACAAATCAATGCACCACGAACACCACCAACCTCAGCCATAGTGTGTGTCTAGCTAGGTAGAGGGGGACAAAGAGGGGAAATGGGGAGAAGAAAACCAGATCATAGCCAGAATAGCGTTAGAAGATCCAGATTTGCAGTTGCTTGCGCTCGTGATCTCTCTTATGATTTTTCTTTTTGAACAGGATTTAGGGGGGGCGGAGGGAGGATGTCTTTCTCTGTTTCTTTTTGTGAAAGTTTTTTTTTGTTTTGCAGTTTTGGTGGACATAATTCCTCTGTTCTGTTTCTTTTCCTTCGGTCGAAAAAGTACCATGAGTCGAAGCGAGAAGTCGAAGATGAGGCATTGGGACGTGGGGTTTTTTTTTGGCTTGGGACGCTTTTCCATGGGATTCGAGACGGGGACGTCAAGGACGCCTGGGACCCGTTTCCAGGGTAAATGTACACTTCACAGATCGGGAGCACAATATTTAGCACACAGACACACGCGTACACACATCTCCAGGGAACAAGTCGGGAAGGGATTTTCCACGAGGATAGAGCGAGAGCGAGAGAGGGACAGAGAGATAGAGAGAGGGTGAAGGGGAGGATCAGCACAGATGGACGGGTATCAAATGAACGCGAGATTGGCGCAAGGAAAGGGACGAGAAGAGGACGCAGCAATCTGGGACTCCTCGACCGCGGCGCGCAGGAAAGAGGAAGGGAAGCAAAGCGCTTTATGCGGTGGGCTGGTGCTGCGGCGGCATGCGGTTGCCGACGGGCATGCCGGGGTACTGGCCACCCGCCTGCTGTTGTTGCTGCTGCAGGTTCTGGTAGTAGGCCATCTGTTGCTGCTGCTCATTGGTCATGTAGCCAGGATGCATGCCGGGGCGGGCCATGTTGGCCTGAGGAGCGTTGACATTGTTATGGGCAACGTCCTCGGGGGCCTCGGGCGGAACGTCGGAGGCGTCAACGCCATTCTCGTTGGTGGTCGGGTCGGGAGCATTCAAGCAGGCCTGGAAAAAAGGTTGTTAGAGTGATGCGACCGAGTAAATTGGGTGGATGAAGCCTACCTGGATCAGGTTCTTGCCCTCAGCCTTGGTGACGAGAGGCTGCAGCTTGGGGGTGGTGAAGGTATAAACCAGGCCGGTCTCGGAGACGACAAGGAGGAGCACCTGGGTGCCGGTGAGAACAGACAACTCGTAGGCCTGGTAGGAATAGGGTTAGTCAAAATTATCACGGAGATGGGTATGTAGTAGTATATTGGGGTTACTAGTTTAATGGGTTGACCTTGACCAGCACGTTGAGGGGGATGGAGTATGGGGGTGGGCCCGTGGCCGGAGAGGGGAAACGCGCGACCGTACATACCTTCTTCATAATACCGGCCTTGCGCTTGGAGAAGGTGATGTGGCGACGCGACTTGTCCTGGATGAACTTGATCTCGATCTTGCGACGCTCACGACCAGGCTTGTCATCATCATCGTCGTCGTCCTCAGCACTAATGCGACCGCGCTTGGTACCGCGGGCATCAGCGCCGTTGCCGGGCTGTTGCAGGTCATCGTGACCAGGGGAAAGCTTGTCGTCGACGGCAGCCATGTCGGCCATGGTGGAGAGGCAGGAAGGGGAAGAGAGAAGAGAAGGAGAGAGAGAAAGGTAGAGAGAGATGGGATGGGAGGAAAGTATGAAGATTTGAGTCCAAAAGGGGAAGGGAATCGTAGATACCCAATCGAGTAACGCGTTTTTGGGATCGCAGGGTTAAAAGGAAAGAAAGTCGGGAAGGAAACGGAAGGGGGGGGGGGACAGATGGGCAGATGAGCGAAGAAGGCAAAGTGCGGTTTAACCTGGGCAGGCGGTGAGAGGGCGGTGAGAGGTGGTATTGATGGCAGTACCCTGAATTTACACGGGTATTGTCATTTACATGGGAAATAGCAAGGGTATAGTATGGGAGTGGGTGGAAGTGGGTGTTCCAATACGGTATTGCCTCTGCCGATCACGGTAGACTAGTATGGGAACCAGTATACCAGTACCCGTATACTATAGTATAGTATAGCATAGTATATAGCATAGTATAGCATAGTATAGTATATACTATATTGTACTATATACAGAGTAGACTATATACTATAGGCTATACACAGAGTATCCTATCCTAAATACCACTACCCTACCAGTATCGCCTATATTAATCCGGCATCCTGCATTCCAGCCGCACTCATTTGGCCCCCACCGCAATCTGGACCACAGTCCGCCCCGCAGTAAGCCGAATAGGGGAGGGGGAGAGGAGAAAAGATCCAGGAATAGAGGTACTCGAACGAGAATGTACTCTGCGAAGAAGAATATTAAAGATTATAGTAAATGTTAAGTAGAAACATAATAAGTGTAAGTACTCAGCAATTTGAAGTAGTATAGTCAAGGCAGTGCCAAGCAAAGTGCATGCAGAATGCCCTGGATTCCTGAATCCTGAGTCACCAATGACCATCCGGAAATGACCCGCTTGCGGAAGGCAGGAGCGACCAGTAGGTACTAGCCACAAGGTATGGTATGTGAGCAATTAGTAGAATGGTACTCCGTACATAGATATAGTATGAGAATACAATGATAATATTAGAATAGGAGTAGTATCTTATATTATTATCTTGAAATAGCAGTAATGCAGTGTAGCAGAATACCAGCCCTGGAGTAAGCAATCCCTCGGGCTGGCGGAACTATCAACAGCCAATCTGATTCAAGCATTCCCACTACGGTACAGACTCATGCTATATTCAAGTTGTCTTAACATATAACTATATACTACTGGTACTCCTTTGTGTACCTGGAAGCTATAGCCACGCGACTACCATCACTACCATCACTATCATCACTATCATCACGTACCTGACTCAATCTTCATTGATCGACCCCTCTACTCACATCTCACTGTGCAACACTCACTCTCGCCTGTCGGAGGATTATCCACGTCACAGCCACGGGTTCCCACCTGGAGGACCTTGGATTTGAACCTTCTAGGATGACTACGAGTACATTCTTGAATCTCCCGGACTGCCAGGTGGACCCTCTTAGTCCACCGCACGAGCGCGGGCCGGTCCGGAAATCTCTGGCTCCAGGGCTACCAATAACCTTATGGACTACAGAGGACAGAGGTACTCTCGTAGAAGACTGAGATATAGAAAGATAGATAGTATTATCAAGAAGACTCATCATATTCCTGGCATAATGAACAATAGTTCAACGCTAATCACCAACGGAGACCAATACGGTCTTCGGTTCAAGTCTATTTTTACAAATGCAGTATCCGTGTAGCCATCGACAAGCCCACGAACATAAAAAAGAAAGGAGAAAGGACCAAGATAAGAAATGAAAGGAAGGACGACAGAGCAAGTCCCCATAAGACCAGACCAGGCCACGCGGACCAGGACGGACTCTCGAGACAATCAGGCACTCGAGGCCGGGATATAGGGAGTACATAAACCAATAGGTTCCTGCACCAGAATGGACTCCGCCAATGCTAACGCCGGATAAATGAACATATCGGAAACTGGAGGACGCGGAATTCAGGTCACGATCACGAGTCTCATCCGGAAAAAGAAATAGGTCGGGGGAGGTTGAGGTTGAGGTTGATGTTGGGAGTTTGGAAAAAAAGGGATTGGCCGATGCATATGAATTGGCGTCGTGATGTGGGTGTAAGAAAAGGAAAGAAAATAAGAAAAAAGCAAATGATAGAAGAGGAAATAATAGTAAGGAGGAACTGAATCATGTGCAGCGAAGTGAAGATGTTGAACAACCGTGATAAAGAAAAGGATCCCCCAAGGACCAGCCTTCAATCACTGGCGGGGCCTTTTAACGGTAAGCAAAAGGCTCGGAACAAAAAGGGACAAGAAGAAAATCGCAGAACGAGATAGATCATTGCTGGTAGGTGCCCTGGATGTGGTGGTCGCTGAGACCACCGCCACCACCGCCCTTGGGGCCGAGCCAGACAATCTCGATCACGCTGTGTCCCTCATCTTCCTCGCGCACATAGAACTGGTGGACGTTGTCGCCAACCACGTAGGCGTTGGAGAGCAACCAGCGATCCTTGGCAATGCCCTCGTCCTCGGCCGGACGCAGAGGACCCAGGCGCTCCTCGAAACCACGGGGGGTCCTCAGGCCAGGTCTTCTCGGTCGCATCGAAGTTGATGGCATCGTCAGGCACGTTCTGGTCATATGTGTACTTGACCATGGAGTAACCGTTGGTCAAGACCCAGAAGTGGCGAACCTTCTCGCCAGTGGCGGCGTTGACAACCTCCTCCTGGTCGAAGACCCAGCGGCGCAGAACGGACTTGCGGCCCGCCGCGGCGGCCACAGTAGTCATCTTCACAACATCCTTGGAGTACCAGCTGTTCCAGTGGTGCATCGATTCGATTTTGCGACCAGACTCGTAGACACCGTCAACGGGGTCGGTCATATCCATCTGGTAGAGCGAGGGCCAAAGAGTGAGGGGAGTGTTGCCGAATCGCTGGATACACTGTCCGAGCTTCTGGTCACCGGGCTGCTCACCCCAGGACTGGCACTCGTCGTAGTACTTCCAGAGGACATCGAGCAGAGGCTTGGAGACGAACACACCTGCACCACCGAAAGCGATGTGGCCAAAGGTGTCGACTTGCCAGCTGGCCTCAGACAGAGAACCGATGTAGTGCTTCTTCGTCTCGTCGAACAGCTTCAGTTCCTTAGCGATGGTAGGCAAAGAAAGGAAGAAAGTGTCATCATCGCTGAATCCAACCCAGGTGGTGTGGGGACGGTGCTTGCGGATGTGTTCGATGAACGCTTCGACCATACCGAAGTAGCGAGCGGTGAAATCCAGCGGGGAGGCAATTAGAGTCAGATCCAGACCGCGGTTGCGGAAGTAGGTTTCCTGCTTCTCCAGGTCGTCATCGGATTCGGGAACCAGAACAATCAGACCAGCCTTGGTGTTACCATAGGTGTAGAGCAGGGAAGGGAGCAGACGATCGAGGCGGTCCACGGTAGTAGCCAGACCGAAGAGAAGCTTGGAGGTTTCCTCGACGCTGTCATCGGCGGCAACATCAATATCGATGATTTCAGGACAGATAAAGTTCTCCTCCTTGTTGTCGGGGGAGACGACCATGCCGCGCTCCATAGTGACCATCGGGGGAAGAACGGGCTTCACGATCTCCTCAAGAGTGTGGAATTCAGTATCGGGGTTCACAAGACGAGGACGGAGGTAAGCGCGAGTGTAGTTCTTGCGAGGGAGCCATTCGGAGAAGGGGAGGGGAGCGGCCAGCTTGGGGTCGACCTCGCAGGTATTGCTCGCGGTCTCGAGTGTCGCTTGGCTGGCAGGGTCTAAGTTGGGAGAGTTGCTTGTGCCCATATTGACGCGATCAATGGGGTTCTTGAACCGAATGAAGGCGGTTCGATCATAACGCTCCATACACCAGAAAAACACACCAATCGACACCAAAGCGATCAGCGGGAACACCGTCTTCAGCCGGAAGAGGGGCATCTTGACGGTCTTTGGCGAGGACTTTTCAAACATGTACTCGGGATGTTTGAGGGGAGAAGGGCAGGTGGCAATTCAGCACGCCCCCTTCGGAATTCGCGTTGGATATCGGGGAGGGAAAAAAAAAGTCGTTTCGATGGTGTCCAATGTGGTTGATGGAATAGGAAGATAATTTCACGTAGCGGAAAAGAAAGCTACCGAGCAGAGCGATCCCGAATCGAAAAGAATGTACCGAAGTAGTGCGTGGGGGTTTTTTTTTCTTAAAAAAAAGAATGGCTGGCAGATCAAATGCCGGAAACGGAGATCAACGAGAGGCTGGTAGCGTCGGGACCTGCGACACCAGATATAGAGAAGAGCCGAGTCGAAAAATCAACGCGGCTGGACGGGCGAGTCCAGAGCGGAAGGCGATGTTGTAGAGTTGGGGAGGGGGGGAGGAGGAGGAGTTGAGGAAGGGAAAAAAAGGGAGAGAGTGAGAGAGAGACAGGAACGGGTTGAGTAGAGAGAGACGGGGGGGAGTTTGGGGGAAAGTGGAGGGCCGGTTACGCGATTACCATTACAAGGTACGGTACAGTCAGCAGAGTGGGGAGTGTACTATACTCAGATACTCAGTATCAGTATGCTTTAGGATAGTCCGGATACTCATTGTATTCTTATAGTTATACTATGATATACTCTGTATAAGTACGGAGTACTTGAATAGACTACTGTACTATTGTAACCATACTCTGCTACCACTACTATACTATAGTATGATATCATAAGTATACACAGTTGATGTTATTCTCCGTCCTGGAATGCTGCAGGGATCGGCCTCCCCTTCGTTTACTCCGTGCTTTTCTCCGATGATCGTGAATCTATCAGATCAGGGAGTACTGACCACTCAAAAGTGCAGTGGTAGTGCTTATAGAGTCCCTGCTTCTACCACGTACGAATACGGATACTCCATATTTCCTCTTGGATTCCACCGGGCAGATCTACTATGAGTACGGTGGCCGCCGGAAAAGCGTCCGGAGATCGGGACGATCCTAGGGATCGTCTACTGTACGGAGTTCACCAGTCTGGTGATCAGTTCCGGAGTCCAGGTAAATCCATCATCATGATGCGCGGACATCCAATGGCACCCATGGTAGTGTATATACGTCATGTAGGCTCATTGTAGTGGAAGATGAAATTCTACTAGTACTAATAGAATTATCTAGGTATACGGAGTAGATCAGAAGAGAGAACGAACTGTGCCTTAATAGTACTAGTACTTGTAGGCTACGTAGCACAGTTAGCTACTATACTATGTATATACTTAGACCCTTACATCTGGATAGATCGAAACTGGACTCTCTGTATTATATACCGTACTAACCGTACCGGACAAGATTCAGAATTACAGGAAATGATCTGAAGTCGATCACCCTGGCGTCCAACCGCCCCGGCCACTGAGCATCCACCAGAAGGGCCACCCTGGCCAGCGCCCCCCCCCCACTGACGCGTGTCCTCCTACACCCTCCAGTTGGACTCGACTCAACTCAGTGGAACACACCGGTACGGACAGCTGAGAGTCTCTCGTTGTGAGAGACCCTGAAAGCTTATCCGCAGCATTTGCCCCATTATCATTTGTCCATTTGCCCATCTCCCATCTCCCCTTTACCCATCATCCACTTTTACTTTCTCAGGTCAGGGTCAGGGTCAGGGTCAAGGCTCTTCGGATCGGATATCTCAGTGGCGAGCCCTCAGCCGTGCTCGACTCACAGTGGGCCGCGATCGACACCAGAACCATTTCATTTCCCTCCTGGGCTCAGGCCATGAGATGAGGCCCGCCCAAGCCTTGAGGTTCTCTTGGATTGAGACAGCTGCGTCATCCACGACGTGATGTTCTATATATATTAAACCCGGTGGCGGCACTGTTTCACAGTCTAGATCCTTCATCACACAGATCATATCAAACGATTCAAAGGGCTGGAGCTTCGTGATGGCCCAGAACTAGTCCCCTTTCGATGCTAGAGTCATCTAAGCGACGTTTAACCTTAACGAGCGCACGATGGGGGTGTCAAAATCGACTTGGATTTGGACTCGGAGTGCCAGTGGCCAAGCGGCCAAGGAATAAACGAACTTGGCAGTGGCTGTCTGTAGTCATAGACTTATTATAATGTCTGGGAGTTCTGAGTACGAGTACTCGTACTCAGACTGTGCATCATTTATGAATTCATACTACTCGTACTCCGTACTAGTACTGTACACCCATGTTAACCACTTGCGCAATCTCTCGGACCACACGCTGCACGGTGCGCGAGGGTTTAAGCTCGACGCGCCGGGGCCTTGGCGATGCTGTCACAATAAAAGGCATCGGGAGAAAAAAAGAAAAAGAGACAAAGGGAATTAAGGGGCTTAGCGGCGACTACCCGCTCGAAACGGTAGAAGATTCGGTCAGACCCTGAAAAAGTCCAGACCAAGTGGAGCCCGACCCCTGATCATCAGTCCCCTTCGGTACGAGTATTGTCCATGGAACATTCCAGGGCTGAGTCGGACGCGAGTCTGGTTCTATGTGGATCTGGTCGAGTCTGTTCGGATTCAGCAGATCTCGTTTTCATCCGGATATCTGGTAGTATAGGTTGTGTGTAGTCGCCAGATGCGATGCTCGGCTGAATTTACCGTGGCGTCTTCCGTTCTTGTCGGCACTGCTAACTGGGCTAAGGGGCTATGGGCTGGGCGGCAAATGGCAGCTGGCAAATAGAAATGGTCCAATAGATGATGCCATTCGTCGCCATTCGACTCCCCAATCGCGCATATCCGCTCGTCCATTGGCCACTTCTATCGATGTGCCCCATTCAGCCTCTAACCCACTGCAGTGCCCACCCCACTTAGTACTATGCAATATGTAGGTGCCTGCTTGTCTACGTACTCGTGGTTCGTGTACGAGACTGAATCATAATAAACAATATACTGCGTACGAAGTACAGAGGACATGTGTACATACGAGTAGATGATACGGACCCAGGATAGATGAAGCTGGAAATGAACCCTCAATCACAACTCCCCCAGATGTACGAGTCCACTGTGCAGTTGATGAAACACCCTCCGCCCCATTTTGAAATGTCAAGGAACCATCAGGGTTCGTCAGTCCCACCACAGACCGGGCATGGATAGGCCCGGCGATTGTCATTGGTGCTGACCCTGCCACGGAAATGAAGCTTTTATCGTTTGTCCCACCCCGCGGCAGACTCGGAGTCTGCTATCTCCATCCGGTTGGCGCTGGCGATTGTTTCAGACTTAGATCCGGTCAAGTTGCCAGTGGGTTGGGTTGGGAAGGTTTGGTGGGGAGTGTGGTGGTTTGTATAAGCAGTGCGGGTACTCCATACTAGTAGTAGTCACTGTCGAAACCCTGGCCCTTCCAAGGTTCCAAGCTGTGCTAGTGGATAGTATATATAGTTTTCAGTTGATAGTACTAGTAATACTCCACGGTACAAATTTCTAGATACTCGGGTGAGAAAAAGAACCAAGAAACCACCGATAACCATTGCGCCTAAATTCTCTATCCAAGAATGTAGCTTTAAATTTCGTGAAATTAGTTACATCCCTCTAATGATGTACTGTCAGGTTGGGCCGGGATTTGGGACATTATAACATATTTGGAGCCCGAGTTGTCGCCATTGATGTCGCTGCCCCGCAAAGTAACAGCCATCTCCATAGCGGTATTACCCGTGAGCTGTCCTGATGTACATAACGGCTCCGTGTTCTAAGAGAATTTGAATATTTTCGAGTCGTCTGGCCTTGATTGCGGCGTGCAATGCGGTAAATTCTACCTCAGAATCATCGTCAGTCTCAGATCTAGCATCGGTGTGATGCATTTCGAAATCTCTATCATCATTGACATCATCGCGGTCGGATATGAAGAGGGTGTTCATCGCTATCATGATTTGTATCTCCGTCAGCATTTCGCATATTGTTAGTGACGTCTCCCATACGAGGACTCCAAAGCTCCCACCTGCAATCATCCGTTTGACGGGATATTCCAATGGAAATATCGAGAAGACCAGGCACATGTTTTCAGTAGTGACCAAAAAGGGAGTCGCCATCTACTATAAATTCCTAAGTATTTTCTGCTACTGAAATACAGTGCTCTTCCAGAATTAAGTAGTAGAGTGTACAATGTGACTGTTTAACAAATAACTTGAAACCAATGATCATAGGGCCTGCAGCACTTTTCCAGAAGCCCCAAAACAAATGCCCGGCCCTAATCACTCAGTCCAATCCCAATTGAAAGCCCTACACCTAGCAAAAACCCCCATTTTCTCCAATAACCACGAGAAACATCATTTCCCTCCCGATCGAATCCAGGCTTGACGGCCGGGACAAGTTTCTCTAACTTCTTATTCGAATAAGGCGGATATCTTGCCCACATCACACCCTCCATCCAAGCAGGGAAGGCATTCGTACACGTTCTCAGATACGAGAATTCCCGAATACCGTGCGGACCGTGATAGTATCCATGTCCGCTACCTCCTGTTCCACCGAAGGGCGCATCCTTAGCAATGACGTGCAGGGTGCAGTCGTTGAATGTCACGCCGCCGGACTGGGTTTCGGAAAGGATGCGATCTTTTTCGATACGTCTTCTGTGAAGCCGTAGATTGCGAGTGGAGTACCCGTTGCTCTTGTAAATGCGAGGGCGTTGTCCAGATCCAGGTCTAGGATTGGGAGGATTGGACCGAATAGTTCAGTTGTTAAGAGGGGGTCAGTGGGTTGGAGGTTTGTGACTATTGTCGGGGCGAAGAAGCGGGTTTTGCGATTGCGGGTTCCTCCGTAGACTATTTGGCCACTTGTACTTTCAAGGAGATTGTCGAGGCGGTCATAATTTTGTGTGTTGATTATGTGGGTGTAGTATTCTGGTTGAGCTTTGCTACCCATGAAGGTACTTAAATGCTTGATCAAGCTAGTTATCAAGGCTTCTTTGACGGAGGGGTCGACGAGAACGTGGTTTACATTCAGGCAGATCTGTAAATAATCAGGCTAGGTAGATTTTCACGAGGCCTGGGAACATTTTCATTTTCATACCTGTCCAGCATTTTGAAATTTGGTAGCGGCGATATGCTTTGCCGATAATTCGATATTGGCAGATGCTGTAACGATTGCTGGTGCAAGACCACCCAACTCTAGTGTAGTTGGTGTAAGGTGTTTCGCAGCTGCAGCATGCACGATCTTACCCACGTTAGGAGAGCCCGTGTAGAAGATGTGGTCATATCGCTGCTCCAGTATGTACTGCATTTCCTGCGGACCAGCACTAATGCACCGAATGGCGGACTTATCCAGGAACTTTGGGATAATCTCCATCAGTAGATCCTGCGTGGCAGATGCCATATCTGATGGTTTGAGCATCACAGAACAACCCGCAGCCAGGGCAGCCACCATCGGTTGAAGAAGTAGCAAGATGGGGAAGTTCCAGGCACCGATGATGAGCGCCACACCTTTTGGCTCTTTGCGAATGACGGTACGACCCATAAAATTGACCAAATCTCGCCTTGTTGGTTTTTCGTCTTTGGTCCATTCGTCGAGTTGGTCGAGGGTTCGCAGGATATCAGTTTGGACCATGGCGATGTCAGAGAGAAAGCTTTCTTGTCGATGTCGGTGGATATCGACGAAGAGAGCATTGCAAATCTGGTCTTTGTTGTCTTCGATCATCTACCATGCACGCTTGAGCTGTTGTCGTCTCCAGCCCTTGTCCTTCGTTGTCCCGATTGCAAATGCATCTTGCACGCTTTTGTAGGCCTGGCTGGGTTAGCTGACGGTTTTGGTTATTTAGAAACGATTAGGAAGCTTGCTTGGTCAAAGTCTTCTACGGTGCTAAAGCCCATGTCGATGACGGGAGTATTGGGGTTGTGTGAAGAGGTTGTGAGGCTGTTGTTGCTTTGATGACTAGATTAGATGGAAGGAGCTTACTACTAGTACTTCCTCAAGATGGGATGTACCCGGGATGCACCCGGTGTATAATATCGCACATATCTGGTTATGTTAAGTCATTCATTTTGTGTTCACATTAGATCCAATCCTAGCATCGAGCATCACCGAGGCAAGTAATGTACATTTGCCTTGCATCCGACCGGACCGAGCTTGGTCTTATATGAACAATCACCTCCGCTTCCACGTGCAGATGCACATGCAAGGTATACTACTAGTAACTAAGTACTAGTCCTACTCACACTAGACTGGATTGAGAAAAAGAGAGGGGGAACAAATTAAATTTTTACTGGCATTATTCACTTAGTGGTGGTGTCAACTGGTCGCTGGTATACCAGATAGGATGCGTAGAGGAGGTCAAGGGGAAAGTTTGATTGAAGATCATCAAATTGAGAATTTATCATATTCAGGTATCATGTCTATACAAACCGCTACGATAGTAACGGAGCTTTACTGAAATTAATCGTCAGAGGTGCCTTCGCGATCATCAAAAATCATAAAGTCATCATGGTCCACCTCATCTCCTACGATCTTAGTCCAAGCTTGCTTGACCATGTCAACGACCTCATCCTCCCATGTCAGGTCAAGACTGGACGGCGGGAAGCTAAAGACATGGGGCGAGTGCTTGTGAATGGTAGCCGAAGACCCGTCATTACGGAGTCGGCCCGACTGGGTGTATCTCATGGACCAGAGTACCATGGCTTGAGGACCTTCGGCGTGGAGAAGCCGGTCGACAGCACACTCAAGGAGAGTGTGACCTTCTGATCCAGGAAGGGCGACACTGCCGTAAATAATACCTAATGGATTCAGTTAGCCATATGAACCCAAGACAAATCAAATAAAATAACAGGATGATTGTTGTGCTCGTGATCAGTAGATGATAGTATGGTGTCATCAATGTAGTTACAGACAATGTAGATAAGTAAAAGGTATTCATCATACGAGCTGAATATGGGGTGTGGGTTGAGATATCGCGAAAGAACAAGGTGAACTTACTCTGCTGTCGGGGACAGTCACCGGTGTCACTCGAGTGGATCTGGAGGTACACCGGGGGCGACTGTGGATGGCTAAGAGTGTCACCAGGGAACATAAGAACGGTGCTGGCGGGAAGAGGAGCACCCTCGGTGGTAATGGGGAACAGTGAAATGAAGCTCGAGGAGACGACAGTAATTGAACGGGCCACTTGAGAAGTGGGCGGAGATTGCTCTTGGCCGGGGATATCCCAAAGGGAGCCAATCACGAACTTGCTTCGGACTGACTCTCCACTGGTGAGCTCCAACTGAACCGGATATTCTTCTTTTTCTGATGTCGCTTCAATATCCTTCAAGGACTGAATCCCAATAGCAAGAGCGACAGCACCTCCGCCTACAGCGCAGGCACGACAGGCAACCTGAAGGATCTCAGACGCACCGCCGTATTTCGAAACAACGCCGCCAAACCCAGGTCCCATGGATCCGATGGACGACAGATGTCGCTGAACTCTAGGAACAGCGTATTCCGCGGGTGTATCTTGCGCAGAGTGCTGAGACAGCGAGAGCGAGTGAAGAGCGTGGAGCAGATCACCTGGAACACTGAACTTGGTAGACAGGTATTCGCCAAATGGTGCTGACAACTCCTCAGCTGTGTCGCCCCCATTTTCGTCTTCGGATTTGCTGATGTGTCGCAAGAACCGCATCAACGTCCTCTTAGACTTCATACTGATGTGGGTATCAGCGAAGACATCTTCCCGGTTTCCCGGCACGCGGTGAAAGATATTAGTGGCGCCGAGCTCCTCTGACTCGTCGACCAGTGTGCCAGTGTGAATCCACCAGCTCCCCAACGCGACGAATTCGAGCTGGCGGTAGACCTTGGAAGAGATTAGGATAGAGATTAGTGCCGAGCGGGTGTAGAGGAAGTAAGGGGATAGGGAAAGTGTATAGGCTCGACTGGCGGCCAGGTTGGGACGGATATCCGGGGTGTCTGGCATACGCTCACTCCCCTCGGAGTCATTCTGCGAGGGAGGCGAGCGCGGAGACTCCGGGGGATGTTGGTATGTGAATATCTTAGCATCTTCAAACGGAGACCGGCCAGGATCTATCAGAGGACAGAAATCAGCGATAGGCCGAGACGTAGGGCACATTCGGCAGCTACCCACGTTGGTTGACACTTGTCACCCATTCCTGAGCTTCCTCTAGACTGAAGGCCGCGTCGGGTCCTCCATAGTGTGGATTTTGGTCCAAGTGAAGAACTTTCTTGCCGGATCTTGAGAGTGCCCTGGAAGAGAAGTCAGCGACAGAAAACTTGATATAGACTCTTTTGGAAGAGGATAGAATACTCACAATGCTAGCAGAGACTGGGACAGCCCAGTACCTGCAATGATGACATCCCACGTCGTGTCGGCGAGAGACTCCATGGTGTCCAATGTCACGATTGAGGTTTGAGCTGTACCAGGTGAGTTCGGGGGATTAAGCAGAGAACACTGCGAATCTCATGACATCAGACAGAGAAATTTAAAGCCCAAACGAGCATCCCTGAGTTCTGGAGAAGAAGGGAGCTGTCGGAACTGAGAGGAGAAGGGAGAAAAGAAAGAAGAGAAGAAAAATCGAGGCGGAGCTATTTTGTGCGGGAAGGCGGTGAGGACAAGCGCGGTTATGTAGTGGAGTACACAATTAACAGTGTGGAACTTGGGTGATTTTATGTTTGGGGTGTTAATTGATTGACGATGATGATATATTGATTTGAATTAAAAATAAATAAAGATAACTAGTATCTCAAATTGGCGGTAAGTGACAGTGCAGTAGGTGGTGCAACATCTACTAGAACTTGAAGTACACTACAACGGGACACCAATTTTGTAGACGATCGTGCAATGGACATGAAATTAACTTGAAGGGTATCTGAATCTATATATTTACAAAGGCTATGGTATCATGGTATATTCACGAAAGAGTTACTATGCAGAAACCTCATGTTGAGCTGCCTGCATCGGCTCCACTGAGCCTCTCTCTTGCCACTCATTGAGAATCTTCGTGACTTGCTTGAATGCGACCGGTTTTGTCAAGAATAAATTGATTCCAGACTCGATGGCCTCAGATTCATCTTTATGACTGCTCAACCCAGTAAGAGCGATGATGATGGCCGGTTTTTCACCGGTATTGCGCTCTTTCTCGATTGCACGGATATTCCGCGTTGCTTCGAATCCATCCATGACCGGCATCGATAGGTCTATTCAGAAGTTCATTAGCTCATTGCTCATGGTTTCTCTAATTATATATATAACTTTCGACGGATTTCTTACCCATGAATATGATATCGTAGCCTTGGGCCTTTTCTTGCACGGCGGCAACGGCCAGTTGACCATTTTCAGCCGAGTCCAGAGTCGGTATGTTTCGTTTCTTCAGGAACGTAAGCATCAAGTTGAGATTAATCTTGTTGTCTTCGACGACGAGAATGCGGCCTTCGTGTTTGTTGTTAAAATTTTGGGGTGGTGTGGCACTGATAGCGCCCGAAGTACTGTTAGGTTTTGATTCGGGTTGTTGGTTGACTGGTGGATTCGGGGTTTCAGGCACAATGTAGAGATCAGAAATAGCAGGAAGCGAAAGTGGCTGCTCTAAACATTTTCGAATAAGTCTCCCAAGCTTATGTGGACCACAGGGAGGGTGGATGATATTCGCGAATTTAGCCGGAAGCGAATTGACTTTCATCGAATCGTGCCCAACCCCTTTAGTATCCACTAACAAGAATGACGGCTTGCTGGTGAGTTTCTCGTTAATCTCGGACTGCGAAGGAATTTCATCGACCAGGAGTATATCGATGGTCGCCTCTGATGATGGTGAGACCAGTTCCAGGCCGAACCAATCGGTTAGATAATGGGAGATAGTTGACCAGAATGGGTGCTTCGAAACGCTGTCAGGTTGCAGCCCCCGAATGGCAACCTTGCGTCCAGGAAAGTCTCTCCGAATATAGTTCAGATCAGTCGTCATCTCTTGCCGCCGCATTTGCGACATGGAGCGTATATTATTCACACAATCATCTGGCTCTGAACGATAGAGTGGCACAGTGACTTTGACAGTAGTCCCTTTGCCAACTTGGGTTTGCACATTGATATTTCCGTCCAGTGATTTGAGTAGACTGCGAACAATGGAAAGACCAAGACCGGATCCACTTGCTAGCGTATCTTCCTGCGCGAATGGTACAAATAATCGCCCACGGAGGAAGTCGTCAGAAATGCCTTTGCCAGTGTCGGATACTGTCAATGTCACCATATCTGCCATTTGTGTCTGTTGATGCCAGTTTTCGGAGTTTTCCTTTACCTCAAGGCGCACCGAAACGTGGCCCTCGGAGGTGTATTTCATTGCGTTGCTGAAAATATTCATGATGATTCGTCGAAGGGCTCCGGGTGCAGTGGAATATACCCAATTATGATGCGCGATATCCAGATCCACGAGAACGTGTGGTTCAGAAACACCACCTGGGGCTGAAGGCATTGACGCATAACCAGAAGATTGAGGTTGTTGGCTATACTGATGACCAAGACTCACCCCTTCCACTACCTCTTCAGCTAGAGCAGATATGTCAGTCGCTGTGTATACGTCCAGATGAGCCGCAGAGCGATGTTTCATTTGGAGATTGGGCGACTGGTCCCCCTCGCTTTTTCAAATGCCGTAGCTGTTTCTCAAGGGACACGATCTTGCTATAATCCAAAACTTGGTTCATCGTGTCAAGCAGAGTTCGGCCACAAGCATCGATGGTTTCCATCATTGAGCTTTGGTATGGCGTTAGTTCTGTGCTTTGCATCATCTCTGCTGCTGCTAGTACTCCGTGAAGAGGGCTGCGAAGCTCATGACTGTAGATGATGATTAGTTTTTGTAATATTTTAATCATAGAGATCAACTTACGAGATACTGCCCAAGAAGTCACCCTTTTGTCGGTCAGCAATAAGTGAATCGACCCGACTGCATTCTGACATGATTGAAGTACCAAACCCCAATAATGAGCTGAGCTCCACTGATGGGTTGAAAACATTGCTTTCGATCGTGTTCCAACAGAAGAAGCCACCGAACCATTGCGACTGGGCCGGATTCCACAAGGGCACGAAAAGAATCTGGGTTGCCCCGGGGAAGCCTTTGTTGAGAATCGAATTCTCTGTGGTTTTCCTCTTTTGCGCCTTCATTCGTTTTAAAGATGGATTCTTCCTCCCACGGGGTTCAGATGATCCTTCGGATTCCTCACTATCGGAGCTGGATAACAAGCCATCCCTATGAAAGGACCAGACATTTCCTCTGCTATAGCGATTAAGCAGCCGACGCAAGAAGTCCTCGTCGAGGTTTGTAATCGAGCGGGATACAGGCGTTTTCCTTTCCATGCCACCGTCTTCTGTAGATAGCCCCAGAACAGTAACGGCCTTGCTGTTGTCCACTGAGCTCGAAAACTCGCTGTCAGACCCAATATTGTGCATTAAATCGTTGCCAGCTTCAACAAAAACAACGCCGTCATTTCCTTTCAGCTCGAGGCTTTCACGAATTAAGTTGGCCGCCCGTCGGAATGTCCACGAATTCCCTCGATGAGTCTCCCCGTCATATTTCCCCTTGGCCTGGGGCCAGTTATGGCCATAGTTTGAATCGAAGCTGGATGGAATAGATTTCTCATCCGTTAGTTCAGAGGCAGAGTCGAAGGAGCATGCGCTACTGCCGCGAGATATAGACCGTCCAGACGAGAGACTGCGAACATCCAGTTGGTCTTTCGAGATGCGACTGGCGCTAGTTTCGAGTGATCTGCCAGGTCTTTGATAGTTTTTTTCCGCAGTGGAGTCTTGTTCGTTACTCGCGAGGCTTGAGTGTCCCTCAACGAAGCAACTTAAACCACGAGACAAGCGGGAAGCTCGGCGACCCTCAGACGCCTCACGGCTGACCTTGAGAAAGTCCATAATGAGCATTGCCATGTGTCCCATGGTCTCTTTCTCAAAATGGGTGAATTCATCATGAGGTTTGGTATCCAGAACAAAGAAGCAGCCCAAATTGATATTGCTTTCAGTTGTGAGTGGTGTCCCGGCATAGAATCGAAAGCTTGGCTCCTCTTTCACAAAAGGGAGAGTTTTGTAGCGGTCATCTTGGCTGAGGTCGTTTGATACCAGGAAGTTGTATTCCCCCGTTAGTCGATTAGATGGAGCTAGTGCAATGGTATCCTAATGGTAATTAGAAGCTATTTTTGACTAAAACGCACCGCGGCGCGAAGGACGATACGCAAATACTCACCTGGCACATATTCCATGAGCTGGCATCGAGTGTCGAGCAACCGGTATACACGCCGTCACCAAGGAAATCGTATTTGACATCGCCTTTCATATTTTGAGCGGCTTGGGCAATAATGAATTGCGAATCACGATTGGATACACTTCAAAACGAAATCAGTCAGTCTAGATCGCCAAAATATGAGCTCACATTTCGCTCTTCTCACCTGACGAATACCCGGTCTACATTTAAACGTAACGCAGCCAATTGCGCAAAGGAATTTAATGTCGTATTAGATTCTCCCAATACCATAGGGTCGGGCAAAGATCCCAACGCAGTCAATGATTCTTGCGAGCTTTGCGTGGTGCTTGGCTGCGTTGACACTGAAAGGTCACTGTTTTGTTGGGTGGATTGATCATCGCGAGCTACTTGACCTCGCAGGGACGGAGTGCCGCTGGATAATGCAACTTTCTCGGAGATTGTTGCTAGGCGCTCTGGTCGAAAGTATCGATACATCTCTCGGGCGCGACGGCCTGCGCTGTGATCCGTCTCCATCATTGCAGCCGGGGGGAGGTTTTACTTCCATAGTGAGGAGTGCGGGGATGCGATCGGTCAACTAGATTTTATTGTGAAGGGAGCTCCCCTATGCTTGGTCCATGTCAAGATAAGAGGAAGCTAAGTTGTAGACAGGATGAGATGTGTCGAAAGATGGTATTAAGAAAATTTGAATCGTAGGGTCGATCCCATGGGACGATTAGATTAGATTAGCCCGAATAAGAAATGGAACGGAGTTTTTTAAAAGGGGATGGAGGGGGGATGGCCAGACGAGAGGGGCAGGCCCGATCTTGAAGGTAAAAACATGTGGAAGAATCCGGAGAAAGTAGGCGCAAAGTCTCGTATTGGGGGGGTAGATCGCACTGATATCACTAATGGAACCTCAAAACCTGCAAATCCACGGGTGACGTTCCAGCCACTGTGGTCCGTGGCTGAGGAAAGAGATTTGATTGTGTATGTAGATTGTGTATGTAGACAATTTTGTTCTCTATGTCATAAACTTCGGTGCCTAGGAGCTTCGTGGAGAAGAATTAGAGGGGATATAGGTGGCAAGGAAGATCAATAAATCAACAAATGTGATTCGCGGGACCAACTCAACATATAAGAAAGGCATGTCAAGGGGGTCGATTGCACATCGACCCATGGGAAGGGAGAGAAGGGGCAAGAACAAGGAACATGACGAAACCCGTGGAGATCGCATGCCTCTTGCATCGGCGATCTCCACGTCTCCACGTCTCCACGTCTGCGTTTTTGAACGGAGCTTCTACCGGTCCGGCACGGTATTCCGCCAATCAGAATGCGAATGGCGATATAAGAATACTCAACAGCATAATAGAACATCGCAGAAAGATTGCCAATTCTACTTTCGAAATATCGACAAACGCATCGTCTCAGTTTCAGATCCACGCTGGTGGCAATGTACAGTACTCGCTAGTCGGTAATCCGTAAGAAATCCCCATTTGCTGTTAAATCTCGCATAGCCACAGAAGATCCTTGATCCACCAGGATCATGAGCTACTCGTACCTCTGCGACATGCCGATCATATGGCCTGACTCCATATGTAGCCTTTTGCAATCAATATGGCGAAGTGGCTGAAAAATTGATCAGAAACGTGGCGTTCCGGAACTCGGTTACGCTGTTACTTGCAGTAACCCTGGATACATTATCCGTACCAGAAAAATGCGAAGAGATGGTGGCGGCAGCTGAAAACCAGTCCAAACTGACCATGCAGATGATGTTTGAAGAGAGCCGCTGCCTCAAGAAGTGTATAAGGTATAATGGAAGTTTTCGATAGCAAGTCCAAGTGATTCGGCAGGTAGAAGGAGGCCTTACCAATTACTAGTAAAACTCATGAGACGCGACCCTCGGCAGACTGGGCTTTCAAGCTGGATGCGTATACAATAGGATTCGTGTGGCCAGAGATTCCAAGGGGTGGGGGGTCTATCTTCCTATTTAACGTATGCATCGGTGAACGGCTGAAGTGGATGCTCATTAGCTGGTTCTCATTCCAGTCCATCGGACCGGGATATTTAGGGTCTAGAGCAAACAATGGGGCTACTTTGAGCCCAAGCTGTTCCAGTTGTTCCAGCGGTCCACGGTCTGGGCTCTGCTGCGACCTGCCTAAAACCACCGCCCCCCCCACTCTCTCTTCCTGCTCTCCCGGCTTCTTCTTTACTTCTGTGCTGCTTGGGTTCTTTGCTCTCTGATTCCCCACTGCTCCATACTCCCTTTCACATATACTATTATTCCGAGTTTTCGAATTCAAGTCGGGGTTTGGTTTATAGTTTCTATTCCGCCTTTGAGACTGCCTCTCCTTTCAAAAATGGCCGATTTCAACACCTCCCAGGTGATGGGTGTAACATTTGAAATCACGTCCAGGTAATTTCGACGCGTATTGGTTACTTTTTGATACCAACGCCCAGACCATTAACACGGTCGCAGGTATACAGAACCGCAGGCGGTTGAACTGGATGCCGCTGGTCTTGTTTGGTATGTCCAGTGTGATATCGCATTTTGAATCAAAGAGAGAAAAAAGAAAGATTGATTAACATGATCGCTTTTAGCTCCGCAGAGGATCAAATCCTGCACAATGTGGTCGCCGTGAGGAAAGTGACAAAGCCCTTTTGCTCATCTGTCCTTGCAAAGCGGGCGCTTCGTGAAATTAAGTTACTTCGCTATTTGCGACATGAAAATGTTCGGACCCCAAGTCAAATTCTCAAACCGCCAGAATTTCAACTAACCCCAAAAAACAGATTGTTGGTTTGAATGATATGTTCATATCTCCCAGCGAGGACTTGTATGTTCAGAACAACGATCTATTTACTTTATCTATCCCTAACTTTCGCAGATATATCGTCACAGAACTCATGTGGACAAACTTGCAAAGACTTATTGATCGAGGCCCAATGGAAGATGCCTTTGCAAAATATTTCTTGTACCAAACACTGGTAGGAACACCTTACCACCAGCGAATTCAAGACCTCAAGTTACTAATGAAACCAGCGAGGACTGAAATATGTTCACTCTGCAGGCATCATACACCGTGATCTCAAACCATGCAGCATTTTGATCAATGACAACTGCGACTTGAAAATAAGTGGTTTTGAACATGCACGACTACAGGGGCCCCAGATGACTGGCTATGTTGTGACCAGACTGTACCGAGCGCCCGAGATCATGCTCACATGGCAGCAATACTCGGCCAAGGTAGATGTCTGGAGCTCAGCTTGTATTTTCGCTGAAATGCTGCAAGGAAAGCCGCTTTTCCCTGCCAATAGCCATGCCGATCAGTTCAGTCAAATTGTGAAGCTTCTGGGCAGTCCGCCCGTGTGGATCGTGGATATGATTACGAACTCCAATGTAAGTTTAATTTCGATGCTATGAAAGAGATAGGACTATGGAAAGAAAGCTAACAAACTAATAGACAAGAGGCTTTGTTGATTGTCTGCCAAAGTGTCAGCGGAAGGTTTTTGCAGATGTTTTCCCCGGTTTTGACAAACAAGGTATGACTCTTTCCCGGAAAGAAAGCAGAGACGGCAAACTAATATGAACAGCAAATGATCTACTCGAAAGAATGCTAGTATTTGACGTGAACGAGAGGATCAACGCCAGAGACGCACTTTCACACCCATACCTGACATTATACCATGACCCCAGCGATGAGCCAGTAGTCAGGGAAACTTTCGATTGGTCTTTTGATCACACTCAGGGCTCCGTTGACAGATGGAAACGTGTTGTGTATGTTTTCCCCCAAAGCTTCCTTCAAGACTTGAAGACAACATACTAATACACTAGACATGAAGATACAAGGAAGTCTGGAAATTCCGAAATTTAGAAGACAAGAACGGGCTTGTGATGAACATGAGCATGAAACCGAAAGAGGATACTGTTCCTATCAACATTGTTTCAACATCGGATGCCGATGGGAATTCCTTGACTCACATGGACGAATTTGACGAGATATTATCTTCATTTTGTGAAAACTTTGACTCGGGCGAGATGGCTGCGCCATATCCAACCGCAGAAAGCATTACTGGAACCTCTTAATACTGTTTTAATCCGGGATCGGCTGGATCGGAATATTTAATGAATTGCTATGAAATAATGATACCTGGGCCGCTTTTTCTTTGCATGTAACAAATATAAACTGTCTCAAAGCACATCTTGTCTCAAAATAAAAGAATCCATGAATAGTACTAGAATCCATACTCGATCTATACAAACACGTGATATGATTATTCAGCAGCTTGTGAGGTGCCCACTTTAAAAGTGAAATTTTGCAGGTTTCCTTTTTCTTTCTCCACGCCACCCCCAGTGCTTGCACAGCCCGACTGTTCTCTCATGACAATCTCGGGTGTCATGACGAAGGCCTTCACTGGCCGACGTCGTGGGGGTGGCAGATGAGAACTTCACTCTGTATCTGCTGCTCTAGATGGTTTCATTTGATAGAAGCGGTTCGTTTTGTAGTGATACATTCATTCGTCTATTCTGGTGTTGGTGTATATCCATCTGCTCTAGTTCGATAGACCTTGTAGCTATAGTTATGGGTGCGAGCCCCGAGTCATGCTGCTGCGCGCGACATGCTTCATGCTTCATGCACTTCAGGGTGGGCAGAAAGTCATCTGCCCAGCTTGAGTCGCGCTAGGTGTGGATGCGAATGCGGGTGCGTCAACAGACAAGAGACGCAGACGTGTCTGCTTGTGAGCCAATTCTCTGTAGCCCGATCGGAAGGCAAATCATGTGTTGATGGCAATAGCCCGGAAGGTCACCCTGTAGAGAATATGCCGATATATGCGAGCCATTGGCTTGCATAGCTCCGTCTTGCTTCACTCCTCATTGCCCTCCACCACGCGCGCCCGAATGATCTTCAGTTCGTCCATTGGCCGATCCTCGCCATTGGTCTTCACCAGACCCATCCGTTGAATTACTCGCATGCCACTCTTTACCCGACCGAAAATAGTGTGCTTGCCATCCAGCCACGGGGTGGGCGCAAGGGTGACGAAGAATTGACTGCCGTTCGTGTTGGGCCCGCTATTCGCCATGCTGAGGACGCCGGCACCGGTGTGCTTCAAGTCGTCGCGAATCTCGTCTTCGAATTTCTCGCCGTAGATAGAGCTTCCTCCTCGACCGGTGCCGGTAGGATCACCAGTCTGGACCATGAAGTTGGGAATGATGCGGTGGAAGACGACGTTGTTGTAGTAACCTCTCTGCGCGAGAGTAGAGAAGTTGTTGCAAGTCTAGAAGCTTTGAGTATCAGTAGAGAGCAGGTTAATTACCGCTACGAGGGAGCTTAGAGTTTACCTTGGGCGCATGGGTATTGTAGAGCTCAACTGTGAAGGAGCCCTGTGAGGAGTCAGCCTCTATTCATTGGAATGGTGGAACACCAATGCATTGAATGCTTACCATGGAGGTGTCGAACACCACTTCGGTCGCCATTTTCAAGGATCCGAATATGTGAATATGTGAAGGGCTTTGTTCTTTTGGTCTTTGCGGTGTAGAAGTTTCGTGGGGGAGTTGAAGATGAAGAAAGAAGAAAGGCGGGACTTCCCAAGGTTGCCCCAAACGGTGGGCGGAGCGGCAGTTTACTTTTGTCTTTGTCCAACTTGTCCTTCTCAACACTTCCACTTCCACTCCCACTTCCTCTTTTCCTTTCACTTCCTTCATTTCTATCTTCAATTTGCCATGTGTTGATCCGTCATTCATTTATTTCCTCACATTCACCTCGACTCCCTCTGTCAATTTGCCCCGAGGGGAATAGAGCTATCGCTCGTGTGACGTACGATGTCCGACATACACGATGTGAGCCCCCTCGCCGAGGTCTTGGGACAAGCTCTCTACCATTTCGACCGCATGAGACCGCTTCTTCCAACATATGGCCACCTCGTGGTTTCCGCTCTTTTCCCCATCTGGATTGGCGCGCACGCTTCCCTATCACGACCTTCCTCCGCCGCAAAACCTCCCAAGAAAGACGAAGACAAAGAAGATGACACCGACGATGAAGATGATGAAGATCAAGGCACGGTCCAAAAAATGGGAGGCCTAGAGCCATCGGATGCCTTGATGTTTCCTTTGACTGCGGGACTTACTCTTGGTGGCTTGTACTTGGTGATCAAATGGCTGGAAGACCCCGCCATCTTGAACAAAATTCTTAGCTTCTACTTCTCTCAAATGGGACTCTTCTTTGCTGTCGCTTTTTTGAAAGATATCCTGCTGATCTTTCGATCAATCGTCTTTCCGAAATACTATCGTTCTGGGGGGAAGCTCTGGCAGGTTAACCAATCTAAGCGCGTCTTCCAAACCGATGATCAAGTTCGACACTCCCCACTTCCTGGTGTCTTTGGGATGATCCCGCTACCAGGAAAGGTTCGGGCCTTACTTTGGGCTACTCGGAATGTCTCCTACCAGCGACTCAAGATGCGCCTTCTCGTTCGAGGTATCATTGACGGCAAGGGTCTTGTTGGCCTTCTCGATCTCATCAGTGGCATCTTTGCTCTGGGTGCTGTGGGATACTTTGCATTCATTACAAAGCCATGGTGGTTGACCAACTTCCTTGGTTTCAGTTTCAGCTACGGCGCTCTGCAATTCATGTCTCCGTCCACATTTTGGACTGGTTCTCTGATTCTCGGATCCTTGTTTTTCTACGACATATACTTTGTCTTTTTTACACCTTTGATGGTTACGGTCGCAACCAAGTTGGATGTGCCCATCAAGCTGTTGTTCCCTCGACCGGCAGGACCGAATGATGACCCCGCTGTTCAAGCCCTGGCAATGCTGGGACTTGGAGACATTGTCATCCCTGGAATGATGGTAGGATTGGCCTTGCGATTCGATCTTTTTCTCTACTATCACAAGAAGGGTGTTCAAAAGGCACAAGCTGAGGAGAGCGAGTCGATTGTGAAACCTCAATACCAAGCCGCAACTGGTTCATGGGGCGAACGCTTTTGGGCACCAACGATCGCACCGCGAGAGCTCGAACTTCAGCCTCCCTATCATGATGCTCGATCTTTCCCCAAACCGTACTTCAAAGCCAGCGTTGTCGGATACGTACTTGGAATGATCACCACTTTGCTAGCCATGCAGTATTCCAATCATGCCCAACCGGCTCTTCTCTACCTTGTCCCTGGTGTTCTGATTTCTCTGTGGAGCACTGCATTCTTCAGAGGTGAAATCCGTGACATGTGGGAGTTCTCTGACGGAGAAGAAGTGGACGAAGAAAAGGAAAAAGATGGAGAATCTACTGAAGATGCTAAGACAGAGAAGGATGAATCGACCCCTGAACATAAGAGTCTGTTCAGTCGAATTCTGTCCGGGGATTTGAAAGCACTGACTGGTGGATCTTCATCAAGCAAGGTCTTAGATACCAAGGGAGAAGATTTTAAAGAGAAGAAAGACGAAGTTCCCGAGGACGAAGACTCCAAGGGATCCGATTCCGAACAGGAGAAGAAGGAAAAGGAGAAGAATGAGAGTAAGAAAGAGAAGAAGGAAGAGGAAGAGAGCTTGGATCTGGTGTCATTCTCGATATCCTTCCCGCGCAAATCTGCTGCCAAGGAGGACTCCTCAAATGAGAACCCCAAGTCCGAGGATGGTATGGTCTTCATTCCAAGGGTTGATCAATGGGATGAGGAACCGCCGACCAAAAGAAGGCGAGGAACTCCTCGAAAGCACTAAAGTTGGTGCTTGAAGCTTCCCCATAAGAAGGAATTGGAATGAAACGAATATTCTCATCCCGTACTTGTATAATTGTCATCCTTATTCAATGTCGTACTCAGGCTATCACCGTTAAACCTAGCCATAACTACTGTATATTGTCTGTTGTATACGCTTCTACTAGTTACGTTGGTGGCCTGATGTGTCAGGTGTCACACTACCGCCTCCGATAGTGAAATTATTCTGCCGGGCTGGACATCGGCGTTTTTGATGAAGAACCTGCCCGATCTTCAATCTCCGATTGTAAGATACACCCTCGTGAAGCTCATACCATGGCTTCAAGTTCCGCTTCTACAGCTGCCCCTGCAGCTCCCAACTCGCTCTCACTACCCCCATCCCAATTTGCGCGCCTCCAACCCCACGCCTACCTTCTCGCCCACCTCTCCCCTCCATCATCCAGCAACCAGCCCTCAATCCGTGCCAATGGCCGCGCCCCCTCTCAATTTCGAGTCACATCCGCCAATGCAGGCTCCCTGACCCATACCAACGGTAGTGCCGTGGTCCGTCTCGGCGACACAACCGCAGTGTGTGGTGTCCGAGCCGAAATTCTTCACACCGACGATATCGCCTCGTGGAGTGTATCGCAGTCGACAAACGCAAACAAGCGCCGACGCATCGGCGAGTCTGAGAAGGACACCGAAGCCGAAGATGAAGAGGATCGCGCCCACATCGAGGACTTGAACCTGCTCGTCCCGAACATTTCATTGAGCACGGGCTGCGCACCTGGCTTCATTCCCAGCGCACCACCCTCCGCCCTCGCCCAATCGCTTTCCCATCAAATCCTTTCACTCTTGCACACTACCCGTCTCGTTCAAGCCGAAGACCTGCGCATCTGGTACCAACCGCCGAACCTGGGACCCGATGAAGCGCAGCAACACAATGATGAAGAACAAATGGATCTGGACGCAGGAGCCAACGAGGAAGAAACCAAACCCGCCGAGATCAAGGCATTCTGGGTTCTTTACATCGACGTCATGCTAATTTCCCTCGCCGGGAACCCGTTCGACGCAGCCTGGGCTTCTGTCTTAGCCGCTCTACGCGATACAAAGCTACCCAAAGCCTGGTGGGACGTTGACAATGAGAGTGTTCTCTGCTCAGACGACGTGAAAGAATCGCAGAAGCTCTCGTTGCGCGGTCTTCCTATCTCCAGCTCGTTCTGTGTGTTTGAGGCTGATGCTGCGGCGGGTTGGCGGGCGGTTGTCATTCCTGATGCCGAGGAGCAAAAGGTTCAAGATAGCAAGCACGGTTCGCAGCAGCAAAAATGGATTCTTGCGGATCCGGATGGATATGAGGAAGGTCTTGTACAGGAACGGGTTTATGTTGTTGTTGATAAGGAGGAGGGTAAGACGGTTATTGTGAAGATGGAGAAGCATGGTGGGTGGACGGTTGATAGTGAGGATTTGAGGCAATTAGTGGATATCTCGGCCCAGAGGTGGGATGAGATGAAGCGGATACTGGATCAATGTTAATGGGTAGATTACTTGCGGGATGTGAATATGATACCACTATATGAGTTCATTTACAGTAGATTACACCCACATGCCTAGGTGGAGGTGAACTCTTAGTGAGTTCCACACAGAGTGGTCTATTTAGCCCTGGAGGGGATTATAAATCTAATTCCCCGAGCTAAATATGACATGATAGATTTACAGTAATCTTTTCACATTGTTCCAAAGGTTCCCTATACTACTAGTAAAATTAATATCCATGGATTGATCCATCAAAATAGCCATGTCCATGCAAGATAGTGACTAGTACTCGGCCGTACTACTATTTAGTATCTATTAAGTAGCATGGGCAACTCCGCACGAGTCAAGAATACCTAGGTATCTAATTTTATAATTTGTGGCTGACTTGGTAGTCCTCCTGCCTGCTCGTCACATCGTCACACCGGCACAGCGGCACACACTCCGAGAGCCACATCGACCATGAACCTCACTGCTACCAGCCCCGGAGCATCACCTGGCCAATGAAGAACCTCGGCTGAAAGAGACCTTCTCTGCGGATCTCTTCGAGAAGATGACGAACAGATACTCCCGAGCGATCAAGACTAGGCGCCGGGGAAGCCAGGTACCGGCTGAACTCTACTACACCTTCCCCGAGCTCATCAAGGTGAAATGGCTTCTAATAATAATCCAGCTTCATCGACTCGCCATGGCTGGAGGAGTTCTTCAGTTCCCCACCACGCTAATGCGGCCCGATCACCCCCAGTCACCCCGTTGGCTGCTTCGATTGGTGCAGATCGGCCCCGACGGCGCTAACCCATCACAATTCACTGGGGAGATTCCTCCGCACCACCGCCCACCGTGGTCTCCCTGGCAAAGCGCTGCTCATTGAGCTCTTTCAGGCCGTCGATTGGCTCGCCATGGGAGGAAATGGCTAATCATTGCAGCTGGTCACGGCGCGAAGGCACATTGGGTGCTTGGTGCGACCCCCACCGCTGTGCCCCATACATGTACTCCCAGATCTCCCCCTCGCGATTCCTTTTTTGTTTTGCTTCGCTTCAAACTTTGATGACACCGACACCGACACCTGTTAGAGCTTTTGGCGAAGACATGAGATCTAGGAGGGTTTGAAATACAGGAGGGTGTGTATTTCTTGGATCGCAGTGCGATCTACAAGAGAAAACAAAACAGTATGTCTATGCTTTATGGACGACGCACGCAGGAAAATGCGCAAGCAACGGGAGCTTATGAAAATACCCAAGGTCTTAGGGGAAAATTAACTATCGACCAAACCAACCCATCCCTTATTTAACTATCCCATCCGCCATCATGTGGAATTCAATCTCCTCCCTCGTCAAGCGGGTCCAAGTCCCAGTCACCGCATCGACGACGCACAAAGAGCTTGTTGAAATGCAACGGGATCCATGGTCTCAGTCTGCAAAATACGGATATGGCTTCGTTTACTTTGCAGTAGTGCTGCTGGTCACCACTTCTCTCATCCGATTTTACCATATCTGGGGCGATAAAATGCGAATCGCCTACTATAAGGAGCACAAAGAGCACCGGCCACATCTACAACCTGCGGCATCAGAAATAGTCGAAGAGTACGAACTACCTAGTGCAGGAACAGATGCCTCGAGCGCACACTTTTTCCCCCCGATGTCGCAACCTGCTCCACCAAAACGACGCGAATGGATCGTCCAGAGAATTGTGCCGCTGAAAAAGGCGATCGCGCTAATGCGCTGGGTCTTCTATCGACCGATGCCAGTGATCAGGATCGGGAAACTCGAATTTGTTTTCCCTTCTTTGGCTGTGACAGCAATCGTGTCGGTTGCTTTGATTTTTGTTACTCTCTACTGCTTTCTTCCGCAACCTCTTTACTACTACTCTATTGCTCTGGGATCACCACCCCTGGCAATTCGAGCCGGTATGCTGGCTGTCGCAATGGTGCCCTGGATTGTAGCACTGAGCACAAAGGCCAACTTCATTAGCATGCTTACTGGACTCGGTCCCGAACGACTGAACGGATTGCATCGTTGGTCTGCCTACATCTGTCTGTTCCTGAGTTTGGTGCACATGGTTCCATTCTATATAACGCCCATCTGGGAGGATGGCGCGATAATGAACTACCGCAATTTCATCACGCTACCGATGTATGTCTACGGAAACGGGATTGCGGCTATAGTCCCTCTCATTGTTCTTTGCGTCCATTCGCTTCCCTTTCTCCGTCACAAAATGTATGAGCTATTCATCGTGATCCATATCCCAGTGTCTTGGATCTTCGTGGCTATGCTTTTTTGGCATACCAAGAACTTCCTCTCTTCATGGGGTTATCTCTGGGCCACGGTCGTCATTTGGATCATTTCCTACATTCTCCGACTTTTCTACTTGAACTGGTCGAATCCCTTCCGCACCGACTCCTTCATGATTGGAGAAGAGTCAGCCGTAACCCTTCTCCCACAGGGTGCCCTGAAAGTGACCGTGCCTACAAAGATGCGCTGGCGGCCTGGCCAATATGTCTTTCTTCGCATGCCGAGAATGGCATTCTTCGAAAATCACCCGTTCACAATCGCTTCTCTCTGCAGCGATGACTTCCCATCCGAGTATGGAGAGGACTATCGTGACCTGACCCTGGTCTTTCGACCATTCAAAGGTTTCACGCGCAAAGTGTTCAAGAAGGCCCTGGAAAATGGACCTTACAAGATCTATTCAGCTCTTCTGGAAGGACCTTACGGCGGGATGCAACGTGAAATGTCTGCCTTCGACGACGTGATTTTCTTTGCCGGCGGTAGTGGTATCACGGCCATCGCCAGTCAACTGCTAGACTTGATCAAGAAAATCCGCGACGGCAAGGCTGTCACCAAATCAGTCAAAGTGATATGGGCACTGAAAACAGCAGAAACGATGGAGTGGTTTCAAGAAGAGCTACGAATCTGCCGAGATAATGCGCCATCTAACATTGTGAACTGCCATTTTTTCCTCACCGGCCTCAGCCAAGAAGACCAAGCAGGACGAGATTTGGTCCAAGAAAAGATCTATGGAATGCTTCAAGGAATCGACAAACGAAACTCGGCATTCATTCGCGAAGAGGCAGCTGGCGACGCAGAGATCGAGAAGGAGTTACGTCGCGAGAACGAGGATGGTCTCGCTGCTCTTCCAAACGCATACACTGCCTCCCACATTGCCAACAGCCGCCACTACCAACAACCACAAACAGACCCCCATTCTGGCGGTAGCTCTCCGGGATTCGATTTCGGATTTGGTCTTAGTCTCCCACCAGTACAAACTACACCTGCGCCACGGGGGAACACCACTCCACGCTATGCCTATTACCAACCTCCACTGCGAAGAGAGAACTGGAAGACGGATTACTTTCGCCCCAACATCTCCCAGATTCTCATGGAGTGTTCTAAGAATTTTGGTCGACGGGCCTGCGTCTTCGTCTGCGGTCCTCCTGCAATGCGTGTTGAGGTGGCCAGTACAGTGGCCAAGTTGCAGACGCAAGTAATGTTTGATTCGTCCAAGGACGAAATTTTCCTGCATGCCGAGAACTATAACATCTAATCTCGTGAAACGACCTTGGGCATGTCAATGCTCGCTTTTATGCTGTCTTTGTTGATTCGATACCCGTGGCGTTATGAGAGTTCTTTTCAAGTCTATGTATGCATACGCATGATCATCGAATTATACCTGTATCTACTTGAGCATGCATATATACCCATTCTTTGATGCTGGCCATTCATCGTAAACAGTACTATTACTGTTAAAGTTATAACGTGATGCATTGCAGACTGATGCACATGGGGACCTCATTTATCTGATCGACCCCGGGTATCAAAAGTAAAGTTATACTGGTAAATAATCGACAGGTGAGAGGCGCAAATAACAAGGGCTACCTCCTTTGCGGTATATTGCCCTTTTCCTCCTCAGCCTTGCGTTTCCGTGACGGCGTAGTCGCATCCTCGAAGGACTGAGGCTGAGACTGAGACTCAGGCAGTAGTTGAACCCCATGATCACCCTCTTCTTCGCTATCATGAGCCTCAATCTTCTCCCAGCCCTCCTCCTCATCTTCCTCCCCATTGCCAGGTGCCTCGTCGACCTGATCATTCTCCAACCATTCCACATCCAACTTGACAATCCTCGCACCAGACGGTTTCAACCGCCGATAATACCCCTCGACAACTCCATCCTGCACCTTAAATCCTCGCGCAGTATACCACCTTAGACCATCCTCATTAGCTTCATGAACATGAGCCGTCACGGAACGAATACGGTAGTGTTTAACCAATTTCGAAACGCGATATTGAGTATTCTTCGAGGCTGATGGGGTTTCAAATAAGAGCGAGTTTAATAAGGCGGCCGCCACGCCAAGACCTCGATATGGCGAGAGGAGGTGGAGAGTTTGGATATAGAGATTGGTCCCCTGTTCATGTTCGCATTCGCGCTCCCGTTCGCGTTCCTCTTGTGTATTGGGGGTGTCTAGTCTTTCCAATCGACACCGAATACCCCCAATCACCTTGTCTGTTCCCGGTTGGTCATGGTATATAGCAACACGCGACAACGACGCGATGACAGGGTCGGTAATTGTCGCTGTATAGAAGGAGTTCGGGTAGCGAATTGGTAATAACAGTCCCGTAATACGCGTGAGAGATGGGATGTGCGCTACACCAATGGGTTCGACTGTAGCATTAGGATGTGGAGTTTTATAACCGACTGGAAGAATATCGGGATACGGGATGAATGTCTCTGCTTTGGTGACTGGTCGTGTTGTTGCGACAGCAGCGGACTTTGGTGGTTGTGGTGGTGGGGGATGGATGGGTGGAACAGAATTGGAGGGACGAGAGTGCGATGGTATAGAAGGAGTCTGTGCCTGGATGTGGTGCTGACCCTTGGCGAAGAACTGGTAGGCCATGGGGGGGTAGAGTAGAGGAGTAGAGGAGTCGAAGAGTAGAAGTAGAAGTAGTAAGAGAGAGAGAGATGTTTGCCTGCCTAGGGTTGAGTGGACGGAAATGCGGAGATGAGAATGCGATAAGGCGATAAGGCGACATCTGGGCAACCTCCAGCCACGCCAACACCAACCACAACCACCAACCAACACCCTCTTTGGCTCTTGGAGACTTTGACTGGTGACCAACACGGTACTGTGAGTTGAATTCCCTCTTTCCCTTGTTCATCTCAAGTATGACTAGGTCTCTTCGTCTCTACCTTGACCTCAACCCTCTCCTTCCCCCTTTCGGAATCGGTGGCTGAGCCTCAACCCTCTGTTCCCGAGACACCATGGTTACCCGTGAACTTGCACTGACATACTCCCCCCAACTGCGCCAGGGTCCAATAGATATCCCCCATCTGTCTTCTGTTAGCTTCTATGTTAGAGGCTCTTCGTCCCCTCGGACCGATTCCGATTCCGATCTCGACCTGGCTATAACCATTGGCACGCCTCTGCATAGATTTCCGGCACATGGAGAACTAGCCCGCATCGGCGCGAGAAGGGTTTTGACTGTGTCGCGCGGGTAGACACAGCTATCGCACTTTCAGCACTGGAACAGACCGGACCGCATTGGACTGGACTGTCGAGACCGACGTCGCAAGACGACTCCGATCATGGCCGATTCCAACACCGCGGCCCACCGGCCGAGCTATCCTGCCGGCACTATCGCCAAAGTGGTATGAAATGAGAAATCGCGATCGCGATCGCGATCATGATCACATCAAAGAGCCTACTTGTTTCTAACTTTCTTCTCTATAGTCAACCGATATACTGAACGAAACCTTTCACAACATTATCCATGACCTCGTTGCAAAGGTCCATCGTGAGGAGAAGGTGGCGCGAATGCGCTCCGCAGTCGTGGTGGCTCGGCAAAAGGCCGAGGAAGGAGCTATCATTCCAGAGGATACCGCCAGCAAGTCACTGGTCGATGGAAAACCGAGAGAGGTCAATATCGATGCGAACAAGCTCGCGAATACCCACCTGGAGACCGACGCCGCCATCTTCGACCACGGAAAAGTACACCTGAAAGGCAATCCCCTCCATACCGTGAAGGAGATCATCTGCCCGGACTGCCGACTCCCTCGTCTAACCTACCCTCCAGTTGGGGCAGGATACCGACCTCCTCCGGACCCGAACAAGAAATACTGCGAGAATGGGCCGATGATCACCCTACCTGGCCACGATGTCCACGGGAAACTATTCGCCATCATGCCGAACCCGAAGAAACGCAAGGATCAAAAAGATAGCACCATCCCCGAGGTTCCGACAAGCAAGTGCCCGATTTGTCCACGATATTTCGTCATGAACAGAGTAGCACAACACCTGGACCGTTGTATGAATATCTCCGGGCGCAACAGTACCCGCAACAAGACACCAACAGATAGCGGCGCCAGCGGCGCCAGCAGCCCGACCTCCTCAGCGCCAAAGCGTCCACACGAAAATGAAGACGAGGGTGGTAGCCCTAGCCCAACGAAGAAGAAGAAGCTCAATTCTTCTAATAAAAAGGGCTCGAGTAATAAGCCCGGGCCCAGCAAGCTGAAGAACTCGTTCACAGTAGAGGAACACGACGATGACATCAAGAGCGAGAATGCCGATGCCTAAGCGTTTGCGCGATGGTCGTCTTTTCCCTATACTTGCTTGCTTCCCCCACTCGGGGACTACACGGTGTCATTGGCGTTTTTTTCTTCTTCTTGTCTTGCTTTCAATGTTTTGCTTCCAACTTTTTCCTTATGGCGTCTTGGGTCTGGTTTGACCTATACAAGAGTTTGCATAGATGACGATGATGATGGGGTGGGATAGGTCTTGTACATTACTTCATACCATACACCGGGCTGCAGCTGGCATTGCTGTAGACGGTGCGCTTTCTGAGATTTTCTGGGCCTTATGTAGGCTTCAATGCATGATTTGGACCTCGCATTACAGTGCCTACTAGTAGTAACTGCTTATTCTGAAGCTCTAGGTAATTCGTCCTGATTGGGAAGTATGAGCAGGTAGTTGATAGTTACTCCTAGGACCTACCTGCGTAACCAAGAAGAGATGTGTCTGTACTACAGTCTCTGTAAACTTAGAACTGAATTCCACGACTAAACTTTACTATGTAGTAAGTACATGTCCATGCAAGCGCAAATTGGCTTGGTTTTGGTTTGTGGGGAAACTTTCCCTTCTTGGACCTCTCCACCTCCACCTCCACCTTCAACCATCACCATCACCACCTCAATCATGTCCGACCTTGTAGCTTGGGCCATTCCTCGGCTTGGCCAGCTGCTGCCGCTCGATGAGGATTCCCTAAAGCAAGTCATCGAGTATTCCACCAGTCTCCCCGCAGAAGCTTGTGCCGATCACCTCAAAAACTTTCTGGGTGACTCCCCCCGCCGCCTTTGAGTTCATCGCCTCCTTCAACGCACGCCGAGCCCGATCATCTGCGCCTGCTGCTCCAACTGCACCTGCTGCACCTACACCATCCCGAACCAACGATGCATATGCCTCTAAGAATGACCGACCGAAAGGGAGGGGCAAGAAACAGAAGGCTCCGCTACACAGCGCGGGCCCGACCCGCCGGCCAGACAACTATGGTGATGTGGGTGGTGGCTACATCAAGAGGGATGAGGAGGACTACATGTCCGCCAGCAAGCCGACCCTGAATCCGCCTACTCAGTCTTTGACTCCTGGGTCATCGGGTTCCTCTCGTGCCCAGTCGCCAATGCCCACCCCATCGTCGAAACCTCCCCCATCCGCCGCGGGCCCGGTCCTGTCAGATATGCTACCAAATGTGCGGTCAAAGACGAGCAAGTCGTCTCGATCATCGGGTACCTCCATAAATTCAACTAAAGGTGGTGCGGCTCTCACAACAAACGATATCTCGGACCTCACGGCTGCCATCGCTGCTTTGGAAGTCTCCACCAACCCGACCTTGGGCGAAAGACGAAAGTGCAACTGCTACGCTTCGATTCACTCGTTATTTGACCCCGCTCCAAATTGCTTGAACTGTGGCAAAATTATCTGTTCGTTAGAGGGACTACAACCTTGCTCCTTCTGCGACACGCCTCTTCTGTCTGCGGAGGAAGTACAGAGCATGATCAAGGAGTTGCGGGCCGAACGTGGCCAGGAAAGGATGCGCGCCCACAACGAGGGTGTCCACCATACCGGAGGACCGCGGCCTGTTGGATCCGAATCTGGATCAGCCTCGCCCAGCAAACTCGATGCAGCCAGGGCACACCGTGATAAGCTACTCCAATTCCAGGCCCAGAATGCCCGCCGAACAAAGGTGGTCGACGAAGCCGCTGATTTTGAAACCCCAAATGTTGCCTCTACCTGTGGATGAGTCCAGCGCAGAGAGCACTGGCACTCAAGAAGCAACAACGTATCCAGCGTGAAATGGAGGAAAAGGCTCGACCTGAGTGGGAGAAGAAGAAGAGCTTCATGAGTCTTGATATCAAGGGCGGAAAGGTTCGGCGAGTGTATCACACTGCTGCAGCCGAATCCACCCCCGAAGCTAGCGAAGCGGAACCCGTAGAGGATATTGAAGCTGATGCGCCCCCATCTCGTGGACACGCATTCAGCAAGAATCCCCTCCTAGCAGCAGGAGGACTCATGCGCCCTGTCTGGAAGGCCCCCGAAGGCAAGGCCGTGGATCCGAATGAGAGGGCCGAGCGAGAGCAAACATGGCGGCGGGTGCAGGATGACAATGACGATAACGAACAATGGATCCTGGATGGTGGAATGCATGGACACAGCACGTAATAGTACTTTGTTTTTGTCGGTCGAGTGCCAAGTGGGCTCGACCAGCGCCCACTGTCAATCCCCGCATACTCGCAGCTCTGTGGGCTTTATACAACCTTGTGTCTGGATAAAGACAGGGCTTGGCCCAATTCTACACCTAGCAGACGGAATCGCCTAGCGCTTATTCCGCCCTGAGACAGCAAGCATCTTCCCCTCTTTCGTGAACTGAGACTCCTGATAAAGGAGGCTTGCAGTCAGCTATCCTCAGCAACCCCACCCATTATGGTCGACGTGCTTAAACCAGCGGGTATCCACCAAAAATAGGAACGGATACTAGCGGTATGCCGCACTTGAAAGCCACCCCCAGCCGTGGTGGGGTTGAATTCTTGGGGGGCATATTTACTGAAGTCCAGGACGGCCGTCTAGTCTATGCTGATGATGGCCTGCCTATATGATATGTCTGATATAATATGAGTGAGACCTAAGGTAGAGCTATTCACAGCCATGCATAAGCCATTCAGCCACTGTTTCTTGCTATATAATAAACCACTTAATTGTTTAAACGGATCAACCAAGCTTTGTAAGACCTCTCCCCGCAATAGGCAATTGAGTGGTAACCAAACAGAAGACTCGATTCTATCTCACACCACCCCCTTCATAAACGTCAGAAGATCACGGGGGCACTTAACACATTCCTAAAAAAGCAAAGAAAATATCCGGCCATAGCCGTGCAACCCACCGAGACGAGCAAGATTGCTATACGCAGCTCTTCATAGGCTCCGTCATCGATCCTCGGCTGGTTGCGGGTATCTTCGGCCGCGGTGAGTATAAAGTATTACCACCTCACTGAAAACCATAAAGAACTTGAACTTGGGAACTCGTGCTGACCTCCATGCTGATCCAATAACTCCAACACCATGCTAGCTGAACCTGTGCTCAGACATCTCAGTGTCGACCGGATACTAGGCGATCTGGCTGCGGTGCTGGTCGTGCTGGTAAGCAATCCATCCATTCCAGTCACTCCATTCCTCATCTCCATCCCCATCCCCCGCCATCTCCACATATGAAACCCCCCTAAACCCCCTCCAAAAACCCCGGACAAAGACTAAAATTGTTAGACCATCGCTTATATCCTCTATAATCGTTTCGTACATCCACTACGACACATTCCCGGGCCCCCTCTAGCATCCATCACTCCCTGGGTCCAACTTTACCATGGGCTCAAAGGCGATCGACACCTCTGGCTCGATGAATGCCACCAAAAGTACGGCAGCCATGTGCGTGTTGCCCCGAACTTTGTCTCCGTAAACACCGATCGTGGTCTCCACGACATCTACGGACACGGAAAACGCCTTCAAAAAGCGGACTTTTACAATGCCTTCCCAGCTATCAAAGGTGTGTATAACACCCACAATGCCATTGACAAGACTATGCATGGCCGCAAAAGACGCGTCCTAAGCCAGGCATTCTCCGACGCTGCACTGAAAGGCATGGAAGATGTCATGCTGCTTCATGTGCGGCAGCTCTGTGCGGTCCTTGCCGGATCCGGATTCGAAGCAGACGAGTCGCAGGATCGGAAGGGCCTTGTGCGCAACATGGGCAACTGGTTCAGTTACCTCTCTTACGATGTAATGGGCGAGCTATGCTTCGGGAAAAGCTTTGACATGTTGATCACCGACAGTCGCCGACACATGATTGGACTGGTTGATCGTGCTGCGAACCGGCACTATGTGGTGAGTACCTCCCTCCGCCCGAGAGATATCAATCATCAACTTCTAACAAAAACACAACAGTGTGGTCTCTGGATGCCTCTAGACCGCTGGAACCTAGATCAGATTCTCATCCGCCGCCTCACGCAAGACCGATGGAACTTCATCATGAACTCGCGCGTCGAAGCAAACAAACGAGCACAAGAACGAGCCTCCGCCGGCCGCGAAGCAAAGAAAGATTTCTTCTACTACCTGCTCAATGCCAAGGATCCTGAAACAGGTAAAGGGCTCAGCACGCCCGAACTCTGGGGCGAAGCAAACGTCCTCATGATCGCCGGCAGCGACACAACCTCCACCACCCTCGCCGCAACTCTCTTCTACCTCGTCCGCTCACCATCCGCCCTGAAGAAGCTCACGGAAGAAGTCCGCACCGCCTTCACAGAAGTTGAAGATATCATCAGCGGCACTAGCCTAAATGAACTAACCTTCCTAAAAGCCTGCATCGACGAAGCCCTCCGTCTTTGCCCCGCCGTCCCCGGCGCACCACCCCGCGAAGTAATGGAAGGCGGCGCCGTCGTCGACGGTATCTTCCTACCAGCCGGCACAGACTGCGGCACACCAACCTACTCAATCCACCGCCAAGAGAAATACTACCGGGAGGCGCAGCAATTCATCCCAGAGCGCTGGATCGAGGGCGCAACCTGCAGCACCTCATCCGGAGTTCGCTGGGAAAGCAGCAAGGAAGACATCGAGACGGCGCGTCGGGCATTTTGTCCATTTAGTATCGGGCCTCGTGGATGTATTGGGAAGAGCATGGCGTTTATGGAGATGCGATTGACGCTTGCGCGGTTGGTTTTCCTTTTCGATATGAGTCTTGCGGATCGGCAGGGTGAGGATGAGAAGGGTCATTTGGCGCTTGTGGATCATTTTACTAGTGCGAAGGATGGGCCGAATGTTGAGTTTCAAAAAGTTGTGCCTGTTCGAGTTTCTGGTGCGAGTGACTAGGGCTGGGCGCATGGGACTGGATATATATGTCGTGTTATGAGAAATGCAATAGAATGAATGGATGTCAAGTTTACTCGAAGTGAACTTGTTTTATTAGTTCATATCACTGCTAATTAACTAGCTAACTGCTAAGTACTAAGTACTGGCCCTGCAGTACGAGTAGTAGGTAGGGTTTTAAACGGAGAGGAAAGATTCAAACCCTCAGCTCTTTCAGTGAATTCCACTGAATGGCAAACTACTTGTAGGGTGCTAATCCATTACTTTTCAAATATTGACTCGTAGTACTAGTAGTTACTACTATTACTGGCAGCTTTTTCCAGTTGCGTTGTAAAATTGAGATAAAACTCATACTCCCTCAACCTTCAAGGAACATGAACTTTCCTGCCCAGATGGTCAAATGCATCCATACTTGTAAGACCGGGATACTGCCAATGTCTATAATACTAGTACTAGTAGTATATAGTTAGTACATAACTATATCCTTGGTGGGACAACCTCAGGCTCCGACCTTGGAACCTTGGAACCTGCAAGCATAGGCAGTCCCTAGCGGTACTCGCAGTAGCACTGTAGTACTTGTGATGAAATCAATGAGATTGAATTATGTTCCAACTGGTAGAAACCTCTCCAGATCTGTTGAAACTTGAACTCTCAAGCCGAATGCAATGTCGATCATCTCGGGCTGTCAGGACACGGTTGCGCGTCTTGGCGGCCCCAGCGCAAATTGGAACTGCCAGCGCCACTCCACTTCAACATGAACTTGAACGGCCCTGGATTGCCGTTATCCCCCCCCCAAAACTCGGAGAAAATTCACATGGCGTCGCAAATACAATAATACAATGCCTTCTGCACTCACAGTCACATTCGTGCAGTCGACCGTGCTAAATGCCCTCTCCAACATCCTCGCGCAGCTAATCGACCAGCGCAACAACACCGTAATTATCCCTATCTTCCAAGCTAAAGCAAAAAAAGAAATAGAAAGAGAAGACTTCACCAAAAAAAAAGAATGATAGCTAACCACTCTCCAGACCCCATTCAAATTGAACATATTGGCTCTACTCCAATTCGTTTCTTACGGCATCCTAATTGTGCCCCTGAACTTCTACTGGCAACGCGCCCTGGAAACACAGTATCCAGGATTTCCCTCACGCGCGGAGATCTCAACACTTTTCTCCTCCCGCTCATGCAGTGTTAAAGCACTTTGCTCACTCGCGTCTCTGCGCGCCTTTCTCGTCTCCCTTTGGCCCTGGTCTGCTGATTCAGATGCCCAGCTCCCGCATCATCGGGAAAAGGAGAAGGAGAAGATGGCCGAGATTCAGGAGCAAACTCAAGGGCAGGGTTCCAGTCGATGGGCGCCTCGCGTGAGGAAGTCTGGCCTGCATGCTTTTATGATGAAGTTTCTTTTTGACCAGACTGTGGCGGGTGTGGTAAATATTGTGTTATTTGTTTTCTTAATCAATGTTTTGAAGGGGGTTGCACTTGGAAGAGTTCGGGAGTTGATCATTGAGGTATGTCTTCTTGGTTTTATCTCTTCAATGTGGAGATATAACCACCATCATTGCACACCCCTTTCCAAGGTTCTAACCATGTCGGAGCAGGACTTTCGGCCGATTATGATCGCCCGGATGAAATACCGCCCGATCGTGTCAACGCTGATGTATACTGTCATCCCCGTAGACCGGCGTGTCGTTTTTGGCAGTGCTTGTGGTGTGATTTGGGGGATTTATCTCAGCTTGTACGCTGCGGTTTAATGATAGCCCTTTTATACCCAAAATCCCTCGCTTCATCTCATTTTCTTTCTTAGCGTTGATCTCAGCGGGGCATACTAATAGAGTTAGACATGGGGTCTACTACAGACCGGGAACTTTCATCAATAAACAACTGTATTACTCAAATCAAGTCACTAGGTATATAACAACCATATTATACTATCCCAGACCAGAATCGGATCACCGCATAGCCAAGAGGAAATAAAAGAATATGCACGAAGAGGGGGAGATATCGAAAGGAAAAAAAAAAAAGAAATGACAGAAGGATATTTCAGATCCTCCATCACTCAAGCAGCGGGCATCTCAATCTTCTTCCCCTTAACAGAGAGCCATTCAACAAAGATCGGACCGACAAGGGTCAAAGCACCCATCGCAACAGAGACATAGAAGGTCTGCATGATAGCCTCATTGTACGCAACAAGGACACGATGCAGTTCATCACCTGTGACAAGAGTACGCAGCATGGTCGCACCAGCGGAGACTAATTGCGCGGCCGGGGCATCAGGCGCATAGTGAGCAAGATTCTGGAAGAGTTGATTCTGGAAAACGTTCTGTCCGACCGAGACGAAGATGGCACCACCCAGCGTTTGTGCGAACATAACAATCGCCGTGCCGCTAGGGACGTCCATGGGGTTCAGCGCCGTTTGCATGACCATCATCGGTTGTTGCATTCCAAGTCCGAGACCGATGCCGAAGAGCGCTTGGTAGCCGATCCACTTAGGGTGGCCGGAGTCAACTTGCAGGGTGCTGAGAAGGCCGGCACCAATAGTCATGATGATTGATGAGGCAATCATGAAGGGTGTGTAGTAGCCACAGGCTGTGACGAGGCCGCCAGCGAGAAGAGAAACGACGACCACGGCGATGATCATGGGAAGATTCATGATGCCAGATTTGATTGCTGTTGCGCCTTTGATAGCCTGGAACCAGATTGGGAGCTGTGATAGTATTAGCATTCTGCTCGACATAGAAGGGAAATGGCAATTGGGAGTGTTAGAATACTCACATAGTAGGTCAAAACGAAGTATGCACCACCCAGAGCACACGAATACCACGCCGCGCCCCAGATGTTTCGGTTCTTGATCAGACGAGGGGGAACAGTTGCACGGTCCTGTCCCCACCATTGCAGGACGGCGAAGACGAAGAAAAGGACTCCGAAAACGACGAAGAGCGCAATGACTCGGGCATTGTCCCAAGCATATTTGGTACCGCCCCACTGAAGCGCCAACAGAAGACAGATGATGGATGGAAGGAAAAGAGGGAACCGAGAAGGTCAAATTCGCCCAGTTGTTTCTTCCAATTACCCTTCTCTTTCAATGGCTTGTTTGCAGGGAGGAAGAAGATAATACATAAGAAGGTCACAGCTCCGATAGGCAAGTTGATATAGAAACACCAGCGCCAGGAGAGTCTATCAGTGAAAGCACCGCCCAAACTATCCTATGTTAGCTGTTGAATCTGTTTCCAGTATGAGGAGACAACGTACAGAGGACCAGCGACATTTGCAATACCAAACATAGCACCAATAAGACTGGTATACATCGGCCGTTTGTCAAGCGGAACAGTCTGGCCAATGATCAAGATAGAACCAGAGAATAGACCCGCAGCACCGAGACCAGCAATAGCCCGACCACAGATAAGACCAACGGAGGTCGGAGTTGTGGCACAGACGAGGGAACCGATCTCGAAGACGGAAAGGGCGGCGAGGTAAATCCATTTGATAGAGTAGTAGGTGTAGAATTTCCCGAAAATCAGGGTGACAGCGCAAGTAGTGAGCAAGTAGGAACTTCCATACCAGCCAACGTCGTCGAGAGAGTTGAATTGATCGGTAATCTTGGGAATGGCGGTTGCAATGATAGTGTTATCCTGGATTTTGTTAGATAGCCACTCACTTTCTGATACAATTGAGATGGCGTGTACTCACCAATGCCACGCAGAACACACAGAAACATAGCGCAATGGTAATAAGAACAAGCCTCCACGCCGCTGGATATTCGATTTCGGGCTCGTGACTCTTCTCGCCGTCGACATCGCTGTCTGCTTTATTTTCGTCGTCTTTGACCTCCTTCTCCGCATTGTCCTTGACTGCGGATTCCTTGTTGGAGTCTTCTTCATTCTTGGCAGTCTCATTGGCGGTGGTACTGGTAGTACCATTGGCAGTATCCTTCTGGGTATCTTCGGCTCGAATATTGGAAGTCCTGGAAGCGTTGGAATTCCTCGGTTCCTCAATCAACGTGCTCTTCTCACTCGCCGCTTTAGAGGAAGCTTTCCCCTTAAACTGTGGACGACTGTGACTATCTGTGTCAGAGGGAGCATTATTCCCAAGCACAATACCCTCTTTGGGCTGCTCGCCTGGATTAAAAAATGTAGACATTATGGGCGTATAAACCCAGGATAATTAATAGTGAACGAGTGGATTGGGGGAAGAGATTGAGGGGAAGGGGTTAGCTCAACAAAATAAGAGCAAAAACAAGTTCAAACGGAGGGGGACCAGGCATTAAAAGTCGACGCAGGTTCTGTCAGCGCAGGATTGCCAACGCAACTGGCCCTTTGTACAGGTCTCATCCCCGACCAGGCGACCTTGCTGATGCACCAACGTGGGCATGAAGAAGGACCAATCCTGGAGTCTCCCTTCTCATCCCATGTGGTCCGTGAATCTTCCGTAGCGGTCTGCAGAGTCAATAGTACGGCGCAGTAGTGCAGTGCATGCCATGGTATGCGGTCAATTCTCAGTTTAAAATTCTGCAGTTTGCATTTAGCAGTCAATTCGCCCCCATTTCTGTGTGCGTGTGGAGAAAATGCATCTACGGGGTTACTATTATTGTTCTAGCTCGCAATGCAAAATACGTAATTCTGAATGCGTGATGATCCGAGTCAAGGAAAAAGGAAGGAAAGAAAAACACCCGAGAGCTGTGGCGATGCGGGCGATAGGCAGAGATGAAACCGCGTCTCAGCCGCAGCCGAGGGCCACATCGGCCAGGAGACGATGCAAGGATCTCCAAGCTATCTTCTGCAGGCGTCACCTTCTGGCCCAGGTTCCAGTGGGTGCACCCTTGGCACCAATGGGGATGCAAAAAGGAGTGAATAATGGCGATCTCCTTGCTCGATGCTAAGGAGACAATTTGCTGACTTCTGCCGTTGGGTACTAACCAACTGTATTTGTACACACTGCAGTGAGTGAGTGTACTGTGTCTAGAACGATCTGTTCGCACCAGCACACGTCAGCCAATGCTAAGCCAGTGACAATATCGGGTCGAGTGAAACGAATTCATAACCCGGCCGGACAGCATCATGATCGACCGGGAGATCGCAATGAGGAGCTCCGTCTGTTAATCTGGCAGGTTTAAAAAAAGGAGTGAGATGATCGCCCGCAAGGGGCCGAAAGCTAATAAAAGGACGCCAGTGCGGATGGCGTTGGCTGTGGGAAAGCGGTGAGATCTACGGAGTATATGAGAAGATTATGCGGGGGATAATCAAAGGTTTACGGGGGCAAGTTAATGAAAGGTGTCATCAAGTCTCATTCGTGACGATGCAATATTCATGAAAAGCTAGAATTAGCCGAGATGTTCTGGTACAGTACGTCCCGAAACTGGTGCAACCGACACTCTTGAAGTGATTATTTAGCCCGACTGCCACGAAACACTAGACCATATTAGGAAGATAGTCGGAATAACAATAATTCCGGAGTAGTCTCGATACCGTGATTTACTTTCATTAAAATACGGTGCCTCGTCTTGTGACTGTATTGGCGATCCAACGGAAATAGAATTTTCCATGGAAATGCAAACAAGCCAAAAACTAGAGTTTGGGAGCCTGGAGAATCTGGCGATCTGTTACTTCCCTTTTGCTCCTTTGCCCAAGTCAGTGTGGGGGGCTTACTCGGTACCCGACCTGCAAAAAGTAACTTGCTTTACTTGCTTACTGTCCTTATAGACTACCTATGAACCCGCTTACTATAATACTCAGCCTATGAGCCACAGACCTCTCTTCTTTATGCCCCGGGTCATACTTGGTGTAAGCTGATATATAATCCTGTTAATAGACTCCTTAGTGGTACCTTTTGTCTTAGGGGGATGATTCACATTCCTTTTAACGATGATTATAATGATGCTTTCAACCTAAACCGCCCATTCTATAGGAACAGACTTCTTTGTATACGCCTATCCCTGGTTACCCAGATCGTGAATAGATACCATCAGTAATCTACCCTTTACCCGACCCTAAGGATATAGTTGGTGAATGTTTACCTTCCCTGTATAAATATCTATCTAACCAGCAGAGGTTTGATCCTGTGGTTAAACGTATAGATGGAAGTGTATGGAATAAACAAACCCTGGACTGTATCTACTACTAGGTTGAGTGGAGGGTTAAATTGAACAGTTGAGTTGTGGTTAAGGATACAAAATAAGACCTTATTAACCACTTAGATCCTACTGGGAACAGATAAAAGAGGATGCTTATTATATTCTAGGGCAGAAGACAGCCTGTGGCCGACGGGTGAGACTAGATGATACAGATATAGTGTTATCGGTATATTCCTAACGGAACATTGACAAATACTTTGAAGGTACTAGTGTTGATTGGACAGCGGTGGAGAGATAGCTGCTAGCGTAGGCCTATCTATTCCGTCGTGGCAAGAAGATCCGGCTCCAGATATCGATTAACTATATAGAGGACGGTGGACCTCTTCCTACTAGAACGGACAAATAAGGAAAGCCATCAGTGACTACAGTACGTCTCGAAACTAGTGTCACTATGTATACTCTTCGACTGATTCTCCCGCTTTTCCCTATCGGGCTTAGGTCCCGTCAAACTATATAGCCATAACGAGTTATAGTTAGTTACCTTAAATGCAACGTCCTACAATGAGGTCCAGAGGGTGATTCGTGGCAAGATAGAAGTCTGCAGAGGAACTTCTCTATTTCCTAAAGGGTATTTCTTTTAACATTTTTACGGTTTTACATTATATCCAATTTCTCCAATATATCCAATGCGCTAGAGCAGAGTATATTTACACTACAAAACTCTATAGCACCAAACCTGTTTAATAGTCCAGATGTAGATAGGTGACTTTATTTACCCTAACGCCTCCTCACTTTCGGAGATATACAGGCCACCACTATTATATAATACATAACTATCTCCAATGAGATCGTTCCAAGCTTTTAAGCATCACCGGTAAAGTCCTGTTATTATTTCCACTCTAATCTGTGAAAAGGCTGGGGTACTCCATAACCCTAGCAATAATAAGTCTATAGTAAGTTATAGTTTATGCCGTTACCACTTCCATTTACGTCTCTATCAACGGCGCTTCCCCTGACCCCAGAAACTGCTTCTGCCAGAGAACATAGTACCGACCCCGTTTCTCTAATAGCTCTGCATATATACCTCTTTCGATAATCATACCATCTCCCAAGACGAGAATCTGGTCCGCATATACAACAGTTGATAGCCAGTAGGCAATCACAAAAGTAGTCCTCTTTCTACTCAGCCGCTTCAGCGCACCTTAAATCTCCGATTCGGTCTCTGTATCGATAGAGCTGGTTACCTCGTCTAGAACAAGGATAGGGGGATCTTTTAGAAAAACTCTTACAATCGCCAATCGCTGGACCTCCCCGCCAGATAGTTTGACGCCTTGTTCTCCGACCTTGGTATAGTAGCTCTTAGGGAAAGACATAATTTTGTCGTGGATGGCGGCAGCTCGGCACACATTATAGATCTCTTCATCGGAAGCTAAGAGCTTTATATAGCGTAGGTTCTCTATTATCGATATATTGAAGAGTATAGGATCCTGCATAACTATACTGAGGACGTTTCGCAACGAGCCCTGGGTAACGTCGCGAACATTATAGCCGTTAATCTTGATGCTCCCGGAGGTTACATTATAATATCGGAGCAGCAGCTTCATGAGCGACGTCTTCCCCGCCCCAGTAGCACCAACTAGTGTAATAGTGTCACCCAGTAATACAGAAATATTGACGTCTTGGATAGCGCTTTTCCAGGCAAGGTACAAGAAGCCGATGTACTTAAACTCCACCAGCCCTTTAACGAGACCCAGTTCTAGGGCACCCTTCTTATCCTCAACGGTAGGCTGCGTCATAAATAAGTCGAGCAGCTGTTCCACATCAATAAGGTAAGCCATAAGGTAGCAGTATTCGTGCGATAGATACTTAATCGGCCAGGTAAGGTACTCCCAATACTAGGTCAGAAAGACAAAATCTCCCGAAGAAGCACGGCCCTCACAGACCTCGTAAGCGACGAGGTACGCTAAAGCAAAAAATATTATCGGAACGAGTACCTCTGTTAGGCCACTCGTATATATATCTCTCTGTGACTAATCCTTCTTTACCAGAAGATACTTATCAACAGCGCCCCGAAAACGAAATTTCTCATACGAGAACATATTGAAAGCGGAAACCGTCTGCCAGCCCTAGATGGCCTAGTACATCACCCGCACCTCGGCTCGTTCGGCCTTGGTGAGTCGCCGGCGGTTTTCCACGTTCCAGCTGGAGGTGACGACTTCGAGAACTATGAATGCCAGCGATACAAGGAGCATACAAAGCGCAGCAGACGAATTAAACTTGATATAGAGGAAGACGATTACAACGAACATGCCAATGACCGTAGGAATAATATCCAATATAGCAGTCTCCAGGAGATTTATTAGTACCTCGCCCTACTCAATAGCCTTTATTACCTCAGCAGAATCTCTGTCAGAGTAGAACTCTATTTCTAGGCCTATAACATAGTTAAAGGCTGCGTTCGTAAGTTGGCGGTACGAAAATTACTCGATAGGGATCTTGGCTAGCGACTTGATCATCTGTAGGCCTGAATCGCCGTACAACAGAGCGAGAGCAAAGTAAATCCCCAGGTCAGAGAATGGTTGCTGTCTTATAAAAAGCTTGTCGACGATGATACCTAGCTGACGAGGAACCAGGATATTGAGAAAGCAGTCCCTAACCAGGTATAATACGTACCCTAGGAGACAGGATTGTACTTCGAGGTTCCTCCGGGGGATTAGATACGGTAGGAAGACTTTGAAGTTGTAGATATAGACCATCTAGCTGCCGCTCTTACGAAGCTGGCTAGTCTGAGAGTTCTCGGGCTTATTCTCTTCACCATCAGAATCCTAGTCGTTACTAGAGGAATCGCTAGTACTAGCGGGTCAAGAGGCTAGGGGTTCGGTGCCGTACAAGACTTGATTGGTTTGGCTATTTAAGCGGCTGAGAAGAGGTCTTGCTTCCTCCTCCTCGTTCTTATCCTCCTCTTCCTCCTCTTCTTCTTCCTGCTTTGTCTTCTTTTTGTATAAAAGGGAGCAAATGAGGCAGTCAATCAGCAGACCGACAACAATGAACTGTCGGACAAAATCGATGGCCAACAATACTTTGTATATAGAGGCCACTGCTGGATACGTTGTATGTAGTATTAGGACTGGGATACCGGATAGCAGTAAAATCAAGGAAAGACCAAAAACTTTAGGAATAAGGAGCTCTTTGCGGAAGCAGGTTGAAGCCTATACTAAGGCGAAAATAAGTATCGTGAGTAGATAATCTTGGATGTGGCTAAGTTTATGGCGCTGTCGCGAGACGATGGTTGCCTCGGCGATATAAGAAACCGAGGCAAGCAGCATAGGAACAACTCGAAGAGCTGTCTTTTATAGCACAGAAGACTTCCTAGGTGTTTCCCGCTTATAATTAATGAGAAACGAGACAAAAACAAATAGTACGGTGATGACCGCTGCTGCCATATCCAGCAATTTAAGGAACCACGCAGAAATCATCTTATAAGCCACTGGAGAGTAAGTAAGCTATCAGTGCTATTTTGACGGTGGTAAAGGATCTATAAGAAGCCTTTTGAATCAGGCCGCTAAGAAATCTTGGAGCCTAGTTATAACTAATCCACTTTATTATAGATCATGCAAAACAGTAAGAGTATATCTCATTGGTTGCCTAAATCTATAGATATTATAAGATATTTAGTTTTATCTATACATAGTTAGGCAGCACCAACATCTGTATAGGACTGAAGGTACCCGCTCGTCTAGCGGCATCCTCTTTCAGAATAGCCGCCAAGATAAGCTACCAGGCCGTATAGGTTAATTAGGTTTCCCTTTTTATTAAGCGCCAGGGAATACCCCTAATTAGATACTGAGCGTCACTAAGTATTTAACACTATATATGACTGTTATAAGCATAATCAGTAATCACAAAAGGCTTGTAGGGTTTGCAAACTTTGTCAACGTAATATAACATAACTAGGCCATATGTCCTACTAGTAGTTACTCTGTATAAGGAACAATACAGGCCCCACTGATAAGGATACTCAAAAAACAAACTCCAACTGTAGGCTAGCGCATCTTAGCAATTAGGATTCAAGGAAGAATCTTTGCTTAAAGAGCAAATTCGTCCCCCAGAAAAACCACCATCTCGTCCAGGTATATGGCAGGCTTTTCAATCAAATGGTCGCACAAAGCCTCGAACATAAATGGAGTAATACTACAGGGTCGTCCGCCTTTAATTGGCGGTGCTTTAACGCTGCCAAACATTCTTATATTTACAGAAATTCTTGAAATGGTGCTCTTGTTACAACCAGCGGCCTGTACCATCTCGGTTATCGATAATTCGCCATCGTGGATCATGTCATAGATAAGCTCATGCTTGGAAGGAGCTAGGTTTAAAGACATCCTTGGTTAGACCACTCGTGATTGATTGTCACGTACGCTTCCCGAGGAAAGCTGCGTCGGATGAGGGACTTGAGGTGTCACATGTATTGAAATTTACATGCTAATACATGCTTGGAATTAGTATGTAACCTTCGTACGAGGAGATACCCATGCAACTGTCGGAAGAACTCCCAATATAGATTAACATTTCTTGGCAGTGGGGCTAAATAATCAAATGAAGAGTGTAGGCGGTTGCACCAGTTTTGGGACGTACTGTATCGATGGATGATCAACACTTTTATTCCGGACCGCTCTCTAGCTGTGATTATTTTTCAATTTTTCAATACACGGCTGGGAAGGCCTGAAGTTCAAGTATCTTCGGAGTGACTATATTCGAATTTAAACTAATCAAGAGCTTGCTATTCTAGTACTTTAAGTTGTCGAGTTAAAAGAAGCCGATTGGGTAGCCGGGTCGCTTACGCCGAGAGGACTTTCGAGCACGAAGTTGAGAATGAGGGATGGAGTTTGGAAAGAATGCGCCATCAAAACTACGGTCCTATGAGAATCTCACGAAGACAGCAAGACCTCTCGCAGATCTCAATGTGTTCCCCTTGAAATATGCACCCCAAACGATATCTAACACTCTGCAAAAACGAGGGAAGACCCTTTGGAAGTGTCGCTCCAGGAGACTCGTGTCGTATAAAGCCCAGAAAACGGATAAATCTACAGAAATAGTATGCCTTTTCTTCTTAATCCTGATCTGCTCAATTTAACATAGCTTAGGGAGACGAGAGATATATGATAGACATGGAGACCTATGGAAAACTTCATCCGGGGAAGAGCAGGCTGGGGTACATAGCGTCGGAAAGACTTAGCGCTGAGGAAATGGCTCAGGATGAGCTTTCCGATGAAAGATTCTGTTTTCTCCTGCCTCGACGAGCTAAAGGGTACAATCTCAGACGAACGAAGTGGTACGCGATCTCTCTTGATCGCATAACGGATGTCGAATGGAATAGAGAGGCGTTTCATAGCCTCATGATTGAGCACAGTGCAAAAGATATGATCCAAGCCCTTGTGACAAATAAAATCGAGATAGAGAAATCAACTGACCTGATTGCTGGCAAGGCAAATGGTCTTATACTTTTGCTTCATGGAGGGCCTGGAACTGGCAAAACTTTAACAGCGGAAAGTGTGGCTGAAATTGCAAAGACGCCACTATACTGTGGGAACCAAGGTTGAAGACGTGGAGAGATATCTCGAGTCTGTCCTATATCTTGGCCGTATTTGGGGTTGTGTAGTGCTCTTGGACGAGGCGGACATCTTTCTCGAGCAACGGATTCTTGAGGATTATGATGGCATCTTGATCTTAACAAGCAATCGAGTTAGTACTTTTGATGAAGCATTTCGATCTCGAATCCAGCTCGCTCTCCACTATCCGAGCCTTAGACCTCAACAACGGGTTCGAATCTGGCAGAATTTTTTTGATCGGCTTGAAACGATGGGTGATGATGTCGATATTGCTGATTTGAGAGATAACCTTCACATTCTCCAAGAGGAGCGATTGAATGGAAGGCAGATACGGATGTGATCACGACTGCTCGTCAGCATGCAAGATGGAAGGGAACGACTCTTACATATGAGCATCTCAAGGAAGTCATTCGGGTTTCGGGACGCTTTGATGACTACCTTGATAAATTAAATGGAGGGTTATCTCCAGATGAGATCGCACAATATGATGGCGTACGATAATGATATTTCTTGCAGGAGTTCGGCGAGTTTTGTTGCAAGGTCGAATTAGGTACTCGCCTAACAATCTTATTTCGGCTCTGTTATCTGGAAATCCAGTTAGAGGTCAATGTCGATCACTTGAATTTGAACTCGATAGTCAATACCTGTGCCTTCATGATGGTGAAGAGGCGCATGATCGACACCTGGAAATAGTGGCATAACGTAATTCCCGCCCGAGCGAGACACCCGGCCGACCGAGACACCCATCACCATTAGAAAATTTCAAAATCGATTATCTCAACCAACGCCTACCCATTTGACTAAATATAGCGATTTTTACATGAATTGATCCTGTGGCCAATCTCCCTACACCCACTACACCTGGGCGGGGCCCTAGTAGCCGGCCTATTTGCCTGAATAGGCAATTCGCCCTGCGTATATGATTCTACCATAGGTGCTTCTGCTGATAGTTCTAGCTGCGTAGCTAGCTGTAGGCCCTCTTCAACGGTCAAACCCTCTTCGCAGGGTATCTGTTTATGCGACCGATTACGTTTCTGGCGTTTCTTTTCATTTGCTGCGCGTAGATTTGCATTATCCTGCGCAAGCAATGCAGTGTTGTGTAGCGATAGGCAGTGACCCTTAATAAGTTGATCCAAGATAGTTTTTGATGGGCTTGGAGGACTTTTTGACCGTCGTTTTAGCAGATCCTTTAACATAGAAGCTTGTTTGAATAGCTGAGTAACGGTTCTAGG